TCCATGCGGACTGGGCCGGTAAATGCCATTGGCAGCTTTGCTTTAATTTGGCTTGCATAGAGACACAAAGGGCTGAGCTGCCCAAGCTGCCTGAGCTACATGGAGTCGACGGCGGTGCACCGACGAGCCCCTAGCATCGACAGCGGGTTCCGTCTGAAGTTTGCAGTGAGTTGCCTGAAAGAACATGGAGCATCGAAGAAGCTGAGGTCCAAATGTGTTCTTCTGGATGTTATTTTGGGGAGGATATCCCTCAAAAGGTGCTCTAAAGGAAACTGAGGGCAACCGAGAGAGGGGGGCTGATGGGCGGCAGAACGGCTGTGCCTGAGTGCCAGAGGTGCAAGACGAGGATGGCTTGTCGTCGGCGACGGACTGAGCGCTGGGGAAAATGTCTCATCTTGATCGATTGCCTCGACGCAAGCCCCAACGGGCGGCTCCTGCGGGCATATGGGGAAGATGTCGAGTCAAGGCCAGGCGTTTTGGAAGCAATATGTCCATGTTGCCGGTAACCTATTATTCCTCGGTAAGAACCGGCCATCTCTACTATTGACACAGCGGGTTTCTACGAATAGAAGCAGAGCGGGGGGGGGGGGGGGGGGGGGGGGGGGGATGGAGAGAGAGAAACAAAGTGGGAGATAGATTGACATTGGGTCGTGTTTTCGGCTCAGGATCACTTGACTGGACACACAGGGCAGGGTAGGTCAGGGCATGAATGAATGATTAATGGGAAAGCTGGGGGGTGCGCGCCCGTCGGTAAGCGGAGGGAATGTGCCAATGTGCAAGGTCAGAGCTTTTGATTTGAGTTGTCCAGTTGGAGCGTGGGGTTTTCGGACAAGAATGATGAGACGAGACAGGCGGAAAATGGGCCAAGAGAAATCGACGGCGGCCTCACGAGGACAGGTGCAGCTGCAGGTGCAGCAGAGGCCAGTCGAGTCGAGTCGATTCGAGCCGAGTCGGGAAATTTGGCGGCGGCGGCGGAAGGGGGTGTGGGGGAGGATACGGATGATGACCGCGACTGAGCGCGAGGTGGTGGTGAGCGGTGATTCGGTGGTCTGTCGTTGAGGTTTTTTCTCTGGAGAGCTGGGCAGATTCCGAGGGAATAAGGTAAGGCAAGGTACACTAAGAATGGTTCCGAGATGAATCAGCGGTGACCTGCTCGTCATACGAAGTTAGTAGGGCGGACGCATGTCACTCTCTGGTGAGATGAGCTAAGGCAAGGGAGGGTAGGTAAGACTTACCTTAGTGATATGAAAGATGCGAGATGGCGCGCGGGATCCGTCCATTTCGTCGCTGGCCCCCCTAGCTTAGCGTGCTGGGCAGCCGAGGGTGCAGTACACGGTAGCTGGCAGTAGCATGGCCATTGGAGTCGGTACCCGTGGTTTCGGGGGGTTTCTGGTCGGAATCCAATGTTGGCAGCTGCTGCGCTTCACCGTCAGAATCTCATCAGACATTCACCGCAAGCGAAGACAGGGCGACGAGTGGATCCGGTGACGAGCAGGGGGGCGCGGGGACGTGGACGTGAGATGCATGTGGTCCCTTTACGCAGATTCAACCACTGGCAAGGCCAGCATTGGTCAACCCACCAGTGGTGGAGTGTGTCAGCGTGCGAGGGCCAGCCGTGCCATGCCATATCCGTTCGCGATTGTCGATTGAATTCGATGGACAGGGGCAGGGCCCTCGGCGAGGGTTGCTCTGCGATGGAGCTGTACGTACTGTGTGTGGTTACTGGAGACCGGGGGCACGTCTCGGTACGTATCCGTCCTCATCCGGGCCGGGGTGTTTAACGGTTATTCATCGCAGAATTGGGAGCCAATGAGGGCGAGGCAGCACACAGTGGCAGGTCTTCGTCCGAGGTTGGCCCACCCGGCTAGCTCCGTTTTCGGCTCGAAGCTTGAGTTCCTTGGCGCGGTACCCGATGAAAGGCGAGAAAGTGCCGCAGACTTCCCGCGACGCCGGTGGACGCCTCCAAAGGCCTTCGTGGGAGGTACATAGTAGCTCTTGGCCGTGCGTCTCTGGGCGTTTTCTGCCAATGCTGGCCACTTTACTGCTGCCTGCACACTGTGTGGCGCCGCGCTACGACCGATGGATCTCCCATTTCCCGCGCTGGCCTGCTCAAACCCTCGACCTGGTTTGGTTGGTTTGGTTTGGCCTGTTGATGGTGCTAGCCCCTTGTTTTTTTTTCTTTTCCCCTTCCCCTTCCCTTCACCTTCCGTTCTTTGATTTGATGTGAGAAGCCTTCCGCAACTCCTTCTCAGTGGGTTCCTTCGGGAAGGGGACGTTCCCTTCCTGCACTTGCACGAGGGAGGGCCCCTGCAAGCCCCGAACGACAGGCCTGTCCCCAGTCTAGCGGCCATTTTTTGGGGGTCCCACCCAATGACAACTTTGACACTGAGTTTCCTCCCCAATCCGTGCCACCCCCGGAGACAAACGGGAGAAGGGGAAAAATATTCTCGAAGCAGGGCGGATTCCCCACGCCAGAAAAAGAGACAGAGAGAGATTGAGAGAGACAAGGGTGGTGAAGGTGGAGGATGAAAAAAGAGGTACATAGTACGTAGTGTAGGAGGCGCGAGAAAATTTCGCCAGAAAATAATGAGTTGGGACAGACCAGAAGAAATGCATTGGGGGGGCCCAGACCACAACCACCAAGCCGTGTCTGGCTGGTCCCCGTGAACAAGAGAGACACTGCGTGGAAAAACAAAACAAATAAAGATAATCGGCACGAGAGCATAGCGCCGCGAGAACGAGTGATGAGGGAATAAAAAATCCAACCACACATCGCAAAAAAACCCTACGCGCGCAATTCGGACCTGCCCTGCCCTGCCCTGCTCTGGTCTGGTCTGCTCTAGTCTGCCACTTGAAATTGAACTGAAGCACATGCATTTGCATTTGCATTTGCGTCGAGTCGCCCTCTGCTGGTTAGCTTTGCTTGGCCTTCTTGTCTGAGCAACAACAAGACAAGACCTCGCTCGCTGTGCGCATCCGCAGCAGTCCGCAGCCCGCAGCCTGCAGCGCCTTGTCCGCCAAGATCTTCAAATCCCTTACTTTGATCTTGCCAAGTTGCCAAGCACAAGGCACTTCCCATTGCTCCCCTTTCTTTGCCCACAGCTCGCCCTTTTGGCTCAAGATCGGAGCTCGACTCTGCCTTTTTGGCCTTGGCTCGCAATCTTGCTGTCCCTTTTAGCATTTGCCCTGCCACTGCCTCGGACAGACAGACAGATACTGTACACCCCACGCCTTCCTTGTCCTGCGCTGTTGTCTTGCAGAAACAACCGCTGCACGCACACGCACACGCAAACACACACACCATCCACGCACACAAAGACCCCGAAAAACCACCTTAGGCTAGACACACCAATCGCACCTTATTCTGGCCCGGTTTGTTTCCTTTGGTAGGCCGACCCCACCCAATCCTCCCGTCCGTCCAACCACGGCCGCCTGACCAACGAAGACGACGCGAGAACGCATCGAAGAGCATTTCTACCACAAACGACGAACAAGGCCCGCTCGCTGTCTCCTCCCTCTCTGGGGACCTCTCTCTCCCTCTATTTCTCTCCATCATCAATCACCCGGCCAATCAATCAATCAGTCGCCTCTTGGCTACGTCCGCCCCTCTCAGTCAGACGCCCGTCTCCGACCTTTTATTTTCCCGCGCCTGCTCCTGTCATTTTGCTGCCGCTGCTGGCTGACTGGAGCTGCACCGCATTCTTTGGGGCCCTCCAACAAAAACGGAGCACCCACCACCACGCACACACACACACACACCACTCACAACGCATAGCTGCCTCCCCACGCACACCCGGCACCACAGACAAATCGTACCCCCCCTGGCACGGAGTACTTCGGCCTGCCTACACCACTACTCTACCTTGCCTTACCTTACCTTACTACACGCCCACCCATCCGACACCGCACACCTCCCGCGACCAGCTCCAGCGAGGCGGTAAAGGGAAACTCGCCCTTGGAAAAACTGGCCAACTGACCTCCACTAGTCGCGGCCGCTACCCGTCGCCACTCCCCTCGCACTCAATCACTCCCTCTCTCCCACCTTTCTGGTTGCCTTTCTTCCCAGGTTGTCTCGTCGAGCCACTTGTCAGGTCTCCCCCGGCACATGGTCGAGTACATTACCCATCTGCTCCCTACCGGCCCCAGGAAGCAAAAAAGAGAGAGCGCTCAAGCCCTCATCAGCCTCCGAAAATCCTGAAAATTCATCCCACCTCCCATCCTCGAACCCGCCAAGAATAACCCGGAACCTGTTAAAGTTCCCTCGCTGTCCGAGCATCATATCCCAGCGCTCTTCCTCGCCCGTTGTTCCTTCCATCTTTCCTCTCTCCCACATCCTGTCCGTCTGGTTTTCGCCATTACCCTGCGCCACGCTAGGCTCGACGTCATCCGCTCACCCAACTCTCTCCCATCCTACTGCCTGTGTCTTGAACGCCCACGGCCACCACATACTTTCACCCACGCTCGCCCTTTTCCACCCGGGATCTGCGCGCGCCGATTCAGTTATTCTTGTACACCCAGGACCCTGAATCATCTCACTACCGCGCCTCACATTGAGGCTACGCCCACTCGTCCTATAATCTCCCCTCTTCCACCCTACCACCACGCACTACTTTTAGATACTGCTCCCTCGACGATGTCAGTTCTGTCCTTATAGCCTCACGGTCCCTAGGGACACGATTTGATCTGCAGCAATTGTCTTTCGAGACGATCTCCAGCTGCACGTCCGCCTGAGGACACCCTCTCTACAAACACCACAACAAAACAACAACCAACAACGACTACTACAACAACAACAACAACAACAACAACAAGGGCCGCTTACCGCTGGCTGCCTTCCAGTCATCACCTGGACTCCTACTCCTACCACTACTGCGTTCTTACGAAGTCGAGCTTCGACCGGTTGCGCCTGCTAGAAGCATCGTTGAGCGACTTGGGCCTCGAATTACCAACCTTTCGCCACCTCTCTCTATCTACTCCTGACCAACATCACATCCCCCACCATGACCCACCGCACAACAAACGACGCCGCGACGTCAAACGTCCTGGCCTGGTCGACACATTGCGCCAACATGCCCTTGATGGTTGAAGACGAGTCCGCTGATGTCGACGAGCCTCCGGACGCCCAACTCCCCGTCTCTCCCATCAGCAGCATGTTCAAGCGGAACCCCATCCGCCGCACTACTCTCGACCACAACGCCTCCCTCCTGACCAAGGCCCTCCACAGCCCTTCCGAAGATGAGGACCCCGAGGCTCGCCCGGGCATGTCCTTCTTCGCTCGTCGCCGCTCCATGGCCAGCAACATCAGCTTGGCCTCTACCGCCGACCTCACGAGCGACACCGGCTTGACCAGCCCCTCCCGCGCCAACACCCCTAGCCCTCCCCTTCCCGAGATGCGTTACCTGAACCTCAACGACGAGCCTGCCAAGGAGGCGCCCAAGAAGCGCTGCATCCAGTTTGCCTGCGCCGCGAAGCCCAAGGTCGCTGAGCCCATCCAGGCCCAGCCCATGGTGAAGGCTCCCTCTGCCCAGGAGACCCAGCGAAAGCCTTGCATCAAGTTCGCCTGCCCCATCCCCCAGCGTCCCGCCTCGACGCAGAACACACCGCCCCAGCGGATGGAGATGGCCGCTGCGCGACTTCAGCAGACTGCCTTCGACAAGCAGGCCTCTCCGGCGACGGTCCGCAAGGCTCGCTCGCGGTCTCCCAGACCCTCGCTTGCTCCTCCCCATGTTGAGACGGATGTGAAGTCTCCTACCACCAAGAAGTACATTACCGCCAACGTCAACGACTTGAACAACGAGTCTTCTCACTTTCATGAGTTCGCCAGTGACATCCCCCGCGAGGACGACTGGATCCGTCAGGCCTTCTCTTCTCAGGGTCGCCGCATCACCATTGACGACACCCTGCGGAAGGAGAACGCCATTCGCAAGTTGGCGACTGAGGTCGAGGAAGAGGCCGAGCAGGAGGAGGAGGAGATGGCAACCGCTCTCGAGGACGACGACGACGATGACGAGGACCTTGACAACTTGGACGACGCCGATGACGTTGATGATGAGGACCATGATGACGACGAAGACGAGGATGATGCTTCTGACGAGGACGACAACTCTGACGGCTACAAGACTGACGAGGAGACCGGTTTCGCTGACTCCGACGAGGAGGAGGAGGAAGACGAGGACCTCCGCTTGTGGACGCCGGGCCGCTCTACCATGCAGAACATCGACAGCACTCCCATTGCCAGACGGCCGTCCCTGCCCGAGCAGCTCTCGGATTCCTCAATTGCCTCCCGCAGCAGTCTCCGCGCCCGCCGTGGCCGGGCTCAGCGTATCAAGATTCGTCCTGGTACCCCTGAGCTTCCCGACAGCACCGACTTCGTCTGTGGCACTCTCGACGAGGACCGCCCTATGGAGGACGCCTACATGTCCTGCTTGGCGGCCCGCAGACGCGAGAAGCTCCAGCTCATTCCTCAGGATATTGACCCCAGCTTCCCGGCTTCCGACCCGGAGGATGAGGGCGAAGAGGAGATCTACAACCCTGTCCACCACAGCAGCGACGACGAGATGTTCTTCCACGGCAAGATGGACGACCTGCATCACGCCAACGACAGAAGCCGACGTCGCAAGAAGACGGAGCACACCTCCCCCAAGCGCTTCCACTCGCCTCCTCCCTTGAAGCGTCGTGCGTCGCCTGCTCCCAAGGCTCGTGGCCGCTCGCCTCGTCGCCTCTTTGATGGCCCCTCGCCCCGCCGCCTGAGATCTCCCGCACCTCAGATGCTGAGATCTCCTCCCGCATCCCCCCGCAACGGCCACGGCGCCATCGCCTTCAAGACCCTGGCGTCTCGCCCCGGTCTCACCGTTACCAAATCCCTCCCCCGCCCTCCTTCCATGTTCCCCCACATGGCCAAGGGCCGCCGTGTCAAGGCTCCGGCCAACGACGTGCACATCCGTGGCGCCATCGACATTGTCAAGGGCCTCGAGCGGAAGCGACAGCGTCGCAAGGAAAAGTTTTATCAAAAGTACTGCAACCGCGCTCGCAAGGGACAAGTTCCCGAGCGCAAGCCGCAGCGCGGCCTCGGCTGCGAGCGCATGAGAGAGTTGGGCCTGCTCATGGCCGGCAAGATCGACCAGGGCAACTACGTCCTCTCCGTCTAAGAGGATCATTTACATTCACACATTGGGGAGGAGTTTCTGTTTTGCATTTACGACGAGACCAGAGTTGTCTCGCAAGGCGTTCGGCATTGAAAGGTGCATGGCATGGTGGGATTCATGACATATGAGACTATTTCAACGCCCTTTGGGATTGTACATATCCTTTTTACACTGGAGCGTACCTCGACGGTCGAGGACTCCGTACATCTTCTTTCGCTTCATTTCTTACTTCATCGTTTTTGGGAGTCCAGCGGCGCCTGGACTGGAGCACGAATACCCCTGGAATAGCGTGTACGAAGGCTTGCATGGTTGTTGAGCGAACACATAGCATTAGGAAGCCTGATCAACTGCATTCCTGCGAGATATCGCAGACCTCCAAAAAAAACCGTTTCATTCGCAGCGTGACCATTTGCAGTGATGTCATTCGTGGCTTTGCCAGAGATGATTTGGCCTCTTCGCAAGCCTAGACTAATCTTTGGGTCAACCTGGGGTCGGCCGAGCGAGGGAGTAAAAAACCACAGGATATAATGGCTTGTATTGAGTTCAATGCAGTCCCGGATGGCGGGGACGACGAAGTGGCATTTTGACCAGGTGCGCCCACGTGCTGGGAGGATGCGATGGCGATGGGATACCAAATACAATGTGTTCTTTTCAACCCGCACCATAAAATCAGGTATCCAAGGCAACATGGGACGGTGCTGAACATCACAACGCAGCTTGATTCACCTGACACTGCTTTCGGAGCTTTTTCTGGTGAGTCCGGCCCAGGAAGGGGACCAAAGTGAGTTTCGCTCTGACGCATCAGCACCCAAAGGCGCACATTCTCCCTCTCTCTCTCTCTCTTTCGGTCTCTTCCACTCGCACGCGGTGCAGGTTGTGGAGCATCTCCGATACGTGGCAGCCCCAATATTAAGGCACCACCACCTCACCTCAGCATTTCGCAACAGCACAGCACAGCACAGCGCTGCACCACCCTGCGCCCAGCCAAACCAGCACCATAGCACACAAGCACGTACCACTTGCAACCTCTGGTAGCCCAGCCTAGCCCAGTCTAGTCCAGGCCCAGCAGTCAGGACCTTCCTCACCTTATTGCACGCCTCGTATCTTGAGTGCAAAAGTCCGGTCCACGAAACTCCCCGACCTCAACCTACCTACTTCAAGTCCACCGCCCATCCACGAACCACCATCACGATATAGACAATAATCTCGGTCCTAAGCTATCAAGATGTGGATTATTGATTGGTGTATGTGCCCGACCTCTTCCGTCCTCCCTTCGGCCTCCATCACCACGAGCTGCAGCAATCATTTGCGCGCCTGCCTCCGCCGGCCGCTGCAGCTTGTGGCCAAGCAACCCATCCCTGGTTGGACCTCGATGAACTGACTGGCCTTCTCTCAATAGTCTACAACGTTCTCTCGAGCCTTGGTCTGCTCAACAAGCACGCCAAGCTCCTCTTCCTCGGTCTCGACAATGCCGGCAAGACGACGCTGCTGCACATGCTGAAGGTACGCCGCCTCCGGACAACCTAGATGCTACCCCGTCGATACTTGCAACCCGCCGAACGTCGGATGCGCCGATACGGGGCCTTCTGGGACAACGATGCGATTGCGAGGGACTGCAGCTGACAGATGCAACAGAACGACCGTGTCGCCATTCTCCAGCCCACTCTTCACCCCAGTGAGTATATCCCTTTCCCCTAGACGCCCAACGGCGGCGAGCCCTGCGCACGTGTCCAATAGCTGACCACCTTGACAGCTTCCGAGGAGCTTGCCATCGGCAACGTGCGCTTTACCACCTTCGACCTGGGTGGTCACCAGCAGGCCCGTCGTCTCTGGAAGGACTACTTCCCCGAAGTCAACGGCATCGTCTTCCTCGTCGACGCCAAGGACCACGAGCGATTCCCCGAGGCCAAGGCCGAGCTCGATGCCCTCCTGTCCATGGAGGAGTTGGCCAAGGTCCCCTTTGTCATCCTCGGCAACAAGATTGACCACCCCGACGCCATCTCTGAGGAGGAGCTGCGTCACCAGCTCGGCATGTACCAGACAACTGGCAAGGGCAAGGTCCCTCTGGAGGGGATCCGGCCGATCGAGGTCTTCATGTGCTCGGTTGTTCTGAGACAAGGTGCGTAGCTTTCCATGTGTGCCACGGCGAGCAGGAAGCAGCGGCTAACGGGAGGAACAGGTTACGGTGACGGCATCCGGTGGCTCTCGCAGTACGTCTAAGCATGGACCAACAGCTCTGGGTAGAGCTTCCCGGCGTTGTTTAGGGCGGACGGAGTATACACAGGCGAGTGGCAAACGGGTCACACGTCGGCACGGGAACGATATCATGGTGCCACGCCTATGAAAGCTCCGGTCAAAGTGCTCGAGGGCAACGAGACCTCGACGTTCGAAGCTGATATCCACGGGGAGATGGGGAAGAAAGTGCGTAATGGACTGAGTTACTCCTACTTGGCTCTCTGCATTGGTCCACGGGAGGGGAGGAAGTCCTCGGTTTGGCCCCAATGACTGGCCGGTCAGTAGAGTCACCCAGTCAGGCATCCAGCTGGCTACCGACGAGGCGGTTTGTACGCTTGATAGGCTAGAATACTCCATTGGGCTCGGGGATTCGGAATCTGGTTATTTGCGTGTTTCAATCGTTAGCCTGCTCTGCGTAGTTAGTGTTGCATTAACACATCAACATCAACATGGAATGACCAAAGCAAGCATTCATTCAGTATCAAAGGAAATGAGGGCCACGACGTAATGCCTAGCCCGACAATCCCGCCGAGCCTTGCAACCGCCGACGGCGTACCAAGGGATTCCTAGCGGGGTCGTGATGGTGATGTAACCGAGGCCACCGTGTCAAAATCACGAAGGTTTCGGTGCGGGAACGTGATGATACGTCAGGCCAGGTGGAGCGTGGCACTTTAGCATTTCACAAGCCACAGCCCAAGACCTGCGCCCCAAGTGTCAAAACCCAAGACTCGATCCTGGGGATGGATAGGGGCTTTTGCTGACGTCTCGATGAATCAATCGAACCGAAGATGAACAGCATCCCGCCGCCACAACCACGTACAAGGCGCCCCCCCCCCCCCCCCCCCCCCCCCCCCCCCCCCCCGCTCAGCCTCGTTGATCATTGGGAGTTCCACCATGCTTTGTTTCTTCTCTAAACCTACACCGTGCGTCCACTGGCCTTGCAAACTGGGTCCCTTGTTCACGATGCCGATCTGAAAGACGTACCGGGCCAACCACCAGCGAGTGATTGCAGGTCGTGTGCGGCGGGTGGTTAGGTAACATTTCCAGAGGATTCCGGAGTGGCGGGACGGGCAAAGACGGGAAGGTCGGGGGAAGGGGATTGGGGGGGGTTACAGTGGAATTGCGAATACAGGATGGAAATGGCCACGTCCGATCCCACCGTGAGGTGGTTACAGTGACCTCGAAACACTGCCGAGGCCTATCGGTTTTGGTCTTCTCTCTCTCTATTGCGCGTCTTGCATAAGCTCGGCGTGCCTTGCCAGCGCCCGCCCGCTGTCTTCCGTCTGCGCTTTCGTCTTCGGGCTGGCTGATTGTTCGCTCGAGGTACAGCCGGAGCTTACAGACGGGTATCCGTATTAGTTGCGCCCGCGAGATTGGTCTTCTTCGCAGCGCATCCCGCTAGATTACCTTTTACAGGCACGACATCCACTGAAGAAAACGCCTCCCGCCTCCCCTCCCCTGCTTGCCAGTGCTTGCGCGTGGATGGTTCATCAGCCGGCGAAGCCAATAGTGTCTCATTGGCACCTGCCAGCGACCAACTGGCGGCCGTCTTCTCGCCGAGTCTCTCCCCAAATTCCTCCACCCGCCCCCCAACGAAATCCAATTCGAGCTACTTCCGACGTCATCCGACCTGTGGCATCACGGGCGCTCGTTGCATTCCCTAGGGAGGAGCGCCGGCCATCCTGAGGAAAGCCTCCTGCCACAGTGACAGACCAACCATCAAGCCTCGCTCCCCAACAAACAGCTGCACAGCTGAACATTTACGGGCAGAAAAAAAAAAAAGAACCATCATTCGTTTGTCTGCAGATTCCAACCAACCTGACTCTGCCGCTTACATACATACACACACGCAACTGTTCACGCGACGTACACTTACACAAATCCAACACCCACGCCACCGACGCTTACCCTTTTCTCTCTCTCTGCCGAGCATCTTGCTTCTCCTGGAGCGTCAGCAAACCATCATTGTGACTCTCGTCGGCGCGTCCCTTCGACATCCCCACCCCCTTCGACTGGCTTCCTGCAGTATCATGCGCCTAGACTCGATAGACGACACAGCCCGCAGACATGGCTGAGCACCAACCCAGAGTTTCGTTTGCACCGAGCAGCGGCAGCAACACAGACGTCTACGGCTTCCCACCCGAAACCTTCAGCACCGAGGGGTTGCCCGACTTCGACACAAAGTTCCTCGACGACGCCGACCTCGCCGCCTTCATCCAGGCCCTCCAGGCCCCTGACCCGCTGCAGTCCCCGGACGACACGACATCGCTGCGGTCCCCCGGCCTGAGGAGCCACAGTTCGCTCGACGTCACGAAGCGCGGATCCGTCTACGAGGATGAGAGAGATGATCCGCAGGCCGTCGCCGCCGCCGCCGCCGCCGCTGCCGGCGACGTCACGGCGCCCGGCCCGGGGCTGAACCACACCTTTAGCAACGGCGGCGCGCACAACGGCTCGACGACCCAGCACAACATGTTCATCACGGCGCAGAACGACTGGGCGCCCGTCAACCAGAAGATACTCAAGAGGGGGTCGCGGAGGCGGAGGAACAGGGCCAAGGGCGCCGCCGAGGCTCTGCTCGGCACGCGGACCAAGGACGAGACGCGCGAGGGCATCTTCTACGCCCTGCTCAAGTGGCCGATGCTCTTCTTCGTCGCCGCCTGGCTCGCGGGTCTGGCCATGACGTACCTCTACACGCGGCTGTACATCTGGGTCTACGAGCACTTTGTGACCTGGCGCGGCACGCGCGAGAGGCTGCGCCGCAGCATGCGCCGGACGAACAACTACCGGGATTGGGTCGTGGCGGCCAAGGAGCTCGACAGCTACCTCGACCGGCAGCGCTGGAAAGAGGAGAACGACTTTGCGTACTACGACTCCAAGACGGTCAAGCGCGTGTGGGAGCAGATGCGCAAGTGCAGGCAGCGGGCCGAGGCGCAGGAGAATGGCGAAACGGACGACGAGGGCCAGACCAAGGCCCAGGGCAGGCCTGCCGTCGAGGAGCTTCACGCCTTGCTGTCGGCTTGCGTCAAGAGCAACTTTGTCGGCGTCGAGAATCCCAGGCTGTACAGCCAGACGTACTATGGCACCAAGAACCTGGTCCAGAACTTTATCGACGAAGGTATGTTGGCTCCGTCCCCTGAGATATGCGGAAGCGATTGACTGACGTCTCCCAGTCGAGAGGAGCATCAAGTTCATCCTCAACACGAAGCAGCTGTCGATGGAAGAGAAGCGGTCCATCTTCAAGGGCATGCACACCAACTACGGACGGACGGCCCTCTGTCTCTCTGGCGGTGCGTCGTTCGCCTACTACCATTTTGGTGTCATCAAGGCTCTCCTCGAGGCGGATCTCCTCCCGGACGTAATCACCGGTACCAGTGGCGGTGCCTTGGTCGCCGCTCTGGTTGCGACTCGCACAAACGACGAGCTGAAGCAACTGCTCGTTCCGGCTCTCGCACACCGCATCACGGCGTGTCGGGAGACGTTTTGGACGTGGATCCCCCGCTGGTGGAAGACGGGCGCGCGGTTCGACTCGGTCGACTGGGCCAAGCAGTGCAGTTGGTGGACGCGGGGTTCGATGACCTTCCGAGAGGCGTACGAGCGGACAGGTCGCATCCTGAACGTCTCGTGCGTCCCGGCCGATCCGCACTCGCCCACCATCCTGTGCAACTACCTCACCAGCCCCGACTGCGTCATCTGGTCGGCCGTGCTCGCGTCCGCCGCCGTCCCCGGCATCCTCAACCCCGTCGTGCTGATGATGAAGCAGCGCGACGGGACGCTGGTCCCCTACTCGTTCGGCCACAAGTGGAAGGACGGCAGCCTGCGGACGGACATTCCGATCAAGGCGCTCAACCTGCACTTCAATGTCAACTTTACCATAGTCAGCCAGGTCAACCCGCACATCAACCTCTTCTTCTTCTCTTCTCGCGGGTCCGTCGGGCACCCGGTCACGCACCGCAAGGGCAAAGGCTGGCGCGGCGGCTACGTCATGTCGGCGGTGGAGCACTATCTCAAGCTCGACATGACCAAGTGGCTAAAGTTCATCCGGCACGCCGAGCTGCTTCCGCGGCCCCTGGGCCAGGACTGGTCGCAGCTCTTCTTGCAGACCTTTAGCGGCACCATCACGGTCTGGCCGAAGACGGTGCCTTCGGACTTTTACCACATCCTCTCGGACCCGGACCCGCCGCGGCTGGCGCGCATGATCCACGAGGGCCAGCAGCGGGGATACCCGATCCTGAAGTTTGTGGGCAACCGGCTCAAGATTGAGCGGCTGATTGAGCAGGGACGGCGCGAGACGAGGCCGTGGATCCGCAGGGGCAGCATCGAGACGATCCTCAGCGAGGACGACCTCCGGAGCCTGCTCATCACGGGCAACACGGACATTGAGGATGAGACGACGGACGCCGAGGGGGAGACGCTGTTGGAGAACGAGGATAATGAGGAGGCCATCGTTGACGACGAGGAGTATGACGAAGATGAGAAGGGGAAGTACGGGAACGGGGAAACGACGGACTAGAGAGGTGGAGATGTGCCGTCCCGTGAGGCTGATCGTGTGTGAGTGTGTGTGTGTGTCGAGTATACGCGAGGGAGGAATAAAACAAGAACCGATACAGGTTGCAGCATAGCTTGGCGTTTTGATATGTAATGGAATACTACGTCCTTTGACTTGTGAATCTAAGCAACAGTCCCGGGATCGGGGAGTGGTGCGGCCGAGAGATGTACCTCTGGTTGTTGCCAATCTCCAGCATCATCTGTATGCGGAAACGAAGAGAGCGGCATGTCGTAAGTCACCACCCAGGGCTGGTACTCACGCGGGAGCCTTCGAGAAACTATGATGAGTAATGGGCAAGTTCAACTTCGTTCAGAGCGATACTAGTTCACGGCCAATCCCTACTCAACGGCGGGCAAACACTGCTGTCGAGCCTAGGCCGCCATGGAGCAAACCCCCTGGCTGAAGATTGTTCCTGCTCTCTCTGGACGAACTTGCTCCTGCGCTCGCTGTCGATTTCGGCCTCAGTCAGAGCTCTTCAAAAGCGGCAGATTTCGGTCAACAGCGTAGTACCGGGAATGTTTCCGTGCCAGTTGGGAGGATTCCAGAGATACCAAGCAAAGTTGACGGTGCACCGACGAGGCACACGTGCCCGGCTTCAACTGCAGGCCGACTTTGTACTGGCCAACAGGAGGAAGCACGATGCCGCGACGCTACTGGCATCAAGTGTAACCGCCTAGATGGATCCGTTGGGCAGTGGAAATTACCACTAGCGCACGATTGTAGGCCCTGAGGAGTAGGTTAATCTATACACCTGGTCATTGAATGTTCTGTTCAGAGCATAGGCACTCAATGCCATCAAACTTTCAAACCAGGCATATGCAAGCCGGCCGTTGCAAGCCTGCAGGTTCGGACCAACAACGGCGAGGTGGTCGGTTCGGCGGCTCGAAGGGTTCCTGTAGGATTAGAAAACAATGGGGCCGCTGAGCTTACTTTACCTTAGCAGGCCCGGTACGTAGACACGGGGGAAAGAAGGCCCAAACCGGCGCCAGAGCGCAAGCGTCCAAGCTGGGGAAGGACAGATAATCCATTTGCCGGGTCGGGGGCGAAGGCGACTGCGGAACAGCGCGACAAGGTCTCTACATGGTAAGGTAAGGTAAGGTTGAGGCGGGTGTGGGGCGTCAGGGGACCACACTGACTGGACAGCATAGCACAGCACACAGGAGCACCGCACAGTGAAGGAAGAAAGGTACCTGGGACCCCTGCCCACCCTTCCGGAAACTACCACAGTAAGCCACAGCACCAGTTTATTTCGAGGCCACGATTGTCAAAAGAAAGTGGTGACTGAGCTCTTGCGGACACTTCACCTCCAACTCCCAGTTCCTTCCCCTCCACCCCCCCGAAGTTCTGACCTGGAATCAAACAAGCCAGCAGACGGAGAGAGTAGAGAGACCTTCCTTACGGCTCTGTACTTCTGTCCATTCCGTTCTTCCTATTTTTTTCTTGGTCCCGTCAGGCTTCCCCAGTGCAAGCCGCGACAACTCGCTCTTTTAAACCTTTTTTTGTTCCGCGGGCTCCCAAAGGCAGCGAGCGACGTGTCCGGATCCGCGCGCGCGCAACCACACTCGGCAACCTCGACTTCGACAACGACGTCCCGCCCCAAAGCGACCACCTTTCCGCCACTCACCCCGTCCCCCGGAGCTCTCGAGCTCGTCGCCACGTCGCCAACATGAGTTCCGACTACTCGTACGACGCCGAGGCGCAATTCTACCCCTTCTTCATCCTCGCCATCAGCAGCATCATCACCCTGCCGCTCGGCTACACCCTCGTCTTCCCCGCCAAGGACATCGAGGCCAAGGCACCGCGCATCCAGAGCAACTTCAAGCCCGAACATGTCGACCTCATCGACAAGCAGCGCAAGGCGCATGAGAAGAAGCAGCGCCGCATCGTGCGCGTCATTGCCGTGCTCATCGGCCTCGCCGTCATGGCCGGCATGATCTACCTCATCATCCACACCCAGAGCGTCACCCAGAAGATCTGGAACCCCTACGACATTCTCGGCATTTCTGATGTATGTCCGACCTCTTTGCTTCGTGGCCAGTCCCACAGTCCTAACACCCCAATTTAGTCCGCCGATGAGAAGACAATCAAAAAGGTCTACAAGCAGCTCTCGAAGAGACTGCACCCCGACAAGGTTCGGCCTGACCCGGCCAAGAACGAGACCGTCGAGTCCCTCAACAACGCCTACGTCGAGATCTCCAAGGCCTACCAGGCGCTCACCGACGAGGAGATCCGCAACAACTACATCCAGTACGGCCACCCCGACGGAAAGCAGAGCTTCAGCATCGGCATTGCCCTCCCCCAGTTCATGATCTCTGATGGCAACGGCAAGTACGTCGTCCTCGCCTACACCCTGCTCCTCGGCGTTCTTCTGCCTTACTTGGTCGGCTCGTGGTGGTACGGCACTCAGCGCATGTCCAAGGACGGCGTGCTCATGGAGAGCGCCAACAACCTTTTCCGCGCCTACGACGACAACGTCGACGACGGTGGTGTCGTCACTGCCTTGAGCAGCGGTAAGGAGTTCGACAGCGTCCTCAAGGGTGACAAGGCCGAGTCTGGCCTTTCCAAGCTCGAGTCGAAGCTCCTCGCCAACGCCGACAAGGCCGGCCTCTCCCAAAAAGACAAGCAGGCTCTCGAGGACCTCGACAGCGGCGTGCGCCGGAAGGCTCTGGCTCTCCTGTGGTCCTACCTCGGCCGTGTCGACCTCGAGGACCCGGCCCTTGACAGCGCCAAGTACGAAGTCGCTCCCATCGCCCACGCCCTTACCCGTTCATTCTCCGCCATTGCCCAAGCCTATGGCAACACCGGACCCATTCTGGCCGCCTACTCTACCAGCCAGCACCTGATCCAGGCTCTGCCCCCCAAGGCCTCGCCTCTCCTCCAGCTACCTCACTTCACCCAGAACATTGTCCGTCAGGTCGAGGGAGGCGACTCCAAGGTTCACGTTTCCCTTCAACAGTTTATGGATCTGCCCGACGAGCTCCGCAGGAACCTGGTGGTGCGCAACAAGCTTCTCTCCGAGGACCAGTACACGTCCGCCGTCAGTGTCGCCCGCCAATTGCCCCAGCTCCGTGTCGCCAAGGCCTTCTTCAAGGTCACCGGCGAGCGCTTCATCATCCCCTCCTCCCTCGTCACCCTCGTCGTCAAGGGACGCATCATCCCCCCTGGCAGCGAAAACGTCCCCGAAATCAACGAGCTGGACCTGGAAGACATTGACCCCCCTGAAGATGACCTCGAGGCCTACCTTGGCCGCAAGAAGAAGACTGTCAAGGGCCCCGACGGAAAGCCCATTCCGGTTGACGACAAGCCCATCCTGCCTCCTCTCGCTCACGCCCCTTACTTCGCCCGCGATCACGCCCCCAAGTGGTATGTCTTCTTGACCGACTCCAAGCAGGGCAAGATGGCTGTTCCCCCCTTCACCTTCACCCAGTTCGACCAGCCCATCTTCGGCGAGGACGGCAAGCCCACATTCAACATGCAGACCCTCAAGGCCCAGTTCGCCGCCCCCCTCAGGCTGGTCACTACACCTTTGTCATGCACGTTGTGTGCGACAGCTACGTCGGTTTCGACACCAAGATGGAGGTTACCCTCGTTGTCGAGGAGGCGAACAAGGCAGCGGCGATGGTTGCCGAGGATGACATCAGTGAGCCTGACGAAGGTATGTTGCGCCCGTTCCCCAAATCAACTAGATATGGTAAGATGCTAACAGCGACCGCAGACTCGATAGCCGGCCAGATGCAGGCTCTCAAGGGCGGCAGCGTACCAGGTGCCACCAAGCCCCGCAGGAAAGTGGAGGAGGACTCGGACGAGGAGAGCGGCACAGACGACGACGTCGAGGACGACACGAGCGAGACAAACACCGACACCGAGGACGAGTCATGAGGCACTCCGTCGTGTTGCGGTGGCACTTTGGCAGAGGACGTGTAGGAAGCGATAGAAGAAGAAAGACGGTAGTTGCACAAAACAGAAGCTTGTGCAAAGACTCAATATACCCAAGTCATAAACATCCAACACCGTACACAAACACGCACACCAAAAGGGGGGTTTGCCGCACCGGGAGCGCCGGACTTTGGGTTCCATGTTTGGAGGGGTTAGTCCACGTACATAGCTATCGGCGTTGATTAGGTTAGTTGGTGAGGGAGGGGGGGCCTCCGTTACTGTATATTTGATTCATTTTGCCGTTTAAGTGGAGAAGGTGTTTCCATCATCGCAAGCCTCTGTTCCCGTGTGTCTCGTGGAACCCGCTGCTTGGATTGCAGCGGCATCGAGCCGCTGTCACGAAAGAACGTTGAGAATGCTAGTAGTCACGGGCCGTTTCTGTTTTGCTTCAAATTGTTTCAACATTTCACCCACGACACTGGGCATGCAATGGCCAAATACAACGAGCCGGCCAGCACGGTCCGATGAAGTGGTTCAAAAATTACTAAACGCCCATCGCCAACCCGCCCCCCATCCCCTCCCACTCATTGTCCCAAACCGTTGCAAATGCGACAACAATCAAGTCCAATACTTTGCCCCAAACTCTGCACGTACGTCATCCCCCACCCTAGCATTCGGGTATTTGGTAATTTAAAAACAAGTGTCAAGCCCGCCGCCCCGTCCTTGCCCTGCTGTCAAAACTCCATCCGTTGTACGCCGCCCCCCTACCTCTTGGGTCCTTGAGGGTTTGCTTACTCACTCATTGCTTGAAGGGCATGTGTGAGGGGAACGACGCGCAGACTTCTGCCGCGCTTCAGGCCGGACGTCTTCTTGGGCATGATGGTGGGACTCGCCTCGTCTCGCCACTTGCGGAACACGCTCTTGAGGTCCTTCGGGATGCCCTCCAACACCACCGTTGAGATGGGGATAAAGGGGCGGTCTTCCATGCCACTGGCCAGAATGGCGTATTCTTGCGCGAAGTCGAGCGCGTTGCGGAAGGAGCCGTACTGGCTCTGCGCTGTTCTGCCAACGATGATGTACATTTCAAAGAATGCATCCAGCACGTAGATGCCCGAAGGATCCAGATCGGCTTGAGTGAAAGGGTTAATTTCGTAGACCTGCAATCCTTGTTAATCATCGTTCAACCCTGGAATAGTGTAGACCTCCTCACCTGTTGACCCGCAGACGCGTCCGAGCGGAACAGTCTTTGGCAGTACTTGTCGTAGTTGGATTTCAAGCGCCAGTGGTCCGCGGAATGCGGCTTCGTTCCATCATTAAAGATGGCCCAGAAGCTGTCTGGCTCGCTGCCGTCCTCAATCTCCAGGAGCTCGCCCATCAAAGTCAAGTCCATACCTATGAGGCGGGCGCAACTCAGCTCGTCTACGTCACTGCCTCTGCCCTTCCAGAGGTAGCACTTTCCCGATTGCGTAATCAGGAACGGAAATCCAGAGCAGAGACTCGTGGATGAGAAGTCGACCTCGTCAAACACAACCTGGCCAAGTATGCGGCGACCACAGAGCATGCTAGGCGCCAACGAGTCATACTTGGCGTTGGTGCCACGGCGGACGATGATCATGCCGCCGAGCGACATGATGAACTCTGGCGTCTCTCTGCCCTGACGCATTTTGATGACCTTTCCTCCGAGCGAGCGAGCCTCGCGGCTAACGAACAGAGCAGCATCTTCCATGGTAGCTTCTGGTACTTCGTCGCCAGCCCAAAAGTACACCTCCGTCTCCTTCTTGCCAGCCTCGTTGGTGAAGACGTTGGCGCAAATGTACATCTCCCCTTCGAACAGGATGCGCTCGTTGTGCGCCGGGACGGGGATTTTCTTGCCATCACCGGTAATCTGGAAGAGTCTTGCGCCCTGACTTTGGATGTCGCGAACACGAGGCTTGTTCATCAACAACTCGGTAGTATCGAGACGATATTCTCTCTGCGGCCGCCGCGTGCCGAAGAAGTCGTCCAGTAAGGTCGAGACCTCCGCGGTCGACTTGGTCGGGGATCGGACGGGCGATGTAACAGACGTAGGCGACGATGGCTTTGGTGGAATCGGCAGAGGCCTAGTGGAGCCCCTCGAAGGAGTGCTGGTTCTTTGGACCGGGGATGCAGGAGTGTCGAATCGCGACCTCGTCTCGAGAGGTGGCGATTGAACAACTGAGCCGCCAAACATCGCCGCGGCATTCCTCACAGAGACAACTGGCTCGCTGTCGACTCGGTCGTTCGACTTCTGAGGTGAGCTGGGTCTCGACAGCGGCCGGCCAAAGGTCCTGAGAGGCGCCACATGGGGGCTATCCGTATGATCGTTGGGGGGTGGCGATCGAACAGGAGATCTGATAGGAGACCTAGGGGTGGGCTCCGGTAACGGTCGTCCAAAAGTCCTGGCAGGAGGGGTAGACTCTTCCACGCTGTCAGAGAACGACTTCTTTGCAGGACTCGGCGTCGGTTCAGGCAGGGGCCGTCCAAAAGTCTTGACGGGAGAAACTTCCTCAGTCTTCTTCTGTTGTGGGGGGCTGAAAGGCTTCTCGAAAACCGGCTTAGGCTTGATGCTGGGCGTTGTAGCCGGACTCTCCTTCCTCGGCTCCTCCCTCTTTGGGCTCTCCAACTTGGGTTCCTCTCTCTTTGGACTCTCCACCTTCAAGCTCTCTCTCTTGGGGCTCTCGGGCTTTGTAGTCTCCTGGTTCTTTTCTTCAAAGAACATGGATACTCTCTTCATGTCCAGTTTCTTGGGCGAAGTGGGCTGGGATGCGGGCTCGCTGGGCTTCTCCTCAAACTGCTTCATAGGAGAGGACTGGAGCTTCATCGTCGGAGACCGAGATCTGCGCTTTGAAACAGGGTCTTCGTCCTTGGCGGGGAGGATAGGTTTCTCAGGAGACGCCTCAGCAGGCTTCTCGACAGGAGCCCCGGCGGGTTTTCCGAAGGGCTTCAGGGGCACTGGCCTGTTCTTGGCAGCTGCTAGAGCAGCTACTTGGGCCTGGATAGACGCCGGAGCCTCCTTTTCAGGGCTCTTTTTAGGCTCCTCAGCTGGAGCAGACGGCTCTTCCTTCGCAGGTGAGGTCACGTCTGAGCTTGGCTTGGGCTGGTTAGCTGGCTCCGTGGTGGGAGCACCGGCAGACGCGCCATTGGCAGACGGAGCCTTTCTCTTCGGGCCGCGAGCACGGCCCTTAGTCATGTGCGTAAGCTGTGGTCCCGGAGCCGTGGGCTCGGTTGCACCGGTGGATTCCTCCGACTTCTCGGTGTCGCGTCCTCCATTGGCAGCCATGGGGGGAGGACCGCGAGCCAGAAGTCCCGCAAGCGCGGGGTTGAAGCGACCCGCCAAACCACTGGCAGCGGCACGTCCTTGAAGCTTGGCAGGAGTGCTGGCCTCCTTCTGAAGAGTTGGTGTCGTAGGTCTGAGCTCTGTCGGAGACTCCTTACCCGTAGGGGATCTGATTGAAGGGGAACGGAGCGAAGGGATGGACTCGCTCGACTCATCCTTAGATATAGATTTCGATCGTTCGCTAACGGATTTGCGGTGCTCAATGGCGGAAGGCGAAGTCGCAGCTGATCTGCCCGAAACTGATTTACTCAGCGCGTGTCTCTTCAACAAAGCTTCCGGCACTGGGTTCTCGGATGCATTAGACTTGGTTCGAGCGACGCCCTTGCCTTGGGACTGAGCAGCCTTGAAGTCTTCCTTCTTCTTCAGGATTGCCTCCTTGAACTCGTCTTTGCGCTCGCTCGGCTTCGGACCGCCCGTGATGTTCAAGGCTGCTTTGCCGCGGGAAATATTAGACTTCAATTCGTCCGGCGCAACGTAGTTTTGCGTCTTCGTCCGCCGCAGGTTGCCAAAGACACTCTGTAACTCATTGGCCGAGTCGTTGGATGATGCAGCGTCTCCCGATACGTTTCGAGACTTGAGACCAGCTCGGAAATCCTTTTTTGGAGGAGTTTCGGGCTTGACCTTGGCCACGGCAGGGTTGTCAGTGATGGAGGACTGCCTTGGAATTTCTGCGGGAGAAGTGGTTTCTTCCGGCTTATCCTCGCTCGTTGGGCTTTTGATCGTGCTGCTGCGGAAGCCCGGACTGCCGATGCTGCCGCCCGTCTTGTGAGTCTTCACCGGCGCATAGATGCCCTTGAGGCCACTGACGGACGGTTTTGCCTCGTGGCTGCCCATTGGCGTCGAGCGCATCAGCCCACCAATATTGACTTCATGCTTGTTCGATGCCACAGAGCCGCTTCGGCCAAGGTCAGCACTGGGGTTGGCAGCCTTGTGCGCTTTAGCTTTGTTAAGCTCAACCATCCAGGCTGGCTGGTTGGCCGTAGGGGGAGGTTTAGGTTTCGGTGCCTCGGGCTTGTTCAGGGCCGTTTCTAGCCAGCTTGCCTTCGTTGGGCTCCATCTCCTAGTATCCATAGTCTTGGAAGGGCTGGATGGCGGCGTCATCTTCTCCTCCTCTTCCTCCTCCTTGGTGTCACGCTCGGGTTCTGACGGTGTGGCTGCGACGGGGGCCTTGGGCGTCGTCTCGGGCTTCGTCTCGGGCTCGTCCTGGTGCTCCTGATTGCTATGGCGTGAGGTAGGACGAGAGGAAGGACGAGAGGCAGGACGAGAGAGAGAGCGCGAGTGAGACGAGCCGGTAGGTGTAGCTGCACCATCGCGAACGAACATGCTTTGCGGGCGTGATCTAGGCTCGCCGACTCGACTTGAGGCAGCAGAATCTGCGCGTACGAGCCCAGGGGGCGACGTTACGCTCCATCTCTTGACACTGTCTGATCTCTTCATCATGGCACTCTGGACGAAGCCGCCCATGCCCTTGGTGGGCGAGACGGGCCTCGTGGGCGATGCGCGACCAGATCCCGACGACATGACGGACATTCGTCGCTGTGCGGTGGCGTCGTTCTCGGAGGAGATCTCGGCCGGGGGGTCAAGCCTCTGAGCGCTGGAAAGGGAGAGCGGAGAGCCAAGTCTGTTCTCCTTGGTCGGGCTAGAGTTCTCGGGCGACAAGTCCGTTGAAGAGCTGCGACTCAAGCCGGGAAGCTGATGGGCACGCATCGAAGACATGTCGGTGGTGTCGGTATCCTCCACCTGGCTCTTGCGATTGGCAGCCGACCCAGCGCTTGCACGATCAGCCGTCTGACGGAACCAGGCAGGGTCTTTGGAACCCAATGCCTGGGAAATCTGATCCCTAGAAAATGTCTGCTCGGTGGCGGAGGAGGGGTCCGACGTGGGGTTCGGCGAGGTCCTAGCCGCGTTCTCTGCGGCCACGACGGACAAGGGACGGTTCTTGGATCGATCCGAATGTTGAGAGTTGGGACGCCTCTGCCATGACAGCGGCCGCGCTCCTTGTACACCGCCGGTGGGAGAGGTCACGCTCGACCGCTTGTTATCGGCGTCGAAAGGGGATTCGTTCTCCTTGGTGGGAGAGGTCGACAATCTTTCCATGGTGTCGGGAGCCGGGGAGCCACGAGAGCGAGGACGAGGGCTGCCGGTGTATTCGAGGCCAGGAGAGGACAGCTTCAGGTCATCGGAAAGCTGCGTAGTGTTGCCTCGGGACGGTGGTGGGGTGTTGGCCGGGGATGACTTCTGAGGGGAAATGGATCGAGCGCGTTCTGTTAACCGTTGTCAGAAGGGATAGTCCAAAAGTCCTGCTGCAAAGCACAATACGGCGTGCACAAGGAGATGGAGAAGATGGCCAACGGCAAATGCAAAACAGAAAATTACGTGCTGATAGTTTTCTGACGGCACAAGGTGGGAAAACAATGGACGAGGCCGTGTGCGGTTTGTGGTTATTGGGAGTGGGTGTCAAGGCGTCGAGGCGTCGCTCGCGTCTTGCCCGGTGCGGCGGCCGTCCCGCCAGTAGCTCAGCTTTCTGATCAAGGGCAACCTGAACCTGAACATAGCACGGCACGAGCACGAGCACGAGCACGAGCAGGCGGAAGGACACGACACGACGCGGAGCAGAATTTGTGCCTTAGCCGCGTTGGGAAAAGAAAGCTTATAGGAAGAGCAGAAGGGGAAGGTAGAGAGAGGGCAGAGACAGAGATGCAGGGTGAGGTGCAGAGCTCAGCAGCGCAGATGCTGAGCTGTGAGGGGGGGGACAAGAGAAACATAGACAAGACGTACCGGCGCGACGGGCCTGGCGTTCCCTCTTTTCCTGCTGAATCTTTTCGTCGAGTTCGCGTTGGCGGGCGTCGTCCTCCTCGGTGCGGCGAGCATTCATCTCCTTGACATCCTGCAAAAACTTGGAGACGTCGTCCATGGCTTGTTCCGACATGTTGACGAGGGAGGCAGAGTCATGACACGGTTGCGGAGTGGGGGAGAACGGAGACAGGTGGTTCTGTATGCGCAGGATTCCCCCCGGTTAGAATGTATGTCGTGGCAAGGCGACTAGGTAAGGAAGTGAGGTCTTTGTTGGAGAAGGATATGTTGTCTAATTTTTTTCTCTCTCTCTCTCTCTGCGTCCACCTTAGGATTTGGTCTGCGGCGGCGGTGGGATGGGATGGGATGGGATGAATTGGGATGGGTTGCGGTAGATACCTTGGGTTTGTCACCTTTTGGATGGATGCCGCTAAGGAAGTTGCGCCAAAGCAAGGTACTGCGCTAAGCGGAGTAAAGGCAGCAGCTCAGGCAAGGAACCCAAGGTGAGGCAAGGCAGCCCAAGGTCAGGTACGAGAGTGAGCAGGAGCAGGGTGCAAGGAGTCCGAGACCTGGTGTTGCTGAGGGGGTCTGGATCCTCTCCCTCTCTGTTTTCTCGCTCTGGGCACTGGCCGGAAGAGAACGGCAGACTGAAGGGTGGTTCCGTGTGTCTGGCGAGGGTGGCGGCGTCAGAGGCTAAGAAGTGAGGTGACGAACCAGAAGCTTGGGTAGTGCAGCCGGCAGCAGCAGTGATTCGGCGGCTCCTCGATGCGACTTTCTTTTTGTCTCGTTCGGGATTGTTTTGTTTGGGGGAAGTTTGGTTGCGAGGCCAAAGTGAAGTAAACAGAGGTAAGGTAGGGATAAAGAACCTGCAGACGTACATACCATACAACTGACGTCCCGGGAAGTTGAAAGAAGCAGGTTTTTTTTTCCGGCACAGCGACGAAAACCAGGGCAGAAGCTGACAGACAGTTGGCCCTCCGGATGTTGCTGTTGCTGTTGCTGCTGCTACTACTGCTGCTGTGCTCGCGCTGCTACGGACAACATAATCAGTGGCATCCCGCCCAAGCTGCCTACCTACCTTCCTACCTTCCCTTACAATGCCACGCCTTTCAACCACGCCAATTGGGCAGGCTGCACGTCAGGTACCATCGGGCTTAGCGCAGCATCCAATAATTTCGCATAGTTGGCACAGATGTCTGCCCCGTCCACCATCCACCCTGGTGATTTAACCCCAAATGAGCAGAATGTCAACAACTTTTTTTGGTTCTTCAACGATGCCCCCAATCTATTGGGCGTGAGAGGTTCTTCAACCAGGCTTTTGAGCTCTTTATTCTTTATGGCCTCACTCGCCTGGCACAGTTGAAGAGGCACAGCCCGATCCAGTTCGGCTGCTCATTTCCAGCTCAGCCCAACTCTCCATGATGTAGGTAGGTAGCCAGACGCGGCACTTCGCGGAATACACAAAGAAATGGGAACCAAAACAATCGGGGTACGTACCCCGCTCCAGATGTAGCGGCCACTCTCTTCTCCACACTAGCAAACCCCTGTCTCATAATGGGATGGATTTGGTACCTGAGGTTCCATGCACTAAATTTCGCCGTTCAAGCACCTCACTGGCCCATCTGCGCCGTTTCAATCACGTCGTTTCAAACCTCGATTTCCCAAGGAATGACCCGGGCATTCCATTTTGAAGACCTTGAAAGACACCCATTTCTCTCCGTTATTTGACAACGGTGGCAATGAATCTGCTGCAAGCCAGGCGCACAGATGGCCTGCCAGTCAATGGCGGACACTCGAGAGAGAAGCCACCGGTAGTGCGTACCATGTGTGCACTAGTACTGTAGTACGAAGCATGTATGTCGCGTGCAGTGGCGTGGCCATCTGTCCCGCTCGTATTTCTTCTTCTCGGGCATCGTCGGACCAGCAGAGACCCCGGTTTTAAGCAACAAGATGCAATGGACCACATCACCACAATGTACTATCTATGGTAACAACACGAACCCAGTCCACAGAAGCCGCCCCTCATTCTCAGCCTCAGAGATACAATGCGATGCGAGCATTGGGGTGCCGTGCGATCCCCTTTTCCCTTCGCGTGCGTTCGCTGTGTTTCGTAAGCCCGGGTATCCCATCTACCTGTTACCCGTTACGCAACGTCGATCCCGACCCCCGAATCCGTGGCGGACTTTCGGATCCGGTTCTTGCCTGGGATCGCCCTTCCAGAATATCCTGCATCCCTCGTCTTTGGCCTCCTTTCTGACCCGGCGACCGTCATGCACGGGTCTGCCTATTCCTCACAGCTTCCAAAGACGCTCGGGGCTAGCCGAACGAAGCCGGGACTCCCCTCAATTGCTGGCGCAGAGCGAACGTGGCCTTCCTGTGCGAACTGGCTAGACGCCGCTGCCACCAATGCCTGAGCCCCTGGATCTTAGTACAGAAAGAGCCTCTTCTTCGCGTCGTCCACGACCCAAGCCAGGCCTTCCTTGAGATTTGTGCCTGTCATGGCGCTGCACCGTAGGATATGCCAGTGATGCGTTCTAATTGCCTCCAGCTGCAGCCCCTGCAAGATAGAAACGTCAGCCAAATGTCCAGAACCTCGTCGAGGGTGCGTCCGGATCCAAACCTGGAGGATCTCCTGTTCGTCCATGCATCCGTTGACGTCAGTCTTGTTGGCAAAGACCAGAAGACTTGCGCCGGATAGCCGCTGTCAATCGGGGTTAGCACGGATGGACCACGCCCACTTCATACGTGTCGCCGGATGGACGAACCTCTTCTTGGAGGAGGCCATGCAGCTCCTCTCTGCAGTCGTCGATCCGCAACCGGTCTGTAGCGTCGACGACCCAGATCAACGCATCAGTCTTCTCGAAGTAGTTGCGCCAGTACGAGCGCAGCGTCTTCTGGCCTCCGACATCCCCTATTTAGGTCAGTCAGTTGGCTTCAACTCTTCATGTGCAAGGCATACAGATGTTCAGCTTGTATCTGCGTTATCGTTAGCACCCGCACTTGGAAACTGAGGGGAAAGAGTAGGTACCCGTCGTAATCGATGGTTTTGATGATAAAACCCAGTGTTGGGCTCACGGTGTTGACATCTTCACCCATGATCTTTTTGACTATCGTTGTCTTCCCAGCATTGTCGAGGCCTCTACGCTATAGCATCAGCAAAAATGAACCGTATGCACACGGGTAACGACTTACAGCATAAGGATACGCATCTCTTTGTCCTTAAGACGCGCCTTTCTGAGGATAGACAGCATCTTGGTAGTATTCTTGTGATTGTTCCCTTGAAAGTAACTCAACTACAGGCTCAAGGTTGCGAAGTTTGGGCTTCTCGGGTTGATCATGATCCCCTACCCGTCCCAATACGGTGCAGGAGCTGGTGCCCGCATCAAGGCTGTCCGGTGACGCTACCTAACGAGATCACTTATGGGGCACGTGACCCCGCATCGGCGTCGGGACAAGGTAAGCGCCCCACCAGCCTGTCTCACCGAGATTCACCGAGCACACTCACCGACACCAATAGCAATCATCGCTAGATTCTGGCGATTTGCTACCCCTCTGGCTTATACTGCAAGCATCAAGATGGTTTGTCTCAGTTTATATTGAGATTATGGTATCAATACAACCCTCAAGATGCCCAATTTTTGGCGGCTATGAATAACAAAGTGTACGGGACAACATTTTGAATCCTTACACCGACAGTGGAAGCTATCCACGACTGGAGCAATTATGTAACTGATCAACGATCAATCTTGATAGAAAAATTGTCACAGCACTTGCAGAGTAGCGGCTAGGTTCTTATTGCTTTTGTTGGTGGGAATTAGGCACCGCTGATCGACGAGGGTCTCCTAGAAGAATCCAGGAAGAGGGAAGGAGCAAAAGAGAAGCAGCTTGCCTCATATGGATATTCACTCCTGCCTATTCTAAGCGAACAGTCTGACTGTAAGTATTCATTCACAGTCAATCGTACCATTTATAATATTTATCTCTTCACACAAACACAACCCGGCCTTCTTCCTTCCTTTACCAAAGCCACCACCTCATCGCTGTCTTCGAGCATCCACAGTAAAGCCTGCTTCCATTCCGGCCAACATTCATCCACAAAAACCAAAAGGCACTCTTTAATTGCTTTGATTTAAAAGTTGTTGCATGTTCTTCAAATCGGTGTTCTTGCGGAACATACCTGCTCAATATTTGCAGCGTTTCACGTCGCTCCGTCCAGCACGCGAAGCTGTACATGTTTAAGGTCTGAAAACAATGCACACGTGGGACCTACCTTTCTTTTCCTTCACATACCGCTGAGAAATACTAAGTGAATTGATTGTTGGTTCACTTCATTTCTTTTCAACAGGCCTTACTGACTTGTCCTCCATTATAAAACAGACACGCAGCTCCTTTGAGGAAGCTCACCACATGCTATTATCAGAGATGCCGAATCAAGAAGAGTCCAATACCGGTGGCACACATGCCGGCGAGAATGCAAGACATCATTTCCTTGGAGAGGATCATCTCGGCGGTGATGTACGTCTCTCTGGACCTGGCACTCCTTATCCTCGTCCGCCCAACAATGTGCGTCCTCAGCAGACTGACTCCGGTCGGGTCCTACCCCCTTCTGCTACCCAGACAATGAGCGACCGGGACATCAATCAACAGGTTCGAAGGACGGCTTCATCCTCTGAAGTACCTGAGGTTAGATCTACCGGGTCTAAACACCGAACTACCTCGATCCGATGGGCCAAAAACCTTCCAATTCCAGATCGGAGATTATCTCCTTCTTCCGTCAACAACCTCACCTCCAGCCCCAAGGCTCGACGAGCCGCTTTCCAATACAACGATAGCGACATCAACGACGAACCCAAATTCAGTACTCAGGACCACGCCAAGTACGTTGCCGGGCAGCGAGCCTACGTCGTCGACGCGAACTTCGAGGAGACGCAGAAGAAACGAGTAGACGAAACTGTCTCCGATCGCCAGGCTATCCAGAAAGACGAAGAAGACATGAACCCTGTAGCATCCATCAACCAGGCTCCGGCAGCCGAGTATATCCCACCACACAAGCGCAGTATCAAGCCCAAGCCCAAGATTGATATTGAGGTCCCAAGCCAAGAGCAACCCACCATGACTGGCTACTACGTTCAGTCCGATACGGAATCATCTGGCGGCTACACCAACTCTCGTGCCCCCATGTCCGGATCCACCAAGGAATCAACCCCCTGACCCCAATGGCTCTGAAAAAGCTTTCTGGGAGAGAGGGTGTGCCAGATAAACTCAAGAAGAGCCACCCATCTATGGATGTCAGCATGGATGATGAGGTTACGTCTAGCCACGACTACGGCTCCAGCCACCCCAGCAAGTCCTTCGATAAGACGATGGCTTCTGACCATCTTGAGCCGGTTCCCGCCTTCTTTCATGCCTGGCTCTATACACTGTCTGTGGATTGCGTTACCTCCTTCCTTGACGAGGTTGACAACCACTATAACCACGACGTTGACCCGACAAATGGGCAGCTCTTGGAGAAGATTGAGCAGCCAGAAACTATCGTGGACATTGAGGAGGAAACAAAAATGAAGCCTGCATTGCTTCACCGTCGCCGTGATTGGACAAGTAACCTGGTCATCCATCGCGAGATTACAATTCGCAGGAACCTGATGCGTCGCCAGCAAGAGGAGACAGAGCGCGAGCGCCGCAACCTGCTTACACAAGAGCGAGAGCCAAACGAAAGCAGAGACATGTCAAGTACGGTCAAAGTTGCCGTAGAATCTATCTCGATTGACAGGAAGCTCCTTGCCGACTGCGTCTTGCGTCCGGTCCAGCTCAGCGATGCGAAGGATTGCGCTGAGATCTACAACGCAGCCGTGGCCAACCATGACTACCAGGTGGTCGACACCAATCCAATCTCAGCTCAGCGGTTCGAATTCATTGTCACTGAGTGCCGGAGAGAGAAGCTGCCCTTCGTTGTCGCTGCTATGCAGAAGGTTGACCTGTCAGATCTCAAGAACTGGCCGTCTCCAGAGGCTTATCGGCAGTATATGAAATGGAAGAGATCACAGCCCGAAGAGAACGAAACGACCGAAAACAGCATTTACGGCTTCGCATTTCTCAAGCCGTATGAGAAAGGAATCGGTGGACTCGCCGGTACGGCGTCCCCTGCTGTGATGGCGACCGTCTTCGTCCACCCGGATCATCGACGTGGCGGCATCGGCAGTGCGCTTCTCCACCAGCTTCTTACGCAGACTTCGATCTTGTACTATGGCAATGTTGTCGAGTACAAGTGGGATGACCCTACAACTGGAGGAGATTCCTTCCGCACGCCAAACTTCCGCAATGTTCACCGTAAGCCTCGCAATACTTTTGACAACAACATCCCGAACTATGCAGCTGACACGCAATGACAGGTATTATCGTCCACACCATGGTCAAGAGCGAGGACAGCCAGGACCTCAAATGGATGGACAAGTTTATGACTTCATTCCAGTTTGAAAAGTCTGGCCGCCTCAACCAAGTCTACAGGGTAGGCACCCCACACGGGGTAGATTGGTACGACCAAATTGTTTGGCAGCACTGGGCGAACAAGATCGACAACGTCCGTACCTTGCACGCGGGCGACGAGTCCGAGTGCTCCTACGATTATCCCGGAAAATCACACTCCCCCAGGCACCGCCGAGTCCAGTCTCGCGTCGCGGGTGAAGAGCTTTGTTACAGTGCCAGTCACAACAGCGACGATGTCTTTGGTCACTGAGCCTTTTGCCCTACGATACAGGATTCCGATTCCAGATGTCCTGACACCTCGGAGTTCCTGAGAGCCCGGCTCCAGGTAGCCGTATATGAGGCGGCTTTCTCGGATTGGAACAGCGTTTTTGAGGTGAGTCCCTATTAGAAGGTGAGTTCAGAAACTATTTGCAGAGCTAACAGCTCCCAAGATGGTGATTTTTCCGGAAGCCGACGGCTCACCATATCGACACGAACGAACCCCTTTTTTACCTGCGCCCTCTTTTGATGCAGGATCCTCGTTCTGACAACGATGACACCCCCAGACATTCCCCTTCCCTCCCGTACCTTTTCTCACTCCCTTCCACCTCTTCACAACCTCTAATAGCATGTTAAAGAACCACCCTTCCCGTGTTCACATTAGCCAAAGAAACGACCTTCTTCAACAAAACATTTGGTGGACATGCGCAAGTCTAGCAAATAGTTTGGCGGAGCGAGCAAATTAGACTGTACGTAGCTTATAGGTGGATGGATTTCTGATCATGATGACGAGGTAGAGCTCGGGAAAACCGAGCGCAGTCACTGGTACCTTGGGACTAGATCGGTAGATATCTCAATGGTTGGTTTCACACAGCTGGACTATGCGATGACGAGTGATGTGACTGAAATCGATTGTGCCTCCCAACTCCGACAAATAGATAACCAACCCTACGAACCTACCGTCTACTTACATTCTGTCCCCTCACGAAGCCAAATCAAAGCGACGGCGAGCCTTGAGATCCAACCGCTTACCCGGGCATACCGACACTGGTGATGGAGTCGTGGGGCCATATAGTCAAGACGTCGCTGGGCGCGGCAGGGCCCCTCGCCAGCGTCATACGGCGAACCTCGTCCAGAGTCAGGGTCCGTGCCGCGTCGGGGATACCGGGCGACCCGGGAGCCGCGGGCCGCAGACGAGACGTCAGAGGCCGGGGTTGCGGCGGGGGGCTTGGTCTTCGTCCGTAGTGCTGCCGGCGTCCCGAGGGGGGCAGGGGCACGGGCTTGCGTTTGTTTTCGTAATACTCCTGAAAAGTCGGCCGCTCAACGATGTCGTCTTCTTCCTCCCACCCAAACTTCTCATGGCTAGTCGCAGGCCGGTTGGGGCGGCCAGATGAGACCGGGGCGGGGCGGTAAGGGAGTCCTGTTGACGGGTGATCCTGTATCACGGGTCTGTTATCCTGAGGTTGGGAGGAGGGGTTACTTACAGCCGCGTCTGGACGAAGGCGGCGCGAGGGTTCGCCCTTGACCAAGCCTGACGATGCGTGTTGAGGTTGGACCGCGAAGGGTGACACGTCGATCTGCGGGGGGTGGGGGCGGGCTGGTTCGGTGTTCGTGTAGACGCTGCTCGGTGCTGCTACATTGCGCTGTTGGGTGTAGGATTGGGCGGCAGGGGGAACTTGGGAACGCAAGGGGACCGGTTGGACCGTTTCGTTGTTCGCAAAGACACTGCTAGTGGCTATGTTACGGAAACGCTTGTTGGCTCGGGAGTCGTCTTGTAGCATTGACCGAGGCAGGGGATTGCAAGGCGGCTGCTGTTCCGGTTTAGTCGTGAAGGACGACATGATGGACTGCTGGCTTGTCGGTGTGCGAATGGCGCCGTATGAATCCGCATTCTTCCAAATGGCCTCTTGTTCGCTGCAGCCAACTTCCAGTTCTGGCTCAAACGTTCGATGTTGCAAGGCATCGGACTGAGCGTTAGAGCCGCCAAAGGCAGGGTGCACCGAGGCGCGGTCGAATGCATGCCCGTTGTCATTTTCAACAGCCAAGCGCTCATAGTAGCCTCCAACACCGTCCTCCCACAGCTGGTTGCAATCATCGACACCATATAACGGGTCCTCGCCCTTGGACACGAGGCTCTGTTGACTCGATGTGGACTGCTTCCCCGTAGCAGAATGCTGAGAGCCCTTGATTGATACCGTGTTGTTACTCTTGCCCGACATATTCGGAGTCCAGCGTTCCTTGCGTTGCCGCTTAGCATCGCGCCTCTTGTGACGAGCAGTTGTGATTTCTCTGCGTACAGTCCTGATCTTCTCGGCTAAGAACGAGCTTTTCTGAAAGACCGACTGTTGTGTTTCTTGTGGGAGATGATTAAGCCAGGCCTCCACGATCCTTTGGAGCACCGGTTTGACGGTCTCTGTCCGAGCAATTAGGTGAGCTCGGAGGTCACTGAGGAAGGAATGGCGAGATCCAATGGCAGACAATATGCAAGCCTCGCACTGGGATGCGACCCTTTCCGGCGTACTCGGCGGGTGACCGAAGACCATCTCGAAAGCCGATGGGTCCATCCACAAGGCTTGGATCGCATCCAAACGATGGAGAAACTCCTGAATGGATGTTGAGTATTGCAGGTTCCTGCCGCCTCTGTCACGACGTAATCGCTCAGTCTCTTTTGTAATCTCTTTCGCAATCAACGCGAAGAGCGCATGTATTACCCACGGGTTGAGACCTCGGTGGCTTGGACAGAGCACAGCCGCCTGTGGTGTAAATGACAATTGGCGTTTCTCGCTGATACTCATCAGGCCACGCTTGACCATGTTTACAACATTGAGATTGTCGACTCTTGGGCGGAGACAGTCGCTAGGAAGCTCGCATATACCCTCCTCTTGGCTCTTGAGCCAGTGCCCGGGAGGGTGGGCAGTACTGTACCGTTGTGACAGATAGAGGTATCGGGTCAGCTTCTTGACGGTCACGTCCGACAAATCGTGAATGCATTGGAATTGGCTTGGCTTCTCAGCATGTGCTGGTACAGCTTTAAGGGGCCTGGTCCACATAATGGATACGCTCTGTTTCCGACGGGTTCTTGAAATACACCAAGTATCGTTGATGTCGTGACTAGGCTGCTCATCCTGACTAAAGGTTGATTATAGAGAAAGCAGACTAGTTTTATATAGTCGAGGGGCAAGAGAATCATGTTGTCAGCGAAGAGGCTGGAACTTGATAGTTGTCTCCATCTCAGAGACTGGCTCAACCGAGAACAATAAACCTGACCTTGCTCTCAAAGGCACAATGCAATCTGGCCATGCCGTTCAAGGCTGGAAAGAACATCGCGATGACTTTGTGAAAGGTTAATTGCTTTGTCGAATTTCCTTGCCAGTTTCGCCCCAAAATAGAAATGCCTGGATGCGTCATTCGTGATCTGTAGCTTGAAGCAGGCCAGGTATTTCCACCGACGTGACACCTCTGGCTTAATCTCCGTCGCGGCCTTTTCATTCCATCCACCTTGAGGAACAACGTAATGGCCACCAGTGCAGGGGACTATGTGGGGATTCTGTTTTGTCCTGAGTCGTGGTAGCGCACACGGAACGAACCAGGCTAGTTGGGCTGAACCTAGAGACGGACAATGTAAGTAACACATGCATGGAACACAACGGTGATCCCATGTATAACTTACACACCAGCATCTTTTTTTCAAGTCGGGAAACCAAAAGTACGACGTGATTTGTTGGCTTACCCAAAGTCAGTTGGCCTTTCTTCCAGTCGAAGTCATCGATCAGAGGTCACTCCAGGTAGAGCTGAAGGGATTGTTGGCGAGCCGGGTAAGCTCGCGGTGGTCAGAAGGAATCGCTCTATTGGGCCTGGCGATAAGGCGCGACGCCTCTCTCATTGAGACGTCTTTTACTAGCAACGCTGTCCCAGGCGTGGCTCGATCGTCCGTGCTACTTCTCCGTGTTGCTGCAAGCTCGACCTTGAACCATCCCGTGAAACACAACCCAAAGGAAAAAAACCCACGTCCCACCAAGCCTGCTATTAAGAGGCAGAACGAAGCTAGCCTCTGACGAGGCGCATGCCAATAAAATCAAGTTGCACGAGCGCCATGCCCATCCGTACCCTTCCTCCCATCGTACAGACCTGATATCAAACGGCCCAACTCCCATACCATGCTCGACTTTGTTCGTTATAGACGTAAGGGTTTGAAAACAGCAAAGTTGGTTGAATCATGCGTGGTACCGGTGGTCCTGCTCCTGTCTCATTCGTTCCAAGCGAATCTTGGCGGCTTCGGTACCATCGTCCGGTGTCGCGGGTTCCTTGAACCAAGGATGCTGCAATGCCTGCTTCGCCGTAATGCGGTGCTGGGGATCGTAGACGAAGATCTTCCGGAGAAGGTCCAAAAAGTTTTTGAAGTAGGTCGTGTTCGAGGGGATAATGTCCTGAATGGAGTTAGTGAGATGGTGTTGTTGGGCCTCTTGCGAAGATGCTAACCTCCAGGCGTCTCATTGCCTTGACGAATCTCTTAGAAGCCCGCGTCGTCTCCGGGGTGGGGTAATCGAGCTTCAATCGCTTGAAGTACCTGGAGAAGACAATTAGGATCGGATATACTCATTTTACAGTAGGCCACTTACTTGGAGGCCGGGTTTCCGCCACTTCTGGTGGCCATTTTGTTGACAGCTTGCACAAGGCTGGAGTCTATCCTCTGACCAACGACCATCTCCATCATCGCAAGGTGTTCGAGGTTGTCGTGAGTTTGAAACAGGGCGTCACCGGTGAAGAACTCGACTAGGATACATCCGATGCTCCAAATGTCGCAAGGAAAGGACCATCCGAGGCCTAGAATGATCTCTGGTGCCCGGTAATGGCGAGTAGACACAACTGAGCTATGGTATTCGTCCTGAAAGGTGGCGGAGCCGAAGTCGATGAGTCGAATCTCGGTATCCAGGAGAACTCTGCGTTGGTTGGCCTGGCGGTTCACGGTCGTGGAGGAAGAGGGTATCTTCCGGTTGTAGGTAAATGTTTGGTATGCACTATCGCACAGAAGAATGTTTTCGGGCTTCAGGTCAGTGTGAATGAGATTCAGATCGTGGAGAACTAGAGACTGTCAGCATAATCCTGTGTGCATTTCGATAGTCTTCGACCTACAGGCGACACTGGTAAAGAGCTGGCGGGCAAAACTTTGAATCTGACTGTTGGGGAAAGGGACAAAGCTGTTGCTTTTCAAGAAATCAAAGACGCTCTGTCCAAGGAGGTCCATGACAATGCAGATATGGCCGCGGTAGTCGAAACAGTCTCGCAGGTGAATACAACGATTGCGGTTCTCATTGTCATTCTCCTTCAACGTGGCCAGGACTCGAAGCTCGATTCGGGATGCATCTCGGTACTTTTGCACCGATCGGATGATCTTGATTGCAACCGACTTGTTCCTCCGTCGGTCTCGAGCCTGGACGACCTTGCCGAAAGTTCCCTGTCCAAGAAGTTTGACCATTTGGTCTGGGAAAATGTTAGCAATCTGAATCGACAAGTCTTATTTGTGGGGTTAATCCTTACACTCTTTTGTCAGGTCGGCATCGGGGACAACGATGTAATGCCCGTCGTCATCGTCGACTTTGGCATTCTTGTTGTAGCCATTCTGTGATAACGTTAGTAGAAGAACAAACACAAGCAGCGATGGGTCAAAGCGTACATCCTGGACCACTCGAACGTGCACGTCGGAGGCTTTCTTGGGAGGGTAGGGAGGAGGCTTATAGCTGACGAATGGATCGCCAAGGCCTTCGACCTCTCTCTTCTTCGCCTCTTGGGCGATCTGCTGACGAGTTCTCTTCCTTTTTTGACCGGGCTGCACGTCGTAATATTCCTGCCCGTTCGATGAAAGGGACGTAGCAGCGGTAGTATGGATGGCCGAGTTCGTTGTTCGGTCGGTGGAGATAGTAGATCCGCTAGGGGTGCCGTTGTGATGGGGAGTGGTTGTGTGAGAGCCGGCGTACTTGCTGTTATGGTAGACGGGGTCGTACGGCTGAGGCTCGTCATCTCTTTTCCGCTTCTTGGGAACAGGACGGCTGCTGGTACCATTGGTGGTGATGCCGTTGCCGTTGGACACGATCCTTACGCCATTGCCGACGGCCTTGCCCTGCTCTGGTTCGGGGGTGTCATCGATGACGATGATTTCCTTGGGGAGGCCATTTTTGTAAAACTTGTTCCAGTCGGGCTCCTTTGAGCGCCTTCGCTTACGACCCGACTGGGAAGACTGGGAGTGTGAGTTGGTAGGCATTGTGGTGATGGAGTAGTTCGCGTCGGGACTCGAAGCGTCGTGGATGGTCCTCGAAGTGGCTGACGAGGCTGAAGGGCCTAGGCCATTTGGACCGGCGTGACTGGCAGTGGAAGTGGTAGAGTAAGCGATGCTCGACGAGTTGGCGTACGAGGGAGGCAATCTCGTCGTCGCCGTCGAGGACGAAGTGGAGAGGATTGGGTTCGCGGGCTGACGGTACGAGGAGCCTGTAGCAGTAGAGGCCTGGTACGGCTGGTGGTTGTAGGGATAATGGGGATGATGATAATGCGAGTGAGGAGGCAATGTCGCAGTAGCCGTTGTCGGGGTCGACATGATTCTCCTCGTGCGTTGTCGGAGTCGTGAGAAACGCCTTTGGTGCAGAGGGCGAAAGCGAGGACGGGGAAAGGAAAGTTCGAAGGTTGAGAGAAGGCGGTAGGAAGGTGGTTTCGCAGGCCTTCCTCTTTGCCGGCGTGCTGGTGCTGGCTGGGTACGTGCCCGCTGGTCCTTTGGGGGGCTTTCAAGTGCAACCAGTGGGTGCGGATTTGGACCAATGTGTTTTTGCTTTGGGGGGGAGTTGAGAGCGGATGGGAGGTGGACTTCAGTGGTCGCTCAGTGAAGAATGTGCCCTGTGTGTGTGTGTGTGTGTGCGGTGTGGACTGGGCTGCAGATTGATGGGTAAAAAACAGCGTGGTGCGGTCTTTGGCTTTGCGTCTCGTCGCTGCGGTACCGCTAACCTAGGAAAAGGACTCAAGGGTCTTCGGCCTGGGTTTCCCGAGTCGTGCACAAACTGTGGCTGGTACGGTGCAAAGGGTACAGTGGGTTTGGCGGTAGTGGTGGTGGACCGGGGGAGAGTGGGAGTCGAGGATTTGATTGATGACGGTGCGTCTCTCGTGGGAAAGCGTCTTACTACATCGAAGGTACCGGCAAGCTTTCGTGTATGTTTTGTTTCTCGAACGAGAGAAGAGTGGCAGGAATGGAGGAGGAAAGGGAAAGAGAGATACGGAGAGACGAGCTGGGAGCTGAGAGAAAAAAAGTAGCCGCAGTCAGCCAGTGGTGGACGATGTGGTAGGAAAAGTGACGAGGTTCCGAGGGATGGCCGGCGGCTTCACTGGTCCTCGTCCGTGGGGAGGAGTTGGGTTGGTGAGGTGAGAAAGTGGAGGGCCCTGACGGGAGGAGGCGACCAATTGTGGAGTTAATGGGCGACCTGAAGGACGAGCACGAGAGGACGAGGGTGTTGGCGAGGTGGACGCGGGCGAAGAGGGTGTGTGTGTGTGTGTGTGCGTGCGTGCGTGTGGAAGCGGAAATGGAAGTTAAGAAAGTGGATGAGGGGAGGTACTTTGCTTGTCCACCTATCCAGCACCCAGCACGAAGTACCTTCCAGGCTGGCCGAGTACGTTCCTGTACCCTGTCCGACGACTGGTTTGCCGTTTCCTTTTTTCGGCTTCCCAGCTGCCAGGCTGTTTAATCACGTCGGATAGATCACCAAAGCAGACAAGAAGGCCGGCAGCACAGGCAAGAAGGAGATTTGTTGTTGGATTGGATGCTCCAGTTTAGCCCACTTGCGGCCAAGACAGAAGGCGGACAGGCTTAGGTACAGTACTGGGAGAGAAACACGAAAAACAAGGGGCCAAAATGAAGGGCATAAGTGGTATTGATGTGCACTCGTGGTATTGAGAAAAACAAAGCCCCCGTTGCTGGTTCGCAGAGGTGCAATGTGGTGGTGCCGTGGGCAGAGCGCCTGAGGTAGCTTACCTTGGTTGTTCGCCTAAGGCGTTATGGGAGGAAAGCGAGCTGGCGAGTCGAGGCGAAGCGCAAGCAGTCCAAAGGTACTTTCCAGGCTACGCGCTCACTGCGCACGCCTCGCCCACTGGCCCAGATGCTGACATGTACCTCGACTAAGGCAGGTACTTGCCAACGGCTGCAATCTGACATGATGACGCAGGTATTCCAGATATCTGCCACCCGTCCTTCTTCTCCCCCCAGAACGACACAATGTTACCATCGCAGCGGAAGTGATATCGTGCAGCACCCGCACGATTCTCTCTCTCTCTCTCTTTCTCTCTCTCTCTGTATGCAGCGCTGGAGCCACTCTGTGCTCCGGCAGGCACACGATCCGACAATGCTGCGGACTGAGCCGGTCTTCAGAAACACCACAGAGTAAGGCGATGAGACTGGAGCGTCTGGATCAAGTAGTGCACGCAACGCAGGAGCGAGGTCGCCCGTGTTCCAGCTCGCGAACTTGTCCCTCTCACTCGCGAGTTGCAAGCTGCATCGGCAGCGTTTTGAGCGTCCGCCGAAGCAACCTGAATGGTGGCTCCCGTGCGCTTGTTAGCCTTTTGTCTCGCCTAGGTAGACTATGTACTTGTGCTTCCGGCAGGAACAAGGGGCCTGTCACTGATGTGCGGGTGCAGAAGCGGGTTACAGGGCACTTCATTCAGACTTGACGCACACCATATTTCGGTTCCATGTGTCTGGCTGCCTGTCCTGTAGCGGAAAGCCGTCGGGTTATTTGTTCTTTGCATTGCATGGCTTGCGGTTTCATTTCACCTTGCCGTTTGAATCATTCAAGAGAGAAACCAACAACTACAAATTGCGAAATGGAGCACGGCAAAATATCACCCACAGCTGACGAGGCGGAAAGGAAGGAACGACACCGTGGGCCGAGAACAGCAGGTGCAATCCAGTGACCAGTGACGGAAGGAGCAAAACACCGAAGACCAACACGGGGCTGGACTGTGAGGGAGAAAGAGAGAGAGAGAGAGAGAGAGAGAGAGAGAGAGAGAGAGAGAGGAGAAGCAAGCGCCGCCTCACTGGAACTGTCCAGCTGGCCGTATTCTAGCGCCAGTAACGGACGTGGTACCTCGCGCCGGACAGTTTCTCGTTGTTTGCAGACTGTGAATCTTCACGTCTTCGACGCCGAAGTCTACAGTGTTGATACCCCCCGTCTTGCACAACAGTAATTCCGCCAACCGTCCATCGCCCTCTGATGGCGGCGACCCCCCCCCCAGCCGTCCTCCCCCTCCCTCCTCCCAAGCCGTCTTTGCATACCGTTCGTTCCCCTCTCGAATCGGACGTCACCCGCTGCCTCTTGCCTCTTCCAGCCCAAAAACCACACCACCGAACCTTTGACCACATTTCTCAACGAGGCCTTGGGGGCGCTCTGCATCACAATGGCATCTGAGTCGAACGCCGACGAGTTTCTTTCCGTCTTCAAGCCCCAAAATGTCTCTGACCAATATTACATTTACCACAGGCGATTCTCCTGTCCAGGTCAAGTCCCGGCATCGTGGGCTCCACGGCCCTATGTCCTATGACTTCGCCCAAGCAAGGCCGGTCTTGTCACGCTCACGAAATCAAGACACGCCAACCCAATGGCCGTGGACGGCTTCACGCTCCTCTCACCCACTTTACGCACTTGGCGGGTCGCTTTGAAGTCCGCCCTCCACCCCAACTTTGCTGCCCGCCAATCTGCCTCCATGGTGATTCCCCAAAACAGGCTTAGCGTCCCGCCGGCCTGGGCAAGTCGCCTCTTCCGAAGTCACGTCGTTGCACAGCACCTAGCCGTCACTCTGTTCACTCTAATGTTGCTCGGTGCACAGCACTCTACAGCAGTTGCACTCGGCCGCTGCCCGCCGCCACCACCACCACCCGCTATTGGTGTGAACAGTCTCACGCCTGAGCTACCACGGTACGCTGCACTGGGCTGGCCTGGTCCGGTCCGGTCTGAACGTCGAGACACAGCGACTGAACTCCAATTGCGATAACAACGGGGTGGCCAAAGGATGTTGGATGACTGGAGCCAGTCCCGCCAACCGGCCCCGGTGCTACATACATACCTGTACAGCACTGCTCCACGACACCACCCAGGGCAGGGCTGCCCGCAGACGGAGAGAAACAGACAACCAGACATGACGGGACTTGCTGCTGACAAAAGAGCCCTGCCCATCTTACCTTATTTCGCGGAAACACGACCCAAGCACTAGATTGATTTACCCGAAATACCACGCCCTTGAAGGCTGTAATACGTCAGAAGGTTCGAGGAAATGCAGACGCGATGGGCCCTGAGATGCAACCCAACACCGGTTTTAGACTTCGCCTTTTCGCCTCAACCGAATATTCTGGTTGCCCCTTCTGTCGCTGGCTGACTTCGTTATGCCTGCCACGCCGGCCTAGTTACTTCATTGCCGTAAGGCGCTTGAGGCTTCCTCAACCCGGCGGCAACTATTCAGTCCAAACACAGCCCAAAGCATGATCCACACATTCCACGCAGTCGGCCAAGATCTGACCGCACTGGACGAAAGGCTAAAGGACCACTGCTCCCCATGTCAAGATACCCAGTCAAGCGAGAGTGAGCCACGGATATGGAAGCGTTTGACCACTCACTTAGACAGCCAGCACTGGCCGTCTTTGGGCTTGACATCTCTATGGATACCGCTGCTTTTGATCTGATCCCATCGACTCCTCCACAGTAACCTAACAGTGCACACACACCGCAATGGCAGACGAATCTCTAAGCACTTCCTAGCGTCTAGATCCTTGCCTCCCGTCCAAAGATGTGCCAATGGAGCCCTTGGGCAGCGGCTCCCCGTGTCGCCATCATCCAACCACAGACGCAGGCCACACACAACCTGGTGGGGAGGAGGCAAAGGGTCGCAGCCATCACAACGCTTGTGAAAGGGAAAAAGGCACCCGGCAATCCTTTCAATCAGAAGAGAAGGCCACCGGAGAAGAGTAGCCCGTCTCCACGGCTTTACGCACTCTTACAACACACTACAGGGTAGGGTAGGGCAGGCATACGCACCCTCGTCGTGCTGTCATCAACCCCTCCCTCACGTCCCTTCCCCAACCAACATCATGCCTGCATTCGCGCGACTCCACCGTCTACGAATTAATCTTTTCACGCCGCCAAAGTTCCACTAGAACGCGTATCTTTCATGAGGGCTCGTTCGCTGGGATGGGCGATCGTTGCCACGGCACGATTCTTCTCGTCAGGGCTTGGATAATGGTCCTTTCCATAGAGGGTCTCTGAAGTAAGAGACGTATGCGAAGGAACCGACCCACTGTCGCGGCGACGCTCGCCCGCTCACGGCGTGCCCCTCTGGTGCGTGGCGTAAAGTGCCTGCATGACTCCAGGACATCGAATCCGTGGCAACCGAGACTAGACAGGCATAGGCCCAGATGCCGTGCCTCGTCGCGAAACATTGGCGATGAGAGGCCCAGAACAATCGACCTATATCTCCCCCTCATTAACGATAATCAATGGCGAGATTGTGTTGCTTGGCCGCCATTGTCAATATTGGCGTCGCTAGACAACCGCTCAACTTGACCCCAACGCTCGCATACGTCTGCACATGAAGGAGACTTCGCGTTGTGATTATGGCAAGCACCTGCCCCGAGCGGAGCGGTGGCTCGCAACATGCTCTCGCTGTTCCCGTCCCTTGCTTGATCCCGGCCTGAGCATGCTGGTGCCATCTGCCACCCAAACCAGATGGGCTGCGAAGTTTCAGTTCCTCGAGCGAAAACACACCGGCAGACCATTCAGCTTTCTTTTCCGTTTCCCAGAGCCTTTGATCCGTGCTTTTGTCACAGACTCGCCCGCCGCTGCCTTTTGCATGCACGTAATCGGAGGCTAACATGTCACCGACCATCCACTGCTCCCAACGTCTAAAAAGAGGTAGGTCACAAAGGATGCAAACCATGGTCAACTAACAAATGGGGGCAGCTATGGTTTCGAGAGGGAACCTGTCTCATGTTGCCACCATCACCAATCCATCAGAGACAAGTAACTATTTAGTCGACATTGCAGACAATACAAAGTCATCCAGGGGGGAAAGGTAAAATGTCAGAGGGCAGTCGAAGAGACTCGGCGGTACAGACAGTGCCTTTCACGCTAGACTCATGACTAGCCGGTAATGCTCATGTGCTGACTATGCAGTAGGGGCACTCAATGCATACTGCCCGTCTCTGTCGCAGCATTGCAGCTAGCTGTGGTGGAAGTTTAATAGTCTTTCTGAAATAGACAGTCGAACCGAACGGCTCGTCTTTGGGGAACCAAATTAGTACCATGAAAGAGGCGCCTCAGAAGATGATCGTAGCGGTGGGCAGTGACAGGCCAGCCTCAATAACCCGCAGCCACGCTAATCCGTCTGGTGGCGATTTCTAGCCAAGTTCGGTATCCCGCCCAAGGCTCATCGAAATGGTGTCGCATAATGTGTACCGTCTACCACATGATTTCATTGCGAAACCCTTCAAGCCGCTACTCCCGCGATAGGGATTGACCGAAATCGCCGTGGATGTAACGACAGATTGGACTGTCTCCCACGATCTCGGACGGGCTGGTGGTGTCAGCAACCGCGGCGATGGAGCTCTAACGTCATCAATACCCAAAGAGATCTGGCTGAGCCATCTCTTCTTGTTCGCTTCTTGTGCACTAAAAATGCCTTCACCGTCACCGTATTACATGGCTTCGCCGCGGTGGACGCCTGGCGCCATTCACGGTGCTTCGCCCCGTTGTACTCCAGCCCCAGCCCTGCTTACTTATACCTCGCCTCACATACCGAGCAAATTACACAAAAGCTTATGACGCACGAAAGTCCGCGTGAAAACTGGGAATGATTGGTCTCATTAGCAAGCAGAGGAGTCTTTATTTATGATGTTCGGTGGCTCTCTGAACCAGCTGTTTGCAGAGGAGTACGTAGGCCTCGAGAATTCCTTGGAAAGGCATTGAGACCGACGAACTTCTGCAGACTGCGCACCCAGCCAGCCAACTCGAACAGGGTTTGTCTACTTCATTCACGGTTCGAAGGTCGGACGGGATCGGCGGAGCTCCCGTGCCAAGGGCTACTTGGGGGCGTGAAACACTTTCAACGTCCGATCTGATACCGGATTCCCAAACTCATATTACGCTCGTCCGGGGACGGAGATCCCCCTGACGGATGCGATTGCGACAAGGCATGACAGGGGAGGGCGCATCATAGATGCCTCGGCAAGACCTGCCTGTGTCCCACGACACGTTCGTCGCACCCGAACGCCGTTGATGTTTTGACGTCCGCTTGATCCTGATATTCACGATTGGCCCACCAGCCTGCATAGAAGTCATCTATATACCCCTGTTGAACACCACGAGACCGCCCTCCCCACCGCGGCCGTGGAACTCGGGCTCCAACTTATCGGCACTAATGCTCTGCCGTTGGGGGAATACGGCCAGGGCCAGCGGGAGAACCGCGTAGCTCGTCACCAGGATGAGACCGAGGTTGATGGGCACCACGAGGCGCGGGCGCTGCTTCAGCCACTGCTGCTGTTGCAGACGGACCAGTACCAATGGCGGGATGACCATGATGGGTGTTGAGTTGAAGACGCGGCTGGCAGCAGTCTCGCCAACGGCGATCTGAGCAGCCTTCTTGCTGCGGCCAAGAGACTGGGGCTGGCCGGCGCCCTCGCCCTCCTCCTTCTCCTTTCGCGCGCGCTCGGCGTCGGACAGGACAGGGAAGACGTCAATGCCGGTGCGCATCTCCTCGCCGCGCATGAGCAGGACGTTGAGGAAACCAGCCGAGGCGACAGCGGCGAAGGGCACAAGGCGGGTGAGGGTCGTACGGGTGGCCGGGGTGAGGTTACGCAAGCGGGGGACGAGCTTGTTCAGGCCGACGGCGACACCGCATGAGACGGAGACGGCCATGGCGTAGGACTCGCCCAACTTGCGCCAGGTGAGAGGGGAAGATTTGTTTGCGTTCGCGGAGTTGATGGCGACGTTGAGGGACTGGTTGACGACTTGCCAAGCGATCGTGCCTGCTGTCTGTGCGATTGTGCATTAGGAGTCTAGTCGCGGGAGCTGGTGAGAGCAAAAGTGTGTAGAGAAAGACTCACTCCAAGACCGGGCTGGAGCATACCAGCCGTGACGACCAAGTTGGTCAGCACAAAGGCGGACATGCGGAAGGGGAGAAGGACGGGTTCGCCGGTATCTGGGTGGTTGCGCGAGCGCGCATGTTAGTTGGGAGAGCAACCAGCCACGGGCGCACCGGCGCAAGGGGGATATGTTGTAGCTTTCATGAGCTCGTCGCACCTGGGTGGAGGGTCGAGTCGACGACCTTCTTGGCCTTCCAAAGGTCGGGGGTCATGGTCGGGATCTTTCCCAGCTTATAGTCGGTGAGGAGGGACTTTGCTTGCTCGAGGCCGGTACTGCCGACGAGGAGAGTGCTGTGGGAGGGCGGAGCGAAGTGTCAGTCATTGTCTTTGCTTGAGGAGATTTTCGGGATAGAGGTTTTCTGGTGTTGAGAAGCACACGAGCACTCTGGTCACAGATATATGTTCGCCGTCGCGAGACAACTCTCCAGTACGCGCGCGCGCGCAAGAAGATTTAGAATTGCTTGACGTACCTCGGATCCGTGAGGCCCATGTTGTGTCGTACGCGACCCCAGTACGTGTTGAGGTCATGCTGCGAAGCGGGCAGCTCGCGGCTGCCGGGGAGGGAAGCTGACATCGTGAGGTGTCGCTCGGGAGGTTGTGAGGGTTTCGAAGAAAGATCGCAGGCGGCCGATGCAGGCTCAGTTAGGGGTCCTCGCGGAGGCAAAGAGGTAGAATAAGCAACAATTGAGGAAGGGAAAAAGGTAAGAGACCCGGGAGCGGTGCCGACGCTGGTGGTACGACCTTTCTCCTCTCGAATATTTGCTGGCCGGCGGTGAGGTCTCGTGGGAGTCAACACTCAAAAAGCGTCTGCGTAGGACGGATTGAAAAGATGGGTATCATCGGGTGAGCTCCCGTCCCGAGATCGGTGGGGAGCGGCACAATTGAGTGCAGGACTTGACAGCCGGGGTTGGGTTATCTGCATGCTGAGATTGGTTGATTCCGCTTGGACCCTGAAGCTTGGCAGCTGGTGACGGGTGGTGAGGGCTTGGTATCTGGCGGGAGATTGGCGCGGTCGGTGACGGTGCGGCGGGCTTAGCTGAGGTGGCTCTTGGGCGCGTGTACAGGTAGTGGTGCGCTTTGAAGCGCAGAACGGAGGTGATTGAACGAGATGCAGCTTCTAACAAAAGTCGGGAATGGAATATAGAGGGGAAGATTTAACAACGGATGTAAGAAGAAAAAAGAAAAAACCTAGAAAAGCCAGAACGCAACCTGGTCTACATGAATTCGCGGCGTTGTCAGAAAGGGCAAAAGGTAACGCGACCTACCTAGGGATCGAACCTAGAATCTTCAGAGTATGACTATGGAGCCGAAATCTGACGCGATGCCATTTCGCCAGCAGGCCTTCGTTGTTATACCGTCCTGATAAAATCTTACATATGTAGCTGAAACTAAAGTGGAGTCCTTGAAAGGAGGGGCAGTTGGGTGAGGACTGCGGGGAAAGCACGGAGCGCCGTCCCGTGTTCGGCCTAGGCCGGGCGGAAGGCCTGCCGATGCAGGCCGCGGGTCAATATATGCGGAAGTCTTCTGTTCATGTGGCCGTGGAAGAGATCGGGAGACTTTTATCTTGAGTTATTTAACAGTTTACCACCGTCATAGTGCTGAGAAGCAAGGTGCATGCTCATGGCGTTGGTTCCCATCAACGTACTGCGCCTTCGACCTGTGTCAGGGGATTCCAGGGCGACAAATCCTGGCAATGTGTATAGCATGAGGAACATTCGTTGCTTTTTGGGAAGAGGCGAATAGTCCAGGGCGAAGAGCCATTCCCGTGTCATGGTTGAAGTCGTCTTCTCCCGGGTTCGGGACAAGACCATTTGGCACGGCGACAAACCAGCGATTGTGCATCTTGTTGGGTCCTTGGCAGGGTCTTGATCATGATACAATTTTGAGGAACGCGATCTTACGAACTGTATCCAGCTATAGGTCGGAATTGCCGTTCCCTCTGAGGCCTTTCGATGTTTAGGCTCGAGAGACGGTGAAACTGGAACCTGTTACGTCCCCTAGGGCATGTGGGGAAGGGGGGAAGACGGCGTGAGAAGGGGAGTCAAAACTGGCTTTGAAGGCGGGAGCCCCACTCTCTTGATGAAAGTGTCAGACGTCGTTGGGCCCTTCACGGAGATGGTGGCCAAGCAAGACTGGCAGCGTTGCGAGACGTTAGGTATGAGCTCATGCCAGAGCCACTTTCACTGACACTCGTGGTCGCCATCGTCGCCTTCCTTGAGACCCATCATCGACGACGCTTGCAGATAGCCCTCAACCCGCCCGGGAAAAAAGTTCTTTAGAATAAGCAACAAATAAATACCCTAGTTCAACGACTATCTTTGGAACAAGATAAGGCTTTAATAAGAAGCGTGCTGAGCAACTTGACGGGCGCGAGCGGCGAACGCTCCGTCAGGGGAATCCACCGTGAGTGGAACCTTTGCCGCAAGCTCTCCATCATGAATACCTTTGAAGATGGGCGTGAGGTCGCTTCCGAGGAGCTTGGTATCAAACTTGAACGCCTCTTATGCAGCGTACCTTTCCAAAGCCGTACTGAAGTAACAGGTGTCAATCACGGGAGGGTCGCTAATGTTCGCCAAGGGAACACCCATCAAGCCGCGCGAGTTATCGATCAGAACAACGGGAAGCACGAGTATCTGCTCATGCATGTTCTGGCCGACCTCGGACTGGTCTAGCTTGACCTCAACACCAAGTTTCATCAAAACATCCGCATGCCTGACCCCAGAAAGCATTAGGAGTTGCCGAGTACGGCATAGCCAGCCGCTGCTATTGAGACTCTTTTCGACGATGATGCTCTCTACCATAGTGGCGTTGGTGAGGAAAATCACACCATCGAGAGGAAACGCCTCAGACAAGAGCTGTCTGCGATCTTCGATATGGTTCTCCAGGAAGCCGCCGTGGCCGATGGGGCTACCAGCATTCACATTGAGTTCGGGCAGCGTCTTAATACTATGACCACGTAGGTCCTAGCCAGACTCCACGTATAGGAAGATGCCAATTCATGGGCGTGACGCTTTGAATGTTCATCGAGCTGCGGAGTCCATGTCGATAAGGGTTGATGTTTGCGTCAAATAACTTCTCCATCTGTAACATGTAGGGATACTGGTCCTCGTGGCTCTATCTGGCATCACCAACCTCCTCGACCCAGAGGACGTAGTCGACGGCATGCTCGCGGACCTGGCGGCTTGAGTCGACAGTCAGTAACGAAATGACCTGAAGACAAGCTTACCCTCATTGATTGTAGTCCAACCACCAATGACCTTGCCAGCTAGCAATCCGATCAATTGGCCATTCAGATGGGCCTGCAAGGCGGATGTGCAGTCCTAGTGCAGGTTGCTTCCGGCGCCAGTATTGGTGTTGGAATAGACGATAGAGTCCAGGCTATTGACGTTGGCTCAACCTCCACCAAACGAATCCTCAGAGTAACATCCTTGTGAAGAAGACGGTTGGAGATGACGGAGCAGGCAAGACCACCGCCAACGAAGACGAAGTCCCATAGTGGCAATTTCAAACCCAGTACCGGAAGAGTGACTTATTGCATATCAAATTGAATGGTAGATGGATGCTCAAGAAAATGGAAGATGGGATCTCTTACATAGGGTGAATCGGACCTTGATAAACTGGTAGTACTGCTACCTAGTATCCTTTTTCATTCCTCCGAGTGTCGAGTAGAGATGTGTATCCGGCTTTCAAAAGAGCTGCAAGTCACTATTATACGCTTTAACATGTCCGAGAAACACCGCCTCGCAGACGATAAGCAAGCCTCGCTTGTTGGTCTGTAAAGGACCTTGTCTTTTATCGTCCTATGCCGCTCGATAGTTTCTTTTCGAGAGAGGACTATACGGCTGCAACGCGTGCCAAAACATAAAGAACGATCGAAACCGAATTTTTGCTTCTAAATGACCTGGATAGAGTGTCTTTGTTGACCTTGGTGCTGCTGGTACTCAAGGAGAGTTATTCTCACTGCATGATTAGTTTCTAAGACCTTCCTGGCAATGTGGTTACTTCGTCCCAATTTCGAACGTCACTTGGCCACTATCACCGATGAGCTTCAAATAAGCTCGATGCTCGTAGCGAGGCCTTCAATTAGAAGTCAGACAGCGAAGAGCATCTTGCTTGGGAATTAAGAGACATGAAGGGGGTTAGAGATAGGGCTAGCTAAAACACCGTAGGTACAACTACCCAAGTGAATGTGAAACAGGATTTGGACGTCAGTGTCGTCGAAGATGAGGGCTTGCGCGGTGTATGGAACGAGAACATCTTGGTAGTACGGACTACAACAGTGACTTGCTGAGGTGATGTACACCTTTTGGGGTCAGCATCTCTTTCTGGTTCTACACGCTGAATTACACTATTATCTTCCGTGAATAATAGGCGATATGCCTGTGTTTGACACTGGCAATGATCAGTGATGCTGTAACGTCTTGCAAGCCTGCAGACTTGCAGACTCGCATACGGGTCCCATCAGTCACTATTGGCCCACTGCTTAGAAGCATCCTTTTAGTTCCGTGCCGTCGACTGGACCACCACCTCAGACTTCACCCAGATGTTCTGAAGACCGCCCTTGCCATCCTCACTGGAATATCCGTCGGTATCCGTGTTACGCACCTGACCGTGGCGGTCGTCAGGGCCCAAGATCGAATCGACGCTGTTGTCGTCGCCATACACCCTTCCCATGGACCTATTGGGATCTCCCTTGACGCCCTCCCCACTTCGTCCGCTAGCGCTGGTCAAATTCATATCGGGCGTCTTCATCCCGACTCTGACCGAATAATCAGTGCCTCCTATAGTTTTCAGACCGAAACCGCCATTGGAGTCGGCCAGGTCCTTCGTGTACGCGCCAGGGTTGCTACCCCCGCGTGAAGAAAATTTGTTGAACCAGCCCTTGAAAAGGGGGCGGCAGACGGGGACGCCGATGCAAACCATGGTGACCGCTAATTCACACGCGTGCCAAACTATAAGTTGGACCGTATCCTCTGGTTAAAGAGTTGATCATGTCAGTAAACCTTGGTTTCCAAGCGCTTCCGGGACGGTGATTGCGGCATAAGCATCGACGGTATAGTAGGTTGCTTACTGGTAAAGTTTACGCTGGCGAGATTGTGGAGCTCCAATGCTCTCTTGATACCACATGCACCGGCACTGGGAGAAAAGTCAACTTGTTGTCAATGAAGCAGAACAGTGAAAGAAACACTTACATCACACCCAAGCTCATACTGACGTTGATGAGTAGCTTCTCACGCCTCGGCATCTGTACATTCCACAGCACTGCCCATGGTGTGACAGCGTACCAGAAGTCGACCACAACACTCCATGCTCCAGCAGCTGTCGAGATAGGACCGGGGTCGATGTTACAAGCCCCGCCAGGGATGAACCTGTTCCAGAGAAATTCTATCGGTGTGCACGAGAACCAGAAGACCAAGAGTGAGACGACGGCGAAGAGGAAGAGAATGACGACTGGTCCAAGGACGACAATCCGATGTATGCGTGTATTTACAAGTCGGAGCAGAAACAGTGCCAAGGAAGCTTTAGATACGACGATAGCAAAGACGAGTATGGTCGAGCCGATGGCCTCGTACAAGATGGCTTTCGGTACGTCTGGCGTGTCGAGTGTCATGATCTCTCTGCCGAAGCCGTGGTAGGCAGAGAGTGTAAGCATAACATCGTAGGCGACGAACAGAACCTAGAGGCTAGACATTAGCAGAGCTCAACCAGATGACCACGGCATGGAGGCACCTACAAATGCGAAATTGTAAAAGTGGTCATCAATACCATAAGCTTGAAGAATGAAAATTCTCGTATACAGCCGCAGCAAAACGAAGCACAACGTAAGAGCAGTCAAGCCCCAAAGGACGCCGAGCGCCATAGGCGCATCTCCGCCTGGACCAATCATTGTCTGTGTCGTCGATCTCAAAGTCGAGACAACACGGGAAGATAGAAGAGACGGGAGGATGGCCAGGATCCAAATTGGGGCGACCCGTCAATTAAAGCTTCGCGACTCATCTTGTCAGTTTTGTATCTCCACGAGCCAATTCTGATGGGGGGCGAGACCATAGTAGTAGCGAGTCTGGAGAGGGCCGGATGGCAGGCCTTGCTCCAAGAAACACCTCTTGGCAAGTGAACGGGCTCGTTTCTCACAAGCCCACTGCCCCTTTACGAGACTACATGACAGGTCGATCACTAGCCCAAATAGTGCAAAAGGAGGCTTGAAGTGGACGGATTCTGAGGCCGACCCTGGACCGAATCAAACCAGAGGGCCCATGAGATCGTCACCACTGGCCAGGGTAATTTATAAATGTGTCAAAGCATGCACATAACAAGGAATATCAGCCAACAGGATCCCTCGGAATGTTACGAAGACCCACTGTGGCCACAAATCTTCAACGGTCGCCGGCCCCCACCGTCACGATTTCGTCTAGTTTTCCGGTGGCCACGCGGTTTGTTGTGAAGGTTCACAAGCGAAGGGGTTGAGACCCAATGTATTCAGTTTGAAATTGCGCCTGACATAACTCGTGAGGAAGTACCCGAAAATACACACCTGAGCCAAGGACCTCAAATTAACCAACGTATGCTATACCTGCAGGAATCTTGGTCCAAGGGAGGACACTAGAATGGGACCGTTGGAAGCGGGAAGCTCAGTTCGATTGAAGATAGACCCCGGATCCCGAGATGTTCTATTGTGCAGGTCAGAGTATCCCAAATCTGTCTAGAGAACTCACTACTTCAGGTGTATTCCCCAAACACTAGAAGCGTTGGAAGTCACGTTCCATGATAGCCAAGAATGCGGAAGGTGCTTATCCTGCCCATTGACAAAAGCCTCGCGACTGGATTAGATCTAAAATATCCGCTTCTACGTCTCGAAGTGATGCTCTTGTCGCTCGCCCGGGTAAAGCCAAGGATGCTTAGATCGTGCCGCCTGCTCAGCAGATAGCACACCATAGCTCATCTCGCTGTATAGGCCAGCCATAAGCGTCTTATTGGTAGTCGGCTGGGGGTCCGAGCAGACCCCGGGCCGTTGCCGTGCCTTTTGAGTCCCACATACCTATGAGGAATTCTCCCTAGGTTCCCCACTCTTAACCTTGTCCGAAGACCTTGAGAATTCACTGCAGTACTTCTTTTCTTGAAGCTAATTAGGGGACTGGGCTCTTAGACTGTCAAGAACTGACAGGTACGGAATGTTGTTGAGATGCATTGAAGGGGTTACAAAAGTCACAGGCACATGTCGTAATGGGGGCACCGTGGCGCACAGCTTTACAAACCCTACCCTATCCATTCTAATGCTTTAGCGATATACCGCTGACGAAATGTTATGGAGACCGGCGGGCTCCGTATTGCTAGGGTATAATCCAGGAAAGTTGCCAGATACCACGCGAATGACAAAAATCAGATAAGTTTTCTGCTACCGACACAACCTCAACTTTCTACCTACTAACTTCATTTTCCTGCGTTCAGCTGATTAATACAAATTCAAAATGATGCAGTAACAAAGACAAATGGGCGAAGAATAAACTGAAAAGGTCATTATGTGTGGTTCAGGCATGAAAAGGATTGAGATACTATAGGACAATTAAGGGGCCCTGGAGAAGTGTCCCCGTTTTGTTTTTACTTTGCGTGGATACATGATATGCAGAGCATTGCGGCTGCTAGTTTGAAGAAGAAGCATTCGGTTATTTCCCCAACGGCATAAATCCCTATTTGAGATACAACATTGGGAGCTGACATGCTGATCTTACTAGAGCATGTCAGATCTCTGCGCCAAGGCCGGAAATGCTGAGGATGGGGCCAACATGCATGCATGATGCGATACAGATAATTTGAGTTGATGGTCCTCATTAGGCACCAGACCACGGCTGGGTGGCAGGCTGAGGTGATAATAAAGTTTTCATTCAGTCTTTAAGTCTTTTTTCTATTTAATCAGTCGCTTGGTCTATTGGATACCAAATCCTCATTAGGTAAAGACATATCATTATCTGCTCTCGGAGTGAGTTTGAATATGTACCGAATTACACCAGGTGCAGGACCTGTCGCATTCGTTGTAAATATCTTGGCAACTGTACGGGCAAACAGCCGCACGGTCCCTGAATTGAGGACTAGCTGCGGGCGAGTCTTTCCGAATGCTAGTAGCCGGCATTCCCGCGTGTCAGGGGTGCGAGTCAGTTGCCATCAGCCAGCTCATCAGGCCGCCCATCAGTCCATCAGTGCGTCCATAGCTCGATTTGTTGCGAGTGACACTGGCTAGGATATGGATTCAAAATCATCTATCCTTTCCTCATTAGTACAAGGCTGCAAGAGCTGAGACCCTGGAACTGCCTCCGATAGGCCATAGAGCTGTGGAAGATAGGACCAAACTGGATTAAAGAACCAAGCCCGGGCTGGCTGACGGGCTTCCTTATGTAAGGAAAGCATTTCAACGATTGCCGCGAATTGTTGGATCTAACGATAGAGCTTGAGGATTGATGTACAAGCAAGCAGATGGGTGGGCTTTAGTTGTCATAGGGCTTGCAGTAAGCAACTGAACTGAAAGCAAATTACTCCCAATGTGCTGGAAAGACATCCAATGTGCGGTTCTCGGTATATGTAACTGCATCAACAAGCTCTCGAGGGCGAGGTTATTGTTAATTTTTCTTATCTGATTTTAGGAAAGCTCGATGTCAGGCGGCATCACCAGCCATGCTGCTTTGACCTGCAAACATGTGTCTATAACGGTCTGCTTGACCTTGTCATCAGCAAAAGAGTTGACGCTGAGAGAGGTATTGCCGTTATGCTCAACCTTCTCAACGTGACTCGGATTCGAGGTCGCGGAAAGAACCATATCACCAATCACTTCTAAACAAATTTGACCGGCAGACCAGTCAAAACAAGTATTCTCAAAAGCTCTACTCGTGTCTGTGGTAGTTGTCTGTCAACCTTCATTGCCCAAGCTTCCCTTGCCAAAGCCACTATGCCCACCTGGCTCGCATAAAACATTGCGATTACACGTAACATACATGATGCTTTGTCGCCTCCAACCCGATGATAGCTTTGACGACAGCGATGGTGATAAACAAAAAAAGGGTGCAGTAGACCCGAGAATTGCTGTCGCTCACCAGGTTTACGTTCTTTCCAACAAGTCAATATTCATGAATCCAGCTTGGAGGCTCCAGTCTAGCAGCGTGGTGTTCGACATCGACTGGAGGGACAGTTTTTCTTCGCACATAAATTTCCGGAGATTGTCCAGTGCCGTGGTATTTTCCTTGGAATCCCGGGAGAGACCGAACCTTAAATTTGATAGGGGCGGCGCAAACTCAAACTGGAATGAATTACTTCACACCGGGCCTGGCTTGGTGCCCATCAGGCGTACGGATAACATAGTTCCTTTATTGAGGTTGCATCAACTACGAAGTCCTGCCCCCTAGAAGAAACTGTCAATGCGTCGTCGGCAGAGTCGAAATCTACCACGATCGTCTTTATGCCCGAGGGGTTTCCCGAGCGATCTTTGCAAAGAAGCATGATAACACACAGGTTACCATTTGCCACCTACCTCGGCGACAAGTTCATTCTGGTACACTGTTCTGGCATATTGAAGAACTTGTCAGCAAATCATGACTCTGCACAAGACAGACTTGGTAGCGAAATCGAACGCAACGCAACAACTTCATTTGGAGGAAATAATCGTGAATGATTCCGTAAACGTCGCGGATGAAAAATCATGTCGGGAAATTTCTGGTTGAACTTTTTATTTCAAAAACCCATACCGTGTTTGGCCATAATGAAAAGGCTCGACAGTCACGATTAAGTATTATAGAACAAATTGAAAATCAGCTCTACTCATGTTTGCTTATGAACAACGGAAGCATCTCAGCCCGATGGTATATCTTGTTTGTATATCCTATTAATGTCTTGGTCGAATGTACGACAGCGAACATCATAGGTAATGCATGGGAGACCGTGACCATTGTACTTCAAGCTATCATGCGATGAACATCAGTCATATGACTTGTTTATGTATCCAAATCGGGTATGAAATACGTCGACGGCGTGGGAGGATGCGCCCTTAAAGATCTGGAGCATACGAGTCGACGTGATGACTGAAAGTCTCTAAACGGAAATGTGAAGGCGAACTACGTAAGCGAGCCAATGTACCATGAGACTGCTCAATGATTGCTTTCTTGGAACATGACCAAAGCCAAGACGCGGCAAATAGCGCCTTGTTGGCACGTTTAGCAGGATGTAGAACGAAGCATAATAAACAGAATGAATTGTTATTGAATCACCAACTCTAATAGATGCATCAATATTGCTGCTTCATCGAATTCCCAGCATTTGCATTTCCATAAGTCCATGAACCTAACAGCTCTGAGTGTTCAAGCATCGGAACATATACAATGAACAATAAGTCATGGTGATAATTGAGCTGATTGATACACAGAATACCAGTGATTGTTATCACGATATATCCACAACAACCAAAATTACATTGCGTCTTACATCCATATTCGCGAGAGCTTTCGTAACACTGAATTGACCCAAACATTAAGAGTGTGCTTCCAGCTCTTTCTCGGTCCACTCCCACAACTTCTCGCTAAGCTCTTCATCCTTTGCGTGCTTGGAGTCTTTTCCCTTGACGCCCACCGGCCAATAGAACACGCCGGTCTCAGCATCCGGGCTGACCGAAGCCCAGATCTGATTCTTGGCGCCATTGGCGACAGACGATAAGGTGAGCCATGAAGCAATGCTCATTAATGGTTTGATTATTGGCCAGCTAGCTGCAAGTCCGCTGGTGAGATTCGTGCTCACAGCTCCCGGATGGACAGCTATGCAGCGGATCTCAGGGTATCGCTTTGCGAGAGCCCTGGAGTGGTGAATGTTGGCAACTTTTGAGACTCCATAGCGGGTCCAGGTTCCGGTAGATGCCATGTCGGTCTTGAGGTCGTCAAAAGTGTAAAGGTCACTCGGAACCCAGCTCTCTGCCGCCGAGGAGAGTGAGATAATGCGCACGTCCTTGTCTGGGCTGGTTTTGGCGGTGTGTTGCAAGGTGGGCAGCAGCAGCTTGGTTAAAAGAGCATGGCCCATGTGGTTTGTGCCGAATTGAATCTCGTAGCCCTCCTTGGTTGTATTGGGCGGCCAGGCCATAATACCTGCGTTGTTGACGAGGATGTGCAGGGTCTCCGATTCGGATTGGAACTCTTTCGCAGCGCGTTTGATGCTCTCGAACGACGTCAAGTCAACCTCCAAGAACGTAATAGGAGCTGCATTCGGTACTGCATTCTTAATATCCTCGATTGCAGCCAGGGCTTTGGTTTCATTCCTCGCTGCGAGATATATGTGGGCTGGGTTATGTTTGCTGAACTGGGTGATCGTCTCCTTTCCTAGACCGATGTTGCCCCCGGTAACAAGAATGACCTTGCCTGAAAGATCGGGGATATCTGTGTTCGTATTGAAGCGCACCATCTTGGGCATGTACACAAGCTGTTGTAACTCGAGGTGGAGATGAGCGAGAAGATTGTAATAGATGAAGCCAAGAAAGAATTCAAGAAAAGAAGCGCAGGCGTGTTTTTAGCCCGAGCGGGATTGGCGGAAACGCAAGTACGGAAGGCCGTAAGAAGGAGAGTGTCAAAACTACTTTTTACTTACTGCACCTACGCATATCGTGTAATCTGCTTTTGGGTTAGGTGCATAGTGGGATCCATCGTTTAGATGATTAACGGGTTCTGATTGGCTGCATCATTATACAAGTGAGTTTGCAAAAGGGGCTATGGTACATTAGGTAAGTACGTGCATCATAGTAAGAGACGTTATTACTTTAGTGAGGTAGGCGCATTACCTTAGCGAGGTAGGCGCTATTGCTTTAGTGAGGTAGGTGCATTTACTTCAGTGAGGTAGACGCTATGAAATCAAGCACACCTACCGTTTCCATATTGAAAAAAAAGTGGCTTTGACACTCTCCTTCCTGAGGCCTTCCGTACGCAAGGCCAATGAAGCCCGAAATCCGGGGAATATGCTGCAGAGATTGTGAGTCTGATCCGGGGTTCTTGGGACGATACTTGGCCGGAGTAGGTAAGTCGACCCACTGCCTATTGTTGGGCTGAGTAGTGAAAGGGCGCTATCACTTGGAATCCCCAAGAAGTTCCGCATGGTACAGAAATGCAGGTCAGGAACTCATAATTTTGCAGTGTGATGTTTCTTTAAACTCAAGTGTTATTGTTTCGTCCAGCGGCTTACCTATTCCTCAGCCTTATACCAAGACGAGGTAAACATCCGGAAGTTGCATCTTACCTCGGATACTTTCACAGAAAGGGCCGGTTGGAGGGTAAGACCCACTGAGTCGCCTCAAATAATTACTCCTACGTCTTTGCGCACGTCTATGATGTGTCCCCGACACCGGGAGTATTGATGACCTACCTGGTCGCAACGACTGCCACTGACTTTTCTCACGAGTGCCAGTTCATTCTTTAACCGCTCGTGGGGCTTGGGTGTGACCGCCGGGGACGTATAGGCGATAGTGAGGAGGAAGGTATCGAGAAGTTGGCAGTCATTTAGTTGGATACATCCCAGACAACACTTAGAACCTTTCCAGTGTTAAACATATACTCGAGGTTTGTATTTAAGCTTGACTAGACACAAAGTCCTGCGGTCTCTCGAGAGTTCACAGGCTCCCCTAGTGACCTGAATACCGGTCATACAAGAGTTTTAACTGCGGTCGTAGTGAATGTACTGGGGTGTCACACTGAAACGCAGCACCAGATCAGACTTGCAACGCTGCTACAGTTGATCGTGTGGTGTCAACCGGGTTATCCTAATCTTTACAGCGTTATCTCTATTTCTTTGAGCCGAATTGTTTATCAATGGGATGAATGACTACTCGGCGATAGCTCGTCAGAGAGGGTATGCCATTGTCCTTGACTTCGAGAATCAGGTGGAGAGGGAGGCCTCGCTCAAGGGGAATTCTTTCTCTGACCACTATGCACGACTTTTCCGCTGGAGGAACTTTTACCTCCACTTTGCTACCATCGTCGTTCAGTGGCTTGATCTCAATATCGGACACCTCGAGGCCGTGATACGTCTGAAGCGAGCTGGGCTCGCGGTATTGGTACCACTTGAAGTCGAGCTTATCGCCATCGGGGTCGTAGCTCTCGGATGCATCGAAAGACACGCCACCTCCGGCATCAGCCTCGACGTAAATTGGTGCAAATCCAAACTCACCGTTTACTGAGACGACGGGGTGGTGGTTGACTTTACTGAAATCAGAGGTCAAGGTCCACTGCATACGCGCAGCGAAGTCGTCTTGGAATGTGTTCCTCCAACGCCAGATAGTGGCCTGATTGGACCTGTGCAGCTTGCCGTCCACACCAGTCACTGTGTCTATTGCATCGGCAAAGTGTCCCCTAGAAGACAGGCCCTTTGGGCTAACATTGACCGGAATGTAACGGCCTCCCCAGGATCCGTAGGTAGGCTCATCTGGTACGCCAAGGCCATTTTGGACAAGATAAAGAAAAGTAGGCGTGTCACCTTCGATAATGAACTCGAAGTTGGGGTATGCAGCGCCCAGAGGACCGATTTGGACGTTTTCTTCGACCCATTCGTGTGTCACTTTGGAACCGTCTGGCCCTCCTACATCACCGGAGCAAGGGGCCGAGATTCCAGTCCATGCAGCGCATTGGTACTGATTCCAGCCGTGAATGGAACATATGTAGAAGATCTCTGGCCATTGTTGACGAATCCATCCTCCGCAATCGTCTTGATCGGAAATCGTGTAGACGCGTAGCTTTTCACGCAGCCTGGCAGCGTCTGACCGGTTTCGAATATTGTGAAGAACCTGCGCAAGCACATTGACACCGCCCCACACGAGCACCCAGAGCGGGCTATCTTCCGGCGTGCTGAGTTGCTCAAGAAGCAACTCAGCCCCTTCGCTAAGTGAGATGTCGTCACCAACTGCCTCCATGCCATATACCTATCGAGCCGTCCAGTTAGCAAACCAGCGATAAGCGCTCGCGGTAAACGAAAAAATCGACTCACCGGAGGGCCGGACTTGATAAGGTTCCGCAAGTTCTGCGCTGAGGGGTAAGGTGAGTCTGGGTGAGCATGGGCGTTGAGGTTATCAACAACTTTCTCATATGCGTCAACAATTTCGTGGAGGTTCTGCGGCGCCACCTTGTTCTTGAGCCATGTGGATGTGACGGCGACTATGCCTTCGGTGCGGAACTGATTGGAGTAGGTGAGATATCTGCAGAACGATTCTGCATCATCAGGCTCGTTAGTGATATCTGTCAAGATCAAGACTCGCGGCTTCGATGGAAATTGAGTAAGGGACGCTATTCCTGCGAGTTTTGACGCGGCCATTTGGAGCGGGGGTTGTTGGTTTCCTTCAAGTTGTGGTTTGCTGCTCGGAAGTGGTACGGATTGGCTTGGGCTTCAAATTTGAGGCTGACTAAACCGTTTTCCAATAGTTCAGCCTGATGTTGGGTATCGACCAAGTTTTATTCTTGCCGTTCTAATAGTTATTGAACTTGAGGGGCATTTTAAGATGAGGGAACCTATCCATTTAGTACACCGAACCTTAATCTTGGCGCCAACCACAAACCGTCCAAATACAACCGCTTTTCATTATCGAAAGAGGCAGCCAGAAGCTCTTACGAACTCTTGGGGAGGGGAGAAGTCCCGGATGTGGGACTGGAGGTTAAAATGGCGCCTGATCCGAAGCTAGTTGGACTCATCCGTAATAGGCAATATGAGCCACGCAACGGAACGCGGAACCCCCCACTCCCTGTTGATCCATCTTGACCTATTACGAAAGAGGAGTTTAGAGCCTCAAGATACCTACATGGTACTGTAAAATTCAAGTATCTTGGCACAACCTTGTCCTACCCCACCTCCGCAAGATCTTGATACCCCATGGGGACATGGTTGTAATCGAACGGTTCCCAGGAACCATGCCGTCGGAAGACTCCTTCTAGACAGCCAAGGGAGTTACGATATACCCCAGAAACTCTGTTCGTCATTATCCTGGGGTAGCGCTGCACCATTCTTTGTTCTATTTACTGATTTTCCATCGCCTATTAAACGTCTGTTTCCGCACACAATCAAGGTCGAGGTCATGTCAAGGACGCCGGCCACTTGGAACACTACTTCTCATTTTGCTTTTGTTCCTGGCTTTGATCAATCGTAATGGCTACTCACAACAACGGCTTTGAAGCCGAAAAAGTAGACTCGCACACCAAACATGTCGAATTAAGCGCCGACTCAGCGCTGGCCCAGGCGGCCGACTTTGAAGACCATGAACTAGGCATATGGAAGTCCTTCGTTCGATACCCATGGGCATCTGCATGGTGTGTTTACGCCTGCTGGACTATTATTCTCCTCAGTTTCGACGTTCAGGCCGCAGGGGCTGTCGTAGGTATTCCCGAGTTCCGAAAGGACTTTGGATACGAGTTTGAGGGCAACTACGTCCTTCCAGCTGTGTGGCAATCTTCATTCAGCGGCGCCCCCGTTGCAACGTGAGTGACAAGAAGAAAGTTCATTAGATGTTCACAGTTAAAGGCTGACTTCCGTTTGTAGAGCTGTGATCTCATCAATTGCCTCCGCTGAGTTGGCCGATTTTATCGGAAGAAAAAAGGTCCTTGCCCTCGCCCTCCTCATATCCTTTGTTGCAGTTGCCATCGAGTTCATCGCAACTACAAATGCTGTTTTCTTTGCCGGTAAGCTTCTCAATGGTTTTATGGTAGGTGCAGTCGGCACGATCATGGTCTCGTACATCGGCGAGATTACTCCTTTGGCCTTGCGTGGTATCTTCACCTGTGGTGTTGGTGTAGCGTACGGCATTGGGCCATTGGTTGCTTTCATCGTCACCAACTATACGGGGACAGTCCAGTCGCGTTGGGCGTATCGCACAGTGTTCTGTTGCCAGTTCGGCTTTGCAGGAGTTGCGGCCATTCTTTGGCCATTTATGCCCGAGTAAACCTAGCCTCCTGTATTTGGTTAACTTGACCAAGCCAAACTAACCGTACTAGGTCCCCATGGTGGCTTGTATCTAAAGGTAGGAAGGAAGAAGCCCTCAAAAGTCTAGGCAGACTTGGCCATGCGGGTAACGAAGGAAGAGCGAAGCTTGCTCTAATCGAACGTACATTGGAAGAAGTTCGCAGAGAGACAGATGGCGTCACATATGTGGAGTGTTTCAAAAAGTCTAATTTGCGGAGAACCATCATTAGTATCATGCCATTAATCATTCAAGCTTTTAGCGGCATCGCATGGGTAAGAACGAACGTTTCTTCCTGACTTGCACTCATACTAAACTACATGCGTAGGTTGCCGGCTACTTCACCTACTATCTTCAACTGGCTGGCTACTCCACTTCCATGAGCTACCAGCTTCAAATTGCCCAACCTGTTCTGTCTATTGTAGGTAACTTGATGGCAGCCGCTGTTATCGATAAAGTCGGTCGAAGAAACCTTACGCTCTACGGCCTCGGTATCCTTACGGTGTTCCTTTTCATCACGGGAGGACTGGGAACTGGCACCACCCAGCCCATGATCAAGGGGACTGTGGCCTTCATTCTTATATACAGCTGGTGGTACAACGTCTCCATTGGATCAACTGCCTTCTCTCTTCTAGCAGAAACCTCGACGTCTCGACTTCGAGCAAAGACTGTTGCCATCGGGTACGCATCGCAGAATTCTATCAATGTCATGTGGCAGTTTGTTATCCCATACATGTTCAACCCAGACAAGGCCAACTTGGGCGCCAAGATTGCCTTCATTTTTGGCGGATTATGCTTTTTTTCTCTTCTTTACCTTTGGTATTTCCAGCCTGAAACCGGCGGTCGCTCTTACGAGGAGCTTGATGAGATGTTTACAAAGGGTGTTCCGGCCAGAAAGTTCAAGACATACAAGACGACTATGCAGATGCGCAACGAGACTACTGCACAAAGCGGTAGTCATTAAGTCTGCAGTGATAGGGACAGCCTATCACATTGATCTAATATCTGGACTGCGACGGAGTATGCAAAGAAAGACGATTTACCTAGGCAGTTCGAGTTTTCCATTACAGCCTTCAACAATGCTAATAAAGACATATATCTCGCATGCGAGAAAACCTCAAGGAACTAGTTGACGTAAAGCTTGTGCGGCTATTAGAGCTTCTACAAAGGTTCTGCCACCTTGAATTCCGGGACCAAACTTTTGTATTACAGCTCAAGAGTCAAGACGACACAAGAGGACCTCCTTCTGCTGGTTCCTGAGAGCCTCCTGGGCCCAGTAGGGCCAACCCCGCGCCCCGGCAACATTACGGTAACCTTCTGGCAAATAGAGATTGCCACTACGTCCAGACATGATCTGTTTGAAGATGGCGTCTACAACAGGTTCGGGTTCCAGTATCTTCGACTTGAAAGACCCCGAGCCTTGAGCCTTCTCAATCAGGGCTGTTCTGATGTAGGTTGGATGAATGATACTGGCAGAAAGTGAAGCTGTTAGCGTCTTAGGCATTATGTTGACAATATATTCGCCTTTGCCTTACCTCGTGCGGACTTTTGGTGCCTTGTATTGATGCCGCAGCTCCTGCATAAGACCTTCATGTAGGACTAGGGTCCCGGCTTTTGAGCACGCATAGTCGACGTTGTTCACGCCGGTAACAAAACTTGCCATGCTTGCAACATTAACAACATGACCATGGTTGTTTCTGATCATTGCAGGAAGGAACTCTTTGAGCAGAAGGAAGTTTGCAACGATGTTGACATCAAAGACTTGGCGGATCTGTTCCTCAGTCTCGTCAAGGATGGAAGCCAGTTTCATGACTGCCGCGTTATTCACTAGTACTGTAGGCTCACCATGATCTCGGCGGATTTGGTCCGCGACTTCCTTAATGGACCTGGAATTGGTGATATCCGTTTCATAAAAGTATGCGTTCGATGCTTTATCCGTTGTCAGCAGAGCATGGGAGTTAGGAAACAACATAAGGCTAGTACTTACGCAGCGGCTCCTTTGGAGGAACAATATCAAGATTGACCACCTTAACACAGTTCTTCGCTAACTTACGAACAAGTCTGTCCCCGAGACCACCAGAACCGCCGGTAACAACCACCAACTCCCTTCTCCAGTCGTACTTATCTTGAGTGAAGTTGTTGAGAGTGGCCAGACTCAACAACCTGTTTACCCGTCGGATCGCTGCGATTCCGAGCAAGAGGGACAAGACAAGTCTTGGCCAGCCACGCCGAGTGATCAGCCTCAAGACTCCAAAAGACCTCAAACCTCGGAAGTATTCTTTAAGCCTGCCAAAGACATCGCGAGATTGCTCATTTGTCAAGGATGACATCGTAGCTGACCAGTTGAGAAAACCTGGGATTGAGGAAGGCGTATGATGCGCATGCTAGATGCGACCGAGATGTCAATTTTCAAGCTCACACCTGTGTCTTGTCTTGGTTCATGTAGCAATCGGATCAACGGATGGAAATCAGACTCGGCGGCAGCTTCCGTTAGAAACTTCCCCGCAAGTGCATTGGCAAAGAAAGTTCAGGTAGCGTCGTCACTGGGGTATCAACTCCGCACGATGGGCCGAGGCTTAGAGTGTCCGTGCAGATGATACTGTGTCTGTGAGACGCGAAACTTCTCGAGCGCAGAAGCTAGAGGTTTCGAGAAATAGATAAATGGCACTATCACTCCAAACGAGTACTTCCAGCCATTGACCTATCACTTCGTGAAGCAACCTTTACTACTGTAGTTGTTACTTCCCCATTTGTCCCTGACAGCTGCACGAAGACCAAGCTAGTCCCCATCGCCAACATGGGACACACCATAGAAGACCGATTCATCACATCGAGTCGTAATGGTCTCAAAGTTGCAATCTCTATATACAAACCCAATGGAATGAAACAGCCTTTACCCACAGTCGTGATGGGACACGGTATCGGGGCTATAAAGGCAGCCGGATTATCGCCATTTGCAAGCGAGTTCACCTCTGAGGGTTACGCAGCAGTCACGTTCGACTATATCGGTTTCGGCGAAAGTGAAGGCTCTCCGCGAAACGTGCTTAACGTGCAACATCAGCTACAAGACTTCCGAGACGTTATAAAATGGGTGCGCGAGCCCGAGCAGAGCGACTGGGTTAACTCTTCTAGTATTGTTGCTTGGGGGAGCAGTTTTGGCGGTATGCATACTACAGCTTTGATGGCCGAGGATCACGAATTGGCAGCGGGTATTGCGCAGTGCCCACTGGTGGATGGACTTGCTGGTGTGTTGCAAATGCCTTTGACTCGGTCGTTGAGACTGGCAACCACGGCTGCCGCTGACATCTTGGGATCATACTTGCTGGGTGCCAAAGAACCACAGTATGTCGACCTGGTTAGTGACGGCTCAACCGCAGCAGTCATGGCTTCAAAAGAGGCAGCGGAGGGCTGGGCTCGCCTGACACCTGACAACGGCGAAGACTGGCCCAATATCATCGCTGGGCGGTCTCTATTGAGCATCATGTTTTCTCGACCATTGTTGCAAATTCACAAGAGCACCCGCCCATACCTAGTTATTCTGCCAACATGGGATAATGAGGCCTCGTTGAATGCTGCCGAAGAGTGCGTCAGACGGGCACCTCTAGGAGAGGCCTTGAGAGTTGGAGGGGGTCACTTCGACTTATATAAGGGTGGCATTGCGTTTGAAAAGAATATCGCAGGCCAAAAGCAATTTTTAAGACGGCTCCTATGCAAGTAGTTCACTTGGATTTATTGGAGTTGCTTGAGTTGAGAAGATACCGGCAACCAGAAAGTGGAGCGAACAGATGGAACCACGTCTACCCGGGAAGGGGGCATATAACCAGAGCAAAATTTCACTCACTTAATGAGTACTATGTTCGGAGGTGAAACGACTTTGGAAAATGATGAATTTACTGGCTGCAGGAATATTTTACAACCTTAACAATCTTTCTCACACGCGAAAACTCCCCAGTCATGATACAAGAGATGACCAGGGTCGTCCTCTTCGCCCTTTTCGAGGCCTTCCAGCTGCTCCTGATAGAGTTGCTCTCTACACACATCATTGAGCTTCCGAACAAAGTTCCAACACTGTTCAGCCTCTTCGTCTGTCTTATATCCCCAGGCATCTTCAATGAATTTTCCCCGCAACTGGGAGTACTTGTAGCCGTTATCTCGGAAAATGATCCGACTTGCCCTGTTTGGCTTCGAGGCCAGCTTCGTGCATCGTTCATTGAGGACTGTAGCTTTCGGACGGAGACGAAGGTCGATCATATACAGATTTGTGAAAAGCATAGATTTCATGGCATTCACTAACTGGTCGTATGTTGCCTATCTTGGCGTATCTAACTTCTCTATGCAATTTACATTGTTTTCTTTCCACTCTTGCTGATATTGATCTAGCTCGTCGTAGCTCCACAACGGGTCGAACTCCACAGCAACGTGTTTGAAGCTGACGAAGCCATACTGCATCGACGAAAAGAGGGCGCCACTGTACAACGATGAAAAGTTGAGAACTTCCCACGCCTGTATTATTACGAGGTCTTTTTTTCGGCAGAATGGTTATATATTGTCGTTTATCGTCATCTTCAATCGGAAATATAGCCGGCACGTCATCGTAATCCTTGCTCGGAATGTCGAAGTCGGACCATACTAGAACCATGGCGGACTGTCGTCGGTTTTGATTATCGTAGTGGTCGGTCCAGTCGTCAAGCTTGTATCGGCGATGCATGAATGCACGAGACTCTTTGCAGGTAGTCCAGAAACTTGCGTCGATGGCGTAAGTGGACTGGTTAGGGTCCTAACTTCCCGGTACCGCATCGTTGGCCGGGAGTGGAGGGCCAAGAATATCCCACTGGCGCTTGTGAGAAACCATCATATGGCGTTTGGTCTTTTATGGTACGATGCGATTATAATAAAAAGAGAAGTAATGAACACCACAGAGACCGGCCGGACGAACTGCAAGGTCCCCGATTCTGTCTCGAAGCTCTGTCGGCAGCAGCGGAAAGGGACGGAATGCAGTGATGCACATAGTTGTTGGATGAAAATTGATGTATTAAAGCAAATCACTTGCGTTGTTGTTGGTTGCCTAAGTGCAGTACGTCCGTCGGATCTCACTCGGTGGCTTGAGAGTGGATGATAGGAAAATGTGGAACAAACGTGCTTTAATATAACGAGATTCGCTGTCTTCGCCGAAAGTGTTCAGTGAACGAGGCTGCTGCAAGCCACAGAAAGGATGAAGTAAACCGATATCAGGTGACGCATTAGTTCAGTTCATGTATGGCCAGAGTTCACGTGTAGACGGCTCAAAGCCGGGCCGTCGATAAACACCCAGTAGATGGTGGTTTCAAGGTCAACATGACATATCATCGTCACTAAGATGTGAAAACGATGTCGATGAGAAGATCGTTCTGGTAAGTTTGGTGGTCTTCCATAGATCTAACTGTTTAGGTTTATTCTGGAAATTGTTTCGACAGGATTCAAGGGTTTTACTAGTAATCTTGAAGCTAACGAGTGTGGACGATCATCGCCAAGACAAGGCCTCGTTCTTCATTTCGGAAGAAGAAGGGTGTGCCATGTGCAACACATTCTGACCGATCATAGGTAGCGAGCCGCAGCCTAAGATCCAGGCGTTCGGTCAATTCTCCATTTTTTATATGTTACTCAACCCAAGGTAGACGTCGCCGAGACCCACTATGTTCGCGGACTGTTAGATGTCATTTAGAGGGTTAAGCTCGTCCTTTTATAGGTAAAGTCTACGATTCCATAATCTTTTGAAAACTAGTCACAGTCATGTCCGAAATTAAAGGGTACTAGCCTTCATAAAAAATTATAAAAAAACACTAAAAAATCGGGGTGTGATTGCCTAGGTCATAACAATGCTTTAGTGATATCGATGGCCTCTTATTTGATACTGCAAGAAGACGCATGCAGAGTGGTTCGCTTTCCTCGTCGAAGTCTATTGACAAAAATTTCTCTTTGATTTTGAAACTATGGGTCTACATGTACCCTTTAAAAGAACAAGGTGAACAGAAAGCCGACACTAATCAAGCTTCCGGCCACATCTATTCTTGAACCTGCAGCCGTTGGAACGGTCGGCAAGCTTGTAGTTGCTGTCCCATTCCTACGAGAACCGGTTGGCGCCGGTGGTGTCGGCGTGGAAGGATCTACCAACAATGTGCTAGGCATGCTGACGATAGTTGTTGGGGGAGCGATACCTGCCTCCTCGCTCGTCGACGCTGTGATCGGAGCCGCGGCGGGTGCGGAACTCGGTGCTAAACTCAGTGCTGAACTGGGTGCTGGATTTGGCGCTGCACTTGGAATCTTGGTGGGCGCCACAGAAGCGACGGGCTGAGACTTGGTCGTCGCTGGCACCGACACGTTTTGCTCGGTATTCGCCCACGTATCAAGGACGCACTGCTTCATCAAGTCATTGTCGGTATAGCTGTTGCCTGACTTCTTCGGCGTCAGACTGAGGATGTAATTGGTATCGAAACTGCCAGCGGCCCATCCCACTAGGCCGATAAAGACATCGGAGTTCTGGTTGATAAATGTGTTTTGCGCGCAGAAGCTCGTGAAACACTGTTAATTTGTTAGCAGGCGCAATTTCCCCCAAATCACTAAAAGCCGAAACTCACCGAGGCATCGTTTGAGGCACCGGTTTCGCTGACCAACCCCTTACGCCCCTTCGACCTCAGATACTCTGCCACCGTCCTGAAACTCTCCACGTTGTCAGTCGTGCAAGGCTTGTGTGTTCCGCTGTTGTCCTCGTCGAGATATTTGTGCACGTCGATGATCAAGTTATCTGTCGTGCCGTCAGGGTTTGTGATCGCCGTCAAAGCGTCCGCGCTGCCGCTGCTGACGAGAAACTCTGCCGAGTTGAAGTTGGTCCCGGGAAGCAGAATCATCTGCGACGTCGCGCCAGCCTGTCGGATCGCCGTCACGGCCTTCTGGCACGTTGCCGCCCAGAGCTTGATGTCAAGGTCGTGAGGCTCGTTCATGAGCTCGAAGACGACCTTTTCGTTTGCCTTGTACTTCTGTGCGAGCTGTGTCCACAGCGAGACGAATTGGTCATCAGTCGGTCCGCCTTGACCGATGATGCCGCCGTTCCATCGCGCAAAGTTGTGGACATCGAGCATGCAGTATGCGCCTGTTGCGAGGCACTTTTGCATGACCTGGTCGTAGCGGCCAAAGTTGTTGGAGTTGAGTTGTCCGCCCAACTGGCTGTTAACGAGGAACTGCCAGCCAATAGCTATGAACCATTAGCTCGAATACAATATCCGTAGAGTGTTGGGTATTGTTTACGCAATCGGAACATGTTGAGCTTGTCGTCTTGGACAAAATGGTTCATCTGGCCTTCGCCATCACCGCCTCCAAGTGAGCTGAGAGGCAGCTGAACCTTGCCCAAAGGACAGCTTCCCTATCTTAGGTTAGATTTGGGTCATTTGACAGATCCCGTGATGGCTCAACCCACATCGATCTCGCAACCAAAGTCACCGCCGGATATTGCGACTCCCTAGATACAAGGTTAGACGTCATCCCATATTTCGCATATCATTCAACTTGCCAAGAACTGCACCCTAGCGACTGCCGCTGCCGCAAACCCAAGAAGTGTAATCGCCTTTAAACTCATGTTCGGAACCTAAGCGACTGAAGAAGTGAACGTAGAAAGTTGTTGATATTCAAAAGAGGGGATTCAATCCGAAGAAGAGAAAGAAAGAAAGGAAGAAGCGATCGACAGGGGCGAACGGCTACAAGGAAGCAAAACAAAAAACCCAAAAAAAAAAACCGAAGGAGTATGGTTGCAAGAAGTCACAAAGAGGAGGAGGAGGACCAAGATCGGTTGGGCGGTGGGCAGCCGCATTACATATTAACTACAAGGAAGCGATCAAAACCGCTACCTTGTCTATAAGAAATACCAAGAATAGCCTCTCAAAACGACCCGAGCGAACGGAAAGACGATATTGGGCATGGATGTGGATTTTCTCCCATACCCATAATGGGCACAAATGGGCTGTGATAGACCCGTTCTGTCATCTGATGATCGTTTCTGTACTACGAAATTCATGCGACAAGCGCCACCAAGCCCGGTCAGACGAGGGCCTGCATCAGACGGCCGGAGTTTCATGTACTACACCATAGGCTAGGGATCCGTGTCCGCTGCCATGCTGAATCCCAGACACGCTGGCTGTCGCTGGGGTGGCCACCGTCCATAATATGTGGAAGTTAAGCAATTGAGGGCGAGGGAAACCCCCGAGGCCCCCAATTGGGACATCAGCCTCAATCAGGCCGACGAAAAGGGACACACGGACTTGGGAACGAATGGTAAGGGGCACCGGGCTTACCGGGTGGCGGAGACTCGACGTTCCAGTTTTGGCAGTTTGCGATTGAATGCGGCCTGACTCGGATTATTCCAGTGAGTGAGCGTTGCAAATGGTGTCAGCTTTGGACTGTCACCCAAATATCGCAAGATGGCTCTATTCACAATGGAAATTTCCTGCCGTCTCACAAGGATCAAAGGAAGCAAACAATTACATCTGTGATTATGGTTTGATGTCAGGAGGTACAAGGGACGACGCATGGGCCGAAGGTTCAGGCTACATCAATCGGGGTGGTTGCCTAGTGCTCGGAGAAAACGTCACACATAGCGGCTCGATCACTGTCAGCCCATCAAAGCTTTTGTCAAGGGTTCCTTTATCTGTCAGATCAGTGTGGTAGAGGCCAAACAGAATCGACGCCAGCATGGATCACTAGCGGTAGATCATGTGTGTTGGTGGACGTTCAGGGAATAGCCTGTGGGAGTTCACAGGGCTTCTAGCACTGACGAAAGCACTAATAGAGTCAAAGAGACACTCTCTTTCTCGCAGTTCTAGAGTTCGTCAAGAGGAGACAGGTGCTGATCTTGCGACTCGAAGCAAGAAAAGATTGGTAAATACTAGGCAGCTTTATTTTTCTGTCGTTTCTTGATATTATTGTGCATTGCAAGAGTTCGCTCTCCGCTCCGAGGCATTTCTGCAGACGCGCACAGCCCCTTAGACGTTCGTAGGGCAATCCACGCAGGCTCACTGGGGAATTCGTTTATCTTGATGGAAAGAGTACAGCATTCTGAGAGAGACAAGATGAAATTGAGGAAGCTGACATTTTACTGGCCTGAAAGGCAGTAGAGCTTAGTCTTGAAAAAGTGCCAGGAGATCGATAAGAGGGGCTGAAGGATCGTAGATCAAGATCGCGCCTTGCTGGTCTGACATCTCCACAAGCCATGCGAAGAGCTCAACCCCTTTATTAGGTCATCGACGTGACCTCTGATCTACTGGACAAGGAAACTAATGAAGGACCAATCGATCGAAACGACCAAGATTTGGATAGAGAAGCTTTTCGATATCTAATCCGAGGACATGGCGGAAATCGCAAAATGAATCCGCACTTCACAGACCTGGCTTTGCCCTCACTCGTTGATTCACCCGATAACGGACTCCATCAGTATCTTCGCAATGATTGTCTGCAATGGTGACATAGTGGGGCGCGCGGGGAAAGAAACGATAAATATCGGATGACGCCCGAGTATCAAATGGAAATGATAATCGAGACATCAACAATCCGATTTATCAACATAAAATACTCTTCCCAAGCATCTCGGATAGGATCTTGCTCGAAAAATGGCTTCTTTAGCTGGTCAAGCTTCAAGTTTACCCCTCCTCGACCACATCGTCATTCTTCTCCCCCACCAAGTACTCGCCTCTCTCCCCTCATGGATCTCCTCCGAGTTTACCATTCTCACAGGCGGTCGCCACGCTGATGGCCGCACTGAAAACAAGCTCATTATCTTTGCCGATGGCACATACCTTGAGCTCATCTCTTTCGTTGAGGGTCTTAGTCAGGATGAGCGCCTGAAGCACAAATGGGGCCCGAAGCCGGACGGCACGATCATCGACTGGGCATACTCTTTGAAAGACGAATCGGGATTTGCTGCAATTCAGAAACGTGTGCGTGACGCTCAATCAATAGCCATCTACGATGACCCCGTTCCTGGGGGGAGAATCCGACCGGACGGCGAGGAGCTAAAATGGGCTGTTGCGCTTCCGGCCGGCGCCGGCGCGGAATCGGAAGGAAATGTGGAGAGGGGCGAGTTGCCGTTCTGGTGCTTCGACCGGACACCTCGCGAGTTACGCGTACCCAACCATGTTGCAGAGAATATCAGACATCCAAGCGGATCACTTGGCGTTCACTCTCTGGCAGTGGATGTAAGCAGGGAGGAATTCAAGAAGGCGTATGCCGGGATCAACGACCGACCTGCGGAGGGTGACAATGGCGGCCGGTGGACGTTTGATGTTCCCATCCGCCAATTTGAGGATCCCAGATACCTGCTCGTCGAGACACTTTCTGGTGAGCAGGAGCCCAGGCAGTCAATTCGTCTGGCTTTGTACACCGCGTCGGGAACACCAGAACGCTCGATCGGCGGCGACCTTGGCGGCGGCGTCTCCATCACTATTGACTTGATTCCTGTTTCTGGTGGGTCCTCGTGATCCCAGAAGCAACGGAAGGTATTACTTCAAGTTCGAATCCTAAATTGACACATTGAATATTGTGTATGATGGCTTTTCGGACGCTAGAGGCTCAGAAATTGCGATGGAAGTGTATGTATGACGAATTTAGTTTGTGGAACAAGACAACTGTAATTGATTACAGACTTTCCCCATCTCCTTACAGACATCTGCACATCAATCTGATCAGCAGACAACAATTATCCAGAAACCTAGCACAATTGGAGTTCAACTTGCATCGACTTATCCCAGTCTTGACTCGGGATTTTCGTATCCCCTCCGAAGCAGGCTATGCTAACAAGAGAACAAGAGTCATCTGCTTCCTTCAAAGACAAATCAGTGCCCCGAAGTATAGCCGCAGCAATACCCTAGACACGACAACTTTTGTGATGCCATTGTCTCCATGGAGCCTTTCGGCATGTTGGCTCTTATGCTCATCGTCAACATCCGGATGAGAGAGATTGATGCAGCAATCAACTTCCTGGCCGGTATTGGACTCGTCATGGCCGTTGTGGTACTTGCAGCACGTCAGTTGGGTCCCAAAGCTAGAGTTAAGCGGCGGTTTCACGCCATGATGTTCTTGCATAGAGTCAGCATCTAACACGAATTAACTATTGCGAAGTGAAACACTGCAATAACCTCAATATCGGCTGGTCAAAGCTGGCACAGTAGGATACACATGGGACACACTTGATCTCATCATAGCTGTGAAAGAAACACAGGCACGGAACCAACATTTGATCGCCATTTAGATGAAAGCTTGTTCCCAAATGCTCAAACTGCATTGGCCAAAAATGAACAAGATGGGTGGGGTTAAATTTTCAAATTCGCTTGTTATGTTAGATGGGACGGAGCAGAGGGAATTTGTGACATCTTGTTCCGACGTGAAACTACCACGTTTGAATAACTCATCCAAGGGATTTAGTCAATTATACAAGTTCTTCACTGTATAATTCTATTATACCCGAGATCGTTGCTCTGATGCTTAATACACCAGTGCCGTTTGTGTCAGACCCTAGGACGTAATGCACCTGAAGCCAGGCGATGCAGTATTTCCATCAACTACAGTAAGGATGTTCCAAGAGCCATACAACGGTGGTCATTTACATGGACATATCAGCCTTTTCAGGCCACAACACCATAATTCATGGACCAAGACCAAAGTTATGTCAGGTGGCCTGCTTCAATCTGGCTGTAATTTGCACACAAGAAACGCGCCCGTGATTAGACATGTAGCTTTGAGTGAATACATAAGGCAGTCAAAAACGAGTCTACAAGCACGATGCATGTACATAGAGCCGGAGCGAGTGAGAAATGGACCAAAAGGCTGCTGAACTATCGTGGATGTCATGCATGGGGCTGTTGTGGACCTGACGATGGATCACGATGGTCAATGGTTCTTGCTGCTAGCATCCGCAAGGTGGAGTGGCAACGGGTAATCCACACCAGCTAGCTACCTAAAAGAAATGGACCTTACGACGAAGCAATGACATAACATCACCTATACATCATCATTTTGGGATGTGAGTTTGGGTTACGAGCACATTATTGCTCTAGCTTCTATGAGCACGAACGTAGCTACATCTTGTTTGTCGTATCAATTCATTTGGTATCTATGACACATTGACTGCCAAGCATTGTTTATCACGCGCAAATTTGATTTGACTGGACGCTCAGCGAGTATCTTGTCTGCCGCAACAGGTAAATATCGAAAGGTCATCATGGTTTGATCTGAAAGTACGGACAATTCACAAGGTTTCAAAGTTATCAAGCGTAATTTTGTTTTTGTCTATTATTCATCCAGCTAGTCATAACATCATACCCAGGGCCTTTTCATGCCCTGTATCCGTGTCCTGTTGCTCCGCTCAAACATGACCAAAACAAAGACATTTACCGGCAGGTGTATCCACCGTCAATGACGATGTCGGCACCAGTGGTGTAAGTGCTGGCGTCGGAGACAAGGTACACATAAGCACCCTTAAGCTCCTTAGCGTCACCGTTGCGGCCCATGGGGATCATGCTCTTCCACAGCTCCTGAGTCTCCTTAGCAACGAAGTCGGACAGGCCAGTGTCAATGTAGCCGGGAGAGATCGAGTTGACACGGGCGAAGTCGCGCCACTCGTTGGCGAGCGAGCGAGCCATGTGAATGCAGCCAGCCTTTGCGACGTTGTAAGAGGTCTGCTCCTGGGGGTAGTTGGCGATGTGGCCAGACATGGAGGCGGTAATGACGAAGGAACCGGTACCGCGCTCACGGAAGTGAGCACCAACGGCCTTGGCGCAGTAGGCCGTGCCGTTGAGGTCGATCTGGATGACGTGGTCCCAAGCCTCCTTGGAGCCGTCAATGACTCCGGCGTCGGCAGTGGCACCGGCACTGGAAGAGGGTTTTGTTAGCACACGGTCCCAACTCCTTCATGGTGAGGTGGTGGGTGAGAGGAATCTTACTTGGCGATGAATGCATCGATCTTGCCAAAGTCCGAGATGATCTGCTTGGTGGTCTTCTCGACGTCGTTGTAGTCGCTCACGTTGAGCTTGTAGATCTTGACCTTGACGCCGTACTCCTTCTCAAGCTCGGCGGCATTCTTCTCAGCACCCTCCTTGCGGGAGGAGTAGGTGATGGCCAGATCAGCACCCATCTCGGCACAGCCGCGAGCGGCCTCGATACCCATGCCACGGGGCCGGAAGCGCCGGTGACGACGACGACCTTGCCCTTGAGGCTGAAGAGGTCCAGAAGACGGGAAGCGGTGGGAATTTCTTGAGGCATGATGGCGGTATTGATGTGGCTTGGGTATTGGGAATGAGTTTACAAAGGTTGGAAAAAAGGGTTCTTGGGTATCAAACTTTTTGCGATGAAAGAGTAGAAGAGAGAGGAGGGAGAGGGAAGATCTGCGAGGGACGTCCGTCTTTGAATAGCTGGTCGCACAAGGTACTGGAGGGGTCAAAAGGTGGCATGATGGAGGGGTAGCTTTGGAATTCGGCCGGTCGTGACGGCATCCCAAACCCCCGCTGATGTCATTCAAACAGGCACACGGTCTAGACAGCGGAGCTAAACACGGGCCATCACTCATCAAGAGGTGACTGAAGCAGTGGTTTAACAGGGGTTGAGCATTGAGATGAGGCCGTGGAGCCATGGATGAATCCATGTCTTTTCATGTGCCCGCCAGTTTGGTGGAACTGGATTACTGGGACCTGGAGGGGCCGCAGGTAGGCAACAAGTACCATGAGTAATGCCCACCTGTAGAGCGCGGAACAACATACATCTGCAGCCGGGACACGCATCAATCTGATCTTGGGTTCGCTTGGCGCAACCCTTTCGAACTGCATACTGGTCGTGCTGGCCAGATTGTCATCCGGTAAAAATTGGAATGTCTGGAGTTTTGTGCTCTCTGATCGTGGACGCGTACAAGAAACTTGGTGTTGTCTCTTGGATTACCGCAAACCTGGCCGAGAGCTCTAGGCTTGCTCGGCACTACTTCCAACCAGTTAAGAGCTCAGCTAATCTCCACCTTTGAGTCCACTGCCAACCACCCCGGCCCTGCAACGCGCGCATTAGTCAAGGCCTTGCATCGTCGATGCTTCACTGACGCTCTAACTCCCGCGAAAACGAGATACCTGCGGGGTATGGCCAGAAAAGAGAGGGGGCTTGATGTCGTGGACGTGTCGTATGTAAGTATTCTACTTGTACACTCAAGCCTTGGGACTCTTGTTGGCGCAAAGCTGGGCGCAGGGTACGGAGGCATGTCGGTGACCACACGAAGGCGGGGTGAAGGAGCGTGGGGTTTAGTTCGCTGCGGATGGGAATGAAGACTAGTTGCTCCATGGCCATTCATGGAGCTCTTCCAGTCGCGTTAGACAGGAGATGGGTCTGCGCGGCGTTTTGTGTTTGAAACTGCGCGTTTGGGGGGAAAGCTATAGGGGGATTTGGACGCGTTCGGCGATTAGCGGAATCCTGGCGAGAGCTCAAGCTTTCCCGCGGAGCAACTCGGGAGTGAGCGATATTTTGCCCGAACATCGTCCATACAATAGCATATCTCAATGAGAGCACCCAATATTGGGAAGGTTATGAAGTGGTTACATTCGAGCCGCCGGAAGGTATCGCAAGCTACTAACTAGACCCTAGCTTATGAGGCAACATGGCTCATCGCAAATTGCTATAACCTTAATGATCTGCATTCTCCGAAGCAAAACATCAGCCAACCGTCTGCTAAAGCCGTTCAATACTTTCTTGCCGACAACCTATTTAGAATTCCAACTCTCCTCGGATTGGGGGAGCAAAATGTGACTGATACCACAATCGAAGGCTCTTCTTCGCTCTAATGATGACATGTGCAGCAGGTTGAAGGTTCCAAGTCTGATGTATTCAATATTCATTGGCTATCAGGGTAGATGGAGGTTGTTTCTAACAACGCCACCAAAGTCTCACACATCACGAGAAACCATCGCGACGCCTTGCCGATCATGGGTATGGAGTACCAGGACACCATCGAACAGGGGGACATCTTAAGCGACGATTTCCTCCTCAAACCGCCAGTGACTGCACGCTTGAGGACTGCATCGGCAAGACTCACAATTCATCCAGATAAAAAAGCATACGCCTTAGCAACTCACTGCCATATGACAGCTTTGATATCACACTACAATGCCACGACGCGCCGTTCCACATGCCAGGACCGAGTCGAGCCCAGTAATCCAGCAACAAACGCCAAGAATAACGAACCTCTACAACTCGGCGAGAAGCTCAGTATCCTTGCTTGTAGTGTTGTCTATCACAGCCTCTGGAACCCTGACGGGAGCAATCAGCAAAATGTGGCCGGATGAGTACAACCACAGTGTTGTTGTTGCCCTCGCCGTCTTCCTTGCTGTTTGCCAGAACGGTACCCTACTTGGCTTCGTCCTTCAGCATTGCGTTGGCCTCCCACCGACAGATCTCGGCAAGACAATATTCATCTATTACTTCATGTGGATCGTTATGCAAAGCGTCGGCTTCGTCGGCATTGATTATATGTGGCTGCATTCTTGGCCAGAGCCGGTCAAAAACTTGTGCGTAACTTGGATGCTCTTGAGCGTCTTAACTGTTGGGTTATGGACAATAGCAATCGTTGCCGTTATTGGAAAACGATACGAGAGCCAGTTGTCGGCGAGTTCGGCAGCGACACAACGGGCAGGTACGAGACACATGCAGACAAGATGGTCGGCGCCGGTGGTAGTCAGAGAGGCCCGTGACGAGGAGGCAGCTAGCCCTATTCGGCCACCACCATACGTTTCTGTAAGGGAGGTGAAGAACCAACATGCTTGAGCTGGTTTTTGGGCTTTTTGAGCTGGGTGTTAGGGTAGGGGGTATATGGGAGAAAGCAAACTAGGCGGGTTGCGACGACGGGGAAAAGGGATATGGCAAACGTACAAGGGAATCATACCAGCGGCGTGCGTCTTGGTGGTTTTACCGCGGTCTGTTGTTAAGGCAATGGCTTGAGCTTGCGAGTCGAAGAAAGACTCGGGATTAATTTCAATCATTGAGGGAACTGTCAGTTAGAACGTTGGCAACTACTTGTTATTACTGGCTTGAACTTGGCTGGTCTGCAAGCTGGTCACCTGCGCGAGACGTGAAGCAGACATTAGACGAAATTGAGTTACGTGTCGAAGGTATATATGCCTCCTTTAAACCCCTATAGAAGGCCCTTATTCTATACCTTCAACCACAGTTAAGACGTCCTTTCCTACATGCATTGTAGCTTGTGACAACATACCAGACTCCCTGCTTGCAGTGACAGTATATGCTTTGAGCTTTTGCAAAGCTTGCTCGTGCTCTCTTTGGATAACTGTAGCATGATGTGCTGACCGGGGTGTGATTGAGCACGGGAACGGCAAGGGGCTTGAGTTGAAGCCGTCCGAATAATTAAAGCTGTGTTGACATTCGTCAGTTTCAGGTCAGCAGACTAAATTTGATCATACACGTACATATCAACGTCAATATCTCTGTCTTCCTCGTCTTTGGCAGGGTTGACCGTAAATGCCCAAAGTATCCGCGCAATGTTTAATATTACGGATGCAGAGCCAAGGTGCATGCCGGGACAGATGCGACGACCCCAACCGAAAGCACTGTGACCGAATGTACCTGGGTATTCTCGATGCTCCGTAAATCGCTCCGGTCTGAACTCGTGTGGTTCTGGAAAGTCTACCTCGTTGAGGTGGACTAAGGATTTAAGTAAGTACAGGTAACAGCCTGGTTGAATTCAGCTAAAATAGACTTACTGGTCCATAGAGGCGCAATTACGGTGCTTCCCTTTGGTATAAACATATCTTTGTATATGCAATCTGCCGTGCTTGCATGAGGAGTGCCTCCGAGAACCGCGACCGGTCTCCAACGTAAAGTCTCTGACGCTATAGCCCGAATGTACTCGAGTCTGTCTAAATCTTCAAAGGCTGGGAGTCGTCCACTCCCAATGATTCTGTCAAGTTCTTGTTGAGCTTTTGGTATGAATCGGGGCCCAAACTTGACGCATGCCAAAAGGAAGCTTGCTAGAGACCCAGCCGACTGTAGAGTACGGTGTTAGTCATTTCTCTCTCAAAGAGGGATTGTTTCCCCTACAGTCTCAACACCCGCCCCGAATGGTGATCCTGCCGTGTAAGCAATCTCGAGATCCGTCATACCGAGGCTCTCCTGCTCTTGTAAGAGGTGTTTCGCAAAACAAAAGGGTGCCGTGCCTTTCGCAACCTTGTCTCGAACTGCATCCATGAGCTCTGTATAAAGATGGATGTCCTTTTGTCTTTGTCTCAAGACTTCGGCCTTCCACGGGGCCAAGAAGGTTGGAAGATATTTGAGTACCGGGTACCGTTCGACCACAAACTTGCCGGGGATACTGCGAAGGGGACATGATTAACAGGATTCTATCTCTTGGTCGAGAAATGACATACTTGACTGAAGTTAGTCGTCCCATGGACTCGGCATTTCGTTGGACAACAATGTCAGTCGAAACATCTTCAACCCTTCTCCCATACGTGACTGTCACAATGACTGAAGCCGCATATCTCTCTAGGTGCTTCCTGAAATCATTAGGGGTCGTGAGAAGCTCATGCATAAGGACCTTTGACTCGAGATTCTGAATTGGTCGATACGTCTCGCTTTGTCTTTGCATGAAGCCGCTGTGGAGGAGCTTACGCCACCGCCTCCAGAAAGGTGAGTAAGGGGCCATAAGCCCCCTCATGCCGCCGGATAAGAGTTCACCGCCCATTATGAAGCGCGGTCGAGATGAGAAGATGGCTCCCTTTTTCTCGAGAAGATCCCAAGCTGCCTGGGCAGAACCCAAGACGATGGTTGGTGTCGGTCCCAGCTGGAGATATACAACGTCACCATACTCCTTGCTCAGCTCCTGGAACCAGATCCATGGCTTCCTTATGCCGGTTTTGATGGCGTTAGGTCCCGGTGGTAGTTGAGAGCGATGAGAATAGAGCTTCCATTCTTGTTGCAACTGGTTGACAAGAAAGATCAGCATTTAGTACTCGCGTAGAAGCCTAACTAGTAATCATACCCTGGGGAATATCAGGGCAAGGTAAGCCAGACTGAAAACCACAGCCAAATACGTGACAATGCCCAACATGATAGTTTCACTACTAAAAGGGGAATTTGATAAAGCCTCCCGCCTGTATCTTGTCAATTTTCCGGTCGTCACTCTCGAAAAAGACCATCTAAAGTATCTAAGGCAGCAATATTGAAGACTATGTACCCAGGCAGTTGGCCGAAAGCCGGAGGTTATCAAGGTCAAGGATGCGGCTAGTGTTTCAACCCGACAGTCTGCCAATTGCCGACCTTGGCGATGACAGTCCAGCAAGCCACCCCCACTAATGTCTAATCACTCGCGAGGGCGTGACTGGGTCTCCGAAAGCTTTGCGATTCAATGTCTTTGATAAGACAGGCTGATAGCATAAAATGGCAGGCCCATAACCCCGCAATCGGAGCTTGATGCGGGTTACGCGGGGAAGGAGATGCATGGGCCTATCGGTTCCAGGGTCCCTCACACATATTATTTGCTGACACGGGGCTTACAATGGCGGTATGCGGATAAGCATATCCTTGTTTCTAGTAGCAGCATTGCGGCAGTTGATGGTTGAGGCGAGGAAAGATAGAGCGAAGCAATACAAAGGCTACGAGGCCCAGTCTACATGGTGTACTCATGAAAATCCCCCTTTAGTTGACCGTGCTCGACTAATTGTTGTTATTTGGAACCTGATCGGCCAATCATGGAATTAAACAAATCGAGCTGGCTCAACAAGCCATTCCTGACATCAATCCTGCTTGGCACAGGAGGGTTTCTGTACGGATAGTGAGTAAACATTCCTCGTTCCTAGATTATCCGAATGCGTCCTTACATGCGTTTACCAGTGACTCCGGAATCGTCACTCCCAGTCTGGCACTCAAGTCATTTCTGCTGTACTTTGGTAACCCCAATGCTCCCTTGAGAGGGGCTATTGTGTCTGTTTACCAGGCTGGAGGTAGGGTCGTTAGTTTTCGAGCGGCGCTTGCAAACTAACAAGCCACCCCTAGCATGGCTCGGTAGTGCCTCCGTCGGCATCACCAGCGATAGACTCGGTCGGAGGAAGGCCATTGCTTTCGGATGCATATGGGGTGTTATTGGTGGAGCTTTGATGGCTGGTGCTGCCCATGTCGCTATGCGTGAGTAATCTAAAAATCTTGAAAGAATCCGTGCTGACATGAATTCAGTCGTTGTAGGTCGTCTCCTCGTTGGGTTTGCTGTTGGGACAATCACTGGCGTAGCTCCTGTGTTCGGGGCAGAGATTGCAAAGGTAAACCTGCTTTGCTGGTACCAGTAAATCTTGTGGGATCCGATAAGTCTGACAAGCTCCAAGACTCACGAGCGAGCCCGAATTACGGCTGTCAACCAAATGAGTAGGTTGCGTCTCTTTTTGTGAATCCGAGTTGATTGAATGACACATATGGACAGTGGTTGCTTGGGGTTTCTTCGTCGCCCTATGGACTGGAGTAGGCGAGGGAAAATGGCACAATCAAAACCAATGGCGGCTTGGTTTCGCCATACAAAGTCTCCCTGCTCTCATTTTAGGCGTCAGCGTTCTCTTTATCAGCGAGTCACCGAGATGGCTGTGTCTCAAGGGCCGTCATGAAGAGGCTGAGAAAGCGTTCCGCAACTATCACTATAACGGATCCAACGACGACTGGTGTCGCAACGAGTTCACCGCCATCCAAATCAATATCGCAGAGGAGCTGCAAGCTCAAGGCCAACTCTCATGGGGCGACCTGTTCAAGACTCCAGCTTTCCGCAAAAGACTCTTTGTTGGAGCTTTTGTATGGAGTGCAGCAATGTTATCAGGCATATCGTTTGTGCAATATTACCAGACAGCTATCTACGCCACGCTGCAGTTCAACCAAGACCAGCAACTCCTGGTAAGCGGTCTTTACGGCTCAGTTGCACCTGTGGCATGCTTCTTTTCCTTGTTCTTCGTTGACCGCATTGGTCGTAAGAAAATTCTTGTTATCAGTTCATCACTTTTGTCAGTCTGTTACTTGATTATTACGGTCCTGGCTGCGGTTTACCCTGTGAGACCCGGATTCCCCACGAACCAGGCAGCCCAGCGTGGTCTGATTGCATGCATATTTGCTGTATCGGCCAATTACTCTGCTCTCCTGGGCCCCATGACGTGGATCATTCCGTAAGTCTGCTTATTCGAGTACGAGCCTGCTCTGATTTCCTCTAGGCCAGAAGTTTTCACCACAGAACTACGAGCAAAGGCGAATGCCATCGTCCAGGTGATCCATTACTCAATCAGCTTGGTCATAACGCAGTGCTCTCCCATTGCGCTTGCTGCTGTTGGCTGGAAGTACTACGTAGGCAACCGCGATGCGATTCTGAGAAACCCACTTTAACTCGATGCCCTTAGATTCTTTTCATCTTGACCAATGCTCTCTGTGCCGCCGTCTTTGCGCTCTTTTACCCTGAGACTAGAGGTAAATAGTGCTCCTGTACTTTGGTGAAACAACCCTAACGTCCCGTAGGCAAATCATTGGAAGAAATTGATGAGATCTTTGGGGATGTCAGGATTGTTCGTAATGTTGACCTGGTCGAAAAAGCTGGCGTTCAACAGACCGAAATTTCTTATAGAAGTAATTGAACAACTCATTCACCATGTTTATAACTGTCACGATCAAAAAGTACACGTAGGAAAGGACGTCTTAACTGTGGTTGAAGGTCTAGAGTAAGGGCCCTTTAGAGGGGTCTCGAGGAGGTATATATATACCCTCGATACGTAACTCGTATCCGTCTAATGTCTGTTTCACGTCTCTCGTAACACATATCATATCTCACGGCCAAGTAATAAGTGTCAGGTAAGTAATTATGACGGTTCTCTGTTAGAAAGACTTGTTCTTTAATGACTAGGAACAATGAAAGGTTGTATACAATAACGAACAAGTACCCCTTTGGGAACCTGTAGTTGATGAGTTGGTAAGCCAGGTTAACATATGTGAACCCAAATAGCTGGCTCTCGTGGCCTGTTATGTGTACCGATCCTCCTCACACTTGTCCTCGTACTCACATTTTGGCGCATGGGGCGGGAAATCGAAAATCAATGGCCTTACTTCCTCGGAGCTCTCAGACAGAATTCCTCACTCCATTCCGAGCGACTTGGGGAGAAATTGCATTTAGGTAGCAAGGTAACAACCTCCGAGAGGTTTATGTCAATAATATTATGTACGGCCAAGGCTCAGCAAGCCGTGACGCAAGGCAATCACTGGACGGAGGGACTTGACTTTGTCTCCAGCTGACACACCACGCACCGGGTCGTCTCCTTATCTTAAACTGGTCTAAATGCCACAGCTGCTCGCGGCAAATGCTCCGTTCTAACAACGGCTAATGCCTTGCTGAGCCGGGCGGCACAAAGGTGCGCTGCCCCCTTGCTTGCCCGGACCCCTTTGAATCTCTCAGTTAAATCAACAAAAGCAACATTAATAAGAACAGACCACACTAAGATGCCGATACACTGTGTAGGCTTCTCATTTAATTGAATCCGCCGGCAGGTCAAGGATTCCACTGACATAGCTCCAGATGTGGCTACAGAATAGCAAACAGAATGGATGGCCTAGATGAGTGGATACTGCCAGTGGGTTTACGACTTCGCTCTGAAATTGCTTGTCCTTCGAAATCGGTTTCTTAACCACCAGCAACAACAGAGCTATCACAGAAGCAAGCATCGGAGAGAATTTTCACACAGGAATACAAAAAGCAAGATCATGTGTCGCATACAGATTATCATTAGATTTTGTATCATCACCCTCCCTAGATCCCTCTCTCAAAACCACTCATGCACGTCCCTCCTCAGAAGAACCTCCCCGCCAGCAAGCGTGCCCCCTGCCTTGGGAGCTGTCAATAACCCGGCCTTAACCAAGTCCTGCGCCAACCTCACAATAAGCCCGTCGCACCCCCTTGCCGCCATAATGTCCACAGTCACTGGCAGCATTTCGGTATGGTTCGTGACGGAGCTCATGCTGCCGACCTCGCCCAGCGGGAACACATGATCCGGCGCGCCGCTGTATACGCTCAGCCGCCCGTTGGAGAAGCCCAGAGGCGGCGTGCCCGGCGCAGAGGGGTACTGGTTGCGCGGGTCCGCGATGCCGGCACTGCCGATGTACAGCAGGAAGCCAGAGGAGCACGTGGACGGGTCGGCGACGGGCGCGAGGACCTGAGTGTTGAACCACTCCGCGAAGAGCGTCTTGTTGGCCTTTGCGTCCGCAAGGGCCGTGGCGGGCTGGTTGTCGCCCCAGGACCAGCGGGCGAGCGGGACGGGGTTCACGGCAGGGAGGCGGCCGTCGTGGGCGGCTTGGCGGTGTTAGTATCTGTAAGAGTGTGAAGCAAGGTGTGAGGGTGTGCACTTACCGGCGTAGTCGGCGTAAAAGGGGTCGCGGACGAGGGCCGTCTGCTCCTTGGTGATGAGCGTCGCGTACGTGGTGCCCATCACGTCTGCCAGGGTCTGGTTCCTGACCTCCGCTGGAGCAGAGCCGGCCCAAGACGAGGTCAGGTTGAACACTGTAAGATTCGTCCCGATGAACGTCGCAAGGTCGCTCGCGAACTTGTTCAGAATCTGCGCGGCGGGCGCGTCGCTCTGGTCACCCGTTGGGAAGCCGAGCGTGTACAGCGTCTTGGGGTACTTGACCTCCCCACCCACAAGCGATGTGTAGTTGTCCTTGTACAGCGCCTTGTTCGCCTCGTCCCACAGATACGGGTCCTTTGTCAGGAATCCCGCAGTGTCAAGCGTCGGAGACAGAGGCATGACTTCGTCCAGGCTGACGAGGCCATGCGAGGGACGGTTGCCAAACAGCCCCTGCACGTTGGACGGCCCGCGGATGGAACCACCCGTGTCGCTCCCGACGGCGATATCGAGCCACGCATACGACGCGATCGACGCGCCCGCGCCGGAAGACGAGGACGACGGGTCGTTGTACCCGTCGCCGCGCGGGTTGAAGGGCGCGTGGTAGTCGACCCAGTCGGCCGTCGCCGTCTCGCCGTTGGCGAACTGGGACGGCTTCTGGGATCCAACAATGATGGCACCCGCGTCGATGAGGTTCTGGATCGCGGGGCCGGTGGTCTCCGCGGGCGGGTAGAGGGAGTACCAGGCCCTGTTGCCGTTGGAGCGGCGCACGCCGGCGAGGGCGTAGATGTCCTTGACACCGACGCGGACGCCAGCCAGGGGCTTCTCGGCGGTGGGTGTGAAGTAGAGACGAGAGGGGACGCCGATGGTCAGGGATGCGGAGGAGGGGACCTGCGCCGAGAGGGTCTGGAAGGTGCCCTGGGGCGTTTGCAGGAGGGACTCGGTGAAGGCGCCGGCGAAGTCATCGTACAGACGGAAGGCTTGGTAGACGTCGCCGGTGTAGGTGTCTAGGAAGTATGGGCCGGAAGGGATGCCGCCTCCCCCGAGAGGGGCACGACGATGGACTGCGTCTTGTTGCTGCCGTCATAGCTGGCTTTTGTCAAGCAAGGGGTTTCGGCGCCGGCGAGGAAGATGGCGCTCAGGAAGGCCGGCTGCCAGACGTCGTCTTTGGCGGTCCAGTTGGAGAAGAGGGCCGCGAGGCTGTCTTTGGGGACGGGGTCGGAGACGACGGTGACGGGGGTGAAGCCAAAGGCGCGCGGTAGGGATTTGATGTTGAGGGAGCCGTTGGAGGGTTTGCCTTGGGAGAAGGGGGAGACGAAGTAGTACACGTCGTTGAGTCGCAGAGACGCGCCGGTCTGGACGAGGTCGGCGGCGGCGGCGCCGACAAGGGTCAGGAGAGTGAAGGCCTTCATCGTGAGAGGCGAGAGGATGGCGAGGCTTCAGTCTTGCACTGGTTCCTGGCCAGGCAAGGCAGGAGAACCTGTGGCCGCGACATGCTTTATAGATGGGCGCGCGCCGGGCCGGAGCTGGTTACGCATGCAATGGATGTAAGATGGTGAAGCGGGGGCTTTCTTTTCTTTCGCCCAGTCCAGTCCAGCTATCTCTGCGCTTGGGCTTGGCTGGGATTAATTGCTAAGAAACAGGACCTCTGTGAGAAAGCAATGTGCAATCATTTCGGCAGCATTGGCCCATCTGATTCGGTCACCTCGACGAGGCGGGGACGATGACCGTCGGGCTTGCTTATCATGGCACTCCACGAGGGCATGCATGCATTTCGCATTCGTTAGTGGTTCGGGCCGGGGTATCTTGTCCTGCCTCGCCCTAGCCTGTGCCGTGGCAGACGGCGGTGATCCTTGGGTACATCGGTGTTCTATCCCTCGGGGACTTTGATGCGGGATGAACAGGATAGTGATTCCACTTGGTTCAGAGGGGTCGTCAAGGAATCTTGTCGAGGGCTGGCCGATGTCGGTAGTTGTGTCGCTTTGCCGGGCCCGGGGGACTTGACGGAAGCGGAAACCGTCGGCAGTGGCTGGTTGTCAATACGGCACGGCTCACCGAGAAAGAAAACAATAGGTAGCTGACGAATCTCTGACCAGCTGACGGGCATACGTATAGCTGACGAACATCTGAACATTAGAGCAATACCAGCAAAGACTCGCGCCTACCATGAGACTTTCGTAACCCCGTCCGATCTATCTTGGACGGCACGATTAGGGGAAGTCGGGGCGTAACAGGCGTGGCATTCCCAGCGAGACGGTTCCCCCACACAGCAGCAGCAGCAGCACGGAACTACCGCAGTCTGTCCGGCGGGCCGGCAAACTCTGTCGGGGCCGAGCCGACTTGCCAAAAGATAAGCTTGCGGCGTCAAACGGTTCCTGGGCTGACCATGGATTGTTTCTAGAACAGGATGCTAGTGTCAGACAATGTCCTCTCGGGCGTCGATGACGACAAGCATGACGAGTCTGCGCCAAAACCGGGCGTTCAGACACTCATCGTTCTTACCCCGAATGGGCTTGGAGACGACGAGAAAAAGTTGGAGTACGCGTCGACTGAGTTTGTTGCCCCCAGGCAGCGGCAGCGAGGCGAGAGAGAGCCTGTGCTTGTTTACTCCAAGTGGGGAGGCCGATATCAATAATATGCGGGACTTGCAGCTTGCTTGCAGGCCGTGGTCCGTCACCGCCGGAGGCCCCCCCCCTCGCCCGATGGTTGAAGAAGACCCAGCCGATGGTGACAAGACGCTATCATGATAAGGAGGGGACGGGGGATTCGGCAGTCACGCCTGTTTACGTGACGTAGTGTAGCTGACAGCTCGTATCGTGGCCCAGCACTGAGAGGCCCGTGGAATGTGGACGACGTAGTATAGACTGGGCCGCCGTGGGACGCATGAGCTGCGATACAGGCATAGCGCGCCGTCGATGACAATCTAAGATTTTTAAATAAAATAAAAAAATCCCTCGCGGGATTGGGTATCACACTTGGTGGCAGCCGTTGGCCCAGCTCAATTCCTGGTAGCGATAAGTCCAACAAGGAACAACCTCACATGTTCCCAACTGCCATCGTCGGGATGATCCTTGCTGACAATTGCACTAGAAAAGTTTCGTGCCTGGATCTCGCGATCCCGCCAATACTGACAATGGCCTCTTCAGACGCCATCGAAAGACTCATGTATCACTTGCAAAGAAACAACGACGCAAAAGACACAAAGTTGAAGTCGTATCATCATTATCCGAACTCATCACCCTCTCGCACCGCTAACTTTAATAGCCATCCGGATGCAAGTCAGTGGTTCGTCCATCAAAGTGGAGGTATCCTAGGATGTACCCAACCGGGTCATCAATACTGTTGAAACCCATTGCCAATGTTTTTGTCCCAGCTTTTTGTTTCCTGGAATGTGACCATCCTCGCTCTGCTATGCAACCGAATTCCACGAAACCGAAATGCCAACTCAACTGCCACGTCCCCTTGACCTTTCGCGGTGCCGTGTATAAGAAAGCAGCCTGGCCTGCTTATCCATGTTCCAAGATCAAAATCTCCCAGCCACACACATTATTGCCTCGACAAAGGCGGCCCAACCGCCCGAAAAAAGTATTGACCCGAATCGAAAGCTGCCTACAACTGTTGGTAGCAGACACATCTCATGACCAGCCCAGGGTCTCGAGCGTGCCCCGAGCATCCGAGGCACTCATGCCACTGACGCCCAGCGAGCGAACCTGGGTGCCCTTACGCAGCCGCTGCACGCCCACGGCGACCTTCCAGGCTTCTTCCTCGTCCAGGACGAACATGTATCGCTTGCCCTCTTGGTCTCGAACTGTTGCGCGCAAGACATGCAGGCGCTTAGTTTTCCACTCCCCAGTCTGTCCGGTCGAAGATGCCACGTTAGTATCTCTGAATTTCGTGTCGCACAAGCCAAGACGGCAACAACTATTGCAAGCACGCAACATCTCGGTCAGGTAGGCATCGGCTTCATCGCCCGTGAGCGTCCTGGTGGCACCCCTGTCCGCCGTACGGGCTCGCTGATTCGCCATTTTTTGAAACAAATTCGAAGGATGATTCGCAGCACTCATAGGGGCAGGAGCAGCATTGGAATTCAAGCAGTGCGGGGGGCACCATACCTCGACCAGCTTTAGCGTCCAGGCTTTGACGTCCCACTCGCGCTGCGGGACGCCGCGGACGTCGTCGTCGATGAAGAGGCCTTCGGTCGTGATTCGCAGGATGAGGCCGTCGGTCACTGTGCCGAATCCCGAGATGAGCTGACTGGCTGGTGTCTTTGCGAACTGGTTCATGAACAGGTAGACGGCCTTGATGACGATCTTGTCTGGATCCTTCGTCGTGTACGGCCCGCGCATGCTAGGCGGCGGTGTCGTTCTCGTCGTGGTGGCCGACGGGGCCCATGATGACTCGGAGCCGACTGAAGACGCGGGTCTGTGTTTCGGCTTGTCGTACGGTCGGTATGAGTACTGGTCTTCGTCGACGGTTCGTGCTGACGGCCGTGGCGGTTGTCTGGCTGTATTCGAGGATGAAGCTGCAGAAGGTGCCGATCTCGGTGGCACAGAGCTGGCAGAGGGGGGAGGTCTTGGGGGAGCGGACGAAGCAGACGGGGGAGGTCTCGGCGGCGTCGAAGCCGTTGCGGGGGAGACGGGGGGGCGGCCGTTTGGCCACATACTCGTCTTCTCACCCGACGAGTATGCGTAGCTACTTCCCTTGCGAGCGTTCTTCTCGGCCTCTTCCGTCTCCTTGGCCTTGCGATCCGCCTCTTCCTTGGCCTTGCGATCCGCCTCTTCCTTGGCCTTGCGATCCGCTTCTTCCTTGGCTTTGCGAGCAGCCTCCTCCTCGGCCAGCTTCTTGGCCTTTTCTGCCTCTTCGCGTTCCTTCTTGGCTTTCCGGAAGGCCTCCAGTTGCGCTTCGACACGGGCTTTGCGGGCGGCGGCTTCGGCTGCCTCCTTCTTTCGCGCCTCCTCACGGTCCTTGGTTTCTTTTTCTTTGGCGGCCTTTGCCTCGCGTTCCTTGGCTTCCTGCTCGGCCTTTTCCATTTCGCGCTGGAGCTTCTCCTTCTCCTGACGCTCCTTTTCAAGCTTCTGCTTGAGGTCCTCTTTCTCGCGTATCTCCTGCTCAAGCTTCTCCCTTCTTTCTCGTTCCTCCTTGTCCCGCCTCGCGCGCTCGCGAGCTTCCCTCTCTCGGAACTCCTTGAGCTTCCGTGCCGTTTCCGCTTTCCGGCGCTCCTCCTCCTCCTTCGCTTTGCGCTCCTGCTCGCGCTTCTTCGTCTCCTCCCGAGCCTTTTCCCAGGCACCCTTCGATGGATCAGGCTTTGGTTTCGGAGGAGGATCTGGCTTGCGTGGTTCCGGCTCTGGCTCAGGTTCAGTTTCAGATTCCTGAGGTGGAGGCTGTGATCGTTCTTGCCATTGTGGTCTAGGACCGCCGTTTCCCGCCCCGTGGTTGGGCGGCGGAGAATTCGGAGGGGGGCCGTTGTATTGACTGCCGTGAGGCGGGGGCGGGGGCGGAGGGCCAGCGTTTGCGTAACCGCCGCCGAAGTTCGCCCCTGCACCGTAACCACCAGGACCAGAGCGGTAGTTGGCATTGGGACCGCTGCTCGAAGACGAGCTCTGGTTCTGCGACTTTCCCCAAGCCCATGCTCCCACACCGACGGCTATGACCAGGAGGGTCATACCCATGTTTCCCATGCCCTGGTACGTCCCCCACCATGCCCTGAAGGCCGGAGCCATGCTCTGGAACATGACGACGAGGACGAGGGCGCATGCGAAGCCAGCAGCAAAGCTGGGGCCGTTGGGAGCCAGAGAGGGCAGGTAGATGAACCCGCCACCCTTATCGCGCTGGGGAATGACAAAAATGTCGTAGTTGCCGGGTCCCAGGCCAGCACCGGGAGGGGGGAACCGGCGGTGGTTTTGGGTGCCTCGCCATGGGGCGGAGGCGGTGGAGGAGCGCTCATGTCAGGTAGACCTCAGCACTTTGTGGTGAGGTGGCAGGCACTGCTTGTTGACCTAAATGGAGCCTCGGGGCTCAAGTGGAGACTCCGACTCGGAGTGAATGAAGAAAACAGAAGTCTAGTGGTATCTTGGGGGGTCCATTGACGGTCGTGAGGTCGTGAAGCGTCTGCACAATAGCCATGAGAAAGGTTCCAGCAGGAGAGGGGCAGGAGTAGCATGTGGTGGTAGGAAATACAGCGGGTTGGATGGCCGAAAAAGAAGATGAAAGTGGAAAGGTTGGCGAGACTCACAAGCAACAATGCAAGAAAAAACAAACGCCGGAACCCCAGGGACAAAACTGGGCAAGGACCAAGGCGTCAAAGCGAGAGAGAATGGGTATCTAGAGGTATTTGTCGATGCTCGGGTGCCTAGAGTGAATGGTGTCTTTCCGCTTCGGCCTTTGCGCTTTTTTGCCGGCGCTTTTTTGTGTCCGATCGCGGGGAAGGGACCGAGAAAAAATAATTGTCTTGTTTTCGAGGGATTCACCCCGTTGGTCAGTAAATCGGGTTTGGAGGGAATGCAGCAGTCTTGTGACACGGCGCCGTTCCTGGTGGAGGTCGGAGGTGGTGGTGTTGAGTGAGAAAATGCGGCGAAGAGGAGGACGAGAAGGGGCCAGGAATTCTTTTGTGTTTACTTTGGGAATTTCTCATGGGCAACCACACGGTCTAGTCCAGGCAGAGAGACACAGAGAGAGGTGGGATGGGGGGTTGACTGGGCGCTAGTGGCTGGTACAGTACTGAAAGAGTCAACCGTCCGGGGGCTCACAGTGGACGAAGACCCACTTTACACTCACTAACCTCCTCTAAGCGAAGAAACCAGATGGTGACATTCTGACAGGCAGGTGGCTAGCTGTTCTTTCAAGTCTTGAGGAAGGGGCGAGGAACAAACACACAGACCCGATACCGAATGGCAGGTGCTGCCACCAGCTCAACCATCTTCCACTCAGTTTCCATTGTCTCGTTTGCTTCTCTTGTTCGGCTTCCTTTTTGCTCTGCTAGTCCCGAACCTTCATTCTTTGGCCGTTGCATCTACATGCTTCGGGTAAGATGTCCTTGGTTGTTGGAAATATTGGACTGACAAAGCCAATAAGGGTCCGTCAGCAGAAAAACTGCCATCCAAGCTTGACCTCATGGGCTGAGAGGATCTTCCTTGTACCAACAAGACCCTGAAAAAAAACCGAACACACGGATGACCGAGCTTCCAGCCACCCTTTCGATCTGCGGCAGAGGCGGCTGCGATGGCCCCAATCTCCATGTCCGTTGCCTCACGTCCATACCCCGTCTCGACTGACGTTTCTCTAAGTCCCTCCCTCTGGTAGCCTTCGTATTAGACGAAAGTCGGCCAACCGATGGACGACACACGACTTCACCGCCAGCAACGCAACGTCGCCCACTCGCCGCCAACAGATCGTCACAACAAACCTCGGTTGCCGAGTCCACGAGCTCCCCCGCTCAGGTCCAATGAACAAACTGCAAACGCCGCTCTCCAGGGCCTCAATCCCCTCCTCTCACCGTCCAATCCCAAGAAATTGCTCAATCTCCTGCCTATGAGAGGTTATCCGCCAAGTCGCCTCGGGTCCCTCGAGCGGTCAATCACTGGGAGTCACTGGGGGACAGGTCCACCGAGCCAGCCTCCACAGCGAATCGCGGACCTTGAGGCTATGTTCCCGGAAAGGCTTCGGCGCCAGCACACATCCTCTTTGGGTGTAGGAAGGCAATACGGAAGAGGGGGAGGGCCATGGAATCCACCAGCCTCCGCCAGTCCCGTGCGGTTGCAGTAGCCACCTCGGCGAACAGCGACGGTCCTCTCCTCATCCAAGGACCCAGGCCTCTCTCCCGGTTCACTGGGAATCCCTTGGTCGATTAGGTTCAGCATTCGATGGAATCGGTTACGACGGCTGATCGGGCCAGCACAGCGACTGCAACCTCTGGACCGAGCCGGGGCTCGCCAGCAGGCGCCGTTGGGCGCCAATTGCGACACTGTGACATTGTCCCAATGTCGGTTGTGGAGGTTTCCACTCCCAGGAAACGGCGCTCGGCTTCGTTGCCCAGCAACCGCGGGAAGTCCCTTGCACCTTGTGCCCATCCTGGCGCCGCAGTGACGTATCAAAAATCACCAAGTGGGTAGCGGATACAGGTCCCACGCTAACCGCCTTTTGGCCTTGCCGGCCGGCAGCGTGTGAGTGTCTGCACGACTCGGACGGAGGCTCAGAGTTTACGGATGCCGGACGGTTGGGAGGCGTCATGAGCAGACGTGACGGAATCGGCGATGTCTACATGAACCACCATGGTGCAACCACTTATGGCCCTCTTCACCTGGAACTTTAGATCTGATCACCTGTGGCTTTATGCGTTTCTTCTTTGGCAACGAGCAGAGAGCCCCCGATGTGACAGCGGCTGCATGCGCCCACGCTTATTAACGGCAAGGGTCTATCTATAAGCGACCATCTGCATGCGCATGAGGAACGGTCCGCCGCGGACGCTGTCGCGTCCCTACTCCAAGTCCCGTCCTGGGCGCGCCCGTTGCTTTCTTGTTTTGAGACAACATCGATCGCGTGCTCTAGTAAGCTCTGGTTGGGTCCTGCGATCTGTCGATTGCCTCTCTGTGGCTGTTTCTACCAAAACCTGTTGACTGTCCAACTGCTCAAGCTTCTAATCGGCGCAAGCGGCATTGAATCGAACAACCTAAAACCCTGAGACTGTTCTTGTGGCTGACACCTCCAGTATACCCCGAGCCATACCTACATTAAGATTGACGAAATTAGCTCGATTCTGCAACAAAGGCCAGCCACCTTGAGCAACTCAAATACGGTCGTGTCTTACATGTGCCCGAGTCGAAGTTATAGTTATTCAGTTCGTCGCATTGTGCCATATTACCCTGACTTTCTTGATACTACAAACTTAAAAGCCAGTGCCGAACCCCTTATGTTGGAGAACTGAGTTGGGTGTTAAGAAACTAGTCGGGTCGTTATTGGCGAAGCCCGACGGAGGAGGCATTGTTCCTTTGTCTTCCGTCATGTTTCAGGAACCGGAGAATGGGGGTTCGTCGAGATGCCGATGCCTTGCTCACTGAGTCTGACATGTATCGAAAAAATGTTTCGCGTATCTCCTTTAAATCTTAGTCTACGATTCAGATCTTGCAAAGCGTCTAGTGCGAGCTGTCGCTGTCTGAGACGAAGTCGTGCTGACGGTACTCAATACCAAGCTCGTGTTCATCCGATACGCTTGTTGCCTATCAGCCTAGGCAGACGAATAAACATAAAACCCGTCTAGAAGCTAAGACGTTGTATCTTGCATCTATGTCTGGTTGGCCAAAACTAGCCATTTGAAGGGAACAAGCCCGCGTCGGCTTTGACTTGAACATCTGACAAGCAAATGTGCAAGGAGACGCAGGGGTTGCCTAAAAACGCGCCCCTCTCCAAAAACATAGCTGGCAGAGTACTTTTTTACAGCAGTTCCTATCAACGTAGACACTCTAAAGAGAGGCTGAGGACGCGTCATCTCGTGGCGTGAAGGCTTGCACTGAAAGTTATTGAGTTGCTGCCTTGATGCCCATCCCACCCGCAGAAGAGGACCCCGAGGAGGACCCCGAAGAGCCGGCAAGAGGGACGGCCGAAGGCGTAGAAAGGAAAGAGCATAGCCCAGGCCCAACTCGCCCAGCCGCGTTGCAGCGCATTGGCAGCCCAAGACCATTGTCAGGCAGCCGATGACCGGGCCGCTGTTGCTCTTTGTTGATATGGTCTCTCGGGCCCCTCATCGTGACTGATGCCGACAATGGGGTCCTCTACAGTGAGCGGCTTCTGTAGGTTCATCCTCACGTGGGGTCATGATGCAGCGTATAGTCAAGTCAAGGACAGAGATCACGAGTATGTTTGTATAACGGCCAAGGGCATCCGTGCTGGTATTTCCACTCTCAACCCAAAGGATAACGCCGCTATTGCTGGGGAAAAAGAAAAAGATATGTAAATGCGAATGTCGTCCTGTACGTATGTACGTCGTGATTACCTACTTCGAATGAACTACAATAAAAAATAGCGCGTGCTCGGCCCATCGAGCCATCATCGACGAGCCGGCGCGACCAAAAGAGAAGCCAACTCCAGACACCACGCAAAAGCATCCAATATCCGCCCGCCGACCCAAAGAATCCAGACCACGACCTCGAGCACGCTCACCACGGCCCTCGCGACGGCGCCCCCGGCACGCCGCAGTCAGAACTTGTTGATGCGCTTCTTGGCCACGTCGATCTTGCCGCCCACGCGGTCGGCGTCCTCGTTGAGCCGGTCGAGCATCTTGGTCTGCTCCTGCACCTCGTCGTTGATCTGCAGCCCCATCTCCTTCTGCCGGCGCACAATGGCCGCCAGCGTGTTGACCTGCTCGTCCTGCTCGCTCATCATCTGTCGCTGCAGCTGCACGACGCCGTTGTTGTCCAGCTCCCGCGTGCGTTCGTTCTCCGGAAGCGGGGCGCCCAGGACCCGTCCGCCGGTCCGCGCCCCGCCGTTGCGGCTCCCGCCTAGCAGGGCGGCCTTGTCACCCGCCGAGGCCCACCCTTCCCGGCCGCCGCCGCCGCTGCGGCCGTTGCCCTGCGCCATGCTGTTGCTCAGCTTGTCCAGGCCCTCGCGCTCGACCCGCGCCGACGAGAGGAGGTCCCTCCTACGCCGTAGCTCGCCGTCGCCGAGCCGCCCGCCCTCCTGCATCGCCCGCAGCCCGTCCGTGAGGGTGTTAACCAGCGTGCCGGCCTTGACGAGGGACCTCTTGGCCGCGGCGCCTGCCTCGGCCGCCGCGGTGCTGTTGTTACTATCGACGGCGCCGTCGCGGCGGGCGAGCTGGTTCCTCGCGTCGTGGAGGCACGTCTTCATCTCGCGGTGGAGGTCGAGCCAAGTCGTCGGGTCAGAGGCCCCGGCGCGGCCGCTGGTGATGAGACCATGGGCGCTCGCGGCCGAGTTGGAGGTGCTGCCCACCCCCGTGGAGGGGAGGTTGAGGAAAGCTCGCCAGGCGGTGGTGTCGCGCCAGCGGCGGTCGGGGGACTCGGCGATGGCGCGGAGGTAGGCCTCGAGGCCTTGGCGGCGCTGCTCGGTGAGCTCGGGGGACGAAACGGTCGACTTGAACCAGGACTTGCCCGGGAGCGGCTGCGGGGGCGGAGAGCCGACGAGGGAGGTGAGGGTCTGGTGGAGAGCGGCGAAGTCGGAGTAGCGCTTCTGGACGACGAAGGACTTGAGGGGAAGGCGGAGGGTGATGTTGTAGAGGGTGTATGGTTTGGATTCGCCGGTCGAGAGGATGGTCGATGGGATGGAGATTTCGGCCGGGGGCGCCATTGTGAGGTGTGGTCAAGGGAAACGGGAGTCCAAGAGGTTGTTGGTTATCAAGGACGAGCGATCGAACGTCTTTTCGGGGTTTGGACGAGGGGCTTGCTCGGGTGAGCTGAGTCGTTGATTGCTGTAGCTCCCCTCGTCGATCGTGGGTGGTGAGAGAGAGAGATTGAGGGCAGAGACAGAGAGACAGTGACAGCGGGCAGTCTCGATAATGTATGTATGTTGTTTAAGCTTTTCGACGCTGTCTCGCAACCGAACTTGGAGTCTTTGTCGTCGAATAGGGTGTGCAGCAAGAACGGGGCCGTCGCACAAGTCAAATACGTTTTTTCCTCTTGGGTGTTGTTTGTGTGTGGAATGATGAAGTTGGTCAGGAGGTTGTTTGCGTCAGGCACTCTCGCAAGCAACAAAGGCTCGTTCGGTGTCGGGTTCCAATGTCTCTGGTTCGCCTCGTCCCCGGCGATGGAGCAGCTGGTCCCACCGCGAATGGTCGGGTGTGAGGTGCGCAGCAGCAGCAGTTCCAGTTCCAGCAGCTGCCCCAGCGGACCATGCCTTAAAAGAGCCTGGCCCACAGCCCGCCCGTGCCTGTTTTGAGGTCCCCTGTCGTCCCGTCTCGCCTCTCCCTCAGAGCCTGTCTCCGAAAGAAAAAATAAAACGGCAGGCGACGGGCAAGGACGCCCGCCGCTGGTCGTGTGCGCTGTTTGACGCCTGTGGCGCATTTTTCTTTGCGTGGAACCGCTAAACTGGGGCCTGCAGCAGGGAATGACCGCATTTCTGGGACACGCTCACCTGGGCGCCGAGTTCCAGGCCAGGAACCAGCTGACGACGTACTATGTAGGTGAGGCCCAAACCTACGCAGGCCCAAGACACACACACACACACATACACGCCGAGGGCATAGCATGCATGCTATGATTGAACGGACGCTGCTGGTGTTCCACAGCACTCGGATATTCGCCCACTACCTCGACCTTGGATTATTTGATCAAGTTGCAACGGCATCATGGGATAGTGCTTGATGAAGTTCCTCTCTGAGCCTTGAATAGACTGCTCAATAACGTGGTGTCGGATTCTAGCTCCGAAAGCCATGCGGAGCCGTTCTCAGACAATAAGATTTCATTCTCTGACGAGGGCGGAGGTTGAAACTGACCCATAGGGTCACTTTGCAGACCAAGCCAGCCATCCGTCTCAGGGTTTAGTTTGGTTCCATGGACGCGTAGCTCGTTTGCAACAAGCCCACTTTGGATGACAAACAGGACAGCCTACTAATACGGTAGACAACCCACGACTAGCGCGCATACATGACTTGAAGCTCCGGACAAAAAATATTTTGATTCTATCATGACGGCTCATGCGGGACGGGACCGCCGTGAGCTCTGACCGACTTCGGCCTCGACTGTCCGAGTACTACTCAGCCTCATCATCGCCAGTATACTGATTATTACGTGCCTCTGGGTATTTGCACTAGCGCCAAACCCGTGTGCTTTTGCTTCACCACCCCCATCCAAGCACCTCTTCTTTTTCCTGCAATGCACCCCTACACCATCTAGAAGGTCTCCTGGTCGTCGACAACCTCGCCTTCTGCCGGGATCTCGAAGCCCTCCTCCGTCGAGTACAGGATGGTCTGGATCTGCTTGACGAGGCCGTCTTCTTGCTTTTCCAGCTCGGGGTCCTCCTCCACCGCCTGCTGCACCAAGAGCTCGATGTCCCGGAGCTTGCTGAAGTAGAAGTCGCGCTCGCGCTCGAGACCGACAACCGTCTCCTTGAGGGTAGCGTTCTCCTGCTGGAGAGCGGCCGTGCCGGGGCCAGCGGCCTTGGGGACACGGGCGCCGCCCAAGGGGGTGGTACCGCCTCGTCTAGCAGCGGCGCCGGTACCGGACGCGACACGAGGGGCAGAGCCGCCGCCGGAGGGGACAGGAGCGCCCTTTCTCCGGGCAACGGCATCGTACTCGTGGTCGGGGAAGTTCAGGTCCCAGAACTTCTTGGTCCATTGCAGGAACTCGAGGTTGTCCTGCATCTTGCACTTGACCAGCGCTTCGACGGGGATGGGCTTGTCGACCTGGTGCTTCGCGAAGGTGTCTGTTTGGTAGGTGAGCGTTGGTCAGCCGTGACTGTTTTGATCGAGGGAGAGCAGAGGCGGGCGGCATGGGACGGGATGGCGCAACACTCACTCTGCAAGACCTTGAAGTTCTGGATGTACGCATATTCGCTGTTGACGTTGAACTTGACTCGGGACATGGGAACGTCCATAAAGATGCTGTCAAACACCTGGCAGAGGGCCGCGCTGCAAACCGGACCAAACATCAACAACACCATCAAAATCATCAAGGGTCCCACTATAAACACATGGCGGGGGAGGGGTATCTGATCACCACTTACCCGGTACCGCATTGCTCGACCTTTGTGATGTTGAGGGACAGCAGCTGGTTCAACCACTGGATGAGTTCCTGCCTGGAAAGCCCATGTGGTGTTAGCAGAGAGTTGTGACGCGCCAACGTCTGCAGATGCTGCCAAACACAACGCCGAGATAGTGGTGTGGAAGGGGATGGAAGCTCGCCCACCTGGATTCGCCCATCTTGTCTGTGTGTGTCGGTGTTTTGCGGATTGTGTGTCTTGCGGGAGCAACTTTTGTTGGCAATCGGAAGAGTCGAAATGCGCGCTCGAGGAAAGGGAAATCGTTGGAAAAGACGCTTGAGAGAAGTAGAGAGACGCGGTTGTGGTCAAGAAGGAGACGCGGGAAAGTGAGGCACCGAGTTGGGTTAGGACCGAAAAAGACAAGTTGTAGAGTCAACAGGGCAGAAATTAAATCTCGTTGCTTTGCCGGCACCCAGCGGCGTGAAGGCTGCCAAAATTGTTGCCAATAAGCTGTGAGTGGTCGCCCAATCAACCATGGTGGGGTCTCCCATCGGGAGTCGCCCCTGCCCCCTGAGAACACTGAACACTGGACGACGAACGACGGACGATGGAAGATGATAAGCAGCATCACGTGCTTGTCCATGGAGTACGTATCTCTTCGGTCCCTCTCCCGTCTGCGCGAGAAATCAGCCCCACCTGTACTTTGACCGCCTGCTTCCGGGTCACCTCGAGGGTGGCAGAAAAAGTTGAGCTCCACCGTCCGTCCAGAAAAATTTCTGGCTCTGGAACAGCGCGAAGCATTGGGAAGCGTAGTGAAAGCCAGAACGATACCCCGCGGTCCCGACATTCGTTCTCTCCGCAATCCTCCCACAACCCAACATGGCTCCTTCAAACAAGCGCAAGACCGTCGACGACGACTTCGTCCACACAATCTCCGACAATGACGAAGAAATCATCGAGGAGGAGGCCCCCGTCGCAGCGCCTCCCAAGAAGAAGGTGAAAACCTCCAAGAAATCGAAAAAGGCTGCTGCCAAGGAAGATTCGCCCGAAGAAGAAGTCAACGAGGGCATCTGGGGCGCAAAAGATGACGATGATGGTGCCATGGACTCAGACTTTGAATTTGCGCAAGACGGCGCCATCGAATTCGGCGATGCGGAACTCGAAGGTTGGGGTTTCGAAGGAGCCAAGAAGTCCATGAGCAGCAACACGACGCTCGGTGTGGACCTTGAAGAGATCATTCGCAGGAGGCGCACGAAGAAAGATGGCAAGAACAAGCCGGAAGAAGCACAAGAAGAGGCTGCTGAAGAGGTGGACAATGACATGGACGTGGACATCGACCTGGACGACAACGACGACGAAGTCCTGGCCGATGATGCTTTCGGAATGGGCGTGGACCCCGACGCTAAGCAATCTGGCTCTGAAGATGAGGGTTCTGACGCTGAGGACGCGGACGACGCCGAGGACGACGACGCAGCATCCGACAACGACTCCGTTGCGACGCCTGTCGACCACCCTGAAGACAATCGTGATTCAGACGACGAGGAAGAGGAGGATGCGGAGGAACAAGCGAAGCGTGACGCTTTCTTCGCCCCCGAGGAGCCGGCAAAGCCTGGCAAGAAGGATACTGCGTCGTCCTTCCAGGCCATGTCCCTGTCGCGCCCTCTGCTGAGAGGTCTCGCGGCTGTTGGCTTTTCCAAGCCCACGCCCATCCAGGCCAAGACTGTGCCCATTGCGCTGATGGGCAAGGATGTCGTTGGTGGCGCTGTCACGGGTTCCGGAAAGACTGCTGCCTTCGTCGTTCCCATTCTCGAACGTCTTCTGTACAGACCCAAGAAGGTGCCGACCAGCCGTGTTGTCATCCTCACCCCGACTCGTGAACTGGCCATCCAGTGTCACGCCGTAGCCACCAAGCTGGCTGCCTACACCGACATCAAGTTCACCCTGGCCGTCGGTGGTCTGAGTCTCAAGGCCCAGGAGGTGGAGCTGAGGCTGCGCCCGGATGTCATCATCGCCACACCCGGTCGTTTCATTGACCATATGAGAAACTCTGCCAGCTTCAACGTCGATACCGTGGAGATTCTCGTGCTCGATGAGGCCGATCGCATGCTCGAGGATGGTTTCGCCGACGAACTGAACGAGATTTTGACCACCCTACCCAAGTCAAGGCAGACCATGCTCTTTTCCGCAACAATGACATCGTCCGTCGACAAGCTGGTGCGCGTGGGAATGAACAAGCCGGCCAGAGTCATGGTCGACTCGCAGAAGAACAAGACTGTCGGTACCTTGGTGCAGGAGTTTGTTCGCCTGCGCCCCGGACGCGAGGAGAAGCGTATGGGCTATCTGGTGCATATCTGCAAGACGATGCACACCGAGCGTGTCATCGTCTTCTTCCGCCAGAAGAAGGAGGCTCACCGCGCGAGAATCATCTTTGGTCTGCTTGGCATGTCTTGCGCCGAGCTCCACGGTAGCATGAACCAGGCTCAGGTCAGTGTCACTGAAGGTTTCCCGTCATGAATATTCGCTAACATGCCTCCAGAGAATCGCCAGTGTCGAAAACTTCCGTGACGGCAAGGTCAACTACCTCCTGGCGACCGATCTGGCGTCCCGTGGTCTCGATATCAAGGGCGTCGACACAGTCATCAACTACGAGGCACCCCAAAACATTGAGATTTACGTGCACAGAGTCGGTCGTACGGCGCGTGCCGGCAGAACCGGTATCGCCATTACGCTAGCCGCCGAGCCGGACCGCAAGGTCGTCAAGGCAGCGGTCAAGGCCGGTAAGGCGCAGGGCGCCAAGATCATGAGCCGCATCATCGAGCCGGCGGAAGCGGACAAGTGGCAGACGCAGGTGGACGAAATGGAGGACGAGATTGAGGAGATCATGGTCGAGGAGAAGCAGGAGAAGCAATTCGCGCAGGCAGAAATGCAAGTCAGGAAGGGAGAGAACATACTCCAGCACGAGGCGGAGATCAAGGCGCGGCCGAAGAGGACGTGGTTCGAGACGGAGCAGGACAAGAAGAAGGCCAAGGAGGCGGGCCGCGACGAGCTCAACGGGCCCAAGGGCAAGAAGCAAAAGCTCAGCAACAAGGACAAGAAGAAGCTCGACGCCAAGGCCATACGTAGCGAGGACAAGGTGTGGAAGAAGGGCAGAGCTGAGCGAGCCGGGCAGGGCGCGGTGCTCAACCTCAAGAAACAGCCCAAGAAGAAGAACGTCCCGGCTAAGGGTAGGACTAGGGCGAGGTTGGCTCGTGAGAAGCGATAATTTTGATTTTCTTTCGGTGTTTAAAAAAAGAAGAAGAAGAAGAGGGAAGCTGTCTAGACCAACACACCATGTGGACAATACCATTTGATTTCTCGGCCAGGGGTCTTTCGCATATGGGAGGAAATCGTGTAAAAGCATGCGGATTTTATTGGATGCGATTTATGGCATCGCAGTCTCACATGCCCAGCGCGCTCGAGCGTCACTTGATGTGAGATCTGGTCTGTGCATTGTCAGTTTTGGCATTTGGGGGCCAAGCGATGTTACGTTCTGGCCGTGACTTCCCCGGAGCATGGGGAGCCAACAGCGCTGAAGATCCTCCACCACCGCGTCAGTGGTGAATAAGAGGGCCAAGCTTCAGCGGCTGAATACCTGCTGCCAGCGAAGCTAAGCTGTGCAAGGATGACGTAATGTTTCGTCTCGCTTCGAGTCCCCCAACCTCTTTCCCCAGTGCATCAGCACGGCCAGAAGCAACGGGACCACCTCCATATCCCGCATAATCGCATGTTGTGGCACCTCGTCGCATTGTGAACGTCCAGGACAGACGCCAACCCTCGCCCCCAAACCTGTGCCCGCACTGCGCGACACCGGGAGCTTCTGAGACCAACACACCTACACCAACACGAACCTAAAGCTTCCGCCCGCCCACCGTCACGAGCTCACTCCCCTCCCCCCAAAGCACACCGCGTGCTCCGGCTCCTTCGACCCCGAACCGCTCGCGCCAACTTCACCCACCAGAGCCGCCCAAGACCATGTGCTTCCATCACCCTCAGCCGTCCCTTCATCACCTGTAAGAGCGTGGGGGTCAGAAGACGCTGTCGCCTGCCAGCCTCGTGCAACTCGTCGACTTCGCCTCGTCAGCCTCGGTTCGCCGGTTATCGTACCCTCCCAGACTTAGACTTCTCTTCCTACATAACGCCCACGCTCTGGGCCGTCCCGCGCCCGCCGTTCGTCTTGGACCCTTATCCAAGGCACAACCAAGATCAAGCTGGCTCCCTTCGGGCGATTTGGTCCCCCGCGCCCGCATCCTCACAACCGCACCAGCCTCCTGCGATACCTGTTCCCACGGAGCCTACGAGACCGATACCGCGAGCGCGTCCTCAACTTCCGCCTCGACACTCTCCCGCAGCTCAAGCACCGATTTCAGTCTAGTATATACCGATATATACTCGAGCGCCAGCGAAAGCGGAACGAGAAAACCAGGCTCGTCGACGTATTCGCGCGGCACAGTCGCCGGCTGCTCCTAGGTCCGCCCTCGGCCAAGCTGAAACGGCATGCGAGGGAGAGGGCAGGCAACCTAAGCAAAAAGATGCCCACGTTTTCAGACTACACAACCTACGGCGGAGGAGGGCGAGGCGCAGCCGGCGGTGGTGCCGGTGCTGGTGCTGGTGCTGGTGCAGGCAACGGTTATGGGTACGGGGCTGCATCGGCCGATGACCCGCCAACCCCGGGCGAGAGGGGGTTTCGGCGGAAATGGCTGGCTGCAAAGGCTGGCAGTGTGTACCGCGCCGGTGCCACCGCCGTAAATGAAATAAGAGAAGGGTATGCGCAGACACGGGTACGGCCTTTGGAACCGGAGGACGGCATGCCCAGGACGACAATCCCCGGATCATTCCCCGACGTTGCCATCACCGTGCAGGGAGACGACCAAATGGTCATCTTCCCGTCATACGCGAAGCGCCATGTCAAGCAAGACTGGACAGCGGAATATCAGCAACACTCTGACGAACAGCCTGGTAGTGTCAAAGACCAGGAGTTCTGGAGGAAAGAATGGGAACGTAATGAGGATGAGAAGGCCATCGTGGACATCGACGTCAGGGGCTGGGTATATTCGCCTCACAAAGGCCCGATAACTCGACGAAACCGCATCCTCATTGGCCTTGCGCGCCAGTTGAGTGGCATTCCGGCCCCTAGACAAGACGCCCCTGCGCCCGTCGACAACCTGTCCGCTCTGCACCAATCCCATGAGGAGCGGCGAGAACAGGAGAAGATTGCCAAAGAAGCCGCAGAAATCGAGAAGAGGGGACAGGAGGAACGGCGTGTGGCGAACCACGGCGGGTTCAGCGAGGCGCCAAAAGAGGGCTCGGACGATGACACGGAAAGCATATATCGAGCGAGATCAAGGTCGCGAAGCGGTACCCACACACCCATGACGGCCCCTGGGTCCCCCAAGTTGGCACCGACAAGGCAGAACACTACGGGTACCGACCTGACAGATGCCGAACTTTCCGTCGCGAATGCCAACCTCATGGCAAGAATAGCGCCCTTCATGACAACGCCTTTGGTTCAACTACCCATCACCGTCTTCTTTTATAACGATGAGAAGTCGGCTTCACGGACAGTACAGACAAACGATGCGGGACACTTCATTCTGCGCGCCGCCTTGGAGTTCGTCCCCACGCACGTGCGCGTTCTCGCTAATGAGGACCTGTCGGCAACTCAGGAGGTCAAGATCATCGAGCCGAGGGGTGTCAGTTTGATTAGTGACATCGATGACACTATTAAGCGCTCCAACATCTCGGGTGGTGCCAAAGAAATCTTCCGCAACACCTTTGTTCGAGAACTGAAGGATTTGACGGTGGAGGGCGTTCGAGAGTGGTACAACGAGCTACACAAGATGGGCGTAAGCATGCACTACTGCTCGAATAGTCCATGGCAGCTGTTCCCGGTGCTCGCGAGTTATTTCATGGTCGCTGGCTTGCCTCCTGGTTCGCTCCATCTGAAGCAATATAGCGGTATGCTCCAGGGTATCTTCGAGCCTGTAGCGGAAAGAAAGAAGAGCACCCTTACCAGACTCATGCACGACTTCCCAGAACGCAGGTTCCTACTAGTCGGCGACAGTGGTGAAGCAGATTTGGAGGTCTACACCGAGCTGGTCGAGGCTCATCCAGGACGCGTCATTGCCATCTTTATCCGTGATGTCACGACACCTGAGCAAGCTGGCTATTTCGACAATTCCTTTGAGGGTGGCAGCTCACGTCAGAAAGCCCCAAAGTTCAGGGTCACAGACGAAAGCGATGCACCATCTAGTCGACCAGGATTGCCTCCACGGGGTGAGGCCAAGACCGTTGGGCCAGTCATGGGGGACCTGATCGACTTTTCGGATGAACCCGAGGAAACCACACTGAATGATGCAGCTGCCCTGGCCCAGATCAAGGCTAGACCGAAGCCGCACACCAGCTCCACCGATCTCGTCGTCGGTCGCAAACCTCCTCCGCCTCGACCGAACAAGCCGGCAGCCCTTCGCAGCGCACCCTCTGATACGAGTGTGAACACACTTGGTGTGAGCAGCGGGGCAACTCCTCCTCCTGTGCCAAGATCTCGAAAGCCATCCGCTGACCGAGCTGGCCCTCATCCTCTGTCTCAGATGCACAACTCTTCTCAGCAGACCGTGGCCAGCAGCAGGAGTTTGCCAACCGCCGCCAAGATACCGGCAGCCACGGCCCAGAACACTATGAGCAAGACGGCCAAAGTCCCACCGCCACCCCCACCGCCTCGGCGCCGGGATACCCCGTCTAGCTCCCGAAGCCTCAGTCCGCGGAACCTCAACAACGGACGCAGGCTATCGAGCAATGACGATATTGATTTTGATGCACTGCCGCCGTCCGCGGCCTCCCAAGGGCAGGCTGCTCCCCCAACCTTTGCTAGGACTAGGACTGGCAGTCTGAAGTCGGGCGCTACCTCACCGACAGGCAGCCCGCACCTCGCACCCGCGGCGGCGCCGAATAGGAAGCACGAGCTATGGATGCGCCGGCTTCAGCGGGCCCAAGAGATCTTGGAGTCGCATGGGGTGGCCTTGTACACCTGGCGAAGGGGCGGCGACGTCGTGGCCGAGGCCGTGGGAATTGTCAAAGAGGAGCTGAAGAAGGTCGGTCTCAACGGCGAAAAGGATGCGACGACGGAGGGGAAAAAGTTCGAGAGGCAGATTCGGAGAGAACAGTCACAACAACAGCAGCATCAACAGCAACAAAGGCCGCAACAGCAGCAGCGAGGAGCATACCAGCAGAAGTGGTGACCGTTCAAGATTCAGTGACGCCATCGGTATACCATTCGTGGAGATGACTGACTAGGGGAAGCAGCGGGCCAGGGGGAAGAACGGTATAACATGGCGCTGGCGGAGATGATTCAAGTAGATATTTACAATCAAGCCTGCAATTTTTTAAATCACGGGGGCCATTCATTCAGGACATCCGCATTGTGTCTAGTTCTCGTCATAAATCGTGACAGTCAGGGTTGGTCCGTGTTGATGGCAGTCATGACAGTCCAGCACGGTCTCGCTCGGTGGCTAGAGCATGACAAGAACGCCTGGCATGAGTGAAAAAAGGGTCGTCAAAGTTGATGAAACTATACTGCCAGGTTTGATGTTCTCAAACGCCACGGAGAGACAACTATACTTCGGGTGACACTACCGACATATGGAGATGCATGAAGACTCGTACCCACCAGAGAGGCTGTTTGAAGAAGATGAAGAGCCTGACTCTGCGTCCGAGATAAATGAACACCCCTCCATGACTCTGACTTACTCAGCCATCCCACAGGCCCGTCCACCGAACATGAGGCTCTTCGCAGGGAGGGACCTTGGCTTGCGCCAGTCCCGGGATACCGGATGGTCTGTGTGTGATATTCCGTGCATTAAGACATCGGACGGGATAGATCGGCCATCAGCGGCCTTTGCATCGGTCTTCCATGGCATGCCACGCTACTGAGAGGATGGCCATTGGTGGGTTTCGGATAAGCTTTTCAGTCGGTCAACGTCGTTCTCTAGTAGATTGAGCTTACTTACCAACCCGCGTGGCTGAGATGGGGAACGAAGAGAATAGAGTAGAGAGAGCCTTTTTGTCTGAAGGGTCTGGAAAAGCTTAACCGTGCAGGTTTCAGACGACTGTGGGGCAAGGGAACGTCTAGATGAAGCGCGCCAGCGTTCTTGGATAGATTTCTGCCCTTCACCTTTCCGTCCGTGTACGTGCGCTTGAAGATGCTGCTGGTGGGATGGAGGAGCACGCAGTGGTTGCGGCACGCGAGCCCGGGCCGACTGCTGTCAGTCGCGAAGCCAAGTTGCGATTAGCTTTATGGAAGCGGACGGAGAACATAGGGGTTCGTGGGGGAGAGACGTGAGGAAACGGGATATATAAAGAGGATAGAGTTCTCGTCGTTGCAGACTCTTGGATCTGATCATCATCAGCAGCTTCCAAGAGCTTCAAGATACTCACTCACTTCTTGTCCAAGTTTCAACCTTCTCTTCTTCACAACGACTGTGTCGCTTCGTTTGACAGCTGGTCTACCCATCCATACCGAACAATCTTTCAGCATATCAAAGCCAAGCCTTTCCATCCCAACACTCTTCGTCTTTGCCAAGCCGCTACCTTTCGACGCCTCCACCAAAGATGTACATCCGAAACAACCTCCTCGTCTTGGCCCTCTGCCTCTCCGTTCTCGCCTCCCCGGCTTCGAAGAGCGGCTCGAGCAAGGGCGCGAAGCACAGCGGGGCCGCCAAGGCGCATAATACGCGTCCGGCGCATGCGCCCAAGGGTACTCATGCTCCGAAATCCGGTGCCGGATCTACTGGCGGCGGCGGCGGCGGCGGCTCCGGTTCCGCCGCCGGCAACGGTACGAGCTCGGGCGGCACAAACACGGAGCTGCAGACGACCTTCCCCACGCCCAAGGGCTCGCAGAACCTCGCGGCCGTCAAGACCATTGCCGCGGGCCAGTCGTTCGACGGCGGGATGCAGCTGTGGGACCGTAGCCCAAGCACGTGTCACGGCCAGGCCGAAGGCGGGAACAAGGACGCCGTCTTCATTCTGGAGGAGGGCTCTACGATTAGCAACGTCGTGATTGGCCCGAACAATGGTGAGGGAATCCATTGCCTGGGTAGCTGTACGATCAACAATGTGTAAGTCACATCCCCCCTTCTCTTGTTTTTGCCCCTTTTCTCGTTCCTGAAAGCCGGAATACTAACGCCCGTCCACAGCTGGTTCCAAAAGGTTTGCGAGGATGCCATAACCTTCCGCCAGGAATCCGGCACCTCATACGTCAACGGCGGCGGCGCGCAGGACGCCGAGGACAAGGTCCTGCAGCACGACGGCGGTGGCACGGTGGCGGTCAAGAACTACTTTTGCAAGAACTGCAGCAAGATGTACAGGAGCTGCGGCAACTGCAAGAAGCAGACGGCGCGGCACGCAACTTTTGACAACATCAGGCTCGACGGCGGCAAGGTCGTTGCGGGCGTCAACGGGAACCTCGGCGACGGCGTGACCGTCTCGAACTCGTGCGTGCTGGGCGGTGCGGATGTCTGTGAGAACTTTGAGGGCAACAACAGCGGTGCCGAGCCGCCGCTAAAGAGCAAGGGGCCGGATGGCAAGATTTGCGTCGCGAACAATGTTAAGACTAGCGGGTGCTAGTTTGGATTGACAGAGAGAGATGCTAGAGACGGGATCTTGTGGAGGGTTTGGGGCCGTGAACGGGTCACTGAGTGACACTGTGGGTGTTTTCAAGTCTCTCCAAGACTTGTGGTTTGAGGACTGCCATGTTGGCAGCTTGTCTATACTTTGATACTGTACATATCGGGAAAAAGCCTGGTTTGGTGTCAATCCAGCAGGAAGCCTAGAGGCAAGCCAGCTAGCGCTTTCAGTCTTACATATTTCGCGGTCTCCAACGCTGGCTGTAAACCAGTAGTCTAGTCCCATTGCAACGAAGATATTGAAGTCTTTTGAGACACCAAATTGCAAGGCTTAGAAATGTAGTTCAACTCGACAATCTCGGTGTGACGTCTATGACCGGGATATCCCGCCCCAGCCCATACGGCCTCGTCCCGCCAGACCGGCGACGTCGCCCCGCCCTCATCCCCACCACATCCACAGAGAGGGCTTCGGGATCCGCTTCCCACACCATCACCTCGTTGTCGCTTCAAATTCTGCGATCTCCGCCAATGCATCCACAGCAGCTGAGCATCACAAAGTTCGCACAAATCGGTCTATTAGTCTAGTTGGTTAGGACGTCGGATTCTGACTCTCGCAAGTTGGGATTTTCCGTAAGCCCAGGTTCGAATCCTGGATGGACCTTTCCTTTTGCTGTTGCATCCCGTTGATATTACGTGTTGACTATTTTACGTGGTGCGAATGGGTCGGACAAATATGCAATGTCAACGGAAGCAAAGATGGTGTGTTTCACTAACAGAGTGTGTGACGAAATGATTATTTTGTTAAGGTGCTTGGTTTTAATAGTTGAATCTGTGTTTTATGTGAAGCATGTTTATATCTGCGCTTATTATTACCTGTCAAACGAAGACGATGTGCACGCGTTGCTGAAACGGCGATGCTGAGTTTAACTTGAGTTATGAAGAACCTTGACCGGGATCTATGCAGGTCCTGTTTGACGACAGGCGATGGAATATCCGACTCGCGATAGCAGCATCTACCAGAATGCATAAAGCCACCAAGATGTCACACACGAGAACAATGGACTTTCAAAGACAGCGAACACCCTACACAGTACGTTACAATACTGTGAAAATGAGCGATGGAACCAGAAAGGGCAACACCATCGTATAGACCCTTTTTCGATGGCTATACTTTCCGGGATAGACAGGCGAGCCCGGCGCTTCCAGGTCCGCCAAACTGGGATCAGGGTTGCGTTCGCCTTCTGCCGGGCGCCGCGTTGTGGGGCATAGACGGGGTTCATCTCGTATTGCAGAATGTTGACCACAGTCTAAATTGACACTCTAATAATAGGGACTTGTGGATATCGGGAGGTTAGAATAAAACCGTCAACGTGACCGTTCGAACCCGCGATGGAAGAAGTCTATGGCAGTGTTTGTCTCTAGAGTTTCAAAGATTGAAACATTAGGGTCGATTCGGATTGTCTTTGGGCATCCTTCTCTCGTTAACCATGTACCCTCACTCGTTTCTGGGTCTCTTGACCTCATGCCTCTCATTATGCTCTGCTGTCATTGCGATTCCTACGGAGAGGCGCTTTGTCAATGGCACCTCCGTAGACGTTCAGACGTACTTCGACCTCGATAGCTCCGCGCACGGCGAGAAGATCAAGTCGTTGACTGCCGATGGCTACCGCATGATCTCTCTGAGTGCGTACGGCGGAGCACCACACGAGAATTACGCCGCCATCTGGGTCCGGCGAGATGGAAACCCTTTTGAGGTAATCTACGGCGTGGACGAAGCGACTTACGACGACTGGTTGGACTCGTGGAAGAACAAGGGTTACGTCTCGACGCATGTCTCTGCTACAGGACCGGCCGGCAGTGCCGTCTTCACCGGCGTCATGGAGAAAACCAGTGTCGCCAATTGGGAGCAGTACTGCGGGTTGACTGACCCATATGCTTATGACAACGCGACGTCTGGGGTTGACATGGTCGTCAAGGGCTTCCGCATGTACGGCACCCCAGATGACCGCCGGTACTGCATCCTCGGGCACGAGAATGTTGGAAACCGGCACTCTACCATCTTCTACTCGGCCGGGAACTACACCATTGACTACCCTACCATCTACGAGTCCGAGGTCGCGAAGCCCTTCTGGCGGCCGTCTCGGCTCTTCGTTTCCGATGATCACATTATCACGCCGCAGTTCGTCGACACATCCGTTGGGAAATGGGTGGCCATGGACGGACTCACAGCTTCAGAGCTTTCAACACAGATCGAAGCTCAAAAGCAAGTGGGCCTGTATCCTATCGACCTCCACGGCGGCGTCTCCGGCACTGACGTCCGCTTCGCCGTCATTTTCGCAGAGACAGACATCCCCGAATCTCGCAAGTGGAGCGCGACGGGTTCTGTCACGGGTTTCAAAGATAACGCCGGCGCCACTGCAGCTTTCGATGATGCTATGCAGACCTGGATGAAGAAGAACGGTGTGCGGCAGGCCCAGGTTGCCGTCGCACTGAATGGCTCAACCATTGCGGGGCGCGGATACACTTGGGCAGAGAGCAACCGGGCTGTTGTTGAGCCAGACGACGTTTTTCTTCTTGCCAGTGTGAGCAAGATCTTTGTCTACGCTGCCGTCACCAACCTGATCGAGTCCGGAAAGCTGAACTACTCAACCACCGTTTACCCACTTTTGGGGTTCAAGCCTGCTGACACCCGCGCCAACGACATCACTGTCAACCACCTCCTCACTCACACATCTGGGTACAGCCGCGAGCAGTCAGGAGATCCTGCCTTTTTGTTCCGCGAGATCGCATTCAACCTCTTCAACGGCACTCGTGCCGCAACCTTGCGCGACGTGATCGAGTACCAACTTGCCCGCCCTCTTGATTCCGCCCCAGGATCCGAGTACTCCTACTCCAATTATGGAACCATGCTTCTGAGCTACATCGTCAGCAACCTTACCGCGACTCCCTACCTTTCTTACCTTCAGGAGAATGTCTTCGGCGACCACGACGTGCGCCTCTACGAGACTGCCGCCTCTAAGCATGCTGTCGACCGCATCATCCAGGAGAGCAAGTACACTGGCTACGATCCCACGGAACCGCAAGCGTATCACCAGGTCCCGGGCCCCTTTGGCGGCGATGGCGCCATCAAGGAAGAGTGCATGGGCGCCTTCTCTTTCGCGGCGAGCGCGGCGACGGTGGCGAGGTTTATCGGCACCCATGCTGTCTATGGCACGGGCGGAAGGGCGCTGTATGCGGAGCGCGACGGGACGCTCGTGGGGGCAAGGACGTTTGCGGCGAGCAGGTCTGATGTGGATTGGGCGTTGACGATCAATACGAGGGAGTACATCTCTGAGGCCGAGTTTGATGATCTGAGGTACAACAAGCTACCGTATGTGCTTGGGCAATTTGCGGCGGCGTAGACTATGGACATGCCATAGTCAATGTCAAACTTGAGTTTTTCGATACCTTCCAGGTTGAGATGGGGATTGGTAACACTAAAGGTTAACAAGGTAGTTGCATAATAACTAATCAACTATGCAAGTCTGTCTCCAGGGTAACTCTCTGGCTGCTCGTTTTCATCATCGCTAGAGGGATAACAAATCTTCCGCTCTATTGTTTACCACAACATCAGAGAAAGCCTTTTTCTGAAAGCATTTATGAACAAACAACCAACAGGTAGGTATCATTACGAGATTACCATGATGGTCTTAGCTACGCCTATGACAAAATGGGTCTTATACAATAAGACAGGGTCATTACTTGCAACACTGCTATAGTATGAGAATTTTATAAATTTAAAATCAGAATAGTGCCGACTAATGAGGACAATATTGTACTTTTTTTCTTCTTCTGTGGCAGGATTCCTGTTATAGGGACTTATGATGATGGCGGCAGGCAACGGGGATAGAACCCTAGGAGTAGCAAAACGGTGATTTACGAGACTAGAGCATAGCGGAGGTACGTTGAAAGATGTGCCCACCAGCTTTGTGCCACCTTCGTTTAGATTTCTGTCCTACGAGCCTCCGGTTGAGCCCAGGTATCCAGACGTCTTCATACCTTTCGAAGCGCCGGCCTGGGCCCGAGAAATACGGGAGCTGCCGACAGCCCCACTCAACATCTCCCTCCGTTTTGTTTTCCGGGTTTTGCTGACCGGTGGGCCCAGTCAACGAATTTGGCGCCGCGCTCTAAGGAGAGGCCCTTAGGCCAGACAGTCAACAGTGTATTCTCACATATTATTTCCAGTTATTCATTACGCTACGTAAACGGGAATGCTATCCTAACATATGCGGCATCTTCCAATCATCGTCGTGCTGTCCTTCTTTTAAACGCGATCTTCTGCGCTGGTATTATGACTCGCTCAGGCTGGTCCCGCAGCCACTTCTTTCTGGTAAACCTCCGCTTGCTCCTGCTCCTGCTCCTGCTCCTGCGCCTCAACTTCCCACTTCTCATCCACCGGGGCCTTGTCCAACGACTTGTCCGCGTATGTCGCCACCATCCTGACAATGCGCTTCTGCTCTGATGGTATCAGCAGCGACTGCCCATGGTCGCGGTTGTGGAGGTAGAAAAGTTCTATATCCGCCTGCCCGGTCCATGATTCCGGCGTCCTCTTCAGCTCCTCGATGTCGGCGGGCGTATACTTGACATGTCCGTAGTGCATGTAGGCGGCCACTGTAGGGCCGTTCAACACGCAGTCGCGCGCAGCCACAACAGCCGTCGTCCGTTTGCCCTCAAAGTCCTCCCGAAACAGAACCGACTCGGGCCAATGGAAGCGGCGGCAGACAGTGTGCGCAATCATGGGGTCCTTGCCGGCGGCAAAGTCGATCTCGACCTGTGGCGTGTCACTGGCAACCCGACGGGTGATGTTGTATGCCACATCTGGAAGATGTAACAGGATGGATACGGGGTCGCAGAGGATGAGCGAGTTGATCTTGGGCGCAACGGCCGGGTCCTTGAGCAGCGGGCGCGCCAGCATGGTGCCGTAGGAGTGGCCGATGAAGACAAAATCCTCGATGTTGTGCTGTTCGAGGATTCGGTTGATTTCTCTGGAAAAGGTAGTCATCTCGACGCCGATGGGGGCTATCCGATTGGATACGTTCATGATCTCAATGGCAATGACGCCAACCTCCTTGGGTATGGTTGGTAACCAGAAAGCATAAGTTCCTATGCCAGGACCGATGCCGTGGAAGAACACTATCGGTCGGTACGTCGTGGATGTGTGAGGTCGGTAGTAGTAACTGAAGTGAGCGGAAGCTGATTGCTTGGGCGCCAGCAGAGTCATGAACCGGAGCGGGAATATTGAGAAAAACGTGGAGCGCGGTAGTCGGTAGAGGGTAAAGCCGTTTAAAGCTAGCCAAAGAAACGCCTGATGGTCTAGGAGGCCCATGAGGGTATACCACAGCAGCGATCGGTGGTACATCTGCACAGGATCGAGGTTGAGGCGGATCGGGATGCCGTCAGCCCGGCCCGGGGGAAGATGTAGCCTGACTTTTCCTCGGCCATGTCAACGTAATCATCAATCTCGTCCCATTCCTCTCTGCTGAGGGCCTCAGACTCCGTGGCCCAGAGAGCCCACGCGAACCAATCTTTCATGTTGTCCCGGTGGATTTGATCGAGGTGCGCAAGGGAGAACCACTTGCGGATGTAAAGTCGACCGTCTGGGATCGTAGCCCAAGACTTTTCCATCAGCGCTTTTCTCTCAGCCCTCGTCATCTCTCGCATCGGCATGCCAAAGCCCTGTAGTCGGTTCCTGTGCCATGCGGAAACGGTGAAGTACCATATAATCTCCACGAGGCCGTATGCCTCTACAGCGATCGAAAAGGGATGTGCGATTCCCGGCACGCCGAACGCGAACAGAACAAACAGAAAGTATGAAAAACATCCAAATCCGATCCATCCTACGATATACTTGGCAGCTAACACCAGCTTGTACCGCAGGGGGGTGTGGTCGAGAAGCATCGTGGCGGGAGTCGGGCCCTCCAGTGGCCAAAATTTCGGCTAGAGTGAGACTGACGAGGCGGGAGGATGGCCGTATATAGTGGTATCGTATGTTGTTGAGTATAAATCGCTGCTGAGTCTAACCGTTGCTTTGTCGCCCATGAAGAGCATTGATATACCCAGATTGGACTTTGTTGTGTTTTGTACTCTTGCTCCTTATAAGATGCTAGCAGTGGCCTCGTTTCGTTTCGAAGAAATGCGAGACGGGTACAGCCAGCACCTTCTAGGAAACCCATGGGTTGGAAACGGATCATGTTCTTTGGTAGGGCCAGCTTCGAAACCGACCCCCTTGTCGCAAATCTTCATTTGTTCCAGGGATGACGTGTCTGAGCACTTAAGAGTGACCATACTTGTCCGGTGGAGACGCTGACGCAGGACTGAAGCCGTTTGGTGATGCGATCGAACGAAGCCAAGTGTTGTCCGATGGTGCTGAATCCTTTCACGGCATGTATCAAACCGCCTACTCGCCCTAGGCCCACTATCTTAACGAGTGCGAGACATAGCGATAGCCTGGACGGATTTGCCAAGTACGGTTATAGGAGCTGCGATATAGCACATAAGATCAACAATATAGGTGGAATGCTCCCGCACCCTGTTTGGTTGATTCATGCAACGAGTTTCATTTTCCCTCAAATGGCCTCCAGAACTACACAGTGACCAGTCTTCAAGGCCAGATGCGGTCTTTGCGCCTAGATAAAACAGTAGGATTCCTCTGCGCACGTCGCTTCGATGGTGCATCTGAACGCGCTGTACATTCGACCTAATACGACGGGAAGAAAGTGCTCGATCAGTTCTGTTGCTTGGCCACATGCATTGGTCCGAGGTAGTGGCAACAATATAATCCGAAAACTAGTTGAGCCTTACCATTGAGGTCTGTAGCTATGCTAGTACGCTGTCATCTTTCCGAGATAGGAGGCCGCATAGTTGGCATGTGTACTTCCCCGGTAGTGCAGCATTGATATTCTTTGATAATGCTCCTACGCTCACTGGTAGTGTGCGGTGTCCCTTTCGAGTTCTCCAAGTGACATTCCGAGTGTGGCTGAGCAGGCACAACTGAGTCCCCTCTTGTGTCTTGTTTTCCTCTTCGTTTCTTTTTAGTTGCTGTTATAGCCTCTAGGTAGAGGTTGAACTCTACCTTTGTTGCAAGCTAGAGTCTGTTAAATTTATTCTTGGGAACGTTGGCTGCGCTATATGGAGAGGATATATCGTTCGCCTAAATACTTTCGAGGTCCTCCCATTTCCAAGACGGCCGCTCTGTTTCTATCTTGAAGAATATCTAGATGTTGAGGTGGCGGACTCACTAAAAGAACAAAAGGAAACATAATAGTAAAAAACCAATGCTGCTGCTGTCGCCCAACAGCCGTGCCGTGTAAGCCGTGAGGAACCCGCTGGTTACTTCTGGAAACCCACTCGGCGGTCCGTTACTGCGCCTGAACGACCTCTTCAGCCGATTGCTCTCTTTGGAGGCCTTCTTACAGGAGCGCCTCGGTCCGGGGTAAAGCTGAGACAGTGACCTTCCGTATCCGGCACGGGCTGTCGGGCTGTGTCGTCTGATTTTGCACCTTCTGCCGGCCGCCGCTGCAATACAATCTTCGAGCCGACTGACATATGCCTTTGAAGGCGCCAATGAGAGACTTTTTATGGCACCGCAAAACAACAAGTGCCGACTTCGCGTGACGCACCGCGCCACACCGGGCGTTCCCACTGACACCAGACACCACAAGAAGGGCTTCCACATCGTCCTACGGCTTTTCGAGCGACATCCGGTGTGCTCACGGGAGGGGCAATCCCAAAGACGGGTCGGAACATGGGAAGAACAAGGAAGGGACGACACCAGGCTGTGCGCAGCGTGGTCGCATCTCACTCGGTACCCTTGGCCCTTGGCATCTACGCATACCGGATATATGGTCTTGTAACGGCCCAACTATATCTAACAACGAAATAGTGTTTAGGCAATCGTTCACTCACTATGCAGATAGATGGACACCATTATGGTCGCTTATAGCATGCCGACTGATTCACTTGATTAAACCCCTACTAATCTGTCACAGGTGCATTGATGAGGATACTGAATGAACATAGACCTAGCCGTCGATTTATATTTAAATAGTGAACAAGAATATGTTGTGTACGGCAATAAAGTCATTGGATACATTTATGCCTTTATAAGACCATCGTGACTTTCCGACCAAAGGACCATGAATCCACCGGCCCTACTCAATATTTTGTTTCTCGCCGGTTTAAACCCATGAATACAAAAGGCCCGTCCCTCACCATCTCAGGCGGCAGCTGGCGAAGTCTTACGGTGCTCCCGTGAAACCCACTCCGAGGAGGGGCGTGGCACAACATCAGCAATTCGGTGACCCCCCCCTTGGACCCAGAACGTGGTTCAAAGTCAAGCATCCGACGGACATAGCTAGGTTCCTGCAGACACATGGTATTTTTCTCCAAGTGCACTATGATCGAGGGTTCTAAGTCAATCTTTGATTGAGATGAGTATCGTTGTGGGTTTGCACCGCAAACGCCCAGAGGTTAGGCACACAATATCTACGACTTGGACATTGAGACCGTCCAGGGTCCTTGTTTCTTCACGAATTATATCCACGGATAGGAATGGCTTCTAAATCATTGGTTGTGTGTCTGGAGAGGAGTTTTGCTTTAATCGTCTTCATCCGCCTTCCAGGCGTCCGTGTCCAACATGCGTCTAATAGCAGGCAAGAATGCCTGAGCCTGGCGGAACTCGCCAAGCTTGACCCTCATCTGGTCAAACGCCATCAACACGGCCTGGTCGGCGCCGGTTGCCGTCGTCCGCTTCTCGACCAGCGGAAGCTTGGCGTAGCGCTGCGAGAAGTGCGTCAGCAGCACACGGCGCGCGCCCATGCGATACGCGACGTCGAGAGCCTCGGACATGGTGGAGTGCTTCTTGGCCAGCGCGTCGCCCTTCTTGTCGTCGTCAAAAGTGCTCTCGTGGATGAGCAGGGTGGCGCCCTTGCCGGCCTCGACAAGCTTATCGCTGGGGCGGCAGTCGCCCGAGTATGCGATCTTGAGACCCGAGGGCCAGGTAAGGACGCCGGCATACGAGTGCTGGCAGTGCTGGACCGGGACCAGCTGGACAGAGGCGAGGCGGGTAGGACAGTCGGCGGGCAGGCGGCCGTCGCCGTGAGGGAAGACATGGTCCTTTCTGATGAACTTCAGGCGATCAAAGGCCATCGGTTCGATGCGGTTGTATTCCATGAGGAAGTACTGCATGGCGTTAGGGCTGACAACACCAAGCTTGGGCTGCGGGTTGAGGTGGGCGGTCGATTCGCTCCAGGCACGGATAAAGCTTGCGGTTCCGAGATGGTGGTCTGCATGCATGTGGCTAATGAAGATGCATCGAGTCTCTTGGAGAATCTTGGTGACCTCCTCGGCGGGGTAAGCGCGGCGAAGTTGGCCAAGGGTGTTTTCGCCGCAGTCGAGAACGTAGTTGCCGTACTGCGGCACGCGGATGATGGTCGAAGAGACGTTGCGGTACTTGGATGGCAGGGCAGATCCAGTGCCGAGGGGGATGATTTCGGTATCGCGGTTAGGGATATCCTGCTCCACCCTCTCGACCTCTTCCAAGAATCCAGGCTTTCCGATCTTAGTCACAGCATCCGAGGCTAGCTTCGAGGCCTTTTTGTCAATGCCAGCAACTTCCTTGAACGTTGGGAACGGCACGATTTCATCCTTCTTTTCCTTTACTTCCGCCCCCAAGACGGCCTTCATGCCAGCACGCGCAGCCTCGACATTAGGGCCAATGTGCGAGAGATCCCGGACCGTGTTGTCGGAGTTGAGAAGAGGAAAGCGGTCAGGATCGATGTGGCGCAGCTTGGCGTGAAGGAGGCCGTAGGATTCCATCGACACCATGTTCGGGCAAGCGTCCGGGGCCATGACGATATGCTTGACATTGGGTCGCTCCTTCATAAAGCTCTGGATGCGCGGGTCGTCAATTACCGACTGGCCGAGAATCCAGTAGAAGATGAGCACGTTGTCCATCACGGCCTCGTTCTTCCATTCTGATCTGCCAAGGAACGATTCGATGTAAGATGTACTCGCAAGGTCGATGACGGCAAAGCCGATAGGCTTCGTCGGCGCTCCGAGCACCATATCTGGTGTCACTTCGTTGCCAGTCTTGCTCTTGATCGTCTTGCCGTCCGCAAGATACTTGAAGTCAGGAGGGTTGACTCCCAACTGCTTAGCAATGACAGGGTTGAACTTGCCTCTGCGACCTCTGTTCTTGACGACGTAGCAAACGGCGGAGTTGGAGCGTGTGGCTTCGGGAAGCGACTCAACCGTGGCTGCTGGCCAGGGGTATCGCACAAGGACATCGACGTCAGGTACCTCGCCCTTGTCACCGGGCATGGGACCCTTGTACTTTTGGATCTGGCCGTCCACCTTGATGAAGACCGTAGCAGGAAGCTTTACCTGGGACAGCTTTGTCTCGTAGAGCTTGTCCATGGTCCAGTCCGAGTTGAACATCTCTCCCACAATCGCCTCAAGTGCCTCCCGATCGGTCAATTTCTGCTGCTCGATCGATGTCGACTCTGTGCGGGCGGGGGTCTGCAGAGCCTCGTCCTCTGCTGTCATAACTTCGTGGCTTCTCTTACGTGACTTGTTGAGGGCTGACAAGGACTCGTCAGTAGAGATGGGAACTTTCCAGACTTGGATCGAATCGTCCTCCCAGTCAGGCTTCGAAGCCTCAGAGTTTGTCAATCTCGGGTCCTCGTAAAGCTCAACAGCGTGGATAGGGAGTCCCTTTCTGAAGACGAACCCCCGCGCGGTCGCAATGGAGTAGTTCAGGTTCTGGGCCCCGTGGATCTCGATGTGGTCGGGGCCTTTGAGTTCCACCTGCTTTTTGCCGATCTTCTTGTTTTCTTCGTTCCGGGCCTGTACCTCCCTCCGGCTGCCGTCCTGAACGTCGGCAATCGTGAGCATCATGCCAATCATGCCGCCCGTGTTTTCCCACTTGGTCTCGCCCGACATGAAAAGGGTCTCCAGCTTAGCGACGGCGAGCTTGCGCTGACTCAGGGCTCGCTGAGTTCCTTCGGAAAGGTTGCCAAACAAATATCGTCGGTGGTCGAAATGGAGCAAAAGACTGGCGCCTGTATCCGCCGTAGGCGTCGACACAACTTGAACGTAGTTCGTCATAGTGTTAAGCCGCCAATTCTTTCGGATGCGTCTCAGTGGCCCTTTCTGTGGTCCTCTAAGGAGGTGGTGGCAGAAAACAAACTTCCTTTTGCTGTCCCGATCGGCGATATTGTTCCAACCGCCCGGTAACAGGAACACCTGCCTGCTGGGAAACGACCGAGGGTCGCCGCGAAGGATTTTGTGGGTGCGGAGACTGGCTCCAGGCGACTGCCTTCCCGTGTATGAGCCCAGTGACTCGAGTGACGGTTTTTCGCCGAGATTGTCGCAAAGGGTGTTTCGGGAGTAGTGTCTCGCTGGTGGTTTGTAGTGGCTCTTCGACGTAGCCGGGTTGTTCTTCGAGGCTGTTGCAGGGGCAGATCGAGATGCCGGTTTGTCCTTCCAGACGTTAGGAGTGAAGCGAAGAGTGTCGAGTTGGTTTGCAGAGGGACGACGTTTGGGCGACTGTTTAGCAGTCTCAGGCGGTGCTGTCTTCGCCTTAGACTGTGCCGAGGATCGTGGTGCGGACGAAGACGCAGGCTTGGGTTTGTCGTGGTAATATCGCCGGGAAACCGTAGAAGTCAGAGGACTGACAGCTCCTTTTGGGCAATGTAAAACGTTATTAAGATGACTCAATGCGTGCGCCACATGCTTTTGGGTTGCTGGGCGGTACATGAAGAAAAAAGAGTGTGGGGAGCACGACGCTCACGACGGAAAGAGAAAAAAAAAAGACACTGGTGGATATCAACACATTGGAGAATAGCAGTTGGAGTATGACGGACTTGACTGGCTGCGACTTGTCGTGGGCGGCGAATGACTGCTCGGCCAAAAAAACTTTCTGGACGGACCCTTTGCGGCTGACAGCTGCGGCTAGCTGATAAGGGCTTATCGGACAAGCGCAGTGGCTGAGTCAGCATTGCCCGGGTTCTTGTCTCTCCATGATTAGGTAAGTGATACACCGGACATCTGAGCGCTTCAACGACTCGATCTATTGCATCTCAGCACCTCAACAATGCACCATTGGTGACACAATCGACTTGCGTCAACAACGATTTGCTCATGATTTTAGTTGGGGTTAGAACAGCACTAGTATTACTCTCGAGACCATCCCAAAGATTTTCCCTAAACCACCTGGGGTCGTAACCGAACGACCTGTCTTGGATGAAATGACATTGACCGATTAACGCCCACCAGCTATATGGTCTCTTGCGATCAATATGACCAGTCCTAACCGACAGATGAAACCAAACTTTTTCTTTCTCAGATTTTCACCTCTTCTGGTATCATTTTTTAGGTCGTAGCGACGAGTATTTCTGGTTGCGACCAAGCACGACGGCGACCACCTCCCTGGCAGACTTGGGCCTGAAGGCAGCCTTGATTTCATCCTTTACCCGGAGGCGCGTGTGAGTCGTCGCCATCGTGACGATCTCCGCCGCCGTCCTGGGCAGTCATAAAGCCTGGGCCTGCCACCCCAGCGGCCCTGCGGATGTAGCAGTGCTGCGTGGGGCGGCTTTCTGAGTGGTAACTGGTGTCGCCGTGCAGGTGCTGCTGGCCGGGCCGAGGGGCTGCTGCATGTATCCCAGCTCCGCATCGGCCGAGTTGGACGGCGAGCTGCGTTGTGGGAACCGGCTGCGAACCGTGGCGGCGCCGGGGAGCGTTGCGACGCCGCCGAGAAGAAGGAGAGCCGAGGACGAGGAGCGGATGGCGCTCATGATGGCTTGTGAGGATTTTGAGGTTGTGTTTGGGTTCGGTAAGGAGTTTTTTCAAGTGAGAGACTCTTTGATGGGGCATCAATGGGCCGATGACCATCCCCGTCGACTTATATACACACTGGCTGCCACGCTCGGATTGTTGAGGTTGCGCATGCTCACCCTTCCCCGAGGAGTTGGCGATCGCCCGTTCCTGGAGAGGTGGCCACCCGCTGACATTCCATCAATGGCACGAAGAGTCCCTGCATGAGAAACACAGCCAATTCGCGCCGGGGAAGAGTTTCGCCATGCCATGTGGGCGTCGATGGGAATGGCGGGGGGGCATTGCCACTTGGGCGAGCTGGATGGGTTTGTAAGACGAGAATGCCATCTTCCCCACGTCGGTTCCCCATGTTGATCACCAGAAGCAAAGAATTTGAAATGTCCTTCTTGTTTCTCAACGCGAATCTCAATTGGCCCCGGGGTGTTTAAGAAAGCTGTCCGAGGGGCTCGCCGCTCACACCCCCATTCTTAGAGTTTCAGTGTCCCCCGCGCTTCGGCTGTTGAGACACATATCTCATCAATCAGGAGCTGCAGCCAACCCCAACAACATGGAACTTTGGCGATAACACCAGAGACAAGTTGCAACGTCGGTCACTGGCCAAGTTCTACCACTTGAGCTGAGCATCGAGTTCATCGGATTCCCCACATCAAACCTAATCGAAAATATCATAGTATGTATCGATCTGCAAAAAAACGAGGCATCTTGGAGTTTCAGTCGTCAAAGACATCGCATCATGTCTCCAAAATGCCATTCCCCACCCAAAAAGTGCATCAAACCAACTGATCCGCGTCCTCTCTTATCATCTGACTTGCACAATTTCTAACGCTGCCCGACCTCCCCACGGCCTGCTACCTACGCAGAGTCCAATCCTGCTTCTCCTCCACAGGCCGCTCTACACCAATTGCTCAATCCCACTCCGACAAGCTGCTACAAATCCTTCCGAGTTCCGATTTCCACCCCCCCGGAACCCTCGCCCGGACGGGAACCCCGGCTCGCGGAACGAGTAGAACAACGGGCGGTTTGTCAGCGGGGAGCTTAAGTTGCGGTTGTCATCCGACCTGGCGTGCCCAGAGGAACATGGCCCCAAGTCGGAACATTCTAAAAAGGTCTTTCAGAAATCTAGACGGCATTTGTCGACCCCATGGACCAGTAAGGAACCGCGTGCGACCCCCCCGGCGCAACCCCCAAAAAGCCGTGGCCCGCCAAGTCAATTGCATCATGGACCAGGGGCTCTCCTGTGTTACCCCTCCATGCGGACCTTGCCCCTCCACGTCCCCCCCCCCCCCACTCCACTACCCGAGGGGGTGCCCGGCGCAGTTTGCGGCAGGGTCGAGGTAACAAAGCATCCGTAAGCAACCAAAACGTCACGAGTGAGAAAGAGACAGCAAAGGGGACACACGAGAGCGTTCATGGAAAGTGGGTTTCCGTCCGTCTGCATCCCGCACATCGCCAATTGACTCGCGCCCCGTAATCTGGCGTGCACCGCGGCATTAATCCTAGCCGGCCCCCCCCGCCCTATTCCGCACGTAGGTAGCCCGTCATGTCCGGCCCTAGCCGTACCGTCTTGTTCCGTCTTGCTCCCACGATACCCCGTCGCGTCCTCTTCAAAATACCGCCCGCTCCTCCATCGCCGACCTCACCCCGCCGCCACCCAGCAAGAAGAACCCTCGCGACGACACCCCGCACCGCCCTCAAAATGTCGTCTCAGCACCAAAATACAAAGTTCGAAGGCGGCGCCCAGGCCCAGCACAACCCGCACCCGGACTTCAAATCCGTCGAGGCCACCCGGCCCCCCTTCGACGCCTCCCTCGGCATCCGCTACACAAAGACGGTCGACCCGGACTGGAAGTTCGGCTCCGGCGCAAACGCTCTCGGCCAGTCCACCGCCCCCCACATCGCCATCGACCCGTACGAGGAGGGCCGCCCGGCCGGCTTCAACTACAAGCTCCTCATCTCCTCCATCGTCCCGCGCCCCATCGCCTTCCTGTCCACCCGCTCCGCCGACGGCGCCGTCACGAACCTCGCGCCCTTTAGCTACTTCAACATGGTGAACCACGACCCGCCCCTGTTTGTCGTGGGCTTCGCCGCCTCGGTCGAGAAGCCCAAGGACTCGCTCAAGTGCCTGCTCGAGAGCAAGGAGTGCGTCATCAACATCATCAGCGAGGGCTACCTCGAGGCCGCCAACTCGACGAGTGTCAACGCGCCGTACGGCAAGAGCGAGTGGGAGGTCAGCGGGCTGACTCCCGTGCACGACTGTAAGCACGTCAAGGCCGCCCGCGTCAAGGAGGCCGTCTTCGCCATCGAGGGCAAGCTCGACTTCTTCAAGGAGTACGACTCCAAGTCCACGCCGGGCAAGAAGAGCGGCGTCGTCGCCTTCATCGAGGGCGTCAACTTTTGGGTGAGGGAGGATGCCATCAACGAGGACAAGAACATTGTCGACCCCAAGGTAGGCTACTTCCACCCCCCCCCCCCCCCCCCCCTTGACGCCTGTTTGCGAGCGATCCCCGTACTAACTGGAACCTGTAGGTCCTTCGCCCTGTTAGCAGATTAGGCGGCATCACCTACGGACGCACCACTGAGGTCCTGGAGATCCCAAGGGCGGACTGGGACAAGAACGTTGGTGGCGAAGAGGGCTGGGAAAAGATTGCCAAGGGAAAGCAGTAGAAGCTCGTACTGATCATGAAAATCGGGGTGGGAAAGAAACGTAATCGTTGTGGCCAAGTATAGAAAGACCCGCGTATCACCTTTCCGCGGCCATGAGCATAGAAATCAGCCATAGAGCAAACGCGGCGGCCCCGTTCTAACCAGGGCGTCCGACGGATATATAGAATGCGACGAATATGTGCCAGAGAATGCACACGGTATCAACCCATGCTTCCCTCTCGACAACCCCGCCTTTCAAACTCCAGAGCTCCCGCCCTCCTCTCATGCTCGACATGTCCCTGAATTACTCATTGAAATCGTTCCTTCGTTGGTATCCGCGCCTAGGGCGGTCTGCATGCGCCCAAGCGCAGGCCGAGTGGCTTTTACAGGTAAATGCTCTGGCCTGGCTCCGAAATAATGAACTCGCAGCCCAATTGGGCTTCCTCCTCGTACGCTTGCAGCTCCTGTAGAATCACATTCCCTTGATCTCGCCCATCCAGCCGATCCTTGACATGGATGATGACTACCTTGACGCCCTTCAAGGGCAGGTTCCTAAAGTGCCCTTCTTCGTTTTCGCTCCATCCCTCGGCTTCCCGCAGTGATAACTCCTTCGTCGGGGTTGTGAGCTTTGGGCTCTCCACCGACGTCGCGGCCGGCGGGAGTGGTGGCACGTGTCCGATGTCCGCCGAGAGTTGACGCTTGGCCACCGACTTGGGGCTGAGCGGGGATTCGTCACCGCCCGTAAGCCGTGAGAAGGCACCTCCGGTCCGTCTCCGTGGGACCCCGTCGGTGTCTGCTACACGCTTGCGCTTCCGGGAGAGGTGGGCAACCTGTCGCGCTACCTCGACCTCCTGGGCTAATGTTCGCATCTCTTCTATCACGAAACATGGCTTCAGGTGCCCGAAGAGGCGATCGACAGAATGGGAGTCGTCATACGAGCACTCGATGAAGATGGCGGCCAGTTGTCCTGACGCAATCTTTGGTGCAGCCTCCTGCCATATTCCCAAGTTGCGAGGGGAGAGCGATAGGGAATCGGGCTCGACGTCACCAAAAACCAAGATCTCGAGGTTGGTGGCCAGATCAAGGATGAAGTAGGCCGACGAGTCATAGACGCATATGCTTGCCTGCGGCTCAGGCGCGACGGAAGACGCCCGGGGAATAGGCGCAGTGCTAGGGGCGACGCCGTGAGGTAGAATGCGCGGCGACGCGATCGAGGCGGCATCGACAGATGGATAGCGCAGGGGCGTCGCAGTGGATGAGGTGGATCCACGGTGAGGGTGTTTTTCCATGCAGTGGCCGTGAGAGACTGACCACGCCTTAACGGCGAGACGATCGGCAATCTCCAGATAGCCCTTAGATTCGCCGTCACCAATGGCGGGCGACCCGCCCTCGACGAGCCGTGTGTACGTTACTATGCCCGCACCATTATTCTCATCAGAAAGATTGGGCCAGATGATGTTGTTGAAGATGTGAGTTTTGAAGGCGTTGATGGTGTTCGGCAGAGCGGCAAGCCTCTTGGGCCGAGTAAGACCTGCTGTATTGACAACGAAGCCGGAGATATGGTCCAGGTGAGGATGTGTGATTAGATATGTATCAATGAGAGATCGGGTGATATGAGCGGCGATAGATGATGGGTAAATCGATGTGGTGTCTGACCTAAGCTCAAGGCCGGCAAATGGCCCAGATGTGAGAGTGTGGGGAAGCGGTACAGTACTGCCAAGGCCAGATGGCACAGAGGTCTCGAGAATACGGGTGATGGCGGACAGGTGAACGCCAGCGTCTACGGCAATAATGGATCCTTTTGTCCAGCCCGAAGCGACGGAACGTACCAGAAGAGCGGTGGTGTTGTTTTCCTGGGGACCGCCACCGGCACCCTGAGAATGGGTTAGCAGAGATGCAGACAAGACAAGGCATAGTGAGGCAAGTCCATATTCAAGCGATATGCGATTTTCCTCTTCCGAGACGTATCTCCACGAACAAGAAGGGGGAGCTAAACAATTACGATGACGGACGGAAGAAGTTGCTGGTCATTGCCTGCTTCGTCTCCGAGCTGCACTTGCAGAGACTCCTAGGGTGTGATGCGCCTGCAGTAGCGACTGCCTATTCGGTGCGGTTGGCGACCCCAAAATAGGCGTCTGCATGAATGACAAAAAGATGCGCCGCCCGGCCGGGTCGAATGATATCATGGCGACTTTTGTCTCATCGCCAAATCATGAAGTGACAGCTCGCGATCGATAGGAGCAGAGCTAGGGATTGAACACTCAACGACGGAGGGGAAAGACTAATAGGTAACAGTAGGGCGGAGCGACGGGGCGCATTGGATGTAATGACAGTGAACTTACCAGGACGATAACCTGTAAGGCTGGGCGATGGGTCCTGTCCGACTCCCCATTCGTGTCCTCCTCCATGGCGAAACGAATGTTAAGGGATGCAGCGCAGCGGTGCGCGATGAGCGTCGATGGATTAAGATTCCGTACCAGGATCGAGTACTGGAAGCACAGCCAAGGCCAGCTCTACGAAGCCGAAGCCGATGCCACCACCCCGCCGACACAGGATGCCAAGATGGGGTCACGGGGCGCGCGGCAGAAACGGTGGAACGGCACAGATGGGAATCGCATGCGAGTGTCGTCGTACGGGTCGCGCAGAAGTAGTCAATACGGGCGCGCGCTGGTGGGATTGATGGTCGCGGGAACGGGGAGATCTGGGATCTGAGTTCTGAACGAGATCGCCGGTGAGCGCGAGGGAGGGAGGATGACGTCGGTGAGTGGCTGGCGCACGTCGGTAGTGAGGTGACTGGTCTGACGGGAGCTATCCAGGTTGCGATGGCGGGCGTGAGGACCGGGAAAGATTGAAGTGAGTAAAAAAAGCATTGAGAGGGCAAATGGGAGACTGAAGAATGCAAGTGAGAGAGACACAATTTAGCGTCTTGATGGATCGCAACGAAACAGGGTTGGGGCTTTCAGGACTGATGCTGGCAGCGGCGCATTGGCACTTTTCTCGACTCTTTTTCTGTCAACTGTTGTTGGGCAAGAGGTTCCAACGAGATCCCTGAGGGCGGGAGAAAAGCGATGGATGGAGCTAGAGATGGTGAGATGGACGGCTTCCCCGAAGGCCCGACGTCGTGTGCCCGGGATAGGTGGGTAAGACGAGTCTCCAGCCGGTACGGTATTGATTGGCAAAGTGGAGGACGTATGTGGATGCGGACGGTGAATGGAGGGATGCGCGTGTGGATATGCGATTGTGCAGTCGGGTTTAAGTCCGATGGAGCAGTTTTTGAATGGCTTCGTTTGGGGTCCGGGGGTCTCGTGCAGAACGCAGGCGGTCCCAAGCAAACTTGGCTGGCTGGCTGGCTGGCTGTGGCTGGCTTGATCTGGAGGACGGACAGACGAGTGAGCAGCTCAAGCCTGTTGCGGCGACGGCAACAGCTGCGAATGCGACGAATGACGGCGGGAGTGATGAGGGAGCGGAAGTGGCCTCGGGTCGGGGGTGGCTGCAGCTGCGCACAGCGACAATGAGGGACGTGGGATGCGGAAGTGGATGTAGAGTTTGGAGACTCTTGGGGTGTTGGGGTTTGGAGGTGGAAGCGCGGAAGCGGGTGGGCATCAAAGTCGTTTGCGACAGCAACGGGCAGGGTGCGCTGCTGGGTGGTGTTGCTGCTGATGGCGGATGCTGGAGTAGGTTTCTCCAGGTCGGCTACAGAGTCGAGATGAGAGGTACCGATCCTTTGCTCTTGCTCTTCCTCCCGTCTTGTCTAGTCGAGGTAGCAGCGACACCAAGTAGATTGAAGCCGCTACAGTATTGACCCGACCGGGGGAGAGGGGAGCAGGACAGCAAGGACGTACCTGCGAGCCAACTGTACGCAACAAGGCAGGTAAGTACGTAGTAGTGTATGTATCTCGACGGAGGGAAAGCGCAAAGGCCCCAGTGCCGTGCCGCCGCACGTGCGATGCTCTAGTGACTGGGGTAGGTGCTCACCTACTGGCCCGTGCTCCGATCTGCCCGTGTGCCTTCCCCAAGCCTGTGTAAGGAGGCGTCGGCGTCGATGTCGATGTCTGCCGCTCGCCTGCCGTCTGCTTATGGTGCTTGGGTGCTTCCTGCATACGTATGTAGTGCACTGCAGCACCACCCCTGCCAAACCAGCTGTCCTGGCCTCTTTCCTCTTTCAGGGTCCAGACTGACTAAGGTCTGACAATTCGACAGCCCGAAAAACTGAGAAGGAACGATAGATCAAGGTTTCAGTTGCCGCTTCCCCTGGATTCCCGAAACTGTCGTACGGAACTGCTAGTATCTTGCGCTGCTTGGTTTGACTGAGTATGTACCGGTAGACTGGCCCTTCCGTTCCTCCCACCTTGAGACGTGGATAGAAATCCAAGGCGTGGCAGGCACGCGCCTTCCAAGGGGCACGATGAGTGAGAGGCAATCTCGTGTCGCGGGTTGGCTGCCGTCAAAGTAGGTAGGGATCGTCTAGGTCGCACTGGTCCTCTCTTTGTCCCTTGGACTGAAGAAACCCCGTCTCTCGAAGTTCGGTTCGAGGCTCTTCTGTGCACCTGGTTGCAAGTCCAAATCCAGGCCGACCCCGACTTCGTTGGCCACTCACAAGCTACCTTCGCCAATGGCGTGTCGTCTTTGGCCAGACTAACCCGAGGCCAACCTTCGAAGACAGTCCGGATCCCAGGTGCTCCCGCCAACGTAAGCTTCAGCCCAGTGTTCCAGCTTTGTGCCGTCTGAAGTCCAAATCGCAAATTGTTTGCGGGGACTACCGGGTTTCGTTACCGACCAAGATGATGGGATGAAGTGGATCGTCGGCTTTTGCCCAATCCCACCACACCATCTCGCGCCAATGTGCTGAGCCTATGCGAGACACCAAGTAAAGAAAAAATTAGAAAAATGAGACTGACTCTGGGTCGACAGCAGACTATAGTCAGAGAACAAAATGGAACGAGAAAACGAAAGCTTGCCTGGTCAGATGAGAGTTTATTTGGTTGGTTTCCGACTCAAGACTGCCGCGTCTGGCTCTGTCGACAAGGAAACCCCGGTGGTGACAGCGACACCAACAACGGCACGGAGGAATGGGTTTTAATATTCCTCCTCACACCTCTTCCTCGAACCTGGGCCAAGGCTGGTTTGTTCATGGCAAGGCATTGGCTAACAATCGCACACAGTAAATTCCAGCCGTTTCGTTTCGTCTGCATAGTATCTTCACGCCAACGCCAACGCCAACGCCAACGCTGGGGCCGTCGCCGGCGCCGTTACGCGCCCGCCTCGTTCCACCCCGACGCTGCCCTGCAGCCAGAAGAGCAAAAAGGTCCGACTGTCGTTCAACAGCCATTGCAGCAATGTGACTCTTGGGGTTCTGATGAGGATACGCTACTACGTTCCATCTTAGTTTGGCGGCGCATTCTTGCATCGCGGCACCTCCATCGAGCACTAGCGCCCCCTGCCCGCCTCGGCCTCGCCGCGCATTCACGTTCCAACGACTCACAGTGTTCCCACCTGCAAAGCTGCGATTGACCCGCTCCCGCCTTCTGACCTACCGCTTATATTCATCCCTCTCCAGCTTTTTACCTGTTTGGCCTACCATGCCAGCGCCCATATACCTCTCTAACCGGGTTTCCAACGCCATGTTCTCCCAAACCATGTCACCCCCTCCAGCTAGTCCCGGTTCTCCCTGCCTCTCCAATTCTGGCCATTCTGGTAATCTGGCTTCTACGAACCGCAACCCTTGTGTGTGGAGGGCCCCGCATTTGGAGCACTGCGGCCCATAGCTCCCAAGCCAAAATCTCATCGGCTTCGTTCCCCGCCCGCCTTTCTGCAACCTCAAGCGACGATAGCCCGAGCTTTCCCATGTTTTTCTCGACATCGAAATGAGACCATTGGTGCGGGCGTGAGACCTCGGCCGCAGCTTTGTGTCCGACCGTTTAGGACCGGCTACCCAGTGTCTGGCGGCCGCGCCTGCTCCAGCTCCTCGACCCATTGAAAATTTGGCTGGAGCCTGGATAGTGAGTCAGGACTTGCAGTGTTACCATTGCATCGGATTGGACTCATGTCTTGGTTGGAGCTCTGCGGTTATGCATCTTCAGAACTCGGGGTCTTGGTGTTTCCTCGATCTGGCTGGCTTCGCCTTCGTCCGTTCTTTGCAGACCTTCAGGTCGTGCTCTCATTGCCCATCTCATGTCTTGGCCCTCACTGCATCGTGCCCAAACGACAGGAACGTCGGGGACGCTTGCTGCCGCAGGTCGCTTGGCGATGAGAGCCGCCGTCTTCATTATCAAACTCCCGGTCCTCTGATTTTCTCTTCATGTTGCTCGAGGCGCGCAGCCTGCTCACTTGAGTCTCGGGCCCATCCTCATCCTCCGTGTCAACCTCCTCGTAGTTGGCGGCCCCCTTCTTGGCAACCTTCTTCTCGTTAACCTTTTCAACGTACCACCCGAGATCCCCCTTGTGCTTATCAATAGAAATGCCGTTCCGCTTCTTCCGCATGCTGCTTCGCACGGGCGTCTCCAGGGCCAGATGCCCGGTTGTCAGCACGTTCCACAGCTTGGCCTCCTTGTCGACCAAGCGGTTCTCGATAGGGAGGCCTAGCATCTTGTTTATTTCGCACAGCCTCTGCCATTCCCCGTAGGCCGCCTTCTGAGACGTGCGCCACTTCTCGAACTCCATCACCAGCTCGTCGTGGTCACGCGTCATGGCCATGGGGTTGCGCTCCTCCTTTTCAAAGTATCGCGTGTCGGGCCTCAGGTCGAAGGCGTGGGCGATCTCAAAGAGGTCGAAGCAGCGGTCCAGACACCACAGGTGCATGTAGCCCGCATTGTGGTACGGGTCGTGCTGCTTGCCCGACGTGGCGGGCCGCTCGTCGAAGCAGACTCGCCAAAACCCCTTGAGAATGGTGCCCTTGTAGGCCGGACACTCCGACCAGCGGCACGCGCGCAGCCTATCGTCCCCGACGCGCGTCTTACATCCGTGGGGGACGTTCTGGATCCAGAGCGTTAACGGGAGACCCTGCTCCTTACGCCCCTCGAGGTAGTAGAGAATCTGCTCTCTCGAGAATCGTAGGTTCGGCAGTAGCTCGCCCTCCCTGTTGTAATGGAACATGGGGTTCTTCGGGTCACAACCTCCCCATGCCGCCGGCGCCTCGGGGAGAGCATCATACCAATCGGAAGCATCCACGTCCTTGGCCTTGGCCGGCTTAGGGATGCGCTTGAGGACCTTGCCGTCCACGACCGGCGTGGTCAGGTCTCTTGCCGGGGTGTGAGCTGGAGTCAGGTAAGACGCCGAGGCGGCGGGGACATGAATAAGGCCCCGGCCGTCGAGGATGCTGGAGGGGTAGGTATCCGTCAAGGACTCACTGCGCCTATGGATGAAGCTGACAGAGTTGGGCGACCTCGGCTTGGGGTGCACGAGCTTGGCCGTGCTGCTAGCGGCGGCCGCCGCGACGACGGGGACGCTACGGGGAGGAACGGACTGCGGAGCGGTCAAGGATGCGACTGAAGGGAGGGAACAAAGGAGATCTACCGAGTTCTCATCGTACGTGAAAGGGACCCCGCCGGCAGGGGCGGATGCTATATCGGGGAACAAGGAGTCGAGATACTCGGTCGATTGCGGTTGCGTTGGCAGCGTGGGCAAAACCTCGGTGCCCTGGGGGGATGGGTAAAAGAAACCCGTCGAAGAGGTCAAGTCCTGCTTGATCTCAGAAAAGGTGCCAAAGGGGTTCAAGGTATCCAAGGTGTCGCAGATGCCGTCCATGGGAGGCTGAGAGGCAAAGAGATCCAGCTCTGCTGCGTCAACCCCTGGAACCCGTGTGAGTGTGGCGTCAACCGTGTCCGAGGGCCACGAGGTGGTGGGGAGGGCAAGCGAGTCGCAGGTGGGCACGGGCGTCGGGGCCGCGGTTGGGAGTTGGAGGGCGTCGGCTATGGGGCCGGACAGCTCGGCGAAGAGTGTCTCGAGGTCGTCTCCTTCGGACTGTCCTGGTTCAATACTTGGCAGTACGAGGGGGAGGTTGTGTGCGCCAGCGGCAGGGCCCTGCTGCTTCTGCTGTTGTGTTTCTGACGGCTTACCGCGTACTGTAAGCATGAGCTGGTCAGGGCTTACTGTTGAGACCGGAGGCGTTGAAATATCTTGGTCATCTCCGAATAAAGAAGCGAAATCAGAGACTTGGGTGGTTGGTAGACCACCTAGCGTGGTGCTGGTCTCGGCGACTTGCGCGGTCGACTCTGCCATGGGGTCCAGCCCCTCGGTGCAGGCGTCAGATTCAAAGTACGAGTTGGGGTCGACGAAGGCGTCGAAGGACGTGTCGGGGTACCCGTCGAGGTGGAAGGTGTCATCCACGGGTGTCATCATTTCGGTATACATGCTGCCTACGGGGAGTTGCAAAAGGTTTCTGCAATGATTTGGTGTCACTGTACAATGAAACGGAAAAGGAACAATCGAAGAGACGTGTTGATGTTTTCTATCGGTTTAGCTGAGTATATACTGTGTCGAATCGAATGTCGAGGCCTTCCAAACGGCAGAAACACCGCGGGGCGACGACTGGGTTAAATGCTACTTTTCATGTCCCTTCTTCGGGCAGCAGAGCACAAGTTACGCTGGGCCTGGAACGAAGAATCGACATAAAGGCGCTGAGCGTTGGACAACGGGACCGGGTGGACAATGTCCAACCAGGTCGAGGATCGATCTGGACAAAGGTTTGGAATTGCTATTCTAAGTAGACTTGGGACAAACGAACGCTGAAGCACGACAAGAGACGCTGGTAAAGAAGACGCTGATGAAAAACATGGGCTGGGGTGAGGCTGGGGTGGAAAAGAGCCCTTCTCGTCCCGGGACAATGACCCTTGAGTTCATGTCGCAGATGGACTGCTCGTCTTCGAGAGCGTCTTATGGAGAGAGAGAGAGACAGAGGGCGGAGCACTGCCTCGACCACGTCCTTCCATTGGCTTGATAGTTGAATGATTCCTGTCTTGGGTATTTGGTCAGCGACTGCGTTTGGATGGAAGATGCTGAAAAAAAGTGTATGTAGGTCTTCATCAGGAGTAAAGTGCACGTTTCTCGACAAAATTTGTTCCGAACAGGTCTGTGTTAATTGCTTCTCTCATCATTTAAGAAGTGTTGTGGTAGTATGGGTTGAATAAAGAGAATTGTAGCTTACCATTTTGAGGTGATCATAGGAGCGACTTCCTGTTTCGAGTCAGTTGGTCGCAGCAATGCCAGTCTGTCTCGAGGAAGACCTCGTGAGAAGTCCGAGGCTCGTTGACTGGTACGTGGTCAACACCACTTGATGTCGACTTTGTGGTTCTCTCGCTGTGGTTCGGGCGATGGACTCGAGGATGAGAAACCGTATTTGCGCAGACTGGTTCTCCAACAGCGTCTGGTGGTCGAGGCGAAGCATAAAGAGATGCCGTCCTTTCAAACTCGGGAGCCTGTCCGCCTCATATTTCGAGACGTCCGAACCAACCGACAATGAGGCTGAAAAACTGCCGACGAATGCAAGGTAGCTTGTTGGACATCATTACTCATTGCTCAAGCACACCACATTGAGTCTGAGGGCCTTTACGGACCGATTCCCATCTTCTCGAGATGTTGCAAGGCTGGGTAGTGATGTTGATGAGAGAGAGAAACGCTCAGTCGTCAAGGTGAGGAAAGAGATTTCTGTTCAAAGGTGGTTCAAGCCAACGAAAAAGGTCGGCCACGAATGGGAAAGGGCCCCGCAGCCCTGTCATGGTCCGTGCGTCCGAAAGCCGTTTGGAGGGGCGACCGTTCCCTGTCGTTAGTCCTTGGACGCTATTCCGTTTATGGATATCTCTCAGCCCGATCGGGGCAGTTAGCCGAGCCAATGATGCAATCACTGGACGGTTCTGGACCTGTGAGGATTCAAGAGAGAGTTGTTGGTCGACGGCGACCAAGACATTGGGGGACAGTCGGGATTGCGTTGCTGGAGAATTCCACCTCCTGGATACATCTCGGGCGGTCTAATGTGGTCCCTGGATGCAGCCCAACGGAAATAACTCACCTTACCTAGTCTCCTGGGCTTCTTGTCCATCCACTTGTAGGCTCTGCTCTCCTGTTGCGTGTGTGTCAGCCGTTCCACAACGGTGAGTGAGCAGCTTGGGGTCAATACCTACGCCATTGGCGCCGGGTTTGCAGGGACTGGCCTCGAGAGAGCGAGGGGTGCATGGCATGGCAGTTGGGGTCCGTGTTCCCGTTTGGGCATCCTTCGGTCGACCTTTCTTGGCCGATTCATGGTTCCGGGCTGGTTCAAGATTCATCTGCGGCCACATGCCGGGTTGTCCATCTGGCGTCGATGACGATGTTGTCGACTACCGTTTTCTCGCCTCCTCGGCCCATTTCCCAGACCATCGAAACCCCCACGAGACCCCCGGGTCCTCACACCGGCCGGACACTTCGTCGCCATTTACCTCGCGGGTACCTGAAAGTCTGTCTGGGTCTCCTCATCCGGGATCTCGACGCCAAGCGGCGATTCGACACCCACTGCTGTTGGCTTGGGCGAAATGGACGAACACTGAATGGCTAGAGCGCAATGGGAATGCTTGGTTGAACTGCCCCGCCATGTCGTGTACCTATAGGCAGGCCTACGTCTAATGAAAATCTCAATGTCTGTCGTCAGCGTGTCTGATCCAACTTCCTCCTCAACTGCAGATGTACATGTTGTGCTTCATTGCTGCGTGGCATAACGTTCCGCACTAGTGACTGCAGAAAAAAAACCAAAAAAATAAGAATAAAAATCAAACCGGTTCGTTCCTTGGCCAAGGTATTCTTGCTAAGTCATATGTCTCCGTACCTTGCCCGACTTGACCATCTTGCACCTCGTACAGCAGACGCCATTCCGAGCCCTGCGCCAACAGCCAGTCACCACCACGTTCCACGTTCCACGCACCGTATCGTACTGTACTAACGGTACTACTGAATTCCCCGTGTTCCCGCCCCGAACCCTGCGTTGTCCTCCTCTTTCCCTCTCTTCTCTTTTCTTCTAGCCGCCCACCCGCCCCAACCAACCTCTCGAGAGACTCGGGCCAACCTTAACCTGGTTCAGATCCTTAGCCCAACCAGGAAAGCGACCGCCCGCTTCCTCATCTTTCCTGGAAACAAACTACGTCACGAGACTCGACCGGGTAGAGGATCCAGGACGGTGCACCACCATCACCGACACCACCATATCCATACAAGGGACCCAAAATAGACATCAACACCTTGCGATCGTCCCTCCTTTTAACTCTGGACGACTCCCACCCACTCCACAATCCCCCTTATCCCCGGGGGTCTCGGGCCATTCCAGACCCTTTCTCACTACTTCCTCTTGCTGCTGCTGCATCCTGCGCAGACGTCGCGCATTCCCACGACCAGAGTCACCACCATGGCAGCACGATTAACCCCCGAATTGCAGGGCAAGCTCGACGAGCTCGAGAAGGAGTTGGAGGTGAGTTTGCGATCCCCTGCCGCCCTGCAGTTTGTCCAACGTCCCGAAAAGACCTTGCGCGTTTGCGCGCGCGCGCGCGAGCGCCATGTCTGAGCACCTGCAGTCTCTTCTTCGTCGTCCGTTTTCCGTCGCATTGACTGACGCATTCTTGTGCTCGTAGGAAGGCGACATTACAGAGAAAGGGTTGGTGGCCGACCGCTCCTCCACGAAACCCCCCTCTTTGCCCGCGACGGCGCGATAACGGCTAACGAACCCCCTCACTCCCCGCAGATACCAGAAGCGACGAACGCAGCTCCTCTCTCAGTTCATGGGCCCCGGCTCGTTTGGTGCTCCCGCCGTCAACGAGACCAGAGGCGGCCTGGGCATACACTCTCCGGACAATACTGGACATCCTTCGAGCGATGGCCACCGCGCAGCCGCTCTCGCCGCCCTGGGCGGTAGAGACTCCGATCCCAGTAGCCCGACATCACCGACATCACACCGCCCACAGTCGCCTTTTGGCGCCCAGGGCTCCGGACACGGTTCTGGCCATGGTTCTGGCCACGGCTCTGCCGGCTACGCATCACCCGGATACCAGTCCCCGGGCGCTGGCTACGTTTCCCCCGAGATGAACCCCGCCGGCCTCCTTCGACCTGGTGGTCCTCTCGCCGAACACCGGCCGAACATGAAGCAGCACGACTCGCTTTTTCTGGGCGCTGCTAACGAGCCGCCGACACGATCGGGCACCATGGTGTCGACTGACTACGCCTTCAACCCCGACCAGCAGGGACACTACGTAGACCATGCCCAGAACCCGTACGACAGCCGTACGGGCACGATGCTCGACACGACGGGATACTTTTCGGGATTCACCGGCGGGCAGAACTTCGAACAGGGACAGAACTACGACCAGCAGGGCTACGACCAAGGACAGCAGGAGGAATATGGCGGAGGACACAGATACTCGTCGGGAGAGGCCTTCTCGCCCACGGCTGCCATGGCGCCACCTATGCTCACTGCCAACGACCTGCCCCCGCCGGAAGTGCTCGAATACCAGATGCCTCTAGAACCCCGCGACCTCCCATTTGCGATATCCGACCCGCACGACAGCAACACCCCCATGTCCAAATTTGACAACATTGCCGCGGTTTTGAGGCATAGGGGAAGGACAATGGCCAAGCTTCCCGCGTACTGGGTTCTCGACAACAAAGGCAAGGAAATCGCCTCCATTACGTGGGACAAGCTGGCCTCGAGAGCCGAGAAGGTGGCGCAGGTTATCAGGGACAAGAGCTCGTTGTATCGCGGCGATCGCGTTGCCCTCATTTACCGCGACACGGAAGTCATCGACTTTGCTATTGCCCTTCTCGGATGCTTCATTGCCGGCGTCGTCGCAGTGCCGATCAACGATCTCCAGGACTACCAGAAGCTGAACTTGATCCTCACCTCGACGCAGGCGCATTTGGCGCTTACGACCGACAACAACCTCAAGGCCTTCCAGCGCGATATAACAACGCAGAAGCTCAACTGGCCCAAGGGTGTTGAATGGTGGAAGACGAATGAGTTCGGCAGTTTTCACCCCAAACGCAAGGACGATGTCCCGCCATTGACGGTTCCCGACCTCGCCTACATTGAGTTCTCGAGGGCTCCAACCGGTGACTTGCGAGGTGTTGTACTGAGTCACAGAACAGTTATGCATCAGATGGCTTGCTTGAGTGCCATTGTTTCGACAGTGCCAGGAAACGGCCCTGGTGACACCTTTAGCCGCACCCTGCGGGACAAGAACGGTCGTCTTATTGGTGCCGGATCAACGAGCGAGACGCTTCTCTCATATCTTGACCCGCGGCAGGGCATCGGCATGATTTTGGGCGTTCTTCTCACCGTCTACGGAGGCCACACGACGGTTTGGGTCGAGAACAAGGCCGTCGAAGTACCCGGACTCTACGCCCATCTCATCACCAAGTACAAGGCCACGCTCATGATTGCGGACTACCCCGGGTTGAAACGGGCAGCCTACAACTACCAATCAGACCCCATGACGACACGAAATTTCAAAAAGGGCATGGAGCCCAACTTCCAGACAGTCAAACTCTGCCTCATAGATACCCTGACGGTGGATGGCGAATTCCACGAGGTCCTAGCGGACAGATGGCTGAGACCACTACGAAACCCTCGCGCCCGCGAGGTTGTCGCACCCATGCTTTGTTTGCCGGAACACGGTGGAATGGTCATCAGTATTCGCGATTGGCTAGGAGGTGAGGAGCGGATGGGATGCCCTTTGAAGCTTGACATGGGCTCCGATTTTGAGTCCGACGTGGAAGAGAAGGAAGAGGTGAAACTAGCACCCTCGAACGGCTTCGGCAGTCTCTTGGGAGGCGGTGGCACAACAACCACAGAGCAGCGCGCTAAGAACGAGCTCAGTGAGGTGCTCCTTGACAGAGAGGCTCTGAAGACAAACGAAGTTGTCGTGGTTGCGATCGGAGACGAGGCGCGGAAACGTGCAGCTAGCGAACAAGGCACCGTCCGCGTTGGCGCCTTTGGATATCCGATCCCCGATGCTACCCTCGCCGTTGTCGACCCAGAGACCGGCCTGTTGGCGTCGCCGCACTCGGTCGGAGAGATTTGGGTGGACTCGCCCTCGCTCTCTGGGGGGTTCTGGGCCTTGCCCAAACACACGGAGCAGATATTCCACGCTCGCCCTTACAAATTCGACCCTGGCGAGCCAACACCGACAGTTGTCGAACCTGAGTTTTTGAGAACTGGCTTGCTCGGCACGGTGATTGAGGGCAAGATCTTCGTGCTGGGCTTGTACGAGGATCGCATTCGCCAAAAGGTAGAATGGGTTGAACACGGCACCGAGGTCGCAGAGCATCGCTACTTCTTCGTTCAGCATCTCGTTGTCAGCATTGTCAAGAATGTACCAAAAATCTACGACTGCTCTGCCTTCGACGTCTTCGTCAATGAGGAGCATCTTCCCATTGTGGTATTGGAATCGCCAGCTGCCTCGACAGCGCCTCTAACGTCTGGTGGACCGCCGAGACAACTCGATACCGCGCTTCTCGACTCGCTCGCCGAAAGATGTATGGACGTTTTGATGCAGGAGCACCACTTGAGACTCTACTGCGTCATGATCACGGCACCGAACTCCCTTCCTAGGGTGGTGAAGAACGGACGTAGGGATATCGGAAATATGCTGTGCAGGAGAGAGTTCGACCTGGGTAATCTGCCTTGCGTCCATGTCAAGTTTGGTGTGGAGCATGCAGTGCTCAATTTGCCCATCGGCGTCGACCCGATCGGAGGCATTTGGTCACCCATCTCTTCCGAGTCCCGCGCGGGAATTCTCATGTCGTCTGACAAGCAATACTCGGGTATCGACCGAAGAGAAGTTGTCATTGACGATCGCACTTCCACTCCACTCAACAACTTCTCATGCATCACTGATCTCATCCAATGGCGCGTAGCCCGACAGCCCGAGGAATTGGCCTACTGCACAATTGATGGCCGTGGCAGAGAAGGCAAGGGCGTTACTTGGAAGAAGTTCGACACCAAGGTCGCCGCCGTGGCGCTGTATTTGAAGAACAAGGTCAAGGTCCGCCCCGGCGACCACCTGATTCTGATGTACACACACTCGGAAGAGTTTGTCTACGCCGTCCATGCATGCATCAACTTGGGCGCGGTCGTCATCCCGCTGGCCCCTCTGGACCAAAACCGACTCAACGAAGACGTGCCGGCATTCTTGCACGTCGTCGCCGACTTCCGCGTCAAGGCTATTCTGGTCAACCACGAAGTTGACCACTTGGTCAAACTGAAGCTTGTATCAAACCACGTAAAACAGGCCGCTTCCATCCTCAAGATAGGCGTTCCCAATTACTACAACACCACCAAACCGCCTAAGCAGAGCAGTGGGTTGCGAGATAACGGTATCACGATGCAACCCGCGTGGATTCAGTCAGGCTATCCTGTAATCATTTGGACGTACTGGACACCCGACCAGCGCCGTATTGCGGTTCAGCTAGGACACGACACCATCTTGGGCATGTGCAAGGTCCAGAAGGAAACATGTCAGATGACGAGCTCTCGCCCTGTCCTCGGTTGCGTGCGTAGTAGTACCGGTCTGGGATTCATCCACTCATGCCTGATGGGCATCTATATCGGCACCCCGACTTACCTACTGTCACCTGTCGAGTTTGCGCAGAATCCCATGTCGCTGTTCGTGACTCTTTCTAGGTACAAGATCAAGGACACCTACGCGACGCCCCAGATGCTGGATCACGCCATGGCGATGATGCAAGGCAAGGGTTTCACGCTCCACGAGCTGAAGAACATGATGATCTCGGCCGAGAGCAGGCCGCGGGTCGACGTGTTCCAAAAGGTACGCCTGCACTTCGCCGCTACTGGCCTCGACAGAACCGCCATCAACACCGTCTACTCCCACGTCCTCAACCCAATGGTCGCTTCGCGCTCCTACATGTGTATCGAGCCTATTGAGCTCTGGCTGGACACGAAGGCCTTGCGACGAGGTCTCATTTACCCTGTCGATCCTGAGCAAGACCCCAAGGCGCTCTTGCTCCAGGATTCGGGCATGGTTCCCGTCTCGACACAGATCGCTATTGTCAACCCCGAAAGCCGACTACTCTGCCACGATGGTGAGTATGGTGAGATCTGGGTCGACTCCGAAGCATGCGTCAAAGGCTTCTACGGCTCCAAGGATGTGTTCGACGCTGAACGATTCGACGGCCGTACGGTCGATGGCGACCCTAGCATTCAGTATGTCCGCACCGGAGATTTGGGCTTCTTGCATAATGTGAGCAGACCGATTGGTCCTGGAGGCGCGCAGGTCGACATGCAGGTGTTGTTCGTCCTCGGTAACATTGGTGAAACGTTTGAGATCAATGGTCTCAGCCATTTCCCCATGGATATCGAGGCTTCTGTGGAACGGTGCCACCGAAACATCGTCACTGGTGGATGGTTAGTCAACGCCCTTGCCCTTACCCTTGTCGAGTAATGATGCTAATCCTTTCCAGCGCCGTGTTCCAAGCTGGCGGCCTCGTCGTCGTATTGGCTGAGATCACTCGCAAGGCTTACCTCGGCTCCGTCGTGCCGGTCATCGTTAACGCAATCCTTAACGAACACCAGATCATTGTCGATATCGTGGCATTCGTCAACAAGGGCGACTTTCCCCGGTCTCGTCTCGGCGAAAAACAGCGCGGAAAGATTCTGGCTGGATGGGTCACGCGCAAGATGCGCACTCTTGCGCAGTTCGCCATTAGAGACATGGACCCGGCAAGCATTATTGGGGGCGAGCCTGGCACCGCTGACGGACCCGATCCTCACCGGGCTTCTATCGGCAGTCAAAGAAGTGCAGGCGGTCTAGCCCCGGGTTCTTCGAGTCTACGGAACGTAGAGCACGCGCCGCAGATTCTGGAGCAGGAAGAATTCCAAGAGCAGGTCGGACAGATGGCCTCCCTTCCCCAACATAGCCACGATGGTATTGCGGAGATGCCTGGTGATGAGGGCCCTTCTTACGCACAACAGGGGCAAGCCAACACGTCTGCGGGCCACGGATATGTCCTGCCGGATTTCGACCAATTCGGTCGCGACGACGACCCACCGCCCGTGGGTGCGAAGCCTGGCCCGGGGCAACCCCCTCCACAGATCAATCTTCCTGGTGTCGATGGGCGAGATAGCACAGATATGTGGAACAGCCAAAAAGGAGGCGGTCAATCCGACGAGGACTGGACAGCTCAGGCTCTGATGCACATGAACCTCGCCAACGATTTGGGGAGAAAACAGGACCAGCACTAGGAGGCTTGGATGCCTGGGCGACGTTGACGTTCTTCTTTATTAAGCCTTTGGGAGGCAAGCCGCGGCGTCTTGACATGGATACAATGGTTGCGTCACATGATGCATTGTTTGGATAGAGGATTCCCCTTGCATGCCCTCAAGAGATTATTTCTAATTCAGTACCGTTTCTCTCGCTTCTTCGACCGTGATTCAAACTTGTTTTTAGTCTGGGTGGAGACCCGAAATGTAGTAGGATGACTGATCCGTTCTAGCTAATCATGACAATCCCCTTGTTCTACGCCGAAAACCGCATGAAAGGGCCTGGCCGAGTGAAAGATCTCACTCAGTTTTCTCCGGCAATGCCTAACATGACGTAACGGATGTACGTTGGATGAGTTCAAAAAGGCTCATCAAGTTTGAGAGACACATTCATACAGTATCTTATTACAATGACGACTTCGTTGGTCAAACGAAGAGCACGCTTTTCTAGTGGTCATCTGTCATCAGGGTATTGGTCAACAAAATCTGAGCTCCCTTCTAAGAGCGCATCGGCGTTCAGCCGCACGCTCCATCTCACCATGTCGGTCATACTAGTCTCCCTGAAACCATCCCCGTGGTTACCGATATCGCTCATCGAGCTCATGGGGCCGGCCGGCCGGTGGTGGTGGAAGAAGGCCGGCTGCGTCGTCAGGCAGTTGTGCGGCCTCCGGCCCTGGCTGCCCTCGCAGAAGAACCTCAGCAGGATGTCGATGGCGTCGCTGACGTCCTTGAGAGCGACCTCCTGCAACAGCCGCCGCGCGCCCTTTTGGCTGACGGCGTAACCGAGCGTGCAGACGCCTTCCTGGACGTGGTGGATGGCCCGGGTGTGCTCCGGGTACTTTTCCTTGAGGGTGAAGGGGATGTTGAGCGTCCAGAGGTTCTTTTTCGGGGCGACGGTGACGTCGTTGGCGTGGATGACGCGGGCTTTGGGCACGACGTTGTCGGGGTCTGCGAAGGGGAAGTGCATGCCGCAGTGGCCGATCCAGAGGAGGTCCCAATCGTCGCCGTAAGGCGAGATCTCGGGCGCGACGGTGGCCGGCAGGTGGTTGAAGGAGATGTCCGGGACGGTGCCGGGGGAGTCCCCGGTCAGCGTCCGGTACGAGGGGTCGACGTAGGACGAGGGCGCCTGGAGGAGGGGCTGGGTGAGCGCCTGGGTCGCGAGGGCGAAGTCGTGGAGCTGCTGACGGATTCGAATGTCCCAGTCGGCGTCGTCCTCGAGGATCAGAGCCGAGGACAAGTTCCGGCGGACGATTCTGTGGGTTAGGGATGTAAGTCTTTCCGAAGCCTTGCGAGATGTTAAGGTCGGGGGGCTACTCACTCTTCGAGCGCGTTCATGTGTCCGCGCCAACAGCCGATGGCGCCGTCGCTCAGACGGTCGTGCTCGCTCGTCTGTGGTATCGCCTTGTCGGAAACGGTGTTGCCCTGGACGCCGTCGATGAAGTCGATTTCCATCTCGCTGAGCGCGGCCTGGAGGAGGATGCCATCTCGGCGGTCCGTCCGGCTCGGTAGACCGACGACAAAGATCTTTTCAAACTAGTGGGAGAAGCACCGTTAGAAGAGTGCCGACCCAACAGGCGACGGAGACCTACCCCAAGCGTGCTGTTTTGGATGCTCCTCATTAAGCTTGTCGAAGCCGCGGCTCTCCTTTGCCGAACCTGGTCGAGGAACGGATTATGCAGGAAAAGCACGACCGTGATGAAGACGGCGCCAACGATGCACAGGTCCCTCTTGGACGTCATCCTGCCGGGAAGACAATGCATCATGGGCGATTACAACCATGCGCTGGCTAGATGCAAGGAGATAGAATGGCCAAGTACAACACGAGACCTCCAGTCCTTTTCCCGGCTTTGCACGTTGTCCAGAGTATCTCGCCTGCAAACAGCGCAGTGAAACTTCTCGCGGTGAGCAGTCTCCTGACCTTGGGCTGTAAGATTCGTGAAATTCCTGCAACCGCAGCCAAAGACCCCGGGCACCCCGCGTGAGGGCCAGAGCTGTCTTTAAATCGATGGGGGACGAGGACAAAAAGAAACGGCAACATTTCAAGCTAGCTCATTCATATTTCGAGGCGCATGTGGGCTGCTTAAATTACTTTGCCGGCCGGCGGGATGCCCGCTGACGGGGCGCAAGGCGAATTTCAGCCAGCCCCCAAAAGAACGTGATGCTGCATTGGCGGCTGACTGATGATAAGACAAAGTTGGAGGGGGCGGGCGAAGGAGGGGTTCCTTGTTTGGCGAGAACGCGCGAAGCTGCGCAGTGCAGACAGACCAACGGAGCCCGGGGTTCCAAGTAGACAGTGCGTGTCTTTGGATGGAGGGAGACGGCTGAGAAAAGAAGCAATGGGGGCGCGGCCGGAGTTCACTAGACCGCAGTTGGTTTTCCAAATTGGACTTGGTGGTTTTTTTCCTTCCTTGTGTCGGGCTCGACGCGCCTATCACAGACGCTTGGCGATACGAGACGCTTGGTTCGGGTCGAGGCCAGGGTGCAGATGACGGCGGGCATCTTCGCTGCGTGATTGGGTCGTGTCTGGCAGCCCATTGCTGGTCAACGGAGCCAAACGACCGGCCGGGGACCCCCTGCTTCGGCCGTTGTTTTCCGGGACGGCATGGATCTATTCGCTAGACGACTTGGGAACTCTTTTTCGTTGGTTGATACCTTGATGTAATATGCTTTTCCTATATATGTCACCACAAAGACTTCGGCCTTTTTTTTTTCTTCTCTTTCCATGGGATTAAGATGGCTGTCTTGAAGATGGCTGTCCTGAGAAGTGCACTCAGGCAAGCTCCTACCAGGTGCTGGATCCCGAAATGCAGCAAACAATTGTTTGCCATCACGACCAAGTTTGTCGAACAAAGCGAGGAACCGCAAATAAGCCAGCGTGCTAGTAACATGAGTACAGGGTCTGAAAACCCGGCTCAAGCCTCAGGCAAGATCATCAACAAGTCAAAGAACCACGATAAGAGGGGACGTGTCATGGCCAACGCTGCTCCGTTCGGATCATCGTTCAGAGTACAGAGCCCTTGCGAAAATGCTTTCTCCACCGCTCCTTCTCTATGCCCTCATCCCCTCGGTGCTGTGCCAGTTCCTTAGCCCGGCACTGACTGGGGAACTGTGGAAGACCGGAGAGAAGAGGAAGGTTTTTTTCAACACGACTCTGAAGCACTGCACCGTCGGGCTATGGCAGAAAACCTTACCTGTCGCAGTGTTGGGAGACGTTGTCTTCAGTACGGGTAAGTGTCCAACGTTCGCCTGTTCGTAACGTGACCAGAGTTGTGACTCGTAACGCAGATGATGCCAAGGGGGGCTTGAGAGAATTTAGCTGGGAAGTCCAGGCGTACGGGTTGGACTTGTCCGTCTCGAATGTCGTCTACTTCTGGCTGTTCGAGGGCGCAGAACCCAACCAGGGAAATCAGGCCCTGCGGCATACATCTTCGATACCCTTCAACATCACCGACGATGATCAACCAAGCAAATCGGCCATGCTAAACCTCTCAACCACCAGACGAGAGCCGACAAAAACCGTGATCCTCTCAAAGACCATGTTCTCAAGCCCTTCGAGTAGCTCCCCGGCCGAAACCTCGATGACTATACTGCCACTGTCCCCCGGGATGTCAGAAGCTGTTCCTACGACCCGTCCCTCAATGGACACAACTACACCGTTAGTTGAGACATCAGAAGCTCCAAGTCTCACGCAGACCACAGATGGAGGAGGGTCAACATCTTCTGGCACCAGTCAAGCAACCCAGACCGGCGAGAGCAGCAGTTCCGGATCGGATGGCGGTTTGCCAGTCGGGGCGCAGGCTGGTATGGGAGTCGGGATCGGCATCATCGGAATCACTTGCATCGTCTGCGCGGTGATGCAGTACAGGTACCTGAAGAAAAATCAAAAGGCTTTGGCAGAGGTGCAGGAGATGACCATGTCGCAATCCCCTGCCTATTCTCCCGGATCGGTATTCCGCCCCGTGCCGGAAGTCCAGTCGCCCACCAAGTCGACACAAGAGCCGGCCGGCTACTACGTCAACTCGCAGGCCGTCGAGATTGCTTGAGAAGTGTCCGTGGGGTGGGGAAACGTTGGGTGGCAGTTTGCGCGAGGTCTTTCATTATGGTGCGGCCAGGTTTGTGCATGGTTGTAAAAACAGTCGAATAGGTTTCGCGTGTGGGTAAATTGAGACCATCTCCATGAGTCATGACAAGTCACATAGTTCACAACCACGGACGGTTACATGGCTTCACAACTTGCAAGAAGCTATCGAAACCAGTCTACGTCCACAAATAAACCTACAGGTTTACTTCTCTTTGTGTCTCTGGTTGTTTAGTGGTGCGATATAATGTTGCCTGCTCGATAGAGGTCCCCTTTTGCAAGGCGACTTTGGGTCATTCATGGGTAATATCTTCTTATAGTAACAGTTGAAGCAAGTCTCAAAGCGTTGCACCCAAATAAATGCGAATCGGTTTTAGCAGTGGAAAAGTTGGTATAGGTGCCGCCATGAACTGACTCATTGAGTCAGTACAGCGTAGAAATGAAATTATGAACTCCGTGGTTGCACCCCCTTCCACGCTCCGAACCCACCGAAGCCTCCAAGAGAACCTTGTATTCAAGATGACTCCCTGATTGCCAAGTTCGCAGTAGAGTTGGAGCCCAGACTTCCACCCAGGGCAGCGGTGTACGCAATGTTCCATGTCAGGCTCACCCCATCGAGGTAAGGGCTGCTCGGCGTCAGACTCTTCATGAACTGGTAGCTCTCCACCGCACCCGGCTTATCTGCGATGGCAAGGTTGACGTAAACATGCCCTGCGAAGCCGGCTGCTGTGAGAGAGCCGCTCTTGTTGCCCGCGAAGTACTGGTCCCACTCCTCGCGTACGAACGAGGCCGTCCGAACATATGCACTGCTGGGGACGATCGGTAGCATGTGAATGCCCTGGATGTAGGCGATCTCGTCGCCGAAGTAGGTGGTGTGGTTGATCTTCCTATCCCAGAGAATTCCCGTCACGCGGTTATCGACGAAGTTGGGCGGCTGTACATCATTGTCGCTAGCCAGGAGGAAGTATGACTGCAAGCTGCGGGCAGTGACGGCGAGCTGGAGGTTGCCGCGGGCCTCGGCATGAACATCGCCTGTGATGTGCCCCCACATTTTGATGGCGTACGTCGAGAAGGCATCCTCGGCAGAAGATTCCTGGTCCTTACCGTCAGGGGCCTCGAGCACGCCACGCGCCCAGCTGTGGCCATGAAACCAGTCGAAAGAGCGGGAGAAGGGGAAAAAGGGATCTTCGGTGGAGGGGTTGGACCAGTCCCGGATCAGGTTGTTGACCCAAAGCTTGTTGAGACCGTCATTCCTCGTCAACCAGGACGGATCAAAATAAGCGATGATTGCGGCAGTGTAGACGTAGTAGCCGTAGTGGAAGTTGTGGTCGTTGTAGTACGTGTTGCCAAAGTCAATCCCCGAGTCGTTGTTGCCGTACGATCCAGAGGAGACGAGGCCCTTCCACACGTCATCATAGAACAGGGGGTTCGGCTCCAGGTTATTGACATAACGGTCGAATGCGGTCTCGAGCTTGCGCAGTGCCTCATCCTTGAACGAAGTATCCCCAGCTATTTCGTGAACAGCATAGAGCGCCCTTGCGTACACAGAAAAGGCTATGCCGCCGTAGTATTTGGATGTTAGGTTAGTGAGTGTGACGATGTCGCGGGTAAGCTCGATCTTTGCGGCTTCAATCACAGCGGCTTTGGCTTCGTCCGAGATTGTGCCGCCTGAAGCGCCTTTGGATCCCACAGAGCCCAAACGAGGCGACCACGGATCGAAGCTGATGTCGGTCGGAAGGTCGTCCTCGATCATGGTGAAACCATCAGCAAACGTAGCAGTTGCGATGCCCTTGGTGGTACTGGCCAAGGTGACATTCGTGAGGCCTCTGGCAGTCTCCTTATCAAAGGACTTGACATGATGAGGTAAGGCGAACATTAACAGTGGGCTTTGCGTGACGCCCTTCTTCTTCCAAGCGAGTGTGTACGTTCCTGTTTTGCCCGAAACGGAGCCAGAGATTGTGGCACCCACAGGATACGCTCCAGCGGCCTTGTTGAAAATCTCGACACCAGACGTTCCACTGGGGTTCTTAGCAACTTGCACTGTTCCAGTGAAGCCCCGAGGTCCTAGAAGCGTCCCTTTGTCCATCATTTTGAGAGTTGGTCTCTGAGAAGATTCGCTTGGGCTAACATAGATCAACCAGCTTGACCCATCGTTCAGCCGAGCACTCCAACCGTACACAGAAGAATCGAGTCCATAAGAGTCTAGTCGAAGATCGGTTATGTTCGAGAAATGCTTCTGAGACTGAATGAGAACAGTGGCATCATTATAAACACCGGTTACGAAAGCCATTCCCTGAACAAGTGGGAACGAAATCGTTGGCTTGGCGCCTTTCCTGGGTGCAAGGTTGACGTTGACGGCAAAAGCTGTCAACGTGTCCGTTGTCAAGAACGTGCCATTCTGGAGCTCCCGGGCAGAAAGGGCGATTGATTGCTGGAAGAAAGGGTCCTCGAATGACTGCACAGGGTGCCCTGGACCGTAGATGAAATCGCTACGGTCCGTATGGGACACTGACAGTCCATGACCATGTTTGGCCGTGTCATTGGACCACCAAACTGAATAAGGGTGCGTCCAGGTGGCATTGTCTTGCTTGCCGGCGAAGAAGTTGGCGTAAAACTTGTTGGTTTGAATTGGTCCGTCCCCCTTGACGCCGACCGGCTTTTGCGGGTGATCATTACGTGTTGGGACCAGGATAGGCCGATCGTGAGAAATGGGCACGAAGACGTTCTCCGAGTTTCGCTTGGTGAAGTCTGCGTGCGTTCCAGGACCGTGCGAGACTGGATACCTAGCAGGCACGCGACCGTGAAGTCCATGCAGTCGATGGCTGTAAGCCAGCTCAGCTAACAGGAGAGCGGTGGTAAGAACGTAAGAAAGCATGGTAAAGACAGTAATATCACACAACAAATGAGTGACTGAGTGAGTTGTCAAGAAAGGAGATGTTCAAGGAACGAATATATCGGTCGCTAGAGACTCCAGATATCCTAGCCGACAGGATTATCAGAGAATTTCGCCGAGGAATGGACTTCTATCGGCGCCGGTCGAAGAATGGTAAGATATATCCGCAAGCATCATTGAGGGGTTACAACGTTAATCGCCGTTAGGGGTTTTTAAGTTCGTCGCTATCATCTAGGTTATGCGAAACTAATATCAGATCCTGGCGGAGTCAAATCTAAGTTCATATCCAAGTCTTGGCCGGCGAGTTCGGTGCACCCAGAGGCCCCGCGTCTTGTTTCAGACCAGTATACAGAACTTCGGGTAAGTAAGACGTTAGACTGTACGCCTTTCGGAATATATTACTGATCATTTCGTGCGATTAGAGTGCGTATTGCGCCTCAAAGTTACTACTTGAAGTGATGTTCAATGCGCTGTTTTATGAATGGATCACAGAACTAGGCTGTGCGACCGGCGACACCCATCTTTAGAAATTTTTACTCGGAGCCTTTAGACAAAAACAGTTGTGCCTGAGCCACATGATCTTGTGTTATGAAAGGTAACTGTCTAATCTGTTCGAATTCGTTTAATGAATCATACTTTAACTTGCGCACCACTCAGGCCCTGTCGAGTGGGCTCTCTTTTCCGCTATTGCGAAGGACTGCGTTTGACTTTCGTGCTAAATCAGATTTCAGGATCTGTATCTTGTTACGCTATGTTATGCGGGAAATGACTGAGGACTACATAAATTTATTTAACTCGACAAACCCGAGCTACGAAAAGCATGTCGCTTGTACCCGCAACTCACACGCTTTACGCCGGAAGTCGCTCGTGAAAGAAAGCGTTTTCATGAGACCTTGCTATCTTAGTAGTATCAAACAGATTTACATTAGCCTACCAGTGCAGGCTATCTCACAGTGAAACGTTAAGTCCCATGTCACCAGAAGATCGAGAAACCACAGGTGGAAAGTAGCCCTCAAATCTTACGATGACATGATAAAAAGTCGCTACCTAACGACTCCTGCCGATTTTGAAGTACTAAGAGTGAATGTTATTGTGCGCGCCAGTGAATGTTTGGAAAACGAGGACAGCCCTTCGATATGATATTTGCGTTGATGTAACAAGACCTTGCCAGAAGTCTCTTGGTTTTGCAAAGCGATAATTCATGGATGACGTTGGTTTGGGCCATACCAATTGGAGTATATCCCTGTGGCATCAATCGGGGTTAGTAGTGATAGTAATAGTTAAGGAACTCACCAGAAAAGCTCAGTTACCCCAACGCCACCCCTCGGGTTTGCATTTTTTTTCAAGGCAACTGTACCCGGTGATGCAGAACAAGAGAACAGGTAGGGAAAACTGAAGACAATTGCGATGAATTTTACTTTTCTTCCCTATTTCCAATACAAACCATGCTCATCAATTATCCCTGGCCTCATACGGATCGATACGATTGCAAGAATGCGTCCAACTCTATCTGTATTCACTACTCCAAGCAAATGCTGTCTCGGTTGGTAAGCCCAAGAACAGTCCCTATTGGTACCGGGCTGGATGATTTATTTCCAAAGTAATCGCTCGTAAGCCTGTAGTGGTCTATCTCGCCTCGGCGAACTTCATCCACAATGGCTCATGCAGCAACTTGTCCAGACAGCTCTTCTCAACTCCAATCAAAATCTCCATCCCGCCATCTGGCAAGATAGGCATGACTACCTGCAGTCCGTTTATAACTCCTATATGAGGGGCGCGGACGGCCTGGATCTTGTCGCCGAGCACTGGCCCCCATTGGACATCATAAAGAGAGAAGTCGACCCAAGATGTTTGGATGCAGTTGTTGCCCGGAACATCGAGCATCGCAGTGGGAAGTACGCGGTTGACATCTTCCACCTTGTCAATGAGTGTCGCTACATCGTCAACGAACTGGTTGTCGGCTCGTATCAGGGCTTGCCGGATCAAGATGGCCAAATCCGCTAAGCTCGCAGAGCCGAGCATCTTGCGGATCGGGACTGATGCGGCGACATAACCTAGAAAGCAGCCCATCGTATCGGGGTGCACCGGTGGGTCTGTACGGAGACGGCCGTTGATTGCAATGTTAAAGACCGAAACCGGGTCGCCTTCAAGATTCTTGAGAGGCGATTGAACAGCCATCACTGTACGCCACAGCAGTGCTGAAAGGGCGTCGTTGGTAGAGATCCATTTCTGCTTGGTAGGCTCTGTTGCTTTGGTAGGAGAGGCTTCGGACTTGAGTTTGGCAAGAGACTCTGGCGAGAAGTAAAATATTTGTCCACGGTGGTCTTCGGACAGCATGTTGGGAGGCATGCCTTGAGGGGTGAAAGGGAGAATGGTGTACTCCGGATGGTCTTCGGTCCGTCCTTGGTTCTTGCCAGTAGGCTTCATGAGTCGCTGGCGGTCCCTCAAAAGAGTCTCGTCGAGCCTGAACGGGTCCGCGATGGTGAGACCTTGAGCGCGGCGACATTCTTCTGCCCAGATCTTTGTCCAGGTTAGGAAGGTTTGTCCATCACCGAACATGTGGAAGATGCACCACGATAAGATCATGCCACCTTGGACGTCCAGGAGAAGGCCAGACAGAACGGCGGCAGATGGTGACAGCGTCGAACGCAGACACCGGAAAACCCTTCGACTTTAGCTCTGAATAGGTCATTGGAAAAATACCAGGAGCGCGTAGATCTTTGACCGCAATCCTCTCCATGTCTTCATATGGTAGTTTTCGGAGCTTGCTTTGCATCAAAGTCTGGAATGGCCTCGCAGTCCAAGACAATGATTCGTCGCTGGGCAGCTTCATATCCAGCACAGAGGACTAAAGCTACTTGATCGAGGTCGTAGTCATCCTTGAGTTGAAAAGGAAAGACATACCGGAGGTAGCCTTTGGGACCAATACGCTCCAAGGGTGTCAGGTCGGGAATTTCGGTGAAGCCTGGAAGGGACCCCATGGTATCAAACTGCTCAAATGAGTGAGCGAACGATGGAGAGTTGGGGAATAAAGCAAAAAAAGGAGGACATAAGAAACAGGGTTATCATAATGGCATCTCGTAGCTATGGTCACAATTTATCCCTGAACGATGATCCCAGCACCAAGTAGCTACGCCGCAACCACACTTCACCCCTTCTTGCTAACATCGTGTCTTGCCACGGAACGAACATGGAGAATCCACTCGACCTCCTCCTATCGTCTATCTACTATGTATCGCCGATGAGCAGCACTAATTCGGCCTTGCCCCACTGCACAAGTAGACAGGGTAGGACTTGTCCAGGACTATATACAAGGGGACTTTACAGAGCCAGACGTCAACTTGGGTCACAAAACTGGCTTGTTGGCTAAACGCATAGGTATGTTGTTCAATCCTTAAAACCAGAAGCGCTTCTCCTTGAGTTCCGAATATCTCGACCAGTCCTTGCAAGATAAGTTTCGCAATTTAAATGGTTCGCCCACGCCTAGCAGCGTGATCAGACCAAGCCTAGACCTGACCCCTGTTTACGGAACCGGCCCCCCTGTTCCCCGTGCCATCAGTCTCAAGCAATATAAGTTGCAGCTAGACGGTCCAACGGGCAAGAGTGATCGGCTCCGGAAGCACATACCACTTGACAATCTACAGAATACGCAGTCTTTATACTGTGGTTTAGCAGTTTTCTATTGTTCGATATCTTCGAGGTTAACGGTCAAGATTTGCAGGTTATCTACATGTCTTACGATCATCCGGTTTTGTTGCATTTAATACTTGAGATAAGAGCAACGTAAACACCTTCTCCAATTCAAAATTCTGTCATTTCTCCGATATGGATGGTATACCATTGAAACAATGCGAATTGCTCTTTGTAGATCTCGACCAGACTTTCAGGGCCCTGTCTCATTTTGGTCCTCCAATTTCCTTTGACGCATTCGTCGACGGAGCTGTTGCGAAAGCAACTGGATGATGTTCAGGTCATGGAAGTAGGTATGCGCATCAACCACCGGTGAGAACTATCAGAGGGTACTGTGATACTGGAGGAGCCCGCTAACAGTTTCTCTTGTCTGTGCATATGACCCCTGAAGGTGCTAATGAATACTGTCCCACAAGCGGGGATTGAATAGCCATAACAGCTGGGGAAGGCAGCGTGGTGTGCAACCAACGGCCAAACCATCCTTGACCCTTGCATAACAACCACCCAGTAACCCTAGAGCACCTTGAAAAATGACGCTGAAGACTGATACATTCCAGAGGATCTGAACATCGAACCGCAGGGAAGCTTTGGTATTACCAAGCTTGAAGAGGGTACAATGCGAGGAAATCTGCATGGGGCAGAGACCGAAAGACTTCTAGCATCAGTTCCAATATTCGCCTCAGCCAGCACCTTCCATTTTGCGCAGCCTGAGAGCTTCCTACGCCCGTCTGTGCCACAATAATTCCAAAACCCGGTCCATTTCTCTGCAAGATAGAAAGTTGCTCTTGTTGTTCTGCAACTACATGTCTGCAAAAGTGTTTGTATTGATTCCACCGCGAATCTCTAGTGGCACGGCATTTCTATTTGTTGCATACCAGACTTAGGTCTCCGACATGGAATGGAACTCGGAAATCACCCTGCTGTTTGGTCCACCACCGGACGGCTTAGACGTTACTGAAAGCAGTGTCGCCCAGAATAATGCTGCTGTAATTGTCCTGGCAGTTTTGGCGTCCGTAGCGGTGATGTTGCGATTGGGGGCGAGATACCTCCAAGGCCACAACCTTAAGGCGGATGATTGGGTCATCGTTGTGTTTCTGGTATGTACGAAGGCCTGATATCAAACTTAACCTGCCGAAAACAACTGCTAATCTCGTCGGTGTTGTGTTCTAGGTTCTTGTTGGCGCAACCGTTGGTCTGAGTATCGCGGGTGGTGCCCAAGGCGCTGGAAACCATGTCTGGTCCCTGACACTTGGGAAGCTGACACGGGTCTTCAAGGTGCGTTTTGATCTTCGTCTCTCTGAAAATGTTACGTTTGTTGACCAACCTTGAGAAAAGGTCCTTTACGCCTACACCTTCGTCTATGGAAGCGCCTGCGCAGCTACCAAAATCTCAATCTTCTTCTACCAACGAATATTCGTGTCCACGGTTCTTTCTTTCAAAATCTCTTTGATTTTTGGATACTTCCTATCAATATCATATCCGATCATCATATGGGCAACGATGGGAAATGCATGCAAACCATTATCCTTCTACTGGAACCAGTTCGTCGGAGAACATGGGACGTGTATCGACGTAAACGCATTCTATCTCGCACTTGGAATAATCAACATGCTGAACGACATCATGGTCTTGTTGATACCAATCCCCGAGATCTTGAAGTTGCAGATGTCTGGGCGGAGGAAGTTTGCTGTGTGCAGTATCATGTTGCTCGGGAGCTTGTGCGACTGCTCCCTTTTCACCCCCCGACTGATGATATGGTAATATGACTGACCGATTTGCAGTGTCTGTATTGCCAGCGTTGTCCGCATCTGGTACCTAGACAAATTCTCCAAAGCACAAGATCTCACGTGGATTATGGGCCCAGTATTTATCTGGTCGGCAATCGAGCCGTCTGTTGCCATTGTATCTGCCTGCCTACCTCACCTCGCTCCACTCCGCCACCTCGTCCGCAATAGGATTTCTTCGACACAGCGCAGCGCGCAATCCGGGCCAGAATTCAACAGCACGCCGTGGAGGTCGGCTGAGGGAGCTTGCAATAACTCGAAACAAGGCCAAGGCGCGCTGTTCACCTACGGGGGATCGAGGTTCAACTATGGCAACGGGGATGGCATGCAGCGATTACAAGAGTCGGATGATGAGATTGGTCTGACAAACCGCATAACTGGGGGATCAGTCAGTGGCATGACCACAGTCGCTGGTTCAGCATTGGAAGTCGACGGAAATGAGCCATCGGTCGTGATACAGTCAACGTTTGTGCTGGAATGTATGAGAAACGCGCGATAAGTCCTTGATTGGGACCTCAGAGTTGATGCAACATGTGTGCTGCAGTGAGTTCATGCTGACCTGCCTTGACTGATGGGATACTATTGAACCCATTTGTTTCACATTGCTCATAATCAAGATTCTATCCGTAACGGCCGCGTGCACGTATCATTTGACCTACGGTTACTGAAGTCTCTCTTTGTCGATTCCGTCTTAGGCATAACATAGGCCAAATAGGTTAACATAAAGGCAAAAAACACAATGCTACTGGAAGGAATACTAGGGCTTACACCTTGGCCGAAACGCATGATAGCGTCGTCCGTACTCGACTGGGTAATCAATCACGCTAGAGGACAGCGAAGCGGTATAGCTAGAGCTACGTAATTTCAGTATCAAGAAACGGATCTGAGATAATGAGGTTTTCCTACAGTCGCTCATCTATTGTCGAAGCTCCGTCAGTCTTGAAATACATGCACATGTTAGAGTCTACAGGGCAGAATAGATTACATCATATCAACGTATACAGTTTCTCCTTCGTCTGCCTTAAGTATTGAATCATTCGCGGGAATCTCTGAGGTTACAACCGATGAGGTAACTGATGGATCAGAAGGACGTATTGCAGCAGCTTCTGCAGCCGCGGGGGCGCCGGATTGGTTGGTCATAGGCTCGGCCATCGTGAAATCTGCTAGAAGTGATCACAGAGCCTTGGCGTACGCGTGATATTAAACCGTTATGCTACAACACCGTCTCAATGAAAAAATCATCACCAGAGGCTATAAGTTTGCAAATGCGTAGATCGAAGATTGCTGGAATAAAGGGTGGGTGGGCAGCTGATCCTGCTCTGGCTTAGAAACACGCGCCGCTCCAGGCTTTTATACTCATTTCGCCAACTCTCCAATCGGAACAATTAAGGCCCATCTTGTTTCGATTGTTTGCCAAGAACGACACCTATCCTGCCCACTGGAACTGTACCCTCTTGATGCGCCGAGTACTTGCAGCAGAAAACTGCTCGTATTCGTCGTAGATCAGGTTGCAGAAAGAACTATGTTCCGGGTCTTGGAGTGGAAAGGCAGTCGAGCCAATTGGACATTGGCGCTTACTTCCCGCTGTGCATTCATACAACAGTGGAAGGTGAGCTGAAATCTTTGACAGCTTATAGATATAAGTGGACTGATGATATCAAGAGTATTTAAACCAACGTGCTTCATACTGCCTAGCCCCCCCTTCCCACACAAATTTAGTTAACATGAAAGCCTGGTTATGAGAATTCTCTCCAGCTCTTAATCTTCATTCACTGAAAACATAACTCTTGTAGGTGAAAAAAATGTGCTGTTCGTGAGTGTCTTCTAATAAAAAACGTTTGGTTACGTAGACCAAAAACTATTAACGACGTTGGCCTGATTTGAACAGACGCTCCCGAAGGAACAAGATTTCTAGTCTTGCGCATTAGACCACTCTGCCACAACGCCGGAACCCACTTGAACTGAGGTGGAGACACGGGATGCGGTGGAATTCGAAAATTCTTGATGGCAAATCCTTGGTTGCGCAAGTAGAGATGCCCAGAAGAAAGCCCTATTCCAAAATCGCAAAATAACAGAACCATATCGCGTGTCTACGAATTAAGCTAGCACTTCATTTGGATATACTAGAATGTACGCTCAGATTTTCTCCAGCTAGTCCTTCCACGATCAAAATATGCTTCGTAATCAACTCCAGTTTTGCGTCAGGGAGCTCACTCAAAGCATTGATATTCAGACGACAACGTAATTTCCAATTTGATAAGGCTACCTATACATAAGGACTCCAAGCTTTGTGAATTTTGAAAGAGACTGTAAAGAAACAGCAACTATCTTCAGAAATCTTCTGAGAAACTTAGTTTCCATCCACAAAAACACTATAATCTTGCTAGGCTTGTAACAATTTCTACTTTTCGATTTTTAAGTTGATACCATCTGTGTTGTTCATGAGCTTTTATTGAAGGTTCATCCTATAGTGGAAAGGGGTTCTTACATTCTCTGTCCTACCCCTTCAAGGTATAGTGTGAGCCTCTCTTCCTGTTATCTGTATCACTTGATGAGCGTGTCTAACGCTCCCTCCAGAACGTCTACATATAAAGAAGCCAGATCTCGTTCCTCATTCTTGCGATCCCAATGACACAAGTCGACCTTTACCAAAGTGTCTGCTATACAGCTTTGGCCGTCCTTTCTCCAAAAGTTTCTGAATCTCATAACCTCGTTTGCAATGTCGTTTGTATCCATCAAGTATGGTGACACAGACTCGTAGATTTCAAGCTGTAGAAGAACACATATTTTGTGCCAGTGCTGCTTTAGGCCCAAACGCCTATGACGACGAAGCAGAAGTCGTCTCTGGTCGTCTAAGATCCCTTCATGCGGGAAGTCTTCCCTAAGGCTGCAGGACCGCTTGACAATGTGCCTGTCCCGGCTTTGAGCCATCTGAAAATCCTTCTTGCAAACTGGACAGTAGAACGGCATGCGATGCTTTTGCAGAAGGTGGTGTTTGACTCGGGATATGGTCAATAAGCGGGGACCTTTTAGACAACTTGAGTACTTGACTGGGTCCTTCTTGTAAAAGGGACATGCTATTTCCGGCCTTCGTTGTCTTTTGGATGATACTGGAGTCCGCAGACTGCCACTAGATCTTCGCTGTTCATTTTTCTGGTCAAGGTACCTGGCCAAAGCAGTTTCAATGAGTTTGCCTTTGACGAAGAATAGTGGATGACTGGACTCCAGTGAAGTAGCCGTTTCTGCCCATCCATCAAAGGATTGCCACTGGTTCTCTGTCTTGGATGAAGTTTCCGAAGATCTGTCGTTGATATCTTCCATGTTGTCATCGACTACTTCGACTGGGTCTACGGAAGGAAGTAGCTTGAATGACTCGTTTTCTTCTTTTGTCGCTGGATCCAACGGAGTCGAATCGAGCCACGAACGTATTGTGCCAAAAGCGTCCTCTTTAGAGGGCTGAAGGTCATTTCCATGCAATAGCGAGGGGATCGCAATCATGGAGACGCCATGTTTGTCCAGGTTGTGTGGCGGTGCAGAGATTTCGATTTTTTCTTGTTGCTTTAGTCGCAACATGTCGAATGAGTGACTTTGAGATTGTAATGTTGAAGAACGTTGATCGTAAGTCTCCTCCTCCGTCACTGGGAACAGATGACGAGTTTCGTGTTGTTTTCTGTTTCTAGATGCTGCGGGAATCGCCTGTTCGATGGATTGCTGGAAAGCATGCGAAGCTTCGAAAAATCCGCGGGGGCCAGTCTGTGGCCTCATAAACTGGCTTTGCTTGGTATAGGAGTCGGGATGTGTAATGACTGGTTTTCCAAATTGCCAGGTTGATGGTGCTGCTCGATATTGTCCTTGGGTTTTGTCTACAGTTTCTCCGAGATTGGAAACTGTGTCTTTCGGCAACGTCGCATGCTTTCCCTGGAAGCTTTGGCAGACAGCTGTCTGCTTGTTACAAGAATTACTACCTACATCGCTTCGAAAAACAACCAAAACCAGCTGTGATATCACTGTCTTACACAACCCATGACTGCTTGCTGCGTTAACCACAGAAGTAACATTTGCTGATTTCTCATGTAATATAGAAGTTTGAAGCCTGGCGGCATTCATTCCATGGATGGCCAATATCAAATGAGCCAGGTTTGGAAGGGGCCGTTGATCCATGGTACCAGATCTTAGATTGGAGAATTCCGTTCTTGACGCGAGGAGTAATTCCAGGAATTTTTCCGGACTATGGGGTCCTTGGGACGATCCAGAAGGGTTGCCTCCAGGATACAGGTTTCTTTGAACCTGTTGGTACAAAGACTCCGACATGAGAATCAAGTACCAACGAGCGCGTCCATAACAGGTCTTCCAGAAGTTGAGCCCGTGGGAGTCCATTCCTCCGGATTTCATATTAGCACACCAGAAATCTGGCCAGACGTACTGGAGCCCTTGGTCCCGAACCAGATCACATGCAGCCTCGAATTGCTCGAGTTCTAGCTGTTGAGACATCCATTGTGAGCGGTGAGCATTGTGTCCTATGGGACCCAGATTCAGATCTAGATTGGGATTTCCAATGGAAACCACGGCTGCGTAAGGGGGCGTAGCAGTCCATTGGCTGAACTCTTCGAATTGCTTAGATTCTATCCCGAAAAGCGTGATGCCCATGGCGTAGGTCGGTGATGGGTGATGGGAAAACGAACGACAGTGCTTTACACTAATAAATTCATGATGAGGCCGGAGGTTTTGGAGAACGTGTATTGAATACATCCATCATACGGTCTACATCTAGATATGACTGATGACGATGACATAGAGCATGAAGTGGGAAGATGAGAGGAGGGAGATGTTTCATACAAGGTGTGTAGCCCCAAGGGATGGTCGCTTATGCTGCGCAAATCGGTGCCAGGCACAATTGTGCTGGGGTCACTGTGGTAAGACATGGATGGGACCCCATGTTCCCACTTCCCTTGAAGGGGGTCTCGGCAAATTCTGTGGCCGTCAGACCGCCCCCCACTGCAAATCTTAGGCTACTGCTCAGATGCCCCAACCAAAATTGAAGCCCAAAGCTCGGTGAATTGCTCTAATTTGCGACGCTGACCCAACTCTTCTCGAAATATTGGACTGAGAGCGCCTTTTGTTGTTGGGCAGTATAAATGTGCGAAATGCGTCGGCATTATCAGTTTCCAGAGGCTCGTACACTTACACGTACATGCAAAGCAGTAGCCTGATAATTCATTTCTGAGGGAGCGCTGCAAGTCAGTCCGCGCGCAATTGCGCGCAACGGCGCGCATCCTGGAGAATAAAGGACAATCAAGTTGCCTACATCTCTCACATGATTGGCAAAGCACAAATGTGGCCAGAGCGATCTCCGACTTTCGTAATCTAAGCTGACTGCTGATTGGAGGAGACTAATTGAGGGTGTACGGTATTATGCAAGTGTGGTATGGCAGCAAGTTATCCTTACGGCGCGATAACTGAGGGGCTGCCTATCCTGCAGCCCGCAGGGACGGCTCAGAACGGAATTCATGTGAATTCTATTGCGCATGGTCGTGCACCGCTTGGAGTATGGGCTGTAATCCTTATAGTCGCCTTGCTACTAACATGCATTATTATAGGTGACGAGAAGATGGTACAGTATTGACGACTGCAAGGGCCAAGCCGAACAGGACGAGGCTGCTGCTGTCTTTATTCTCGGACCCGGCGCGACGTTGAGGAACGTCATCATCGGCCCGGCCCAGGTTAAGAGAATTCGCTGCCGCGGGCCTTGCACCATCGAGAACATGTGGTGAGATGATGTCTGTGAAGACGCTGCCACCTTTCAAGGCTTGGGGGTGAGATACATCAAGGGTGGCGAGGCTTGGGAGGCTTGTGACAAGGTCTTTCAGTGCAACGGTAGGTTTGCGATTCAACCTTTGGTGTGAGTTGCTCCCCTGGTATACATCCTTTGCCCGCTTCTCATGCTCTTTTGGCTAATCAAGCCGTGTAACTTCGGCTCGATCCTGATTCCATGCTCTTCTCAACTTAGACCACCGCAAAGTCAACCCCGAGACTCTCACATGTCTGGGTTACCGCGGTTAAACGAAAACCCGTTCTTCTGGCAGTCCTCTTCCATGTTCCTTTGGAGTTCGGTTATAAGCTCTTGGCTCAAGAGGCTTCTCCAGGTGAAGACTTGGTCGCCCGACGATGTTGGCCGTTTGCATGCCCTGGAAGCATACGGCTTAAGTGATAGTTCTAGTGCATCTAGTTTGTCTTCTTCCCAGATGGCTAGTCCCAGCTGGCGATACGGCCAGAACGGAACTCCGCGGATGGGCGAATACGGATTTTTTAATAGTCTGACCACGTAGAACGGCCAACACGGTGGTTGTCCCTTTGAAATTTCCTCTCGTGGCCATCTGGGGTCTACAACTCCTGGCAAGGCTGGGTTTTGCCACTTATTTGCGAACTCGTAGTCGAGAGGAGGGGTCGGGAGACGCCGAGAGCCTTGCGCGAGAACTGAACCGCCTTGCACATGGTCAACGAACTCCACAACGGTGAGGAACTCCTCTTTCTGCCAGGTCCAGCCTGCAAATAGAATCTCAGGAGATATCTCTCGTTGGCCGTCTCCCAGGGCCCATCCCAGCCGGCCTTCAGAAGCCGCGAGCTTCAGGTCGATCAGCAGCTGCAATCTCCAGAACCCTCGCATCACGCGTTGCTCCTCCATCCAGCAGAAGGGACCGATAGGTTGTAGCTTGTATGGCTTCCCAAGGGGGTTCTGGCGCCATGGCTTTTCACGACCAACACCCCAAGCGAAGGGGTCTTCGAGGTGGGATGGGATGACGGAGGACCATCGGCTGCGATAGTGTTCGAAACAGGCCCACGCCAGGCAGCAGATGCGTCGCGCGGTCAAGAGAATGTCCCGGACGAGCTGAGGAGATTGGCCGCGGAGCGAGCGCGCGAGGCTTGGTGCAGGCGAGAGGAAGGAAGAGTCCTGGCCTCCTTGGCATTGGGTGTGCTTCTCGATAAATTCCTGGAGCGACGATGCTGGTGGATGGCCTGGCGTTGCGATGCGGATTAGACCGACAAGGCGGACCAGCTCGACCACATGGGGTGACATTGACTCAGCAAGCGCATGATCGAGAGCTTTTGGTCCCACTTCTGAGGACTCAAAGACGCGAGACGCAGCCGGGCTAGCCGTGACGAGATGGTAAATTGATCGGAGATCGGTAATGGAGAAAAGGATTCGTTCAAGGATCTCGGTCGGGAGGAGGTTGAGACTAGCAGTTGATTGAAATGCCATGGCGAAGCAATCTATGTCAAGACTTAGAAACTCGGTGTTGAAAGAAGCCAGGGACGCAGGCTAGAGGCACGTACGTAGGATCATATGCCTCGACTCATTACAAGGATACTGGTTTGAACAAACAGGGTTGAACAGTCATGGCAGGGCTTTACACGATCCGCATCTGAAAAGGTCTAACTCTCACCTGCGGCACAGCGGCGCTTAACTCGCTGCGAGACGGCCCGGATTATGTTCTCGACAATCTAGGCAAGGAAAGCGTAGAGCAAAATTTTAGGATTGGCAACGTGTTGGGCATCATGATGACCTATAAGGGAGTGAAGCTCACGACTAGGGCTCTAGATGCTCATTTCTGACGCAAGTGGCCCCACAACAGCGGTCGGAATCTTCAGTCATTAGTGTTCTTGACATTTCAGCTCTATTTCTTGCCCCCTGCCGCCAGGGCAAATCGGCTTGCTTCGAGTTCGCGATACAGGGTCCTCGGCCCGATTTGCTCCCGACAAAATCTTTTCTGAATGTTCACCGATAGTTCATGGTGGAAAAAGGTTCACCACGTGGTAATTACGTTTCTTGAAAACCTAACCACTTTTGAGCATTACTGGCAATGTTCGAGCTCTACCAATATCAGATTCAAAATGCCAAAGACGTCTCCCTAACGCACATCCAGACTGAGGCACACCATTTCCAAGCTAGCCCAGATGCCCTGCAGCCTTTCAAGGTTGGCAGCAAGTCTAATAATTCTGACTTTGGCGACTGCTCAAAAATTATTGCAGGAAGGCCTGGGGACTCCAAGTTCGCAGTTCTTCCAATGTCTTGCTGTACACGGCTGGCCTCTACAGCTTCTTCCAGTCAAACGAGAAAGGGTGCCTCGATACAGAGATTTGCCAGGAGAGACTCGCAGAGACCAGTTTCAGTGAGGGCCTTTAGTCTCACAACATCTTCAACAAGAGTACAGTCCAGGTAATTATTCCTCGCGGTGGCCTACACCCGTTTTTGAAGAAAGAAACCGACCGAGAGTGATTTTTACCCTTGTCATGAGTAACTTGTTTAGATTAATATTTTTTGTTTTTGGACAGACAAATAAGATCACTGCCAGGAGGATGGGCCCTCTTTCAGGCTACATCCGCTCGTCTACTGCCCACCTGGGGTACAATGAACCATTCAGGCCGTCAATAAGTAGTAATCGGAGATTTCTGTAAAATAAAAATAAAAACAATTGAAAACCCCCCCAAGAAAACCGGTGTTTTTGGTTTTTGTGTCAAGACAAGTATGGACCAAATGAGGGCAGAGCCATATTTCTGGAAGCTGAATATTTTCAAACTTATTGCTATCAAGTCCTGCGGCGAATAAAAGCACACCAAATAGCCCTTTTTAAGCTTGGAGAGTGGTATGGCAGCAGTGAAGAGGCATCACGAATTATTGCAACATGGATTATATGAGGAATTCCTTCGAGATTGTGTAGGTCAGGGGCTGTCGGCTCCCTCCGTCACAAGCCAAAGCTCTAGTATCCCGGGCTGTACATGCCAACCGACCTATAACTGCTATATATTGCCGTGTTGGTTTGTGGTTACGTCTTGTAATCGGACTGTGTTGTCCGATTCAGTTCACCCCAGTCAATGTATTGACACAAATGCTCTTTCCATACGAACTGTGCGACGCTCTTTGTACCTGCTTGCCTTCGTTTACCAAGCTTCTGTGCATAATTGCGCATGTTTTATTTTGTACTCAATCTAGGTAGCAGATATGTGTCTATGTATGTATGTAATTAATTCTTATAGCAAGGGTAAAGAGGGGTTTAGTAAACGTAGCACAACTGGAAAGATTACTGGCCAATATTATATGGCTGTTCCAACAACCTACCATATGTATTTAGGAAACTCATCGATGAATATTTTAGCAAAAACCCGTTTCTGAACAGTGGTCAACATGGGCCGTGTCTCAATGATTCGATTTCGGTGTCTAACGATCCTAATGTAGAGATTTGCGTTATTGCATTACATGAACTTGACTACTTCACTCGTCCAGGATCAGATCAGAAAAGGCTACATTTACAGCTTGGCATTATGATATCTCAACCATCTTGAAGGCTAGAGGGAGTGCTCTGACAGGAGAACAATTTGAGTTTACGGTATTGTGACTGCCTGGGGCGCAGTGGGGGATGGCCGTGTTCTGTCACTCCCGTACTTCCGGACCAGGGAATGAGTGGGGTCATCACTTTCCAGTGTAACTAAAGTATGTCTAGCCAACCTCATCGGGGCACAGGCTAACATGGGACTTGAGTCAGGTCGTCCGAAACGTCGGGCATGACACCCAGTTCTTCTCATGACCGAGGACATACCCGCGTAGGAGAACCTGGCGAGTCCCGCCACGAGATAAGTCCCCCCCCTCCCCCCCGGGATACTGTCCTGTGCGGTTTGTATGCCATCTCGCCGTACCATGGTAGCGATCGACTCGTTGCTACATAATGACTGATGCGCCTTCTGAGGTTACCCTCCATTGTAAGGGAAAATTATCCCTTTAGGGGTCAAACTTCCTCTGACAGCCTGGACTTTCAATGCAAAATTTCCTCGTTTTCATCATGACCTGATCAGTGTTTGTCCCGTGGCTACGTGATACATATTTCAGAGCACTTCAGTGCACCAATCTGCCTCAATTTTGATGAGTTTTCAGCACTGTATGCGATTTCCAGAACCGCGTCGAAGTGATTTTCGACCTTCAGCGCCAGCGCATCTCTTTCCACAGCCGGAGGCCTGCCAGCGCAGAGTTGCTACTCAAGTCGCCCAGCATGGTGATAATGAATCACGAATATACCAAAGGTCAAATGATAGATCTGGCCATTGGGTTCATGTTCATTCCTATCTTCTTCTTCGGGCTTCGCATTTGGGCAAAGTTACTCGTCAAGCGTGTCGCGTGGGATGATTACCTTACAGGAGCCGCGCTTGTAAGTCTCAGAGGCAACGTATTGATCCCAATGGGCTGAATCATGGACTGACCGAGATGCTTGAAGCTAATTTCAATCGCATGCTGCAGCCTACAGTTAGCCAGTAACTAAGTTTTTGTTCATTTCTACACACTATGAGACAGACAGTAACCTCCTCAACAGCTGCAATTCACGGACATTTGGGGCAGCATCAGCCTACGTTCCCAGATCGATCCCCGATTATGGACGACCCGGGGTTGATCTTCTTCGAAGAGGTGTGTGAGAAAGTCACTATATCATCTTTACCATCGGCTCCAAGCTAACAATCTCTCCATCAACCAGGCAAAGTTCGCCCTCAATATGATATCGATCCTCGGCTTGGGGCTCGTCAAGTCCTCAATTCTCATACTATATCACAGTCTCTTCCCAAGCCGCAGGTTCCATTTCGTCGTTTACGGCGTGCTCGCGTTCGTCATCGGATGGACCGTTAGTTTCTTCATTTCTCACCTCTTTACCTGCTATCCCATCACTGTCTTCATCGAGCCCTACTATGGTAACTCATGTGTGCAGACAGTACCTATGTTTCTTTCTTTACTCTTCACCGACGCTATCACCGATTTTATCATCCTGGTACTGCCAACCCCTATGGTGTTAAAAGTTCAGCTTCCTCTAAGGAGGAAAGTGGCAGTCATTGGAATGCTAGGTTTAGGCGCTGCGTGAGTGTCCAGAGTTACAACAATCATTCTCTACAAGGTATAAGATCTCGCCGACTAACGGTAGGCAGTGTTTGCGCTGTGAGTGTTACGAGAGTTGTCGCTACCTTTGCGATTGCTGAAGAATACGTTAAACATCCCAACGATGTTATTTGTATGTACTTGATCCGCTTCCCATTGTTGAATACTTTAGATTGCGAATCAACATCTAATCCTTTTCGCAGACTATACCGCGCCCGTATTCTTCTGGACCAACATTGAGCTGTCTCTGGCCATTGTTTGCGCGTGTCTACCCACAATGCGCCCAATCTGGGTGCATTTCTTCCCCAGGTCCACTGCGACTGGGACGAACTCCTACAAGTACGGATCTTCGAGGCGCATGAAGAACAGTCATAGAACTCCATACCAAGAGCTGGATGAACTGGAAACGACTCGAATTGAAGGCAAGACTCGGTCCGGGTCGCCGACAGAGAGAGATATCGTAAAGGAGACTACTATACACCAGGTAATCGAGCCGTTGGACGCGTCAAGTACCGCCAATTTGAGGCAAGACCGGCTCGTGTTATAAAAGAAAGCTGAGGAACAGATACGAGTATATATAGAAGCTGAAAGCCTATGTATCTAATGTGCTTCTGCATTGGTACCTACTACTCTTTGTATGTGGTAGGAAACCTTTGCAATCGCGAGAAGCAATGGGCCCAACACATCGCTTTCTCCATTCTACAGCCTATACCATGTGGCCCTTTATCATAGGAAGCGTGGCAGAGAGACTGTTACATGAAATGAAACATGTTTCAGCATGCATAGCAAGTAGCCAAAATCTAGTGTGGTCCTCTCCATTTTAAGTCCCTACTGGAAGCCGCACAAAAAATTGCGGCAGCGTCCGTTCCGTTTCGAATTCGCTTATGATGTTGAGATAACCTATTCATCCACAACATCCATGATACGGGGTGGTGGGGGCAAAGAGGAGAAGGCATATTTGTGTGTACGTAGAGAACAAGGATTAGCCTAGCATTAAGGCCCCACAGGCATCGCAAGGATGCCTTTCTTAGACTGTGTTGACCCTGTTGCCGTCGCAATCTTAAGGTAGGGTACTTAGCCTGAACTGATTCCCTCATGGCTCTCCGACGTCTGCCTCGTACTATGGGTAGTACTCGCAAAGAGTTCCGTCGACTAGTGGTCGTACACCCCGAGATATGACAGTATCACTGAATATGGAGAAGATTCCCTTCTTCTCTCTTTGGTGCATAACAGTACCGAAAACTTCATGTCAATCAAGCCCCAACTCTGGCTGATTGGCCGTTGTTAGAAAAGCTAAACTATATTGTAGTGAATATTAAAGTGGTGTCACATTCGCCAATTTCCATTTGCTGAAGGTCGTCCTCGTTTCCGCAAGGAGTCAGGGGAGTCTACTGAAGCACCGTTGGATCGTTTGCGGACCCTGCTCAGACCACGCTCACGGACCCTTGGAAATCTAGTCATGTCCTTCTGCACGAACTCATTGGTTATTACTGTTTCTCGTTGACAGTCGCTCACCTCTACAACCCTGAAAGCACACACCATGCGCTTCCTCATAAACCTTTCTAGAAATCATGACTACAGTAGCATTAGCTGCCATAAGGATTAGTGCTCGCTCTGTTGCTGAGGATTTGTAGTACTTAGTTTTAACATTTGCCGTAGTTGCTGAGGTTCGAGAAAGATGGAGTAACTTGGACAGACCCCTATCATCTGTTGTCGTCAGTGCAATTACTGAGGACGATCTTAGTGTGGTATATCATCATCTGTTTCCAAAAGCAAGAGCATATGTGCTGTGACTCATGCTCATAGTTGAAACTAACAGATGAAATACTGCATGAAAGACGGCATTCCCTTTCTCCCCCAGAATGGTGGCAACGGCCGGGCAACCAAACAATTCAATTTGGGCAGCATAGTGTTCTCTTCAACCTCAACAGCCTAAACCGAATTTTTGTCAGTGACTACAAGAAGACCGCCACGATCGGCGGCGGGGTCTTTATCGGCGATGCCATTGCTGCTACCGATGCCGCCGGCGTCTTGATCCAGACTAGCAGATGCAACGGTGTCGGCGCGTTCGGCGCAGCCCTTGGCGGCGGATATGGAAACACAATAGGTCAGCATGATTTTGCTGTTGATAACATCATCTCGATGCGCGTTACTACTGCTACTGGAGAGGCCCTCGCCGTCTCAAATACGTCCAACCCAGAGCTCTTCTGGGCACTCCGAGTTGTTCCATCTGGTTTTGACCAACTGCGGCGATGCAACCAATACATCAATGGTTCTTGCCATAGAATTCCTTCGCGAAGGCATTAAAGAGACCGGCCGCTTGGCTTTTGCGCCCTTGTATGATCTCGGGCCTCTTACTAACTCTAGCTCGGTGACGTCTGATAAAGACTGGAACGCCGCAAACGATTACTTTTGCGCTCGCGGTGGAAGGGAGCAGGCCTACAGTGTTACCATTAACAGCATGAAACCGGAGACATAGCCCAAGATTTGGACCTCTACACCAATTTTTCAAAAGCAGCTGGGTGCTCAAAACTCGGTTGTGTTGATCGAACGGTACAATTTGACTGAAGCTCAGTCGGTTCAATTGAGCTCTGCAACTATACAGGATGAGCTCCGGCATGAGGCTTTTGCTCAGGTAATTTTCATACTGTGGAACGAAGACGCAGCTATGGATACTGATGCTCAAGCTTTTGGCTCAAGTGTGTGAGAGATTGAGAGCTTCTCACATAGGCAAACTATAACTTCTTGGGTCCGAGAAATACATCTTAAGGGCGACTAGGGACAACAAGACCAATCATGACCCGGTTGTTCCTAGTCGCCCTTAAGATGTATTTCTCGGACCCAAGAATGCACTGACAGCTCACAAAGCACGTCAACGTTGCTCATGGAGACGAAGAGCTACAAGCTATGTCCAGATCCAGTCTGGAACAATTGAAAGCTCTTAAGCAGCAGTATGACCCGTCTGATGGTTTCCGGGCCACGGTTCAAGATCATCTAAAAGCCTGGGAATCGAATTCCGTGACAGGCTTCCCATGCAAATAGACAAGAACGATAGAGAGAATGGGCACAGTAGTAAGACTACGTTGGCCAAGAAGGCATTGAGCCCACTACATGTTCATTAAGGCTTTGTCGCCCAAATGACCAAGCCTATGATTTGATCTCCCGAGTATCTTCGCTTCTGAATGCTTGTTTTCTGTAAAAGAAATTAAATGACCTCGATGCGTCGATTTAAGCTATGAATGGAAGGAGCCCTGCAAGATTGTTTGATACCTACCCATATGTGAACATATTTATCAGAATTCATACTGGCCTAATTACAGCTAGATATGAGGCTAGCCCTTGAAAGTGTACTAAGGTCCGTCATGGCCTTATGTCAGTTGGTATAACTTTGTCGATTTTCAGACAGAGATGGTGTCAATGTATTAAGTTTGAAGTCATTCTTTCCTGGTGTTATCTCACCGTTTCCCGATCTGTAAAGAGATCCAATGAAGGCTTTTGTAGAAATGGGCAGGTTCAATAGCGTTAATTGGCCATATTCATGTGACTGATTCCCTCTGTAGCATCAGCCACTGTTATTGCAACTGGCTGTATTGTAAACATTGAAAGAAAGATTTCAAGAGGAAGCGAATCTCGGATGCTAATAATGCTGTTTTCTTAAGTCGATGCAATACTATGACCATATTCTAATTGCACCAACCATTTCCTTGATACCTTCGAATATGTAAAAGGACGGTAAAGAATGTCATAAACCACGGGGAAGTCACTTAAGGGCTTGAATACCGAATCCGTGAGGGGCACTGTTCCCATGACCAACATACTAACGTTATATCCCAACTGCGGCAGTTGTTGGCCCTCCAGATTCTTCTTCCTCTTCCGGCCTACGGGCGTAATCCAGATGCCTAATCATGTCGTCAGTTAGTGTGGCCAAAGAAAATCTTGTAATGAATGTAAAGTTGCTAAGGGTTCACTGACAGTCTGAAATACATCTGGAGTTGGGGGTCCTTTAACGCCTTGCGCATCTCGCTGATGAAAACCAGGGTTTCTGCATCTTCCCATCCCATCGCATGCTTCAAAAGAAGTATCCCGAAACCCTCAAGTGATTGATCGATGTATTCAAGGTTTACAAGTCCGACTTCCTTGAGCTTAGGATCAGCAGGCCAGTTTCCAACTGGAATAGGCCAACTTTTCTCGACAATGTCGACGAACCCAGCGTTCCGTAAGCCGTGAGCAATACCGTGATCGCGCGTCTGCTTGTGTGTCTTACCAAACCTGGCTGTGGCTTTGAACATAATCTTGGCCCATCTCCTGTAGATATGGTCTTCAGGTAGATTGTTGCCAAGACTCTGAGAGTGATCCTCGATGTCAATCTCCTTGACCTCAATGTATCCGCCCGGCTTCAGATGCTCAAAGGCTTGGGAGTAAAGTTTTGGCCAGTCCGCTACCGAGGCTTCCAGATGACGAATGTGGATATAATCGAAGTACTCAATAGGCCAGGCCCACTCTTGTTCGAAATCGTCGATCTGGAATCAACAGTTAGGCGGAACCCAGCCAGGCTGAATGGGTGAGATATCGACTCCAATAACATCGGCCAACGGAAATTCGTCCGCAAAGTCGCTATAGTCCGTTAGAAATCCGGCCTTAGTCCAGCCAAAGGACTATTGGAAACTCACATGGCCCATATGCCAGTACCAGTTCCAAGGTCAAGGACTTTCTGCTCAGTTTGTAAGTAGCTAATCTCCTCTGGTAATATTGATCCGGTAATATTTCGTATTACCTGAGGGGTGTTGCCAATTGGTGCTAGAAATAACTTGTCATCGAAAAACAAGCATTGCCAGTAGTGGCTTTAATACGCAAAGAGTCAGCTTTACGTTGGAACTACACATCTTTCAATGTCACCTTAAAACTCGATACCGAAATGGAATGTACTCACGCAAGTTCCAGTCCTCCGTTTTGCTTCTCATCATTCGGGCCCCAGTAATCAGTTTTCTGCGTGTAAGTGCGACCAAGAATGCGGCGGTACTCGGTTATGCTCTCGCTCAATGATGCCGTCGAGGAGGTGTTGATACTATAACAGCGAATTTAGTCTGTAGTCATTGGACATTGCTGATTTCAACCTACCTTCCGGTCTCCGCTTCGCTGAACTCATCGTTGCCTTTGGCTGCGTCCTTTCCCAAGCATGTATTAGCACGGCGCACCCAATAATCTGCCTCTAGGTTTTTGGCCTGAACTCTCCAATACTTACAGCCTCAATCGCGCCTGGTTCCTGCTCATTGCCACTTGTAGGGGAGTTCGTCGCCAATATCCCCAGTGTAAATAGGCTCCCCGCATGCGTGGGAGCCGACACTGCTGCTGCTACCGTACCAGGACTCGTCGCCATGTTCCTTGACAGCCAAAGAGGATTGATGGTGTAGCAAAAGAAAGCAAGCCAACGCAAGGAACATGAGCTGAGATCGGATGAAAGAAGATAGTCCTCTCATAGAATTTAGGAATGGAAACGCGGCCAACCCCTCTTTTAAGAGCCATCATTATTGTTGGTCCTTGGGTATTCTCAGCTTGCATGTTGACACCAGTTCATAGGACCAGGGCCAAATCCAACAAGGGTCAAGGCGAGGGTCCGGTTCCCCGGGCGAATGAGCGGATTAATTCTTGTAGATTGGACGCAGATTCTAGGCTAGTTTTGGAAGGTCATGATATTGGTTGGACGTCAAACAGGACAACCAACATGCCACATCTGCTTGATTGACAAGCAATTGCAACTTGGCAAACAAATCCCAATAGAAATGAGTCTCGGCAACTCAACCACCCACGGTTCCGCTCCGTTACCACGCTGTTTACCCACACAATTCTGGGCCAATGGAGAAAACGTTTGATAGCCAATGGCCCTTCTTGGCTAGCTGCACCCTAAGCACAACACTTCGGACCTCATATAGAATGAGGATGCAAGTGCAGGCCGATGTGAGATAGGCGATGGTATTTCTTGCATTTTTTAGCATCTGCACTCACGCAATCTTTACGGACTGGCATTGACTAGAGCTGTAGTCAACCTCGTTGAGGTTCAAACCTTTGCGTCTGGCAAACAATCCTTGTGAGCAATGTCATAACGCTGATGCAAATTTAGCAGGTTTTTGCATCTCAACCTTAACTGGTGCATTAGGAGTCTTATGTTTTAGTGTCATGTCAGCCAGCAAGATACGCCTGTCCAACCAATTGCAATGAAACAGCCTGTAGGATAAGGTCAAGCATTCCGCTTTTACATTTACTTGCCATAGAAGTCAACAGTGGCCAGGTGGCTTACCTCAGATCTAGCCAGGGAAATATCTCTGGTCCCCAGAAATCCTACCATCCCAACGTCATATGCACCGTATAGAGCTGACTCATGATCAGCTTCTCAGTGATGTCTCTTAGTTAATCGAGAATAGTGTTCGCGTACGTCGAGACCACGGAAACCCGGAGTTGCAAAGAACAAGGAGAATGCGAAACGGACAATGAAGCTTGGCCACATCTTTCCCCATCAGCCGATGAAGTTTGGCTTTGGTGTCCGTTCGTTCGAACGGGTGTACGGCCGGATGATAGCTCTGCAACGAACCGTTTCTGGCCCTACGGCCTGCCCCAATGACGACGATGCGGAACCCTGACTCGCGGTCCGGCACTGAAACTTTTCCACACTTGTGCTGATCTCGATCGGAGTGACGCACGTTCCTGTGACTACAAAGTTTATTTCTCCTCATGGAAAGTGGGGGCTTCCTACGTATCTTGAAAATTTATTCCGTCAGTCCATGTTTTTGAGCTGGTAATCGAGGGACATAACGAAATGTGTATCATGTGGGCAAAATACTACCTCCCAAGGGTTAATTAAAGTCATGGAAACCAGATTAATCAACAACGGCATGTCTTGATCCCGAAAGGAACCAAAGCTGTGGCTGTTCGAGAATCCAGCACTGGCAGCAAGCCGGCCGGGCCAGTCCCTAGTCCGATCTTTGCGCCGTCAAAGAGTCCGCGGTCGTAGTACCCACGCCATTACCAATATCTACATAGAAGGCCGTGCCTCGTTATTCGCGGCAAACCCCATGCCCATTCCAGGGGAACCTGGTTGATAAGTCCGGAGATCATCGTTACCACCCTCATATTTGCGACGGTGGTGGCAAAGCCCCCAAGAGTATCAATTCGTTTGGCGTCCGGCCAACCGCCTGGCTACGAAATTCCGCATTCAAATGCCGGCCTACAATGACAAGGCCCAACGGCTAACTAGGAACAACGGAGACTTGACGCCTGCAGGGTCCAAGGATGAGAACCTGGGCCCCAGCGCTGACGTTCCCAAGTCCAGGCTAGGACGTGTTGACCGTCATTGCGCTAGCCAGCCTTCACACCAATCATCAAATTAAGCTCGCCCCGTGCTGCCACACATCGTTTCTTTTCTTTCCTTCAGGCTTCCATTTGCCATTACCTACATCAACTAGTGCGGTTGCTGAAGTTCCGACGAGCGGCGGTCAATGGGCAGCCAGTCCTTCATATTGTCCGCTTTGCCCCAACACTTCGTCAGAAGTTTTCCAACTCTTCCCCCACGATACTTTCCCCTTCTATCGGGGATGAAGGCGGATCACCAACGTCGTGTTCTACGCGATCGTCCGATGAGAAGTGGCTCTTGGCATCACGATGGCCGGAACACTTGTACCCCCGTGGTTTGAGGCATCTACACCAACCAATGATGAACAAAATGTCGCCAGCATGTTTTGGGGTTTCACCCTTGGAGTCGGGCTTTGGAGTGGAGTCAAGGGATATCGACAAAGTATGGCCAGCTGGAAGAGAACGCACCGGATCAACACATATGTTTGGCTCATCTGGGCGGAATGGATGGCTAGTATTGTCATTGGTATCATTTCATGGTGCTATCTCACCGCTGTTATCGAACCAAGGTATGTACATTCGCGTTTCGCTTTTGTGTCGGAACTACGGTTAACTTGGTCCTAGTTTCGAGTACTTCTTCTTCTTGCGTAAGTGTTGCCAGCGTTTTCAGTTGCTGTTGAGCACCAAACTGATGAATAATACACCAACATAGTCGTTCTCTGGACTATTCAGGCAAGCGCTTTTCGATAACCTTGAAGCTCATATTCCCGCTCGACGATGTCTAATTAGAAACAGGTTCAGTGCCTAATGCAAATCATCGTCAATCGGATCGCGATCTTGATGCCAATCCCGTCCCATGCGACACGACTAAAATGGGGCGTCTTCGCCGTTCTACTCGCGATCAACATCAGTGTTTTCTGCATATGGATACCGGCACGGCTTCAAATCAGTAAAACGTATATTCATCTCAACGAAATCTGGGATCGTATTGAGAAGGGTATCTTTCTCATTGTGGACGTGGGTCTGAATCTGACCTTCATTTATCTTGTCAAGTCACGTTTGATTGCAAGTGGCTTGACAAAGTACACAGCACTCTTCAGGTTCAACTTGGCAATGATTGCCATTTCAATGACTCTCGATGTACGTTTATTCTTCTACCCCACTATCAATGGCATCAGCTTACCTCATGCTCTAGGTTATTCTGATTGGACTCATGTCCCTCCCTAACACGCTAATGTTAGTATTGCACAAACCCTACGTCTGAAAAAACAGTTACTAACACGTCCAGCTACGCACAATTTCACCCCCTCGCCTATCTGCTCAAACTACACATCGAAATGGGCATGGCAGACCTTATCGCCAAAGTCGTCAAAGCTTCACACCCGATGAGCCCTCATCTCGAATCGCGGAGAGACAGTAATGACATCACGTCGGACGCGAATCCTAAGCAATCGTCAACGAGATCTACAGGGTCGAGGAGGTTTTCGTTGTCCTACTTGGGAGGACGATGTGTGCCGAGCTTAAACACTCCTCAACCTGAACGAAATGATGCAGAGACACAACGATATCCTGCTGGGGCGGGACAACAGATTGGCTCTCAAACAGATGCCGTCTCGGGACGGGAGGCACCAGCGGAGACATTTAGTCGTCCTCGCTCTCTTTCTCGACACGTCACGGAACCGACCAGTCTGGCTGGTTTAGAAATGACGCGGCAGTTCCGGTCTAATCGGCAGGACTCTAGCAGTACAGTAAGGGATCATGACCAAGAGGTAACGTGGCACGTTTCATGACCAATTTGGGCAATGGATGATACCCACAGGAGTTTGAGGAATGAAAAGGAGTTGGAAAACTAATGATAGCTATCATATTATTAAGATACAATTTTACATAATTCAATACAATGTCCACCATTGGATCCGTAGAATTAATTTGCTGTACAGTCTTGTCTAGGCATCATCGCCAAGACACTAAACAATAAATTTCACTAGTTACTAGATTTATGATTCAAGAACCTTGTGCCTAATTCACGCAGTGGCTGAAGTTGATGAGCTAACGAATGTGTTTATTAAACTGCGAAACAAATGAGCTCTCCGCTCTTATTGACATCAAGAATATGTAACTTTAAACCACGTACCCTTTTCTGAACTTGCATCAATTGCTTGCGGAATAAGCGGTCCAAGCTCGACTTCGTTGTACTTGCTACTATCTCGCATACCGCCGCTTTCGGTCAAGCTGAAGTCCTCGAAATCGATCTACTGTGGCACAAAGCTCTCTGGGTATTCGTAATATTCCGTGAACTCGGCTGGAGATAGCTCAAAGTCATGAAAATTCCAAAAGTCTTGCTCTGGCGTTCCAGGTGGAAGTCCAACAGCAGACGACGGCAGCGGATCTTGTCTGTCTTGGAACTCGTTGATTTCAATTTTGGGAACAACGGAAGGCGCCAAGCCATTTTCCATCTGTTCAAAAATGCTCGCTTCAGAGAGAAGCGGTGATGGAGCAAAAACCGACGATGGCGCCGAAGGTGATCCATATCGCCTGAAAGACTGTATAGATTCTTCCACTCGGTCCAGCAAGATATCCATCGTTTCTTGGATATCAACTGCCCCAGGCGAGGATAATATGCTGGAAACGATACTGGAACTGTTCTTTTTCCAAAACCATCTGACAATCGGGATCAGCTCCTCGTGCTCTGTCGACTTAAGGTACGGGGAATCTGGTTTGCGCTCGCCGGGAAACAACGCCCTCCAAATGTTAAACCACTGCTCGTGCTCATTCAGACCGCTATCCGTTCTTTTACTAATAGCTTTCTTTTGGTCGACGGTCATGAAATCTCCATACTCATCCGGCATTGCCTGCTGTTGACAAGATTGCTGTCTTATATGATTGTCATAGTCTGAACGACAATCGAATGATGCCCAGCACACCGGACAGTAATGCTCAGATAAGCTGTGCTTCCTGTACAGGTGCTGCTTAACGTCCTTAACCCTTTTTAACTTAAATCGCATAAAGCACTTCAGATGTTTTACAGGGTCCCTTTTAAAATAGGGACAAGCGAAGAACTTGGGAGCTGGAAAATCAAGGTTGCCGCCTGCGTCTCGCTTCGTAGTCTTCCTTCTAAAGTCGTCTTCATCTGAATCGTTGCCCGTATCGTTTTCTTGCCTAAGTCGTTTCCTCCCCGAAGAACTTTGGGAGCTTGAGCGCACAGACGCGGAAGACGGAATCGTAAGATGACCTTTAGTCATTACAGGTTCCCCGGCACAGTCAATGACATTGTGTGTATGGCTCAGATCAGTCTCTATTTGCAAGAGTGGACTAGCAATCCCTGTGGGATCCTGGCCTGCGTAGGGTTTTCCTACTGCCATATTCCTTTAGCACTGACATAAGATGTTTGGACAGCCCACCACGTACCTAAATCTGTGTTCCTAGGCCATACACTCTGGTCGGCACTATATTTCCCAAGGCCTTCAAGCATGTCTTCAGATTGAAAAGTTCCTGTTGAGAGCCCTGCAGGTTTGGGTACACAATGCGGTCAGTATATGTATATATTTGAAGGTGGAGGAAGATTACCAAAAATTCGGAACCAGGACTCAGAACCTGAGTGTTGAAGAGCACAGCCATCATTCTGTGTGGTCCCTGAACTAAGTGCGATCCCTGGCTCGCGTCAGCGTCGGCATCAAGATATCAACAATCTGTGTAGTGCTTGACGCATGCCCCTGAACTGATAGTCTCACCAAAGAAAGATTAGTACTTACTTAACGTGTGCTGAAAACGCTCAGGACCGGCCTTACTGGTTCTCTCGGCTGGTGACGTTGCGTGCATAGCATAAGGCTCACCGCCAAAGGGGTTCTTCGGCTTTGCCCATCTCTGATTCATTTTCTTGATACGGTCCTCGCCACCGAAGCTTCCGAAGCTGTATGACGGAATAGGCTTGCCTGACTCAACGAAAGCAAACCGGGACGTTATACACTCAACCATGTCAAGGGCTGGCGCCTTGACCGGTACAAGCATTTCGTGCACAGTACTTGCTCCTTCAACATCAGGTGCTTGAACGATGACTTGGAAATCCCCTCCAGTATATTCTCCCAATATCTCCTGCTGCTTTCTCCCAATATTCTCTCTCGTGGTTGATGCGAAGCTCTCAGCCCGTGATGCTCTGTTGTAGGACGTCTTTGAATGCAATCTCGAAGGTGACGCGAAGTAATGGCCCTTTGATGCTGTCAGCCTGTTGCCGCCCAGAGTACTGGAGGCACTGCCCCATTGATGACGCCTGACAGGCAGGCTCGAGGATCTCAGCGGGCTTGGGGCCGGGTCTCGCAGGCACGCCTTGGCCACGCAACGATTCGCTGCACGTGAGTTCAAGGGCTGATGTGGCTCGCATAACGATCTCTGACTTATTGCCATTTCCGAACACATCGAAGTTCCACTTCAGAAAACCCAAAAAGATCTGAAGGGCGCGTCAAACAAAGGTCGGCCGTAGTAGTGAAATGTATGGATGAAGAAGTGTGAAAACTGCGCCCGACGAGTGAAGCCCGATATTGCCAAAGGACGCGATTGGTTCGTTTCCTGCAAGCTTCCTGCATGAGGCATCCAACTACGCCTTGCCAGCGCTCACACGGAGGATGAGGATTCGTCAGCGGAGTGGCACACAAAAGTCTTCGGACACATTTGTGCGCGAAGACTTTCCTGGGTGATGACCTCGTGCTCTGTTACAGCGATTAGAGTTGCCGAATGTCGGGAGTGCACAGTCACCAATAACGAATTAAGCCACGTCTTCCCACTTTTTACGTCAGTTGTGGTATTATACTATTTGCCCGAGATCTATGAACCCATTCTTAGTTTGTAACGGTCGCTAGAGGAAAAGCATTTAGTTTGCTGCACAGTACTTTTTCCCTCAGTTGCAAATGAGGCCCCATGCCAGTGACCACTCCTATCGCAGTGTTCTTTGAGACTATGTCAGCTACAACGTGCTGTAAACGCGACGTCACCTTCTGTTGGCGAAACAATTGGAAAGAACATGAACACACCTCACCAACCACTGAAGTTACTTATGAGCGCGTTCTTTCCACTGCTGATCAAATTACTGCAAATAAGCACTTAATTTTGTCTCGCTATCTTTTCTCGCCCCTTGTTGTAGTAAACGAGCGGCTATTGATGGCGAGTCCTGCAATCAAGAGTGACGCCGACCTGCTCCGGACGACAGTGCCTCCGGGGCTCGGCTGGTCTCGGTGTTGGCGAAATTTTACGCTGCGATTTACAAAAGACATCTTTACATACCTGATCCCGTTGGTATGGGCGCGAGAAATCGCTTCTGAGTCGGGCCTGCCGTGAGGCATGGTTTATTTGATAATTAATATGGCTTGTTGTTAAGTGATTGTTGGGTTCATTTGACGCAAAGTCGAGTCTTAGTATAGTTTATATAGAGTCTGATTTGACTTGATGGGATCTATCACGCTCACATTTGTGGCTGCACTTCACTCACAGTTGTCTTTCTGTGTCTCCTACTGATGGCGTCGTAAGTCTAGTGCACGCAAAATTTGTCTATCTAGTCCACGAAGCGTATCACCAACTGTTTGCCCAATCAAGTACCCCGTGAAGCAAATCCCGGGAAGGGGAGGGGGGCCATCACACAGGGGGCACTTGGAGAATGCTGCAGAGGCCCCTACCTACATACAATTGTGTGCGTTCAAAGCAGCAGTGCAGCCTGATGTACTTTGACGGACGAATCGCCCGATTTTTTGACAACCCTCCTCTCTTCCATTTCAGCACAACTCGTTCTGAGCCGTTTCCAAAGATCAAGCTTGTCGTATATGTTTCACTGTATCTCCCGTCCCACCGGTTCTCCACCCTCGCTCTGAGGACCCGAGCTTCTTGATACCAAACTCACTCAGACATGGAGGCCCCTCCAACGGCAAGCCACAGTTGGACACTCAAGCTCCCGTTCCACAGTGGAAACCCGGGACAGCAGGAACAGCAACAAGGATACCTGTACGCCGGGAAACAGTGCCTTGTGGAGCGGCTACCAGGTGGCTTCAATCCAACGTTCGAGAAACAAAGCAGCAATGGCAATGGCCGTAGGAAAGCTCAAGAATGCCCCACGGGCTTGTTCTTGACCCTATCAAACGACGGCGGTGACGACGACATGCAGACTATTGCAACGTCTATGATAGCACACGCCACCGCATCGACTGCCTCTCCCGAAGTCACTGACGATCACGAATCCGTGGCAACTCCCAGCGAATGTACTTCCGACCAAGTCCGCATAGTCGACAACGATGCGGCCAATGACGACGACTTCCGCGGCATCGGTGACTGCTTTGGCGGCCTCAAGTTCAAGGGCCAGCTAGGCATCGAGCTGCACCCGCCGTTCGACCGCGACGCAACCGCCAACGACCAGCACCACTGGAAGAGTCTGGCAGATGAGCAAGATGAAGCTAGCGAACACTGGGAGCGCACCAGTTTTGAAGCACCACACATGCCTGGCCCATTCGAACCGGCCCCCTCTTTAGTCACCGACTGCTCGACGGTCGAATCAGAAACCATCGCCACGCATCAGTACCCGATAGGTGTTTCTGCCCTTCCTCTCGATAACCAACGTGCCCGACCGCCCAAGCCCTGTTTCCCGACCACCTATGGGCCTGTTTATGTTGAGGAAACCGACAAGAGAAGAGGAGCGTCACATCCACGCCTTCAAGAGGTGCCACTTGGCACGCCGTCCCAATACACAGGCCAACGCAGGGGCGGACGCAGCGGTCGTGGCGGTACCGGCGGCGGTCGCGGCAGAGGAGTAACAGCATCTAGCAGTACGTCTCACGCACATGCTACTACATCCTCCTGGTCGTCAAGCTCTGAGGCCACTGGCGAGCTCAAACGAAGGCGCGAGGACGATGAAGAGGATGGCGACCCGGCGAGGGATGACCAAGGCAATAGGGAGCCATCCAAACGGGCGAAGCCCAACGGCGCCGGGAAAAGACGTCTGGCCTGTCCATTTCTGAGACGAGACCCAAAGAAGTTCATCCATTGCATAGTGTATCACATCAAAACTACTGGAGACCTGAAACAACACCTCAAGCGACGCCACTATGCCCCGATTCATTGCCCTGTCTGCAGTGAAGTATTCGAGAGCCGAGCGTTATACGATGAACACGTTAGACGTCAAGGCTGCCAGCAAAACGACCCTACAGCATATGACATCAGCGAAAACACGCAGAAGCTTCTCGAGCTGCCTCTTCGGGATCCAGACGAAAGCGGTCGATGGTACCAGATCTGGGACATCCTGTTCCCTGACATGAAGCATCAGCGTCCTCTGAATCCATTCCAGGCCGATATTTGGGCGGAAATCTGGTCCATTGTCTGCAATCAGGTCCACCATCATTCGCCCGGCCTGACACACAGGTTTGTTGGGAATGGCTGTTCGCAGGCCATCGCCCAGGCCAACATCCGAGAATTCGTTACTTGGGCACGGCGCATGGGTGAAGAGGCGACCGGTGTGCCTTCGGTACTTGACGAAAGTCATCGCGCCGCTGTAGGCGGCATATCGGGCATGGGCGACAGCGCTAGCCAAGCACCTATGAACAACACGACTTCAGTCCAGGTCCAGTTTGGTAACAGTGACTCGTCGTTCGAGCTTTTGCCAGTGGCTGAGTCGGCTCCGAGCCACGCCGCAATGCCTCCTGGCCTCAGCCTTTTTGGATCGCCCGATCCCACCTTATATTTTCCCCTTCTAGGCTACGAACACGACGATCATGGTGTTATCGACTTGGAAAACATCAATCTGGACCAGTTCTTGCCGGCAGAGTTCGACGAGACGTAGTTAACGGCACAGAAAATTGCACCATGAACACTGGGTTGTGTCCGGAGTTTTTTAGGTTACGCGCTCAAAGCATGTTTTCTTGTTCGGTCTTTTTCTTATACATCTGGTATAGCGCTTGATCATTATGGATTCACGAAAGGTTACGATAGATGTTTATGAAAGGCGTTGGCTAGCTTATGAAGGGAAAAGTTTTGTTAACTACAACACCTGCGCTGCAGCATTTTGCGAGCTGAATCAGCTTTCAGGCCGAGTCGGTGATCGATCTCTATTCTCATTCATCCTGGCTTTGTTCACTTTGTGTGCTACATCCTGTTTATCAAGACCACATTACAAACCAGCTTTCAGAAGCGATAGTATGGAATGATCCAGGTGCTCCTGTCGGCCTTGCTTTCTTCAGTCTATCAGCTTCTACTGGCATCATGGAGTCTAATCTGGCTCCTTTCCTGCCGATTCAAAGTTTTAGATTAAGGTGCGTCTATTAACTAAGAGATGGACTCTTGCAGGGTTGTTCAACTTGGTATTGTTGTTGTGTCAGTTACGCAGTCTATGAAACGTGTAGTACTTCTAAGCCGCCTCTTTAAACATCTACTTGTTCAGACGAGGAGCTCTCTCGGGGTCTCTCCAGTAGAGACACGCCTCCCTGCGGATATCATCCTTCTCGACCTTGGTGCCGTTGTTGGGCTGCACAACAAGCTGCAACGCAGGCTCCGACTCGAGTCCGTAACCGGTGGGCTTGTAGTTGGGCCACTCGGGGCTGCCGGGGTATCTGTACGTGTTCGGGTCGCCAGACAAGACGAAGCTCGACAGGTATCCGTGGTAAATGTGGCTGACCTCGGGGTACTGCACGACCGGCTCGTCCCAGGTGTACTTCGTGTCGGCGGTGTGCGGGATGCCCCTCCACTCGGGCCACGAGTTGTTGGTGTTGAAGCGCAGCTTCCATGTGGGCACGTCAGCAAGGGAGGCACGGTAGGCCGTCTCTTGGCTGGGGCAGATGTAGCCATAGTCGCTCCAGGCCGCCGAGAGGCGGTTGTACTGGGTGCTGTTGGGGGAGTTGGCGTAGGGCGAGTCTGGGTGCGTGGCCGGGTCGGGGTAGATGGCCTCAAGGAGCTCAAGGTCGGTGCTGTTCAACGCGGGCGAGATGTTGTGGAGGTAGTCGAGGAACTCCTGGTTCGTCTCCTTGTCGCCGGCCAGGTAGTACTTGGCCTCGTCGTTGACCGATGACGTGATGACGGGCACCTTGAAGAAGGTCCCGTCGTAGCCTGACTGCGAGCCGAACTTCTCCAACAAGGGGCCTCCCTGCGTAGGCTGGAAGGGCCAGGTCAGAGCGGGGTCGTACTCGTAGTAGAGCTTGGTGCTGATGTTGCGGATGTCGTTGATGTCAGCAGCGCGGAGACAGGCCAGAGTGGCAGCGTTGTCGGCGTCCAAGGGGCATCCGAGGAAGTTCAGGTACTCCTCGTACTGCTTCACGTAGAGAGGGTAGGTGGCGTTGGGGAACGCGCGAGCGGTGACGGAGCCGGACTGGTGAATGGCTCTGGCAAAGAGAGGCTTGCCCTTGTCCTCGTTATAGTTGTGGAAGTAAAGAATACCGACAGAGTGGCCGCCGGCGGAGCGGCCGCCAATGGTAACGGCATCGGGGTCACCGCCAAAGGCGGCGACGTGCTTCTGCACAAACTTCAAGAAGAAGTGCTGGTCACGGATGCCTAGGTTCAGCAGACCTTCCTCCTCGAAGAGAGCAGACGGCAAGAAACCGAGCGAGTTGATGCGGTAGTGGAAGTTGATCACGGTGATGGGCTCCTTGGACGACGCGGCGAAAGATGCGGCGTCGAAGCTGCTGTAGCTGCCGGCGTAGAAGGCACCGCCGTGAATCCAGACAAGGACAGGCGTCTTCTGGTCCAGTGGGATGCCGCGCGTCCGGAAGACGTTGAAGTTCAGACACGCCTCATCCTGCGTGCTAACGTCGGTTGAAGTCGGATCCTGGACACAGGTCTTGCCGTACTTGGTGGCCAGCTTCGTGCCGTTGAAGGGCGCGGGCCAGGTGACAGGGCCAAAGCGGCCTTCTCCCACCGGCTGTGTTGAGTAGTCGATCCCCAGCCAGGCATCGACCGGCGCGGGGAGGGCGCGGCCGCTGAGGGTCGAGTTCACGACGGTGCCGGAGAACTTGCCGTACCCCTTGAGTTCGATGGGGTTGTACGCCGCGGCGGCCGGCGAGAGAACGACCTGGGACGCCGCGAAGAGCGGGAATGAAGTGGAGAGCTTCATGTTCGGCAATGTGCTCGATCCCTCGTCTGTTGGTGGTGTTGCTGCTGCTTAACCACAAGAGATGGTGGCGATGAGGGAACACGCCCACGCTGCGCAGCGCCGACCATCGCAGATCTTTAAACGCATCTCGGGTTGCCTTGTTGGTACTTCTCCGCTTCTTACTATCAGCAAGACAATTTTCCACGACCCGCTCAGGAACAGACCGTTTGCCGCTTGGCAGAGGCGAGTTTAACCTATTCGCAGCATAAATCGGACAATATGAGGGTTTACAGAGACCAGATCCCTGACTCAGGCACCAGTGGGTGGAGAAGATGCAAGCGAACGGAGCAGCAAGCACGCTAGATTCGTGCAGATCGATGTCATTCTGCCAGGGGAACGTGTCGGGGTCCGTCCGATATCGTCGGCAAACACTTCTGGTGTCCGGAGGACCCAGAAGTCATTTGAGGGGAGAAACAGCAACAACAGCCGGTGAGAGGAACCCTATAGTGATAAAATGCTTGAATGACTAAACTTGCTAACGAAATGCTCATGGAGGGGCCCCGCAACGTTATCCCTGATCGTTGGGCCCGTCCCCCAAGCTCCCGCCTAGCGAGCCGGTGACAGAGCGCCTTCGGCTTTGGGGTTGTGGGGTTGAAGACGGCTGTGCTCATGTGGGAGCCGATGAAAGATGAGATAGCATGGAGATCCGGCATCCGTGAGCATCTTCCGCGATCCGATATCTATCCTCATCTTTAAGTCGAGATAGGTTTCTTCTTCCCTAGTCTCTGCATACAGAAGAGGGGCAGGGTCTGCGAGCGCAGGCTATGAGACTTCAACACCGATTAACCTGCCGGTGCGCTTTGGGAGCAAATCAATTGGGCTCTTCCATTGGCCAATTGACGCAGCCGAGTTTTCAAACATGATGTGCTAAAGATATGGCTTGTCTTATCAATCTAACCAGTCATTTCATCGTCCTCGTCGTCGTCATCGTTTCCCAGTCCGGCTTCAATGGCTGCCGCACGGGTCCTCTCAACGGCCTGCCTGAACTCCTCCCTGCGGAACGCATCCGGCCATCCAAACTCTGCGTACAGGCGCTTGACCTCCTTCGAGCGCGATATGAGTTAGAATAAGATTCCTAGAGTTCGATTCCTTCAAAAAGATGGGATGGCAACTCACCTGGCCTTCTTCGGTGTATTCTTCCACGACTCTGGCCTCCCATTTGCCCGAGCGGGGCGCCGGGACCACCTCCAAGTTGCCGACCTGGGAGTAGATGCTATCGAAATAGGCCTGGATGGGCACCGGGTCGACTGCGAGCCATTGCTGGTCCTGGGGAACTTCATCTTCGTTCTTTTCGAACTCGGTGCCGTAAGGATAGATGCATCCTTTGGAGACATTAGTCTCATAGGAAAGCAGAGTGCGGTTGCATCTCATGTAGACTTACCCTCCTTGGTGTCGATTAACCACCAAATTCCCTCATCGGCATGTGTCAACGACACCATATCCGGCGGCACAGGCCCGTCAAATGGCGCGAATCCAAGATCCAGAAGTGGTGTGGTCGCGAAATCTTGCTCAGGGTTGCCGCCGAACCACCGCCCGCTGCGCAGGTACCTGAGCGGGAAAGTCTCGGTGTAAATCTCGACAGGGTCCGCGTCCTCGTTCTCGTGGACGTAGGGGATGTGTCGCAACAGGTCAATCACCGTCTCAGACCGGCCCATGGCCCGGAGAGCGTCGACGCGGAGGTCCGCGTCGCTCCAGCCGCAGGCGGGAGGCAGCTCGACGGCCGAGGACTCCATGTACCCCATGCGCACCAAGAGCTCGTAGTGCCTCTTGAGGCAGTTGACAACGACATCACGGTCGTAAGCAGACATTTTGAGGGGTATTCTGGCGTTAGGATGGTCGGTCTGGTGAGGCAACGACTGATGCTGTGTCAAGACGGTGAAGGACTGAGCGGCATTCAGATTTTCACTGAGCGGTCCCTTGTGGGGCGCATCATGATTGAGGCCCAAAATGCAGTGGTCCTTCAGTGAGCCAATGACTGAATTTGTAGCCAACACCTGTGAACTATGTTTTGGACGGTTGTCTCTGAGCCCCAACCTCAACTCTCCCTCACCCATCTCAACCTATTCTAATTGTTTTCAAAATGTGTTTCTTAGCAGATCGGCGAACACGCCTCTCTATGGCACGATCAGCACATGCGACCCCTCAACCCTGGCAGCTTTCGTTTGACGAAGTAGATTAACATGAAACGAAGGCTACTTGCAGGCCTTTTTGCCAATCTTCCATGGTCCAGAATCCCCGCTCGTCAATAAATGTCTCTAGGTCTCAAGGCGGTCCTGGATCAACCCCGCAGCGTAAAATCGACGTCTGGTTGGAATGCCTGAGATCATTTGCCGGAACCCTCGAGCAGACAACACTGGTTAGTAGGATTCCGGACACCAAGTTTGAATCCCCGGATCCCCAGATTACCTCTCCCTTTCTCTTGAGACCAAGTTGGAAACGTGATGCTCTTGAAGCACACAACCATAACATCTTGCAAGTTGCGTCTCACAGGACGACCATTGAGAACGTTGCTGTCCATTGCAGATTTGCGCCTACCGCCTACGAAAGACCGGTGTAAACACCAAAGACTATGCTGGAATTCTTGATCACTGCGGGCTTATGATGCAAAAAGCAGAGTCATATAAATTCCATCGTTCTCTGGCTCTTTCATTTGTCTCTGAGTTTCGATACCCTTTTTGCATAGAGACTGGGATACATGAATTGTTGTGTCTCGCTTTCTCAAGTTTGATATATCCTTCAACATAGAAAGCAAACCTAGGGCGTGGCATTGTGCAATTAAGTCAAACGAACCATTCTCAATTGGGTTGAAGAACGAGACAAAGTTCATCGGCTCGGGACCAGCGGCCCTCATCTTGCTCTTCCAGTACTTGTAACGTACCGTCGCCAGGCATGTGTGTCATTCGTAGATCGAATACTGCATCTCGTTTGGGTGTCTGAGGAAAAAGAAAAGCATGTGTGGCTGCGGACAAGATAACCACTCAACGAAGCGCTGTTGAGACCAACAAGGTTTCAGTGAGATGCGCGTAACCCTTGGTATACATGTCTATGTCAGGACTCAAGGATTAGGGGGCCGTGTGGGGGACGTCGAGATAAATCATGACGAAGAGCGTACCCAGGGTCGCAGGTCCATTTAGTCCAGTCAGGTACACAAGGTAGCAGATACGCTAACTCGAATTGCTTCATTCGACCGGCTTGAAAACCTGATATAGAACCACGGGTGCCGTACTCTGCGGAATGACACTGAAGCCGGTGACAAACAAACTTGATAGCACCTATGGGCAGTTGGCATCTGAACAATTCAGACCGGATAGGGCTGTTAGACAGCACTGCCATTAACGGCCGAAGCTTGCTTTAGCTCGGACAGCAAAAGGCGCCTTCATAGAAATTTGATATGACTAGCGACTCTTGAAGCCTTCTTGCCTGTATGGTGTTAATTGATCCCTTTCTACATACAAGATGATAATAGTTGCAGCCACGCAATTGATTGGATTTCAACCTCCTCCAAAGTTGATGTCAGACTTCAAAGTCATTCACAACGTAATTGTGTGCAAAAGTATAACTACAAGAGAAATTTACAGGAAGAGCCATTGCTGGCATACAGCCTTCGGGTTCTTCCCTCATGAATCCAGCATTTAAGTACATGTATTGATCACTTTTCGTTGAAACTCTGTCAAGAAAGCCATAGTAACTAGTTAATTGGTGTTTTTCGTTCAAGTCAATAGAGAAAGCTACGCTCACATGAGGTCTCAACCAACGGTTTTTATTGTTATGAAACTGGCTAGATCAATCAGGTGAGGCTTTTCAATGAAGTTTTCTTTCGTTAAGGAGTTGGTTGCGTTCAGCGTGAGTCACTCAGCTAATACCGAATTGAGTCACTGAATTGCGTCAATTGACTGATGTAATATTGCACCCACCTAGCGGCCATTTGATTCCCCGACCATGGGGACCCGCGCCTGAAACCAGTCTTCGAAGCAACACGCAACTCTCACAGCGGCCACAACACCGTGCATCTCGCCAACTATCCTGTACAGATCGCAGGCCACACCAGACGGTCACCATGGCTGCGATATACACAACCGTGCCCGATGGGCTCATACCCCTCCTCGAAAGCCATCTCCCAAACTCCCTCCCCATCCTCCGCCGTCTGCAGTTCACTCGCTTCAGGGGCGGGATGCGCCCGACGGCCCGTATAATTTTCGCCTCTGACTCTCCGTTGGTTGCTGAGCAGACTGGCCAATCGCCGTCACAGCGCAACTTCACGGCCGCGTACCTGGACTTTGGCAGCAACATCGAGACCCAGCTATTCATATACTCCACCCTCGAAGACGGCACCATCACAGACGGCCAAGAGAGGGAGGCCGCCGAGCTGCAAATCATGGCGGCCATCGACGCTGTGAAGCAGGTCAGCAGGGAGCAGCCGGACAACAGAGCCTACCCCGGCGGCTGTCTCGTCGGGACCCTCGCCACCGTCACGAGGGAGACGATGATCAAGCGAGGCGTGGTCGTGAAGCAGCGTGCGGTCTACGAGTACGAGAAGTGGCTGTTCAGAGTGGACGAGGTCCCCGAGTTCGAAGTTACCTTGCCCGAGGGCGCGACATGGGCGCCGGCCACCGAACGAGACTGCGAGGTTGTGATTTCGAGGACGACCGTGCCCCGTCAGGTGTAAGTCGGGGTTCCGGCAAGTGGCCCGGAAACGAAATGTGGCTGACATGAGAAAAAAGCAAAACCCTCATGTCGTTCCCGAACTTGTTTCTCAAGCTGGGGGATGGGACGCCTATTGCGTGGTCCTTCTTGGGTGAGTACGCACGCAGATTGGACTTTCTGGGACTCCTTAGAGACGGCGCAAATGATTGACTTGCTACTCTACAAAGGCACCGACGGCTCTTTATCAAGCCTTCATTGCGAGGTGAGTCATTGGTGAGGCCCTGCAATACTCCCGCCTCAACTGATCGCTGTTTAGCCACCATACCGTCAGAGAGGTTATGCAAAGGCACTCGCCGCGAAGCTGTTCAAGAGGAACTCGAGCGATTATGGCCCAGATGGATGGGCGTCTGCCGATGTGGCGCCGGATAACCTGGGCAGCCGGGGAATGTGTAAGAGTCTGAACGGCAAGCATGCATGGAATTGCTCATGGTAAGGCTTGGAAATGCACAGTAAAGCCCGGATGTTTTCTCTAATTGTGACGCTAGGAACATCCTCCAGTTTGACGAGGAGAAGGAGGCGGAGAGTTAAAGACATTAGTGATTGTCGTTGATAATGTCCGCACCTCCAGTTTATTCGCGCTACGCAAGCCACTTTGTATTGCATGAGATTTCAACACCATAGAACGGCCATGCGTGGTCAATAGACATCGTTCTTGCTTTCAGTTTTCTCCTAATCCCTAGCTCGGAACAAATCTTCTTACCCAAAGAATCATGTTTTTTTCGGCATGCGCCTCATCGCCTCTACACCAAGCCTGCACCGCGTCCGGCAAAGCCCCTGCACTCCTTGTATCAAAAACTCAATCCTCAACTCCGGTTTAAAATAAAAATCCCGCTGGTGACAGCTCCTGATAACCATCTCTATCTCTCCAAACTTGTGCGCCCACGGAGATGCATGACAGCGGGGTCCGGCTCTTTTGACATTTCCACTAGACTAAACCGGATGGGCCGTGTGGGGGTGTGCGGCCATGTCTCGGTCAAGAGTCTCCCAACCCCATTCCGGATCTGCAACGGGGTGGAAGATGCCGCCCTCAACAAGAAAATTTTGCCCACGTTGCGATGGGTGCGATTGCAACAGCGTGCGGCAGCGCGGCAAGCGGCCAGAGCCGACTCCATCCCTGAGTCACCGCGGTGAGCTAAACCCCCGCCTTGCATTTCAACCCCGCACCGAGCGTACAATTGCCAAAGTCGCGCTCAAAAGTCGGCGTCGGGGAGGTGGTAGAGCTTTTGGATGTCGTGGAGCATGGACTCGTGGTCGATCTTCAGGTCCTTGAGAAGACCGTCGTTGAAGCCAAAGACCCAGCCGTGGACAATGGGGAACTTGTTCTTGGCGTACGACTGCTGGATGGCGGCCGTCTTGATGACGTTGCGGCACTGCTCAATGACATTGAGCTCGACGAGGCGGTCGTAGCGGGCCTCCTCGTCCTTGATGGTGTCGAGCTCGGCCTCGTGCAGGCGGTAGACGTCGCGAATGTTACGGAGCCACGGGTTCAGCAGGCCGAGATCCTTGGGCGTCATGGCGGCCTTGACGCCACCGCAGCCGTAGTGGCCGCAGACGACGATGTGCTTGACCTTCAGGTGGCGGACGGCATAGTTGATAACGCTCATAACGTTGAGGTCAATGTTGTTGACCATATTGGCGATGTTGCGGTGGATGAAGGCTTCGCCGGGCTCGAGGCCGGTGATCTGCTCGGCGGGGATGCGCGAGTCGCTGCATCCGATCCAGAGGTACTCGGGGCCTGACCCTGCGACAAGCTGACGAAGAAGTTGGGGTCCTGCTTCTTCTTCTCCTCGGCCCAGCGGCGGTTGTTCTCGAAGACGCGGTCGTGCGTCTGCTTGAGGTACTTCTCAATGTCCTTGTCAGCCATCTTGGGATTGGGCCTGTCTGATGCGCGTCTGTTGGCGATGTAGGAGAAGCTAGCGGTCTGCTGGTGCTGGAGGTGGAGGTGGTGGTGATGCTGAGCTCTGAGCGGGATGAGTCTGGGGAGAGGTTGACCGAGTCGCGCAGCTGAGAGGAGAGAGCGCGGGGCAGGGCGCGCTTTAAACATGAGGGAGGATATGGAAGGGGAACGCGCGAGAGAGGAATAGGGTAGCTACTGCAGGTAAGCGGAGGTTGTCAGATCGGAGCAATGGCAAGCCAAGATGAAGAAATGTCGCACCTTTCCTTCTTCCCCAGTCCACGCAAACGAGCGACGGAAGATTTGTTGGGAAGGTCCGACGATCGCCGCTAAAGGGGAGAAACGTCACTGCACAGGACGGTGCCAGGACGGTGCGAGGACAGTGCGGCCTCTCCCACTCTCGACAGTCCGGTGCTCCGGGCGGGTTGTTGGGGGGACGGGGGGGGGGCCAGGAGGGGGGGGGAGCTCAATTGGGTTCTTCGAGTTTGTCCAAGATCGTCGTCGATGGATGGGGCACCGAGGTCGTGGATGGGTGACGGTGCAAATGGGAAAATCCTAGAGGTCCAAGGAAAAAGGCCGACCGACCTATACATAGATAGGTCCGACAAACACGGCCTTGGCGAAACGGACGAACAAAGGTTCTTCTGGACTTCTAAATATAATGAACAGATCAAACGACGACAGATCTCAATTGGCAAGGGTGGCATGGCAGCTGAGTCAACGGGTTGCGTTTGAGCGGCGAGCAGCGATGACCCCGCCAGATGGGCGGCAACAAGCTTCAGGAGCTGCGCATGCTCTCCCCGCGTCCGCCCCGCGTCCGCGTCTGTGTCTCGATGCGTAGGCAAATGCCGTTTCTTGACTTATAATAGGCAGCGGTGTGTTATGCGCTGCGCGGTCCCGCGACTGGCGACCTTGGCCAAGACGGCAACTTTATCCTCACCTAGGCTGCTGCATCTGACGGACAATTAAAATCGGTCTTGGGCATGTGCAGATGCGCATGAGCCAAGGCGTGTCAGGTGCAGTGGACGACGACACCAGACGCACATAGACCCATCATTCCCACCGCCGACACCCTCGTACAGCACTCTGCCGGCTCTCCGCGCACCCGACAGCCCGGCGACGCCACCACGGCATAACACCGGACCGGGACCCACATACCCCCGGTCTCCATGTCACGAGCTTCCGTCTGCCGTTCGCCGTAGCCCGGCCCCAAAACCTGTTCCGTCTGAAGCACCATCTGGCTCACATGAGAGAGTCTCATCAAAGTGCCGAACCTTGCAGATGATACTTCCACATCACACAAGCCCAACGGGTTCCTAGGGGCGCGAAGCGCAGAGGGTCCCAGCGACGTGCCCCGACCACCTTGGGCACTGTGCCGTCCTCCTCCCAACTTCACTCCGTCAGCCAGACCCGAACCCTTTCTCGCAGCTGAGCTCGGGCCCCAACGGTCTCCGGAACTCGAACCATCGCGGCGCAACCATATGGTGTATTCTGGCGTGGCAGTGGAGCGAGGACACCTTGGCGCGCCGGTCTGATCGCCCATCCCGCTGGAAACGAGCTTAAAATCTCCTGAAACCGGAGAGGGGGAGCCCCTTGCATGTCAAGTCAGTGTGCCGGCCCTGCGTCCTGCTGTCTCTTCTCGGCCGACGCCACTAGACGCTTCGCTTGGGGAGCTGCAGATGTCCCGTCTGGTTAACCTCCATATCAAATGACGGTAGGCGACTCTAGCAGCTGTCATGGTCTACAAAGTAGTGCAGGTGTCAGTCAAATTGAAAACCAATTGGTGCTTCTCGACACATAGAGGAGACCTTGTGACACACACCTTTCGAAGAGCCGCAAAACGGCGCCTGCGAAGTCTGTAAATTACACTGTCTGCTGCGCAGGCGGCGGGAGGCAAAGTCCATCAAGGTTTCAAGCCGATGACAATAAGGTGTCCCGTGAGCAGCATCACGCAAGGCCAGCGTTCGTCGCATTCTTGCATATTCAGTGCTGATCCTCGGTACAAAACCGTGGCTATTCCTCTTGCCAGTCTTGCGTCCTCTTGTGGCCTCTGACGTGAATTTCTCTCTCTCGCGCTGTGAATGCCAACAGTCGGCATCTTGTAATCCCTCGTTCCGGTAAACGAACTCCTACTCCTTGTACACCATGATTTGCGGGTCACTCTCCAAGGGCCTCGGCCTCCTCGCCGCGTTGGCCTTGTCCCAGACAGTCGACGCCGCGATCCTCCCCCGGCAGAACAACGAGGCACTTCGACCCTGGGTGACGGTAGCGGCCGACGGTGCTGCCAAGACAGTCACTCCCACCATCAACGACGGCAAGACGACGTCCGCTTTCCCGGGCAGCACGACTCTGCCGACGGCCGATGCGCAAGGCGCCGGCACCTTCCTGCTGTGCAACCAGGCCGCTGGTGCTAGCGGTCTCAACCAGCCTTTCTGCTCTCCCAAAGCAAACAGCGAGCTTGAGGGTGGAAAGACGTACTGGGGTGAGCATGATCTTCAACTACCCTTCCGCCCGCATACCGTCACTAACAAGACCGCAGTCACCTGGGACACCGCCGTCTTCCCCGCCCCGAGCACAATGATCCAGGTGCAGGGTGACTACGGCGTCACCGACACCATCGAAGCCGGCCACGGCTTCACGTCCCTGGCGACACCGGCCTCGCAAGGCCACTTCGCCTGGGCGGCCGTGGGCTACAACATGGCCCCCAACGAGTCGTTGGACGTGCAGCTCTTCATGGCCATTCTCGCCAACAACGGCAGCATCAGCGGCCGCCACGCCGGCCCCAAGGTGCGCATCGTGAACCGATCGCCGTCGAACCAGAGACGCCGCGGGCCCAACGTCTTTGGCATCGTCTTGCCAATCGTTTTTGGCGTGCTGTCGCTCGGCGGCATCGGTTGGTTCGTGTGGTGGTACGGCAGGAGAAAGGGCATGTTCAGCTCCCGCGGCCGGGGCTACGGTGTTGGCCAGAGCCGCGTACAGAGGACCGCGGATGTGAAGATTGGTCTAGGAGACAGCGCCTTCTCGTCGCCTGACCGCGGCGTCGAGATGATGCCGCCGCCGCCACGACCGCCTCAGCCGGCCGAGGGGAACGTGTTCCGCAACGAGTTGAACAGGCAGGAAAGGAACGAGAGGGCCCAGACCATGCTGTAAGTGGGAGGATTTTCAGGTCGAGATGGAAAGTGTGTACGACTATGAGAAGAAATTACCCCATTGGGAACCGGTTCCACTGTGTGTTTTGGGCGGCGTTTCATATCTTAATCAAATGTAATATATATAATTCACCATAGAAAGAAAGCCCAAAAGAGGCCAATGAGAGACTGACAATGTTGCACTCAAGCATTGGGTTATGGGATGTATGAAGACTCAACGATGGTGGGATGCATGAGAATGTATGGCATATAATGTGATACGATCAGGTCGTGGCATTCTGGTTTTGGTATTGGTGTAAGAGGGTGTTTGACATCGTCAACCAAAAGACTATTAAAATTGATATCTTGACGAGTATCAATCCAAAGGACGCGATTTTTTCTAAAAGGCACGGAGAAGAACAACTACACGCTTTTGAAGGCTGACAACATGTATATCAAAGACGGGGGCAGTTATTCGTATGCTTACAGCAATATTCCACGATCTCATCTTGTCCCCATCAAAGGTGGAAAGCGTTGGAGAGATGGAGCATCTGCTTAAGACCCAAAGCGGACAAGCGTAGAAAGAACGAAATGGGTCCAGTCAGTCTTGACTGTCCACTTAGGAGACACCAAGCAACGGAAGCGAGAAGGACGTGAAAGCACGGACCATCGGGGGCTTGCAAACCCCAATCCCTCGCCGGGCCCCGCCCACCGTCTCTCAATCGCAAAACTTTCAGGTTTCGCGGTCTCCTTGACTCTTGAACTTTTTTTTCGACTTCGTCCGCTCGAGCAACAACTAACCCGACCAACGTCAACCACCTCCAACCGCCCAAAATGTCCGGCCCCGCGTTGAACAAGATTGCTGCCAACAGCCCCTCGCGGGCCAACCCCTCCGAGCTCGAGCAGAGCATTGCCCAGGCTCTGTACGACCTCGAGAGCAACACTGCCGACCTCAAGGTCGCCCTCCGCCCTCTGCAGATCGTCTCTGCCCGTGAGGTGAGAACTACCTGAACTCGAAGAATCAAAAGTCTTTGGTGGACACGCAACCTTTTTTCGAAAAAGGATTCCGAAATCCTGTTCCAGTCGCCACGGCCACGAGACACGCACACAAAAACCCCATCCGACGAGCGCGGTAGAGAGCGATTAAACCCGAACCCTTTCTTCTCGATTGAAATACATCAGGAAGTGGAGGAGCGTTGGGGGGAAAAAGCATTGTGATTGTGAAAACATCACAGTGTTCGCGCGCGCAGAGTCTCGATGGGTGTCGTGTGTCTTGGTTATCGCTGCCGTGGCGGCGGAGATTTGAACGCTGAAAAGAATGATAATCTCAGGAACAGGACGGGAAGCGGTCCAAGGCATCGTCCTGGAGCTCGCATGCTGACTTGTGATCTTTCTATAGATCGAGGTTGGCCACGGCAAGAAGGCTATTGCCATCTTTGTCCCCGTCCCTTCCCTGCAGGGCTTCCACCGCGTCCAGCAGCGGTATGTTTACTATCCCTCCTCCCCTGTGAAAAATCTCCAGACGACTAACGAACTTCCAGCCTCACCCGTGAGCTCGAGAAGAAGTTCTCCGACCGCCACGTCCTGATCCTGGCCTCCCGCCGCATCCTGCCCCGCCCCAAGCGCTCTGCCCGCTCCCGCAACACCCAGAAGCAGAAGCGCCCCCGCTCCCGCACTCTTACCGCCGTCCACGACGCCATCCTCACCGACCTCGTCTACCCCGTCGAGATCGTCGGCAAGCGCCTCCGCACCAAGGAGGACGGCTCCAAGCTCCTCAAGGTCGTCCTTGACGAGAAGGAACGCGGCGGTGTTGACTACCGCCTCGACACCTACTCCGAGGTCTACCGCAAGCTCACCGGCCGTGTTGTCACCTTCGAGTTCCCCCAGTCCGGCGCCACCGAGTACTAGACTCGCACTCTCCGTTGTTCGGAAGGGCTTGTTTAGTTGTTTGTGGGGCGGTTCACTCAAATTTCAAAAAAGGGGTCTTGGTCGGTCAATGATGGGTTTGGCATTTGGTCTGCTGCGATGAGAGCATGGCAATGACTGGTTGGTCAAAAGGGTCTGGCGTCTAAAGGATGTAGCTTGGGCGATTCAATTACAGGCTGCCCCAAAAATGCATATACCACACACTTGACCGCTCCTCTATTCTTCTGTTACTGTTGATTGACTCGTGCATGTGACGCGGCATTGGAATGTGAAGCGAACTACGGGGTATCATTTTCATCTGCTGCGAGTCTAGTCCTGGTTGATGCGGCCCACGCCCAGGACGCACCAGTACGCCAGCTCCCTCTTCTCTCGGGCCTCCTTGTCCTTGCTCGCCGTTGTGCCCACATCGCCCTGAGCCTCGGTCTCCCACTCGATCCGCACAAACATGGGTATCTCCACCACGTCCTCGTCCTCCCGCAGCGCGCCATTGTCTCCATCGCCCTTGCCTTGCTCGAGCTTCAGGGAGGCTGGTACAACTTCGAGCACGATGCTCACCCAGTTGCGGCCGCGCTCGTAGATCTTGCCCACCTCGGCCTGCTGCATCCCGCCCTCCTCGCCCCGCCTCCGCTCCTTTTCGCTGTCGTCCTTGAGCGCGTCGTCCCACATGTCCGTGTTGGCATCGATCTCGAACTGGGGGCACAGGACCGTCACGGTACTGGCGAAACGGCCGGGGGTGCTCGACGGCGTAGCCAGGGACACCTTGACCGTTTCGAAAATGGGGTTCTTGAAGGTCAAGAGATACTGCACGGGTTTCAGCGGCGTAAGCCACAGTTCCTGGGGTATCGGCGGCCGGGCGGTTGACGGAATGTTCTGCACCTCCGAGTTCAACGGCCGGATGGTGATGGTGGGGATGTAGCTTCCCGCCACGAGACGGATGCGGAACCGGGTGTTTGAAATCTTGGCCTCCGGCTTGCTGATGATGTGCCGACATAGGGGACATCTCTTTGACCTCTTCGATCTGAGGAGATAAGGGATGGGCCGTAACTCATCTCTAAATCTTACGGGGTCCTGTTGTTGCAGGTTCTGAGCCAGGGTAGTTGTGTCGTCGATATGGGTGTGTCTGAGCTTCGCAATGGCATCTGTCTCGTCCAAGTCGGTTGTCTTTAGGCCTTCATTCGGGCTAACGGCCTCTCTCATGACTTGCACCTTACCCCGCGCCTGTTTGTTGCCGAAATTGTTTCCTGTGTAGAGACTCATAATGCGTGACAAGGAGCCGGGCGAGTTGAGGCCGAGGTCGCCGAGCGATGACAGACCGCCGGCAGACGGGTTGGCGTTGGCCATCTGGTTCTGATAGAAAGACTTGAGCTGCGCGAATTGCAGATCGGCGTCCATCTTCTCGGGGTCCAGCTGGTAGTCTCCGCCGCTCTCCTTCTTCCTCTCCTTGTGCTCCTTTGGAGTCAGCTTGGGCTGGCCTCCATTCTGCAGCTTGGCCAGCTGCCCGTGGATGCCATTGGGCCGGTCGAACTTGATGCCAATCTCGGTCGAGCTCCAGGTACAGTGGGAGCAAGTCAACACATATGGGCCACCTTGAGGAGCCGAACCATCGGCGGTGAGTAGGCTACTACTTTCTGGGGGCGCATCGAGGCTTGTGACGGCGAGGGGGCCGACGCAAACAGGGCATTGGAAGCAACTCCGAGTGCACCTTTCGGGGAGTTAGTCACACGACATCTATCTCTGACAGCAAGGTTTGCGCAAACCTGTTTCCTTCACTTTTTAGGTTACTACTTGGTACCTCAAACAGGCAGTTGGGACAGTAATAGGTGACAATCTCTTCGTTGACACATCGTGGACATCGGATCTGGTGGCAGTCTTCGCAGTACATCAGATGTTCCAGGGGAAACAGGCTGAAGTTGGCCCGCGGGGCGCGTGGGTCAAAGGTTCGCTCATCGTCTTCTGGGCTGCCCGGCGTCGACGAGCCCTCTTCGTTTTCGCGGGTCTCGGAACAGGGGCACCGGATGTAGGTGTACGGGGTCAGAGGCGCCATTTCTGCGCCGACATAGTGTGAGGGAAGAGAATTCCAGAAGCGGCAAGGTACGAGTGAGGCGGCTGTGCTGCGCAGAGGGAGGTTCGAGGAGGACGTTTGAGAGTCTGCACGGAGCTGTCTCCCGGACGCGACAGTGCTTCGCAAGAATCCAGAACGCGGCCAGTGTGAGGAGCAGGTGCCGGAGGGCGGAGGGCTATTGGCGCCGATAAGCGGCCAGATCCACTTTCTGAGCCTTATCAATCACATACTTTGGTATGTTGCGGACGGCGAAAGGGGTTCTGTCTTATGTAAGCGGCATGGCCTGTTGCCTCTCTTCTTGCGTCCCCCGAGGCCTACAACTTGCATCGTGCTTTGTCTTCTAACCACCGCTAGCCTGTTCTACGCTCGCTTACTGATACGCTGGGCCGAGTGGGCAACTTGCTTTTCCACTGCAGGGCTCCATCTACGGACGGATGTTATTGATCAACATGTCTCGAGGCTGTCAAACATACTCAAGACCGAATCCTAGTCATCACATATGCCGGCCTCTCGCCAAGGAGGAATGTCACCCATCACTGTCGTTCGACGACTTAACGCTCCAACGAGTTGTTTCGGTTCTCCTGGCTAAAGAGGGCGGAGTACCCGCGTGTTGTTTTACCAGACTCAAGCTTTAGTCTAACCTTACTTTTGCCTCCCGCCATGCTGGCGGCGGCACTGGAACCTTACGTCTTGTCTCGTCTGCGGTTTCCCATTGCCGTTCGATGGCGCGAGCGGGCTGAAATCCCTTTCTTTCTTTTTTTTTTTCCAGCTTCGACGTTTTCGTAGCGGCCCAGCGCTGCGCTAGTCGCCGGCGGTCCAGACCCCTCAAGTGCGACGTGACGCCTTAAGCCAGTGGTGGTCTAGGTTGTGTAATCCTCCCGCTCTGGAGCGAGCGAAGGCCGAAGTGCCCAATGCTGTTCTGGCTCTTCCGGTCTGGTGCTTGACGGCAGCTGTGGTCGATAGGATTCGCCCCTGGGGCTCTTTGGTACTCCATGGCCACGAGCCAGACCTTGGAGGGTAACTGACGCCAGTGCGAATCATGGCAGCACTTGCACATCCATCCTGCGTTCTCCTGTCAAGGCGTTGGCCATGCCTAGGCGCAGGTGACCAAATCGACTGCAGAGAGCACCAAGAATAAGATTTTGGTTTGCCGGGTGCTCGTCCGTCATGGAATCGGGATGGCGACCAAAATCTATGCCATCCTTCAACACCCTACCTGCTAGATCGGAAAAGATCTATCTGATTTCAGGCGCATGGCGAACCACTGTTCATCTGCTGGCCTCCATCCGCGGGAACGGGTGTTCATCTCGGGCGACGGCATGAAGCTCGGCACTTCTAACACGGGCATCCCCTTCATTCCATTGTACCGGATCCCAGTCCTGGACCATTCTGGTGAAGCTGTGTAACCCGCCTATCTTGACGAGGTGGCACGGCAGTGTAAGTCGTCAAACAGAGATCATTTGGAGCGTACTGCACGCTCTGGAAAAATGGCCAACTCCATCCTGTTCGGGTCTGGAGGTTTCTGCCAGTATGATTCATTGCAGCCTCATGCGGAGGATGATGCTTTGTTTTCTTAGCCGCCACTTACCAAACCGATTAGCTGAAGGTTCCAGAATCACGATTGCTTCCCGACGAGATGAAGGCGGCCAAACATTTATAACACTGTCCGCATGCGATTGAGACCTGCTGGAAGGATAAGAAATGACTTCACTCATAGGCGGCCGAGTGACTCTCATGAATCAACAGCGCAAGCCGGTTTCGATCATCCCAAGACACATAGCAAAGGAAATCACAGCTTCCGGTCCGTTAGCCGCCAATTATTTGAGACATTGCTCTTTTCAGCCAATGGGAGCTTCCCCTGACCAATCAATGAACACCATTGCGGGATGCACGCCTGCACCGAAGGATGCGTCGAGGACGGCGATCCCCCCAAAAAGCAAGCCCCCCGCACGGTGAGCTACTACTGGCGGCGGGCAAGGCCGCCAGCAGCAACGCTTTACATCACCATCACCCCCTCATCAGCATCCTCCTAGATTCCAGCCGCGATGGCTGGAAGAATGCTCATGTCGCGGTGGGCACAAACGCCATGTTCCATCACTTCAACGTCGTCTTGGGTTCTGGCAAGGCAGCAAGCATCTGTGTAGGGCTTAGAATCTGTTTGAGAACTCCAGACATTACATGTCGCCGTTGAAAGGCAAAATAGCCATCGGCACTCATTCCTGTGAGCTGTTGGCCCACGGACGGGGCACATGCAGTGGCACAGTCTTGAGCTGATGCTGCAGCGAGGCTTCTTCAGGAACAGAGTGCTTACTGATGCACAACGCGCGGAACCCCAGAGAGCATGCCAACATATCCCAACTTGCCGATGACAAGCACATTCACTCGCCGTAGTGTAGGTACTCGCGAAAGATGCAGTAGGACACTAGGACAGACACACAGGGAAACAGGGTCCGGACTGTGGGGTTCGTCCATTGACCCAGTGGCGGCCCGAACTAAAACATGGCTTGAAGCTATCCCTGTGTCTCTCGCCGCGTCACTCCAAAGACTGCTCGGACCGTGGGCGAGACGGCTAGTCTGGCCTGAACGAGGGTGTGCGATCACTCCCGATAGCCAGTTTTGGCTGTTCTGGTCTTGGACAAGTGACATAAAGCCATCGCGGCGCCCACCCGAAGACGTTTTGTGATGTTTCCGGCGTCCGTCTCCCCACCCAACCAGAGCGTCTTTGCAAGTCTAGACCTGCTGCTTTCGACGAGTTCGACGACGTCGCCGACCAGCGACGACAACCCAAGTCCTTGTTCCCTTGTACGGGCGTTAGTGACCGCACTAATCGACTTTAGTTCCCTCGAGCGATTGACGCAGATCTGCAGGGGCCATGGAGGGCTACCGAGGGTCGACTGGCGGTCCGGAACAAGCTCCTCTTCAGTCATCGGCGCTTCGATTAACCACCACTGCTCCAATTGCAGAGATCTGTGACCGCATTCGGCTCAGGATGAGGTCGTCTCGGCACGGGAGCTATCCAGCGACCAGCCATATCAACGTTCCTGTTCCCCCTGCCAGCCTGTCTTACGCTTCCGCTTTCACCATTACAAGTCGTCGACATTCTCGTTTGTCTCTCCCGCCAACGCCTACAATGTCGACTGCGGCTCGAAACTGGGTACCAGAGAAGCTTGCGACGACCATGGAGGAGCGCGTGCCTCAGAACTCGAAGGTGAAGAGGTGGGACGGCGCAGCAAGGACCTGCAGCGACTGGGATAACTTGAGAAGGGTAAGTCGAGCACCCACCCACAATAATTGGGGCTCTGGAAAGCCTTGTGTCCATGACCATTTACTCACATAATCATTGCAGGATCCTGAATTATGGTTCCGCGGGGGAAACTGCTTCGTTCATTTGTACGGCAAGGGCCAGTCACGCAGAGGACCTTCATTCAAGGTCCCATTCAGTGCTTTGCTCTCTGCGAAATGCCACCCTTTCGTCAAAAGGTTCATGTCTCTCGACACACCCGAGTCGCCCGGGGCATTCAACGACGAGTATGACGACTTGGACCGGTGGAATGAGCTCCACCCCAATGAGAGAGTCGAACTCTACATTCCAGCCCCGTCAATGGCGGACAAGGACCAAGCCTTTTCGTACCACCTAGCGACCCGAAACTTCTTTGCCTGGATCTTCCGCCGCTCAATGGTTGGCGAATTCCTCGGCATCGCTCTCATTGGCTTGCTGAACAGCATGGCGGAGTTCCGGGGCAACGACGAAGACAACGTGCCAGAACTCATGTCGTATCTGGATGAGGAGGGCTATTTGGACATCAAAGGCCAACCGCACCATGCATTGGCGCTCTTGCGCTTGTCCGAGTTCTTCGAGATGAGGGACATGTACATTGATGCATTCAGCCACTGCGTTGGAATGGGCGAGGAACTGCTTTACAGCCCCGAATACCTGGTATGTCGTATCAACACAAACGGGTTTCCAGAGAGACTAACAAAAATCTAGTACATTGGCTCAGTCACCAAGACCCTCATTCGACGGGCCCGAACTGACATGAACGCACGGCTGAGCAAAGCTGGCGACATGTTGAAAACGTTCCTGGAGGACGAGCTGTCTGAAACCCATCTTGGCCTCTCGGCCGGTGGGCGTGCCCATTTGGACCGGTTCCGGGCCTTCGTCCGATCATTCTACACAACGAAGTTGGGCCACTACCCACCAGTCTCTTTCCACCCAGAGAGCAGCACCATCTATGACCCCAAGGTCCTCGGTGTCCTGCGCAAAGACTTCCAGGCCGTATACGAGCTGCTTGTCGACGAGAGCTTCACCTCCGCGGCGAGCAGCCCTATCCTTGCTCAGGGTGGAATCTGCACTTTCCAAAGCGTAAACGACTTTGACCGGCGTTGCAAGTTCGAGTCTTTGCGACATCCATTACCGCTGCTTCCTGAGCTGACTGGAGATAAGTCTGGCCGCAGGGCGTCGCTCCAATGGTTGGCAAACTCCTCGCGGGCTGACAAGCTCAAGCCCGATCAGCGCTTGGTCGCCCACAGCGCCCTGATCAAGGCGATGAACATACGCGACCAAGAACTGCTCGAGAACGACTTTGTTCGTGCCTACCGCAAGTTTGAAGAGGACTCTGTCTCGCCTCTCAGCCGTGTTGCCAATGTCGAGAAGATCAGTCTCGTGGACGCCCGCAAGGTGCGCTGGATCCTGATCTACGCGGTATACCAGGCTCTCCGAAGCTGCACACAGGCTCCGCCAGAAGTTCGCGACACCGAGAAGGCGGACTACCATCTTGCGGTTTCGACCCGGAAGCTGCCGCCTTGGAAGGAGGGCCGCGTCTTGCAGTCACTCCTGCAAAAGGAGACCGACTTGGCCACTTCGGACTTTAGGCGGACCCAGTCTGTTTCAGACTGGGCATCGAAGTGCAACGCAGCACCGTCCCTCGTGTCGCCTTCCATCGAGATCCGACCTGATATCGACTACACTGCCAAATTGCGCCAAGAGGAGAGGGCATCCCGTCGTCAGTCGGTATGCGTCGTTCCATCTGGGGCTGCCCGGCCGCGGTCCCGAAGCCGGAGTGGGTCTCGAAGCAACCCTTTCCGACGATCCCTCAGCATCTTCCGCAAACTGGAAGAGCAGAGTGCTCCGGGTCTCAGGAAGGCATCTTACTGTGAAATCGTGGTCCACGGCTACGGTAACGGCACCAACGCAGTCAAGAAGGGAGCCAGACCCCCTCCTCAAGAGCTGGTTTCCCCGAGAACCATCACAGCGCCCCGTTCCTTCTCGACCTCATCCGAATCGAGCGGCGTTTCCGAAGCCCCGTCCTTGGGTGCTTTCAGCTTTGCAACCGCAGATTCCACGGCTCCGCCAACGTCCCCCGACGCGCCGTGCAAGAACTGGCCCAACCAAGGCACGCCTATGTTGAGCCCTGTACCTCTGCGTGGCCGCCGACGCGTCAAGGCCGTGCTCTCGTTTGCCGAATCAGCTCGTGCCAGCCCCACGGAAGCATCCGGTAGACGCCATAGCGTCGTGAGCAGTGGGAACTACGCCCAAGAGTATGTCGAGCTGATTGAGCAGCAGGAGAGCGACTTCCACCGCCACGAGCTGGAGCCTCTCCCGTTGCAGATTCGCAAGCCGTCGGTTACCACGTACCCCGAGTCGCCAGTCTTGGGACATTTCGACGACGTGAAGCCTGAATGGGAGCAGTACAAAGATCTGGGAGGGCTGACCTCCCTAACGCCCTTGAAGATTTAGGATGCCTGGCCTCCAGCGCCGAGTTGAGGTATATCACCCTTGATGCCTCCGTTTCAATTTTTTTTGTGTGTGTATTGTCTTGGACGCAATGAGATACCCTGCCGCACCCTCTCTATTCACATGTCGCATGGCGGTGGTAAAACAAAATGGCGTTGGAAATTAGTTGGAGTTTGGTTAGGACTGGCATGGCATAGCAAACTAGTGTACTCTTTAATTGAGTGAGCTTTCAACCAATGAACATCGTATTGCGACAACTTACAAGCCATTGGAACCCAGGCACGCTTCCTTAAGTGCACGGAAAGAGGAAATCTAGTCCTTGGCCGTCCTTCCAGGACGCAGGGGCTCTTCGATTCGTCATTGTGATTTAAAGAGTTAGCGCTGACGGTGGACACCTGTTTTCGGCGGCCGCCCACGTCTCCTGCATGCCACCAGCTAGCCGTCAGGGAGAGGTATGCGGGGCCATGGCCCGATATCAAGTCTCGGAGTGTCTTTGATAAGCACGAGTATCTCTTTGATAAGAATTATCCTTCTTTCTCACGTCCTCGGTTGACCTTCGCTCTTCATCCACTTTCTTCCTCTTTCCTACTTTTACCACGCGTGCTTCAATTGGCGCTTCTCCTATGAATGGTTTACTACCCCCTGAGCTATGCCAACAGAATCTCCGGTGCGCACCCCATGTGAGGTAATGAATTACTCGGTCTTTGTGGTCTTGGAGGCGAGGGCCAGACCATCGACGATTTCGCTACCCATGGAAAAGACCATGTAGCCCGAGCCAACGATCCACGCGCCGCTGTCGCAATTCCAGTCAGCAAACGGCAGTTTCTACGGTACACGTCAATCCGGACAGCACTTACTTGGGAATGATCCACATGAAGAGTAGATCCATCGGCGTGTTGTGGCCGATGTTGTCGAAGCCGGAGAAGTACTCGTTCGCCCCTGTCGTCACATTAGCGTTCCGGATATACTACATCATTCTTCGGAACAATCGAGGAATCGCGCTCACAGTAGAGTATCGTCTTGCTCAACGTCATGACAGCCGCGCTGAACCCGATCACGATGGCCAACGCTCCAGCCCTCCCGCCGACAGCCTTCTTCACGCCCGCAGGCCCCTCGACAGCCTTCCCGCGCGAGAAGTAGAGCCACACGTAGACTAGGTACATGAAGGTCTCGACAGCGTTGAGCGCGCCCTGCGCGGACGTGAAGCCGCTGCGCGCGTTGAAGGCCTTCCAGCCGTAGACGTAGTCAACCTCGCCGTAGAGCGCATACGGGACGTACAGCGGCCAGTGGAGGTGGCCGCCCGGCATGGTCCACGGCCGCAGCAGGACGTAGCCCGTGTCCCAGGCCACGAGGGGCAAGGATATCAGGAGCCAGAAGAGGGTGATGGAGGTTGGCGCGTGGGACCAGCCTCGCGGAGTGGATTTGTTGTCGCGGGCGGCGGAGACAACGGCGCGCGCAGGGGATGGGGAGGGGGAGGCGTCGAGGCCGTTGGGCAGCGCGCGCGAGGAGGACCGCGTTGAGACCATGTTGCCGGTTCTTGATGATGCTATCTAGAAAGGGTGGGGGTGGTTTCGCAGGGGGGGGACAGCTTCGCAATTCGTGAGGTTGTTGACGCGTTGTTTGGTTTCGTCGAAGGAAAATGGATCTTCGGCAAAGGTCAATTGGCTTGGGACGAGACGGGAGGACAGGTAAGAGCAAGTTCAATTAGGCTCCACGGTCGACTTGGGGTGTGAACCGTGCCGCCGAACTGTAAACAGGAACGGTCGGCAGTCTTGGGACGGATACGACTGGCCCCAACCCCGGCTTCACGCTCTCTCGAACGTTTCTTGGGCCTCCTCGGCGCGGACTTTGGCTTCCTTCCCGAAACGGTTTACGTCGTATTGAGGGGCCGCTGCGACTCGATTAGTCAGCATCGCATCTCCACACTATTGGACGGCACACGTGACAGTGGGCCTGTGCCTGTCTCACTACCGTAGTGGATAGTGGATTGCGGGGGAGGGGCAGATGCCGTCTTGCTGGTGGGCAATGCCGGATGCTTCTGTTTCCTCCGGTACCTACTTGTTACTCGGTGCCTTTGAATCGGTGTCATTGGCGATGCCGATTCATGTGAAGATGCATCGAAGCCACTGGTGTGAAGATCCTATCCAGTTCAAGACCATGACTGCGAAAGCATGCGTTGCAAGAACTGTGGAGGTGGTGCTAAGGATTATCATTCAGCCCGTATAGGTTAACGTGTCTCTGTTTCGACTTGCGTCTCCATCATTCCCTCTCGTATGCATTCGTGCTACTCCAGCTTCATCACGATAGGGCATTTAAAGTCTGTTTACCCCACTATTGTGTAGTTTTGTAATTCCCAGTCATCTTGACTGGTTGCCAACGACAATATTGCTCATCTTACGCATCGCCATCGTCATCATTATCATCATCACTGCTTCCGAACGCATGTTCGAACGTCTCAAAGATTCTAAGCAAAGTTAACCCTCTTTTAGTCACATTGTTCTTCCATGTTCCTTACTTTCTGTCCCGCTAACCGTTATAAAGGCCACCCGCGTTTCGGGACTGCTGAATGGCTTGACGGATCAAACCGTGCCGCTCGAGTCAAGGATTCAAGGAAAGAAACAGGCGACACGAGCCTTCAGGACTGCCTTCAATCTAAGTCATTGGACATGGACCTCCAAGCGGAGCTAAAATCATTTGCCATATGGGCTGTCTCTCACACAGCTTAGTTGCTGGATGCTCTTGTCTTCCCAAACCGTAGGGCCGAGGCCCAATCGTAACTAGATAGTCACTAGCGGTGCATCCATCGGATATCAGTACAAGAGAAATAGACCGCTGCATAGGGCCATTGGTGCGCGTCGCCGAGGCCTAGCCGCATCCCATGCAGCGGTGGAGTGACTTTCACAGTTGTCGTTGATGAAATTTGAATGATGAAAAGATGCAACGACTAGGCGCTCGCTTTCTTGAACGGCAATCAATGGGCTTTAATAGTAGTGGCAGTTGAACTTGTATCGACAAAAGTCGAGCTTGACGTAAATCATCTATCCTACTGGTAATGATAGCACTCTTCGCCTCTTAGTGCTCCCATGTCATCTATATGCTGCGCAGAAACTAGACACCGTGCCATGCAATGTTAGTACGCTAAGCAAAAGGTCATAGGTGTCTAATCAGGGAATTCTGTCCTCATAAACTAAGCCGTGGGTTTCCCAGTCCCGAAAGCAACCATGCGAGTAGTTCAAAGGGATTAAGAAGAAAAGCTTAAAACATGTACCGATGCCTCACGTTGTATGAAATGTGACATGGTCAATGATGAATGAGAGTACCAAAGCACTGAATACGCACCATTAACTCTGAAATGACCGAAGCCCGCAGCTCTGCGTTGTCGAGACTATTGAAAACTTCTATGACTGGATAGAAGGCTCGTAAGACAAAGTATATGAACGCACCTCTGAGAGGAAGCATCAAGATACGTCCCCAAAACTTAGACTGAGGTGTGAATCATGGATTTACACGAGTTGGAAACCATCTCGAAGCCCCGTATTGGTGCAATCCTCAATTTTCGGTCCCTTCATCCCATTTCGGTCTGCGGGAGTTCGACATATTCCTCCGCGTCAACATTCATGCAGTCTAATGGAGAAGAGGTCGCTTGGCTCGACTCAAAAACATGTCATCCTCGTCCCACATTGTATTAATGGTCAAGTGGAGCCTTGGCTTATCCGTCGTGGAAACCTTTGGGTATGACAAGCAAAGCGACGGTATGTGGTAATCGCCTTCTGAAATCGCCGAGCAACACTACCTTCCTCTTTCATCCTCTCAAGGGGTACATCATTTCCGACAAATCAAAGAAAAATTGGTGAGGCAGTGTCTTCCAACCTTTACCCTCTGGAGACAATGTTCCTAAACTTCCACGAAACGCTCACTGAGTTCTACGCCAACTTACATATTCGTCCGTCAAATGGGCAAAATGTGTCGAAAAGGAATCTGGTGAAGAACAAGACAACAACAAAGATTGGGAAGATCTTTCGAATTTCAAGTTTCCGAAAGTATCAAATGAGGATGCACCTATAAAGGACATGAAGGTACTTCTTGCATGTTCATTCTATAAGCAGAATCCGCTGAGGCACTTATTGTGTCTTAAGATTGGGTTAAGTGGATCAAAGGCGTCAAGCAGCACCTGACTAGAAAGCATCGCCAGCCATCATGCTATTATCCAACATGCTAGTCTATCTTCGACCACCGGACGGATCGCGATTCCCATATATCACAACGCTCTTGTTCCGCAAAAGAATTGATAGTGTTTAAGGGCATCTCCGACGAGCAAAAGAGGTATTCAGCCCAAAGGTTAACCGACGATTATATGAAGAACCGCAATGGTTTAGTGTCTGGGATGTTATATCCCCTGACGTGCCTCGCCCAAAGTCAGCATTCCTTGGGAATCAAGTTGAAGAATCTCCGGTCTTGATTCACGACATCTGGGACAGAACGGCAGAACACTGGTGGCTGATACCTTGTTAAGACCAGGGGTCATCCCAAATCCACAAGACTCAGAGAATGAAAGAGAACCCCAAGCAAGTTTGAGTGGAACGCTGGAATCTGTAATGCGGGAATGGTTAGAATCTTGCAGCGTCCAGATCGCAGCAACTCTGTCTTCAGCTAAAACGAAGACTGCTGAGAGGCCTTTGACCTCGAAAGAGTTTTCGAGGCTAATGGGAGTGAAAGAACAGCAGCCGCAGCACTTGAAGGAGCCAGCGAGTTCTTCGGTAATCATACCAGAAACATCGTGCGCCAGCAGGGCTGCAGATATACAGCAAGGCATGCCGCGTGCACTTCAAGCATCTGTCGACAGTTGGGCTCTTTCTGCAGGAATGGTAGCGTGCGACCACTCTGTTCAAAATAACTTGAATGGGACAACGCCGGCGCAAAGGTTCTACTCGGGATGTATGGAGTACTGGTTTCCTTCTGGAACTGATGGTCAAGACTGGGAACGGACTAACGTGGGACAACTATTGAGGGTATGCGAAACTGAGTGATTAATCACATTTTCTTAAAGCGCTAACAGGAGGGCGCATCCGAGTTTGGCCTGTATTCAAATATATCGCGCAAGCAATGATTGTTAGACGGAGTCCAGTTTAGGCGTTCGCTGTATAGAGCTGTCTGCAAGACACTGTGAAATCCGCAAAAATGTGTGCGACAGGTTCCATGAGATGGATATCACTAGCTTGTAACGGGCTCACAGTGCGATATGACCCTGTGAGGGGTCCATTAAGAGATAGCCGCAAGCACACCACACAAGCTTGTTTAAAGTCCAATGAGACATGCAGGCTGAACTTGTTGTCTTATCAATCGTAGACATTCTTCAACTCACATCTCATCTGACCCAATGTGCTGCTTGTACAAGACTCAACCTAGACTCGAATTCCAGAGTATCCTTAAAACGCGGTTGAAAACCTCTTCAACGGAATGAACTGAGCTATTTGCGGGTCCCCGAAACATCCCCGAGGTCGGAGGAGCGCCACCAATGGAGCTGGTGCCCCGCGGCAGTTTTTAGTGTTTGACTCATCTCTTTAAGGAGCGAGAGAAAACTAACGTTGAGTTGAGATTTTGAGTGTGAGAGTCAACATCCCTCACTGCGATCAACAATAACTCTCTTCAACCCACTCAATCCACATCCGATAAGACATTCAACATGGCTCCTGCCACTCACGACCACATCCTGACGCTCTCGTGCCCGGACAAATCCGGCATCGTGCACGCCGTGACGGGGGTGTTTGCGGCGCAGAAGCTCAACATCCTTGACCTCCAGCAGTTTTCCGACCCCGTCTCGGAAAAGTTTTTCATGCGCGTACACTTTGGGCCGACCGAGTCCGAGTCGACGGAGCACCTCAAGGCCCCGTTCGACGCCCTCGCCGCCGACCTCCAGCTGGACTGGTACCGCATCCGCCCCGTCGCCCGCAAGTTGCGCACCCTGATTATGGTATCCAAGATCGGCCACTGCCTCAACGATCTCCTCTTCCGCACAAAGTCCGGCCAGCTGCCCATCGATATTCCACTCATTGTCTCCAACCACAACGAATACCAAGGCCTCGCTGGCAACTACGGCATTAAGTTTCACCACTTGCCCGTCACTAAGGACACCAAGGCCCAGCAGGAGGAGGAGATCCTGCGCCTGGTGAAGGAGAACGATATTGAACTCATTGTTCTGGCCCGCTACATGCAGGTCCTCTCGCCTAAGCTGTGCGAGGCCATGTCCGGCAAGATCATCAACATTCACCACTCTTTCTTGCCTTCTTTCAAGGGAGCCAAGCCTTACCACCAGGCGTACGAGCGCGGCGTCAAGATCATCGGTGCCACGGCTCACTTTGTCACGGCTGACCTGGATGAGGGCCCGATCATCGAGCAGCGCATCTCCAGAGTCGACCACGGCATGAGCCCCAAGGACCTCGTTGAAGAGGGTTCAAATATTGAGAGTCAAGTTCTGGCCGCCGCTGTGAAGTGGACCGCCGAGGGCCGCGTGTTCCTCAACAAGACCAAGACGGTCGTATTTAACTAGAGTCATCATCTGGGCGGGCGGTAATGGAAATAAAAGTTTGTCTCTTTCTCGCTCATTTGCATCTCTATACACATGCCGCCTACATTTAATTCGCTCTCATGTTCTTAATCCCCTTCATGCCATGCATTTCCATCTCATTCCCTTGTAACTCGTACACTATACCACTCTTGTTGGAACCGTCGTTTATCAGTGCTGTGCAAGGTGTGGGCAGCTCATGCGCCAGTGGACTGCTCAGCTCGGCCATACCCTGAGCTTCGGGGTCCAGAGGCCGAGTCTCATGGGCGAGCTCAGACGTCTTAACACCCTCCCCATCCATCTCAGACTTTTCTCCGGTGAAGACGTCTGCATCCTGTCTGTGGTTGCCATCCCGACCTGCTCTTCGAGTACAACGGTAGAAGAACCACAGGGCGACCGCTGTTGCAGTGGCTCCGCAGACAACTCCAACTGCTATGCCCACTTTCTCTCCTGTTCCACGCTCATCAGTGGACGATGAGTTGTCTTCGGGTATACTTGACGACTCATTGCCAGACTTAACCACTGTCCATGATGACCGTCATGTATCGGCAAACGTACTCCCAGGTTTTGATTTGATGATCTCGCTGTTATCGTCAACTGACACGCTGACCCATTCCTGGCCCTGGCGCTTGTGCCATACAAAACTTTTTTCGATCATAGTTGAAACCGCTGAAAGCACCCTGCAAGAAAGCACGCCCCAACTGCCAACGACCTTCCGCCTCTGCCGATGTAGCGTTCTCATCAGTTGCTTTCCACGGCTTACAGGGCCAATAGGGGCTCAGGGACTCCGGGAAACGCTCAGAGTAAGATTCAGCAGTTTGAAAGGGACCTTGATGGTGATATTGCGAGCGTCCTCGTCCGAGAACACAAAAGCCATTTATGCTGGCGAGTTGACAAGAAGGTCGACATGCGCTTGCTGCTGCAAGTCCTAGAGAAACAAACCGACTTCTGCGTCCCAAGTGACCGGTAGGAAGAAGGCGGCAGCCTCGCATGTGCCTATTGGGAGGTAAATGTAGGGTACCGCTGCGTTGGGAACAACCATGGCGGACCCTGATGCACCACCGTATTTCTTGGACAAGCTTAAGGCTGATTCGTCATAATCGATGCCTGACCATACGCTCCTGGCAGTCGTGCGAAATGGGCACTCTCCTATTTCGCACCCAAGTGCGACATCAATGAGAAAAACTCGTGGAAGCTCCCCATCCAACACAATACTCCCAACGTCTCCTAACACACGATTCTGCTCGTAGCCGCCAAGCGTCAATGATCCTGGTTGGCCCAACGGAACGCTACCCAGGTGCATGAACCACGAGCTTGCTGTGATATCTCCGCTGTCAAACAGTTAATCGGTCGGACTCGGTGGCATGTCGTATGTGAGCTCCCAGGCTCCCGAAGATGTTCCGTCTTTTCCAAGTCCAAGAACTACAACAGGTTGGGTGTTGTTCGACATATTGAAGAATTTCGTTGGACATTCGTCTGGGACCCAAATGCTACTATCGATGAGCTCCCCAGGCGTGAGTACTGCCGAATCGTCGGTGAACTTGTAATACAGCTTTCTCTTCATGAAGTACCATTATCGCCTTCGCGAAGCCCTACAGGCCATGAGCTCACGCCACGAACTCTTACGTTCTCTGCAACCGAGCTGCACGCACTCGAACCGTTGTTGTACGTTCCGCCATCGTCTGCAGACAGCATCATACTCTGGATCGCGCCGGTGGGCGACAGTGGTTGTATGGAGAACCCTCCTGTCCAGACTGCCTGCCGCGGTCCGTCGGGTCCGAACGAAGTCGGAGGAGTTGTCGAGTCTCTGTCATCGGTTGTCCAGTAGAGGCGCTTTGCCGTGGCATCGACGTACGCTGGACATTGCAGTGTCATGAGAAAAAGCGCGAACGCGTACATTGTCTTTCACACAAGAAGAGAATACGAAATCAAGTAGAGAGAGAATAACGGAACCAATGGGCATGAAATGGGGAGTAATTACCATACAACTACTCATATATTGCTTGGATAGGAGAGACGCGGAGGATCTGAAAGCACGTCGCACCCTTGTTTCTGGGCTATGAAATTGAGTTGAATATGCATGTTGGAGCGAGTACCGACGTTGGTTGGATAAGACTCTCTGGGAAGTCCTGCTGCTCATATTCGCCAAGACCGTTCCATATCTCGTCTGATCAATACCAAATGAGGTTCCAAGCCAACGGGTCATTCACTGACCATTTGGATATTTTCCGCGCGAGGCGTTGACAAGCAAGATGTTGATTAGGGAAGATAGAAGGCAAATGTCTTATGATAGGTGCGGCACAGACAGCCAGCGAAGCAACAGGGCTTTTTGTCAAGGTCACACAACTAGGTGGATTGTTTGGTCTGGTCTTTGGAAGATGGAGGCGTTTTCTACGGAGATGGAACCTCACCAATCTTCCATGCTCAAAGCAAGCAGGTTTTGTTGGCGATCCTTCTGATACGCTGCCTTGCACGCCGTTCTGCGTCTTGGTTAGTGCATTAGTAAGAGCTTTTCTTTTTTGCTTCAAATCTCGGAAATAAATATTTAATATATTATGGTTTGCAATAGTAAATCAGTGGGTGGGCCCAGGTGTTTACGGAGATGGGCATGGATGGCTGCCCTTCCTCAAGTGAGAGAAGACATAGTAAAAGAGATTCTTCTCACGATTGGATTTACCGAAACAAGAGGTAGATTTATTAGCGGAATGTAAGAATGCTACTGGAGTGCCCAGTGAAGTCAAAATACCCCCTGATCACTATTAGCGACGGGACATGAACGGCACCATTACCAAAACGCCTTAGCCGTCTCCCAGTGGGGTTTGGAGTCCCCGCGAAACCAAGAGGGCGCAACAGAAAGGCCAAACATCAAATCTCTGAGGATTTCTGGTCTGCGCCAGCAGTCATGCTTTCCTGGCCTGTCATTGCCCATATGTGCCACTCCGACCTAACTGCTTGCGGAAGCATTTGCCAGGGGTCTGGACCAACAACAGAACCAAAGTACCCGACGACGCCTTCTTATTTGGCATTCCGATACAACCACAGGAAATGTTGTAAATGTTGATACTCTGGAATGAACAACAACAGTAACTCCGTAATAGCAATTCTACTAGTCTATACCAAATACTCAAACCTTCGTACAACGATTCAGTAGCTAGACCAACCTCTCGAACTTATTCACTGGAGGAAGCCAGTGTCAAAACAGTTCAATTCTCTATGTCTGTCTCTGGACTATTTCATCTTCAAGAACTTCAAGTATTAGTTACGGGAACAGAGGCAAAAGAGGACGGATAGAGAGACAACGGCATACTTAACGTGGAACCTTTTTGTCATGGAAACCTGACCGACTACTTGAATGGCTGCATAGAAGCCTGTGCAGCAGGTCATATCATGAAACCAGTTGCTTGTTATCCAGATAGGTATCTAGTTGGCATGCCTTTCAGTTTGATCAGATTGCTGATACTAGATACGTTCAGACACTTGTATTATTATAGTTACTGGTATTTACTCGCTAGTACACCAATCTCCAGCAATAGTTCTCGTACTGTAAAGGAGTAATGTGCACGCAATACTATAAATAACCAATCACAGTAAACAATTGTGTCCTGGCTACTAGTACTAACTTAGAACAGAAGGCTGGTGCACCTACCCGTCGCTTTGATAGAAGATAATAGGGATTAGCTTGTGCCCCGAAGTGAATGATCGTTTGATAAGTGTCATGGATGGTTATGTGGGCAGTTGAAGAAGATGGACCGTTGATATTTGAATGATTGAGCTGAGGTTGTCGACCCACACGGCGATTGGTGCCTGAGCGACAACATTCATTGATAAGGACCGACGCAGGTCAGATCACTATGTTACCGCATTTGTTTTCAACTACAAGTTTCAACTTTGTTCACTTGATTACACATTTAAGAGGGAGCTAAAAGCACGGTCTTGTGACAACGTAGGCGAGTTATTTGCGTGAGTCATTAAATACATAACAGAAGCCCGGAGCCTTTCATAGCCGGCATCATAAGCTTCTTCCATATCCATTAACTACTGTTATTGGCGAAGGTTTTACGCAACCAGACCAGCGACGAAAGCGGCGGCGGCTGGAGCGTCTTTCTCGTAGTTGGTGTGGTCGGAAGTGATGATAATGCCACCATCGCAGATGTTGTCGCCGTCGTGGCAGATGACCTTGACCTTGGAAGCAGGAATTTTGCCAACAGCTCGGCCGTCGAATGGGTCGCCAAAGATCAAAACTACAGGAGGTTAGTAACTGGCTCAACCCACGCCATGGCAAATACAAAGGAACTTACCAGCAGAGATCCGGTTGGTCTGAGCCGTGGTCAATTTAGCCGCTGCATTGTGGACGAGCTGGCCACCCTGGCTGTAACCAGAAAGAACGATCTTGGTGCTGGGACACTGAGTCACAGCCTGCAATGGAGATTTTAGTCAAGACTAACCATAATCACTCTAGAAACCTTGTACTTACACGAGCAACCAAGTTGGCCATAGTGGTGCTGCCAGCCGCATCACCGCCAGAGAGGAAGCCGATGATGCTGGCGGAATAGTTAACGCCCTGGACAGCCAGGTTCGAAGCTCCAATGAGCGAAGCAAGAGCGTTGAAGAAGGCGGGTCCTTCGGAGCCCGCCTCGCCAACGTTCCCGGGCTGAGTGGTACCGCGGGCCCAGATCAGAGTGACCTTGCGGCAGGCGGTGCCATCGGTGAGCTGGTTGAAGGTGTCACCGTTGTACTGACGCTTGGTGATGGTTGGTTGCAGGGCGTCGACCTCCTCGGGCTGGGCGGAAAAGGCAGCGTTGTAGTAAGCTTCGAGCTCAGCGACAGGGAAAGCTCCAACCTCGCTGCGAGAGACGGGGACGCTCTCGAGCGGGGCGGCGAGGGCTGTGGAGGCCGCGAGGAAGAATAGGCCGGCCTTCATTGCGGTGATGTGGAGACTTGACTGTTTGACCGGAGCTTTTCTGGTGCTTGAAGAAGCAGGCGATGGCTCGTCGGGGATGGGAGTCTGAAGCTCTAAGGATCTCTCATGATGTTCGATTCTGGAGAACGAGGACGCCTTATATGCCAAAAAGCCATCGGCCGCGAGGACTCATGGCTTCCCCTCAACTCAAAAGTCTAGACATGCGCGTCTCCCGTGGAGATGATGGCTGGGCAAAGCCTTGGCCGCCGCAATTTGCATTATGTCCCGTCAGTTTACGGATACATTGGGTCGCAGTGCCAGGAACAGGGGTCAGCATTGATATTCTTTCTTCCCATGGTGTGGTCATTGTGACCATCCTCGTTGAAAGCTTGGCCCGTGCCCCATGTTGCTCTGTGCCTGCATTTCTGAGTTCTGTCATCCCATTGACCAGTCAAAGGTGTCGCAAATCCAGGAACATCGGTCTTCGAAGAGGAAGCTGGTATGCTCTAGCAAGATTTATTGGACTTGTCCTGCAGATCGACTAGCCCACTATAGCACCTCGGCCCGCACCGGCATCTGTTTTGCACCTGAATTTCATTTGTCTGTGGGTTGGTAACGGACCTGTACGGCCTGCACTGCACACAGGTGACACAGCAATATGTCAGACTTGAAATTGGAAGTGATCATCACGATCTCAATAGAGACCCATGCAGTCATGCTGCTTCCTGATAGGTCCGGCAGTTCGCAGAAAATATCGGAATGCGGACGCACCTGCCTGTTATCGGGTCTTGTGGCTGCTGGTAGGTTGTGCTGACCGGCTTTAAGGCGTGGTCGACGTAACATCGTCTCGGAGTTGTCGACCGCATGAAGGTAAGCACATCGCTTTGAGGTCTTGATCGCGTCGGAACCTAACGCTCATCGCGGGGTAAAGGAACACGTGGGTACGAGCCCACAGCCGACCTTCCACTTTAATGTTGTATCCCGGACTCTCAAACTGCGGAGGGTGGGAGCGATGAATAATGACATGCAATTGGGCGTCAACAGAACCTGGTAACTCCTGAGTTGTTCCGCATCAATGCCGAATAGGTAGTTCGTGATCGAGCGAAGCTTAAAGTCTGAACCGACCGAAAGTGGCCCTTGACCAGGATGAAGCTGCAGTTACCAGGCCAAGGTGACCGCACGGTCATTTGATGATGGGCCTTGCAACCGCCTTGAGGCTTCGCTGTCTTTCTCAGTTTGACGATAGGTCACCATTTATCTTCAATCAACATGTAGTTTGTTGAGGGAGTTAGTTTGGCTCAGAGTCTAACAGCTTAGAACTTTGCATTTGAACAGCACCACCTGCTAACTTGCTGTCGTATTGATGGCAGAGAGACACACAACACTTATCAATTCGATTGAGACCTAAAATTGCCACGTCGTCTCGAATGACACCGAGGCATTAGCCTCCCCTTTGACGTGAATAACGACGAGCCCATCACAACGATTGTCAATGTGATGGGTGCGGCGATGCAGAGCGCCAATTTCTCAGACACGCTTGCTGATGTCCAATGACGAAAGCGATAACCGGATTTATATCAAACAATCCGGTCCCAATTTTTTCCTTAAGCTGCGGTAGATCCAACTGGATGCGGAGTTGATCAGTAGGAGAGCTTGGTATAAAAAAGTTGTAGTGCTGGGCTTGACTCAGTGAAGCCTCAAGGGCACGATTAGCCGCAACCTATGACATTATAACAGTCAACTTCAACAATTACCCCCGCGAGGTTTTGTATATCTAGAGGAGTCCGGGATTTCTGAAACTTAGTGACTTGACCTCTTGTAATCGTGAGCGCGGACGAGGTTGTTGGTGGTGCGTCAGTGAACACCACGTAGTTCTCTACATATCTGGTGTTGAGGAATAGGAGTCCCCGTTACTTTTAAACTTCGGCTCACCTCCGGCACTCCATCACCAATATCTAAAAGTCATTCTGTAGATGGAAACGAACAACGAAGCCAGGGGGCGGGGGGCCGACGATTTATGGGCCGACGTATGGGCCGATGTATCAAGTTCCCCTAAAACTAACAGTTGTATCTAAAATTTTTAGGCGAAGTAAAAGTTGTGTAAGCCGAGCGGGCCATATCCAGAAATATTCAGAGATTTGCGTGTTGCTAACAACTTGAGGTGGAAGAGACGAATGTCCAAAAAGTGAAGCTTATTGAATTGCACATGGATTGAGCCTTCAATCTGTATGTCACTGATCCTCTATGTTGGCAGGGCTGCCACAATACTGATACGTCCTGGAGACGTCTGCTTACTGTAACTAATCAAGCGTCGGATGACGGTCTTACCAATGACCAAATGCGCGAATCTGTCAGCACCCAAAGTTGAAATGAGCAGTTAGGTGTCAGCATCTGAATGATTTTGCAAATGTTTTCAGTAATCCAAACTGGCCTTGCGCTAGCGTCATCTTTATGTTTTCTTCACGCAGCCCTTGGCCAGCAATTATTTACAGAAAAAGTCCACAGTAGTCAATAGCTTGCATTCTCAATGTTTCCTCAAGTTGGGAAATGTGAGGTTAGCCTAGCGTCTCATTTAAAAACACTGCCTAAAGTATTCAGCAACCTGCGGCGGCATCTCCCGATAAGCCTCTATCTTTCCCCCAATCACCAGATCTTCAAGTGTTGCCTTCTTGTAATCTTCGACCTCCCAGAAGTCAGAGCCCACCATCTGAGCTTGTTGACCTGTACCCCAAATTTTGCGGCAGTACCAAGCCAAAGTGAATAAGCTTCCAGACTCGAGTCCCTTTTCAACCTCGCCATTGACCTTCTCGACACTATGAGAAGATATTTGCGGCGCAGTGCCAAACTTTTCTTTCAGTGCACCTGTGATGTCATTTCCTGTAGGCGCTAACTCGCAGAGCGCCACGGCCCGGTTCTCGAGCTGGGAGATTGGCGTTTTGGCGAAGATGGATGCGTACGCTGCAGCTACGTATTTTCTTGTGCTAGTCACCATGCCGCGTGAGTTTTTGGACGTTGGTAGATGTCTGCAGCCGTTTTGAGAGTTTTGAACCAACTCACCAGAGATTCAGTTTTTCACTTGCACTATTTCCAGAATACGTGATCTTGTTGCCCGTCAAGTCTACACCCATACCCCTAGCAATGAAACGTTGAAGATTAGTAGGAATTGCTGCTTAACATCAGGAAAGAACTCACGGAGTATTGAGTGCAAACTCCGCAAAGTTGCCAACCAACACAACAGTTGTTGGGATTCCAGCGGCCTTGGCAGCCTTCTCAACCTCATCTTTCCCCTTGTTGACACCGATCCTCAGGCCTTGCTCGTCGTACCGCCCTGCAAGATCCGATGGTGAGAATAACTTCACATTGGTCTTGGGTATAGCCTTCACGAAAGCATGCTGCCTCTGTACACCTTCATGTCCAACAAGAGATCTAGGGGAAAAAATAAGAAACTGAGCATAAGTGACAGCGAATCTGGGATTCCACTTACATGACAATGTCAATATCCTGCAAAGCGCTGACCAGGGCGGCCTCGTCGTTGATATCCACCTCAACTTTGGTGATGTGGGCAGGGATATTCGAGGTGTCTGAGCTAGGGCGGTACAAAACTTTGACGAAAGCCCCTGAGGAAATCAATGCTTCGACTATACTGGAACTGCCCCAGCCACGATGTCCGTAGACAGCGATACGATTGAAAGCCATTCTCAAACAGAAAACGTTGGCCTAGGTGTGGTTTGATAATGATGATCTTAAGAAAATCAGGTGATGCAGTAATGTTGGTAAAATCGATTTTGGGGTTTCTTATGCCAACGAAGTTGAAATCAAGGACGAAATTGCGTGTAGATCATGAGTGCATTCCCAGTTAGAATAAGAATGATGCACAAGTAAGTTGAAGTGTAGAAAGTATGACTGCATGAGCCAGTCTTTATAGATGGTGCCAATGCCGAGCAAACTAGTCTTGAGCAGCTACACACTGAGGTAAGATTCGTCATCCTGGCGACAGGATAGTCAGAGCTTTGAAATCTGGATAGGGCGGTGTCACCTCTAGGACGTAGTCTCCACGGCAGACAGACCAACCATCGTTGATTCAGAAACCAAGCTAGTTGAGCCACTTTTCAGTGGTGAGAGCGGGTCCGTTCCGTTGAATGGATAGCCTTACTTCTCATTATACTAGGTACCACCAGTACAGCTGACTTTTTGCTAGTGCAGGCTGTGCAACCCCTCCAGACCCGATTAACTGCAGTACCGGGTCATTAGTCTGGGCAAAGCAATAAAGATAACCCAATGATTAACAGTTATAGAGGTGACTTTTTAGCTTGGAGTGAATCCGCAGTGCACCACCAGAAATCCTGTGTCTTAACACCCCTCTGTAGCTGTTTATTGGGTTATCCTCATTGCTGTGCCCAAACTTCTGACCCGGTGCTGTAGCTGCAACAGACCGGATCTTTCGGACTTCTCCACTTTTAGGTTATAAGAGTTGTTTGTCAAAGGGAGTGAATGCAAACTAATCACCGACAAGTGGAGATATCTCCCGGCACCGGTTTGCTCCCGGGCGCATTGATCGGTAACTGGAGTCAACCACTGTTCTTTCCTGCGCGTAGCTAAATGCTTCCGAGATATGGTGTGACTGAGTGACATTACGTATGTCGGATATCCACCTTAGAAACACAGTATTTGATTGTTTTTCGCCCCTGGTCTTCAACCTTCGCCGAACACGAACATGGGACCATTTTGGGGCCGAGCCTATTGCAGACTAACCGCCGTCGACGTTAGGCCAGCGAATCGCGACACAGAGTAAGAGTCGCTTCCAACCGCGGCCCTGAAAGAGAAAGTTATAAATTGTTCCAAACCCTTGCTGTCTGCTCTTAGTGATCAAATTTAGGGACTGGGCCGTTGCATGACCCCGCATTTCAGTCGGCGGCATGCTGAGGTGGCTTCTGTTCTGCAGCCTGCCCAACAGAGTCAGCCAAGTCGTCCTTTTGACCACTGCTATCGTAGCTTATCGACCCAGCACAATGGTACGGGAGGGTCAAATCTCAGCATAATACGTTGGTGAACCAACACAGAGCGGGGGGATGACTTGTAGCCGCCAGTAATTGATCGTGACCCAATTGACTGTCGTAAGACAGTCAATACTGGCGGCTATGTGCACCTGATAAATGAAACGCCAATCCACAACGCCGCCTGCTTGTTATGATGCCAACACGGTCAATAATTGACATGGGATGTCGTTGAAATAAACTTAGCGCTGGCTTCATTCCCCCGAGCCGCGTCTCCATTCCTAATGGACACTGAATTCGCATTTTATTATTTCGTGTTTATATAGTTGTTCATGACCCGTTTCTCGGTATCGTACAGCAGTAACTACTTTTGTTTGTTCAAGGTCTGGTTTGCACCGCTCGATGCCTCATGACGGCAACAGCATCATGAGCGTCATCTATGATTTTGGGATTCGCAGGAAGCCTGTTGCCAGCATGTCGACAGCTAGCAAAATCCACGCATCACTCGATGCATGCACCACAGGGGTTCCGGGCATTGCAGATACACCTCACATCAGCGGTAAACTTGGACTATTGACAGAGAGAATGGGCAGAGCAGGCATTCAAAATGGTTTCAATCGCGAAAGACCGGATCGCCACATTCAGAGCCGTCAATAAGGTCGACCCATGAGGCCGGACTCCATACATCGATCGTCCTATTCCAGCATTCCGACCGAATCTATAACCGGCAAAGACAGCTGGCTTCAAAGTCAGCTCATACAGAGATACATGGATACAAACCTGCGAGAAGAGGGCCATGTGTCATTCTAATTGAGTCGTTTTGTTTCTAGTTGGGCTTGCTATAACATTCATTATTATGATTGTCGCCTTGGAGATGCTGAACTTTGTCTCCGAGAAAAACAAGGGCATAGCGCCCATTGATGAAAGAAACCATTATCTTTGGTACTTTGACCCAGGACTACTTTTTATTACATGAGCTGACCAGTCTGTAGTTCTCACCCTGTTTGTTGCTCTTTGGGCTCAGTTAGAGCACCGTGCGAAGCATCTTGTGCCCTGGCTAGCAATGAGAAACGGGCCAGTCGACGCGTCTCTAAGCCTCCTACTTGATTATATCACTCCCATCACGGTCGTTTCGCTGTACAAGTCGGCAAAGCGGAAGCATTTTCTTATCACCTTAGGCAGCCTGGGATCGTTGAGGCTACGCGCTCTTGTGATCGTCTCCACAGGCTTGTTGTCAGCGGCCCAACAGACTATGGTGGAGGATGTAACGATTATTGTATTGGACCAGTTTAACATGAGCCGGAAACTCTTTAACTCCACCGTCGATGCCGGAGTGACTATCTGGTGTGTCAATCAGAGAGGCGTTGTGTATCCTCCGGGGACAACAGAAAGGGTCGCTGCACAATCGCTCTTGGCTTCTGATTATGGTACATGGCTATTGCTTCCTGGGCCTTCATGGTGCCACGAACTAACGCAATGTAGAGGGAAAACACGCTGTTTCTGCGCCAGTGATAGTCTTTGGAGCCGACTTCGAAAGTTGTTACGAGCTCTCATGGACTTTTCCCATGGCAAATTTGTCAATAGTAACTCTCTCAAGTGTAGCATCGGATTCGGAACGCGCCATATTCGAACAATATTGCCAGCAACCCTTTGGCTTCGATGGAACACCCATGCTAGAAGCAGGGGCGGCAAGTCTTGTTTCGACCCAGACTATCGATAAGTGCTTAGACGAAGAGAAAGACGAGTTTTCTCATCGAATCTACACATCAATCATTTACAACATCACCAATGAGCTCGCTGGCGTCACCTCCATACTCTGCACGCCAAAGTACACATTGACGAGGCGAAACGTCACAACCATTTCGCAATCGAGACAAGCCGGCAGAATCCTCGACATCAACGACGAAATTCTCGAGCATGTCCCAATGGGAGCATCGGCTCTCAACATTACAAATTTCGTGATCGGGTCCATTAGCTCGGCAACCGAAATGCTCATTTATAAACAAGGAGTACCAATATCACAAACCACCCTTTGGTGGTCGGTGATGAATTTCACTGACCCCCGGCCGAGAAGGGCAGACCTTGGAGATATTACCAAGTTTCCACATCTCTTTCGACGTGTGTACAAAGCTGTCGCTGCTTTATCGGTCAAAGCCAAGAGAACAAAGCCCGTGATAGGGGCATGTCCTGGAATACTGAGCCACGACAGCAATCGTCTGGTCGTTGAGAAAGTGTCACTAAGAGTAATGGAGTCACTCTTGGCTCTGCTTACTGGGATTAGCTTGGTATTCTGCTTCTTCCCATTGACTTCGCTCCCCACTCGATCCGGCTTTATGTTCACACTGGCCTCAATTCTCAATCGAAGTCCTCAGCTATTGCGAATACTCATGGGCATTGGGAAAATGACGAAGCGTTTGCTAAAGCTGCGTCTACATACCTTTCGGTTTTACCTGCTGTCTGGTAACGCCGTGGCCCAGATCTGAATTGGTGTCCAGCCAAAGAAAGCGATACTCACGGCGTCATCTAAAGGCAACGACACTGGACCAGAGGAGCAATGGTGGGAGCCCATGGCAACAAGCCTTATCTATAAGTCCTTTCTCATCGCCGTCACGGTCTGAATTGTTGTAACTTTGGAAGTTATGCTGCAATACTCTCTCAAGCATGGGGGAGTGGCGAATGTTTCAATAGAAGGTATATGAAATATGGCTGGCTCTTCTTACCTGCCCTTACCATGGGCGGCTTGGCCTTGGCATACAACACTGTCGACACAACGAGCAGACTTTTGCATCCTTTTCACCAACTAAGAGACGCAAAATCTCCGAACTTACTTGCGATGCGGTACGACCCGATCGGAAAACTGACGGCAACAGCTATGGTACACGCAATCAAGTGCCGCTACCTTGTGCTCGATGCCGGCATGTTCACTTCTCACCTCGGCCCACTTTTGACGATTGCTGCTAGCGGTCTTTATTCCCCTTCACTTGTGCCTGGGATTAAAAGTGCCGAGATCCGTGTCACAGGCTGGTTTGACGTTAGCACAGCTTCCCTGAACAACTCGATGTACATCTCCAACCCGGTTCCCAAATACACCGACGCTGTGATGAGCCAGGCCATACTTTTCAACAACGTCTCCTGTATGAAAGGAACGTACGAAAGCCTTGCTTTTCCCAACATGGAATTGCCTCCTCATCTGAATGCGACTGTGAAGAGCAACGCGTCTACGAACAAATCGAGTGGGAGTAGCACCCTTGCTGTCCGTCTGCCAGCGGTAAGAGGTCAACTCAACTGCACCAAGTATCTGTCGGCCAGAGGACAACAGTACTCCAATCGTACACATCCGTCGTGGATGATCCCGATCGATCCACCTCCAAACTGTGTTCCACCACTTCAACCAAACATCACTGATGGAAGAGACCGAAGCAAACGTATGCTGGCAGGGTTCCAAACGCGCCCACCTTACAATGGTTTCTTTGCGTGGCAGGCTCGTCGCTGGTGGTCCCGTCCTTTAAACAACTTCGAAATCACCAAGAGCATAGATCATTGGTCTCCGTTTGATGTGTGCATGAACGGAAAGCAGCACATCTTCTTTACTTTTGGGCATCATACGGACAACATAACCGACGAAGCCCAAGTGCTGCATTGTATGCATACCTTGAATCTGTTACTGTTGATGCAAAGCTCTTGCTTCCAGATTTTGAAAGCCCACAAGACTCGGCCGAAAAACCAATTGCGATCGAAAAAACTGCAGAAGTTTGGGACAGTGGTCCTGGCAAAGAATATTCCATCACTTTTCCCGTGCTTGTCGACATACAATCGAAACGAGAGCGAGGCAGCCAGAACTTCGACGAGTTCTTCCAAGCTTTGACTACGGCCAAAGACGCCATACCTCTCGTTGAAGTCGCAAGGATTAATGCGACTGGGAGGCTGATGGGGAGGATGAACAAGTTGTATCAGATCCTTGTCGCGCAGACGATGAACGATCACTTTCGGTCTGGCATCCTGCGTGAAGGCACGAACCTGAATGGATTCTTACCTGTGGTGAATAGAAGTATCATTGATGGTTCGCAGATGCGCTTACTGCAGAGTTCAATTTCAACCCGCATCTTGGAGGGCCTACTCTTAGCAATGCTCTTCTGCGTAGTCGTGGTATTCGCTCTAGGAGGACGGGCAGATGTTTTGCCAAAGAACCCAGGTAGTATTGCTAGTCGCATGAGTCTACTGGCAGACAGTACATTGCTGGAACACATGGCCGTGAACAGTAACCTATTCAACTCTGGGCCTTGTGTCAAAGGGAAAGAGGGAGTGTCTATTGTGGAGTCGGAAGTGGGCCAGCAGGACCTTTTCGCTGAAGATACTTTCAGTTTGAGATGGTGGCATTTAGAAAAAGGCAGCAGCCGGTATGGTATAGACATAGAGTTAGTAGATAGTGATGCTCGTTAGTCACGAAAATCGGCCCATAATCGGGCTTGTAACACCGCAACCTCGGTCTGGTTTCACACGCCACCTTAAGCATTACCAATTTTGAAACGTGTCACTGTGAAATCAGTTCGTGCAGTTGGTCTCACTGGAAGCTCACCTTGATTGTGTTAGTAACCACGAGTTTGCCTCTCCGCTTGTCCCTCTTGCTGTGGCCGCCCACTGGGAATACGTGCCGATTATAAGGAGCGACGCAATTGGGTTGCCGCGGTACGCCCTAGGAGGCAACAAAGCACGCACGAACGGTGGAGGAAATGACATCACATGCAGTCCAAGTGTTCGGAAGTCCGTTGTCATGCCAAGTGAGGCATTTGGTTCATGGATCGGACACAGTTTTAAGCTTTATTTTGGCAGCTCGCCCTAGACAATTCACATCATGAATCCGTTTCTATAAAGCTTAGGCTCTTGCTTCCAAGCAGCTAGAGTCTGTTGGGTTGATTTCGGCACACAACTTCAAATCTAACATGAAAGAACCACTGAGGCGTCTCCGATACAACGTTGCCGTATCACTCGATGGCTTCATCGCTCCTCCAGACGGAACGATGGACTGGATTTTGCACGCTGATAACATCGACTTTAATGCCCTCTACGCGCAATTCGACACATTTGTGATGGGTCGAAAGACATATGAATGCATGGTCAACATGGGCGAGCAGAATCCACTGCGTAAATACCCCAAGGGAAGCCTGGTGGTCATCAGCAAAACCCTCAAAAGCAATCATCATCCGAGCATAACAATTGTTTCCCAAGACTTCATTAGGTACGTTGCGGACCTCAAAAACAATGAAGGCCGGGATATCTGGCTTATGGGCGGTGGGCAACTGGCGGGGTCGTGCCTCGATGGAGGAATTCTCGACTCGGTTGAGACGGCTATCATACCGGTGATGCTGAGGGGAGGGGCTAGAATGGTGAAGGGGTCGGCGCTTACGCCACGGGGCGGGCTTAAGTTGGAGTTGGTGGACTGTAGACAGTTGGAGCCGAGCGGCATAGTCATGTGTAAATATAACGTCAGCAGGCAAATGGCCGCGTCATTGGGAGAGGCCTTGTTCAATTACTGAAGGAAAACGGATACCACTGGATACTCCCGGGGGTACGAGAACACGGGGAAGCCTAAAATACCCAGCAAATGGAGGATTAGCAGACTCATCCTGGGAGTTGGTGTAAAATTAGATAGGCCTTGTACCAAGTTGTTCAGAGGATTGAGGATGGCAATGCAGATCTCTGCTAATGGGGTGTCTTCATGAATTATCTGCCAACATAAGCGGCGTGCAGGATTGTGCATCAGTCCCTCATCCCAGTCCTCGATACCATAAGTGTCCGTCTTAAACTCCATGGGTTTCCACGAGAACCTGCAATATAATCCTGCGGGGAATTGCTCCGGGGTTTCAAGGATTTCCCCGCTCGTCATTTGGGATCTCCCTTAAATCCGTAGCGACATTTCGTCCTTAGCTCCGCTAGTACCCCAATCCCAGTCGTAGAATCGGCAGAAAAGCTGTTTCTTCATATAAAGACCAGAGAGCCGTGTTTTGGAGTGAAATCTCACATCAGCTAAGAAAAAACCAATCGCAAACCGCAGGAGCCTTCGCAATGACAACGAGAAACTCTGAAAAGATTTTAGTCCTTGGTGGAACCGGCAAGGTTGGCCGGCAGATCACGAAGCTCTTGGCCGCAACCTCGATACCGACCTTCCAAGCCTCCCGAAGCGGGGCATCCACCACGGAGCCGGGCGCCGACAACATCAAGCCCATCTCCTTCGACTGGGAAGATGAAAAGACGTGGGCATCGGCTTTGGAAGCTGGCGTGAAAAGTATCTTCCTCGTTGCCCCGCCGGTCATGGACGTGCTGTCGCCGATGCAGTCGTTCATTGATCAGGCGCGAATGAAGGGACACGCCAAGCGATTTGTCCTGTTGAGTGCAAGCTCTATTGAACCAGATATCAATGGCTACGCAACGGGTCGGCCGCATGCGTATCTGAAGGAGCTTGGCGACAAGGGTGATGTGGAATGGGCCGCAATAAGACCGACATATTTCCAGCGTGAGGTTATCTCCTCGATCTTAATGAAGCAGGTGCTAATAATGATCAGAGAATTTCATTGAGCAGTATAACCATTGCAAAGCGATTGCGAATGAGAGCACTATTTACTCCGCTACGGCGGACGGAAAGATAGCTTGGGTTGCGACCGAGGACATTGCCGCATGCGCATACCAGCTTCTTACCCAGGAGGATGCACCGAACGACCAGTACCTCATTCTTGGTCCGGAATTGCTCAACTACAATGATGTCGGTTCCGTTGTCTCATTAGGTTCCTGACTGCATGCTAACGGAAGTGATGCAGATTGCCAAGATCCTTTCTGAAATCCTTGGTCGGAAGATCGTGCACAAGAAGCTCTCAGCGCAGGAGCTCGTGGAGCGGTTCGCTGGTCAGGGCGTGCCTCGGGATTATGCGGAGATGTTGAGCGGCCTGGACACAGCGATTAAGAACGGCAGTGAGAACCGGACGAATAGCGTCGTCCTCGCATTGACGGGAAAGCAGCCAAGGAAGTTCCGTGATACTGCTGAAAAGAACAAAGGTGTCTGGGCTGAATCAGCTTAAGGGTTTGGTGGAATAATGAGGGTCTTAGAGCTCGGAGCACACATAGAAGAAGGGCTATCCAGCTGTCGGTATCGATGCGCCAGAAGTTCGATGCGGGGAACTGGGTGCATTCATCTGTTTTCGGGATTATCTCACGTGGTTTGCTCATACACAATACACAAAAAAGGTTGAGAAGAGAGTTTCGCTTTCATTCAGAGTCGCACATGGTCGTCACCGTTTTCAGCCGAAATCTTCGGCGTCTCTTTGCGTGCGGGGGACATGCGCTAAAGTTGAAACAAGTCATGAGATCACAGAGCTTCTCTGCTTGCCTGAACTTCCGCGGCATGAATACATCTTCAGCAACCTCGACGTTACATCGGAGTGCCTACGAGAGAAGTCTGGACGAGTTACTGACGGCTCATGCACCGATCACAACATGGACTCATCTTTTGTTGCCGTTGAGAAAGGCAGGTCTGCCAAGACCGGCACAGGCGATAGTCGGAGCAGGGAGGACCAACCGAACCCGCTTACGTACCCCAAGGCCGCCGAGCCTTTCAGCCAGGACCTTTTCAGGAGCCCGACGTCAGAGTATCGAGGATGTCCACTTTGGTCATGGAATACGAAACTGGAGAAGGAGAGGCTTCTCCGACAGATTGATCATCTTAAAGAGATGGGGATGGGCGGTTTCCACATGCACGTCCGGACCGGATTGGACACCGAATACATGGGTTCGGAGTTCATGGATCGCGTCCGAGATTGCGTGGAGTATGCGGAGAGCAAAGGGATGCTCGCGTGCTTGTAAGCTTCTCACCCTCACCTATTTACCAGTTGAAGTTTTGTTGACGTTTGTCAGGTATGATGATGACCGGTGGCCCTCAGGAGTTGCCGGCGGCAAGGTTGTAAAGCAGTACCCTGAGCACAAGACGAAGCACATCCTATTCACGCCGTATCCATACGGCAGTGTCGAAATTGGAGGGTAGGTGACTTAATCGAACATAATCGCCATCTGCTTACAGGATTTACAGTGACTGCGCCCCCAGCTCAGCACAAGCATGTCGGAGCGAAGTAGGATATCTGTTAGCCCGGTTCTCCATCACACTTGATGAGAATGGCCGTCTGAAGTCCAGCAAAAAGCTTCAGGAAGGTGAAGATGCAGAGCCTGGCGGACGAGTGTGGTACGCATATGTTGAAATTAATCCTCCGTCGTCTTGGTTCAACGGCCAGACCTATATCGACACGATGAGCACTAAGGCCATGACGTGCTTCTTGGAAAGCACCCATGAGGTCTACAAGAACAAAATTGGCGACAAGTTTGGCACAACAGTCCCTTGCATTTTCACCGATGAGCCTCAAGTCGCGATCAAGACCCAGCTTTCTAGCCCGAACAGCATCCAAGACGTCTTTCTGCCGTGGACGGCAGATCTTCCCGATACTTTCCGAGAGACCTACGGTGACGATGTCGATATCATTAGCAGCATTCCGGAGCTGCTGTGGGATCTTCCGGGAGACACGCCCAGCCTGGCCCGCTACCGTTTTCACGACCACATAAGTGAAAGATTCGTCACATCGTTCCTTGACCTCCTCGCAGACTGGTGCGGGAAGAATAAAATCATACTCAACGGACACATGATGGAAGAGCCAACTCTTCGCTCCCAAACTACTGCCCATGGAGAAGCAATGCGGTGTTACCGAAACCAGACCCTACCTGGCATGGATCTCCTCAACGACTGGGTCGAGTACAATACAGCCAAGCAATGCACCAGTGTGGCCCGCCAGAATGGTGTCCGCGGCGCCATGAGCGAAATTTACGGATGCACACACTGGTACTTTACCTTTGAAGGCCACAAGGGGTGTGGAGACTGGCATGCTGCTCTAGGCATCACCTTCCGCGTCCAACATCTCAGCTGGGTAAGCATGGCAGGCGAAGGAAAGCGGGATTACCCCGCCAGCATCGGTTATCAAAGCCCTTGGTACAAGGAGTATAGCTTCATTGAAGATCACTTCGCCCGTGTCGGGGTAGCCTTGACTCGTGGAAAAGCCGTCACGCGTGTTGGTGTGGTTCACCCCATCGAGAGCTTCTGGTTATGCTTTGGTCCGAACAATAGCGGCGATGATGAGATTGGCCGTCGAGATCAAGCCTTTGCAGAGCTCACGAACTGGCTTCTCCATGGGTTGGTGGACTTTGACTTCATTGCTGAGAGTCTTCTGCCGAACCAAGTCGGTGAGAACATAACGACGCCCCTCAAGGTAGGCCACTGCGAGTACGACGTCATTATCTTACCGAACCTTCGAACTATCCGATCATCCACCTTCGATATCGTCAAGAGATTTGCGGCGGCAGGGGGAAAAGTCATCATCGCTGGGGAAGGTCCGGTACTAGTTGATGCCCAAGCTGTACCGCCGGATATCAGCCTGAACATTGAACCAAGTACAAAGATTGCCTGGAGCAAAGAAGATGTTCTCTCAGTCGTCTCTGAGAGTCGCGATCTGAAGGTTGACCTCAAGGAAGGAGGACCAACCCAGACTCTCCTATACCAGATGCGTCATGACGGCGACGAGATGTTCCTGTTTATCTGCAACACGGACCGCAACAATCCTTACAATACATTCGTTAACATCAAAGGCGATTGGGATGTTGAAGTCTTGGATACCTTCACAGGCAAGACCCAGCACCAAAAGTCCAAATACAACAACGGATGGACAATCTTTGAGCACCAATTTGAGGGTTGCTCAAGCTTGTTGTTGAGACTTTATCCGGTACCGGCCGAGGAGCTGTCCTTTGCTGATATTGCGGAAGAGATAGCTTTGACGCCACCCAAACAGCAGACCGCGGAGTTCAAGCTTGATGAGGTGGTTCTTTCTGAGCCAAATGTCTTGATGCTGGACTATGCGCTATACAGGATCGACGATGATCCGTGGCAAGATGCCAAGCGGCAAGAAATCTTGAAGATCGATAACGAGATTCGAGCCCGTCTGCGTCTTCCCCCGAAGGGCTCGGCATGGAAGCAACCATGGAGTGTACCGCAATCAGAGCGAGCTGCGAAGGTATACGTTGACCTACGCTTCGAGTTCGAGTCGGAGGTCATCATCAGAACACCCTCGTATCTCGCCATGGAGAATCCTGAGAATGCAAGGATCACTATCAATGGCCACAAGTTGCCTGTTGACGAAAAGAGTGTGTCCTGGTGGGTTGATGAGGATATAAGAACGATACCGGTACCAAAGAGGACGATCCGCAGAGGAAAGAATGTAATTGAACTCAGCATGCCGTTTGGTATCTTGACGAACTTAGAGAGGATCTACCTTCTTGGCAGCTTTAGTGTTGAGCTGAAGAGCAACCTGCCCGTTCTCTACGAAAGACGCCAAAGTTTGGGCTGGGGCGATGTCGTGGCACAGGGACACCCGTTTTATGCTGGAAACGTCACTTATAACTGCAGCTTCTCACTGAAGTCTCGGTCGAACGTCACGCTATCGATTCCACAATTCGCCACGCCTGTCGTCAAAGTTCAGTGGGAAAGGAATAGTGGATATATAGCATTGCAGCCGAGGACGCTATCACTTGGGGAGGTTGAGGCTGGGACACACAATATCTCCATTACCGCCTTCGGATACCGATACAATTCGTTTGGGCATGTGCATCTCAAAGAAGGTATCTTTGGTTGCTGGCCTGACCAGTGGCGAAGTAAGTTGTTGGACTCTGTTCACTGTTGGATTATGTACTGACAGGCTTCGACAGCTGGAGGTTGGGCTTGGAGCGACGAATATCGACTGAAACCTACTGGAGTTTTGGTAAAGCCTGAAATTCTTGTAGAGTCAAAGCCCGAAGATGGGAGTGAAGACTGGATTGTCCTGATGGAGTGACTGAGATTGCATAGTGGTCACTATTCGTCAGGTTGATTAAAGACTTGTCTGAAAAGCAGGGACTGATTAAGTTAAGCCCATTCAGCTGCAACATTTCCAAGGAAACGATAAAAGGTTCACCGTACCAACTTTGGGCTACTTTTTCTGCTGTAATAGCACGGAAACTGTAGCAGTCGATCTATACTTAATAACAATGTTAGAGTTTCTTTATATTTGCAGTGACCGTCGCCCAGATCATGCGTCGCATGAACATCGGAACGCTTCATTGCTGCCAACATCGATTGGGACGCCAGAAACACCGTTATTTGGTGAGAAATTGCACTTAGACTATTTCTGTTGCTGACGATCATTTTCTGCGCTGCTCAACCGATGATACTACCAGCCAGGCAGTGGTGCTTGCTGAGATGGTTAATGCTTTATCAAATCTGACGCTTACCTTGAACAGATCCGTTGCCAAATACATGGAGCTGATTCTCTGTTTAAGTTAAGCGTCAGAGTTGATAAAGCAAGAACCATCTGGCTGCACTGTACCCTACAGCTTTGAAAGATAATATTTTGCTTGATCCAACTTGTGATGGTGTTGAACGAAGATAGCCCAGAGTTGCAGTGATATTAATATAGTTAATCGTGAGATCATGCCTGTGATTCGTCTACACACTTTACAAGTTAAGGATTCAAGAGATTGAAAGTCTTTCTTGATACCGTGTAACCTGATGTCACATATCAATACTTCGGGGGACTCTCTATCAGTGCTAGAGGATGTATATATTCAACTATTCCCTAAGTTAGAGGACAAATAGACATAAATGATTGATGCAATTACAAAGGAAATTCTATCTCTAAGTCTATAAACGTTCTAGGGGGTGATAAAAACATAATGCGAAACCAACTGCCATGGAACAAACACCTTTTTGGCCCCACGACCCCAGAACCCATTGGGTCCGACTTCGATCGACTTTCTTTTGCACACCAACACTTCCTTACTCAGAAATAACAGTATTGCAACGATTTAAAGAGATTCCTTTGGTCTGTGCGTTTGTTCTATAGTGAACATGCCGAGTCGAAGAAGTTGTAAGCGTTGCAGATATCGTTACCGACATTTGTCCTGACAATAGGGATGGCGTAGTCGAAAAGATTACAGAACTTGTACCCGAACGGGAGCGGTCCCAATTGAATAGCCTGGCATCGGGAATCTGCGTGACAGGCATCCGAGCACTGTTCTGGGGTCTTGACCTTAAGAATCTTGTAAAGGCCGACGTTGATGTGGCAGCCGGGCACGCCCTGGCATGGAGCCACGTAGAGGTTATGCGTCCAGCACCACCGCACGTATCGGCCCGGTTGCCTGCGCAGGACATATCACAACCGCTGGTGGCAGGAGTGTTGCCATTATCGATGGTATTGCCGCAAAAGCACTCGGAGCCGTATTCGAGGCCGGCATAGAGCTGCGATACATAAGTTAGCTCTCGTATTGGACCACGAATGCTGGATGTCGTTGGTAAGACACAGTACTTACATAGTTAAGTCCGGCACACTTGGAAATGCAACTAGCGGCGCTGAACTTATCGAAGCTGGGCACCTTGTACGACAAGATGCGCTTTGAAGGACTGTCGGTGTAGCAATTCTTCGACGTCCAGAGATCCGGAATTTTACTAGGACCACCCTTTTGGATTTTGGAGTTCTGGTAGATGTTGATAGCCGCCGCACCGCCACAGTATTGAGTCTTATCGGCGGTACAGGCCATGTTGCAGGACTCAGCAGAGATTGGCTTGGCACCATTCTGGATGCTGGCGCCACAGAAGCACTCCCTCCCGAATTCGACACCAGCAAACTGGTAACCTTGGGCGGCACAAGCTGTTGTGCAGTCACTGACTCTTACACCGCCAGAAAGACTGATACCAGTTGTCAGGGCACGAGCCGAAGGGGTATCAGAATAACATCCAATCGAGTTGAAGTCTCCTGATTGAGCCAGTATTTCAGGAGCCGCATCACCATTCCAGAAGATGTTAATACGCCCGCCATCACCGCAGACTTCGTCCCTGTTGCCAGTACACGGCTTGCTGCAATCTCCCTCTAGTGCCTTGAGCGCAGACTTGGGAAGAGCATATCCACAGAAGCATTCCCTTCCCCATTCGACGCCGGCAAAGCCTGTTGGTAGTAAGCATATGTCCAGAACACTTCAACAAGCCATAGAACCTACTGTAACCCTTTCCATCACAGAATTCAATACATTTTTCCTGTGACATGTCGTCCCCGGAAGTGCTATCACCGCTGAGCACTCGAGTGGATACAGTATCGGCGTAGCTGCGAGCAAAGTCAACTATCATCAACAGAGACAGCAAAGTTATGGATGACTTACCATCCTCTGTGGCTCCACTTCGAAGGCAAGTTCTGGCAAATTCCATCGAGAGTGGCACGCTTCAAAACGTTGCGTTGGACGGATGTACCGCGAGCGACTAGCTTAACGGACCGCTTGGTAGTTGCATTGGCATATGGTGCATCAACTGCAATAGGGTTATAAGCGCCATAAGTGACATTTCCATTGGTTAGATCTTCGACTTTATCTTGGGCAGATGCGATGGTAATGATCGCAATGCCTACAGCAGAAAGATAAGAATAGAAGTGCATGATTGCAGGCAGAAACAGTTCGGTCTGTGAATGTGCTCAGAGATCAGATGCGAAAATGGTAATATAAAAGATGATTAATTGAAAACAGGATAGGGATGGCTTAAGGAGTTATAAATACTAAAATTGTTCCGTCAATGAGCGATATCGAGAAAATCAAAGCATTCAGAAAGACTCCTTCCTGGTATTGTGGCGCTTTATGATAGCTTTCAGCCCCTGATCCTCAGATATAGCTAAGCGCACGAACTGGTCTTGTTAAAAGCCTCTTGACCCGAAAGGCGCCACAACCTGTGATAGAAGGATCAAGTGAATTAACGAAATTCGGTGATGGGTGAAAGATTCGGACGTCAGAGAGGTGCGAGACCCACAAAAAAAACTTAAGTCATTGGAAATGCCATCCAAGAGAGGGAAAAATGCAGTTAGCCCGCCATTGACAATGCGCCAAAACACCGGAATATTTCAGAGCTCAGTATGTCGGAAAGACGAACTAACACAACCACCCTGTTAACGAGCCACCCCCACATCCGAGCCACCATCGGCACCACCATCACTACCACTATCACCACTTATTTCACTCCCTCTTCCACCCACCCAGATGCAACTTTCGGCTTCACTAGATAATTCAGATGCGCTGGATTCATCTAGACTATCTGTATCGCCGATATCCGTATTTTGCGCCCGCTGGATATGGGCTATTGTCGCGAAGGTGCTGTTAGGAGATGTTGGGACCTTTTTCCTCTTGCCCTTGTGCTGGTTATCTAGACAGGCCTGCAGATCGCTGGCTTGTTGCTCTGCAATTGCTAGTCTAGATGCCTGCTCATCATATCCCTTTTGCAGCTTTCTAGATAGGTGATGGATAGTATAGGTATCTAGGGCATCCTTACCCAGCTGGTTGAATAGATATAACTGATGCCGCAGATCAGCAGAGTAACGAGGGGTTGACCATGGGATAGCAGATACTACCTTATCCCATTGCTGGCTACTGCTTTGCTGGCTAGCTGGCTAGCTAGATGATGCTTTTAATACTAAGGAGTTAGATAGAGGGCGCTATATAGATACTGGCTATAACCTAGCCCATTTCTAGCTAGACTTTATATTCTAGGTTATTATTGCTGCTTTACACGCATTAAAATAATAGTCTAGAAATACCCTTTTACTAACAACAGTTAAGTCACTTATCTAGTCACCTAGACTTCTAACCCTTTTTTAATATACCTACTTTAATAGGCCAAAAACTAACACATCTAGAGGCTAGAGGATAGCAGAAGAATATAGCAGTAAAAATAGTAGATAGATGTAATGCTGAAAGCATTACTACATTAAGTCTGTTGTTATATGGCTATAATAGCTATCTAGAATCAATAGCCTGGCCTTGTCTAGCTGGCTAGGCATAGTCCCTGGGATAAAGACCTTCTTTAGCCACTTAAAGGCAGTCTGGTCATTTGTCCAGCCATTATCTGATGCTGTAAAGTGCCAGCTAGCATATCTAGATAGGTTAGATAATAAGAACCACTAAGCCTAGACTAACTTACCCTTATATATAACAAGGGGAAGTAAAGAGGTCCTAGCAGCAGACATACACTTAATCAGTAATATCTATGCCCTAAATCCAGGCTATTTTTTCTAGATATATCGCAATACCACAGAACCTAGCACCATCCTATTACTTCCTTTGTTTTCTATAATACTAGTCTTATCTATATTCTATTAGTTAAATAGATAAATACCCTTGATTACTAGCAGATCTAGATAACTGAACCATTCTTAGATAGCATCTATAGTATAGGCTCTATATCGCCTAGAATCAATCAATCAGCATCTTTAGGTCCTAATTAATAGGTATTACCGCAGGAATCAAGCTATCCATCTCTTCCCCAGAGGTCACTAAGTATCGCCTATCATACGCTCTACCAGGCCCTTCACTTGCTAATAGGTAAGGGCACTACCTAGGGCAGCTTAGGTAGATATATAAATAGCCAGATTAGCCTCCTGTGACTGCGATAATCGCTGATAATCAACCCACGCAGTATTTCTGCTTTGCCTGCCATGCAGCCGATGCTGAAGGGTCTAGTATAGTATACCCCAGTTACGAGCAGCCTGGCGGATAGGGCAACCATCTGCTACGTCTGCAAGGGCTCGTTGGAGCTCAAACTCAGTGTATTGCTTCATGGTGTAATAGAGAAGGTATCCCAAAAAGATGGCGTTGTTTGGCGACAAATAGCAATTGTTGCGATAGTTTGAAAAAAGGGATGTTCTTGACGATGCAGCAATTTCGGATGGCTCGGATGTGGGGGTGGCTCTCTTGTGGGGTGGGTGGGTTAACTCTCGGCCGAGTACGAGAATATTGCCTCTTTTAAACAAGCGCGTTCTCCGGCTCTTGAAGTTGCAGAACTAATCCATCAATGTTAGCAGGGAGTCTTGGGGAAACAAAGAAAGCCATTCAGCCCTCAACGTGGCAACTCTCTGCTAGAAATGCAGAGAACCAAGGCTTCTGGGTCAAAGAATAGCTGGTCGACACTACGCCACTAGCCCCGTCCAACACTAGGCCGTTGATGAGGCTGGACATTGTCTGGACTGTCTTGGCGCTGTGCAACAACGAGATTTGTTGCACATTACACCTAGTCTCTTGGCAGAAGGAAATAGAAAGCGAGTAAACAGTTTTGAAATGTCGAGACGTTAGGTAATTGCTGTAATGTAGTCACTTAGCTCATCTATACATAAAGCAGGTGGGACAATTTTCCACGTGGCGCGACAAGGCTAGTATAGAATAGAAGTTCTTGAAATATTCAGCTGGTGAGTGACTGATTTAGTGTGAAAATTCGCTAGTTTCCCTAGATCCATCATTTGAAAGGCTAGATCATGTCCATTCCTGGGGGATCGACCTGGATGCACAACAAAGTCAGGCACCGTTGTTACCTTTGCAATATTGGCAGGCCACGTTCATAAGTATTTTGCTGTGTAAACTATTGAAAATCTCGTCCGCGTTTTGAGTTGTGTATAAAACGCTAGCCGAAACAGAAACGCCGATTTTGCAACGCACATGTAGTTGCGCTGTTCTCCCGCAATTGGACATGTTTAGACGAATCGGGCCTCAAAGGCCCTCACGTCATTAAGCTCATGCTGACACTAATACTTGTATCCCAGTACCGTCATAGTTTTCTTAAGAAGTGAAAGTAGCTTGAAAAGTTAACTGACCCTCTCGTGGCGGCGGTTGCATGTGGTTCCCGAGGGACACGAATGACCGAACAATTTCGATCAATAACAAATTTCTTCTTCCGACTATTCACAAAACTGATTTCAATCTCAATTTGCACTTAAATATGACTCCATGTCACAGGTACATGGAAGTAACAGAGCGAATAATAGAATATGGTATCAGACTTTCAATATCGAACACATAATTAGTTGCGATGGGTCTTACTCAGCTCTATTACTTTTGAAAGGAAACCAATCAGTACACAAAGATAAAATCTTCGTTCTTAAGGTCGGTCATATCCTGCAGTCCAAGGTCCTCCTCGATGGCTCTGTGTTGCTGTCGCTGAGGGGCCTCCTCCAACTCCACTGTCTTGCTGTCTTGTACGTCTTTGTTGCGCATCATTGACTCGTCAACAATCTGGGTGCTCTTTCCGAGTGCCTCACGGCGTTTAGCGTGTTGTACGTTGAGGCATTTGAGATAGAGAGGAATTAGACTAGATAGATCAGATAAGTCAGTACGCGACCCGCCTGCGGGACGAGTGGGATAGATAACTTACGCCCCCATGAAGGCTACGAGGACGAACATTACTAGGTTCGAAATCAAGCCAGGGCGATACACTGGAGCATCGTCAACTGAGTATAGAAGTGGACCAATGATGTTTCCAGTGCACATGCCGATGAAGACAACGGCAGACGTGGTTTTCTTCTTGGTGTCGCCAGCGGTGTTCTGGGCTTGCCATGTATATATGAGAGGGGTAATGGCAGCAAGAGTGGAAACCTGTGTTGAAGTCAGAGACATGTGGGTTATGTTGCCAAAGCGGAGAAATCTTACAAGGTAATATCCAAACAGCAAGACACCTTTGTGCTGACGTGGGACTGTGAGCATGAGGATCGTGCCAATGGCGGGGATGACGGCAATCCCAGCAATGACAAGACCCTTTCGCTGAGTTCGCGTAGCAATCCAACCGCTGCCCATGATGGCGATGATCTGAATAACGCCGAAAGGGATGTTAAAAAGGATTGTTTGAAAGCTGTTGTACCCGAATGACTTGACAATCAAGTTACCAAACGTTGAGATGCCACCGCTAGCGATTCTGCACGCAATCCGTCAGCATTGTCAAGAAGGATACATAGGTAGTACACACGAGATGGCGATGACGAGGATGAACCAACACCAAGTCTTCAGATCCATGAATGTCTCCCATACGTGATCCCATCGCCAGACACCAGACTGGATGCCCATTTGGTTGGCTCGAAGTCGCTCGACAGCAATGACCTTCTCCCTCTCCGTCAGGTACTTAGCTGACATGGGCGAATCGGGCATGAGCACAAGAACGATGAGTGAGTAGGTCACCGTGAGTAAGCCGCAGAACCTAGCCACGCGATCAGTTCTTCTATCCCAGCTTCGGCGGCCTCGATAGCTGCATGCGACTTACAGAAAGATGATCTGGTACTTGTAGAGCTTGTCGCTCTCAATATGTCCAAGACCATAGGTGAACAGGCTGCCAACTATGAATGTTACTCCATTCATGGCATTCCAAGAACTGGTTACGAGCGTCTGCTCGCTTCTCCTCCACCATGTGGTTGTTACGGCCAGGCACGATGGCGCAATCATGGCTTCGAAGGTACCAAGTAGGAAGCGCAGCCCGAGAAGAGAGCCAAAGTTGGTGCAAGAAGTCATGATTGCGAGCGAAGACCCCCAAAGGAAGATGGCGGCAGCTATGACCTTTCCGTTGGGGAGCTTGACGAGGATGAAAGCGGCGGCGGGCTGCCAGACGAGTTGTGCGATGTATAGGATGGAGCCAAGCCAACTGTACTGTCGGCCGTGAAGGTTCGCATCTTCTTGAAATCCGAAGATGGATACATAACTATTGCAAAAGATTGGTCAGTCTATTCATAAAATGTTGGACCGAGAATAGCAAAAAGGACTCTACCTCAGAGAACTCTTGTCGAGCTGCTGGAAGAAGTAAGCCCCCAAGATGAGAGGAAGAACGCGGAGGTTGATCCTTTTCAAGACCGACTTCTCCTCTTCGTAGGTGAACGACGTAGCACCACCTCCATGAGTTGCCAGAAACTGAGCGGCTTTTTCTTGCATTGTATTTGCGGGTGTTGCCTCGGTCGCTGGAACGGGTTCGATTCGGTAGGAGGTAGGACCGGCGGCTTGATTTGCTGCCGGAATGTGCGAGACCATGATGATAGAATCTGTTCGGAACAATATATGGAGAAGGTCTTGTCAATACTGAATGGCAGGCTATTCGTACCGAATATAGATGTCGGTTATGAAAGATACAAAAACACAGCTGCTTCCGGTATATAATACTGCAACTGGTTGACAATATATAACAACAAAAGTCCAGTGTCGCAACAAAGCGAATTCGGACACCCTTCGACTTGTCACTCAAAGAGTCCAAAAGCTCCTGTTATACCCTAGAATTCGAGTTCCCTCCAGCCGAGGGGAAGAAAACGGCCAAACATGGAGATTCAACCCCAAAAATGATCAATAGCAACACCTGATCCATACGTTACGTATACATCGCATGGTTTCGTCTACTTCGTTACACCCGGAAACTAAGCAACCTTGGCATTGCCAGCACGTCGTTCGCTGGTCGTTGGCCGGTTGCTTAACACAAATCAAGAAATGAGGATGATATACCTGGTCCCCCGTCGACCTACTCCATTGGAGGGAAAACTCCAGGCTGCATGCAAGACCGAGACCTCTAGAGCCTCTGCCGAATCAAGTCTTGTCGTAGCAGCTGATGTTGGCCCGCGGTCCCCTTTACCGGACGAGTTGCGGCGAGATTGCCGGGCTTTTCTACAGCTCCGACAGAATGATCTGCGTGTTGGCGAGCGGGTGGCTGGCATAGCCAAGCTGGGCAATTCTCGCGGGGTGGGTTGCGCCTGGGCTGACGTTGCAGTTATTCCTACCTCCCTAAACTCTCCCCGCACCATCCATCGACAACCCCGGTATCCCCGCTCTTTGAGACTGTCCTCTTGCCCCTCTTTTCAAATTGAGGTTCCCCGCAACATGGGGACGAATGATCTGGAGAGAGGCTACTGAGTCGGGGCTTCAAACTACCGTGCCACAAGTGCGTTCTCTTTCAACAAAGCTAACCTCGGGTGTTGGGGTAATTCGCCCCGAGAGCGGATCGTGGCGGGGGGGTGCCAAGTGCTTAGAAGTCGCGGAGAACATGAAGTTTACCGAAGTAACGACGCGGTAGCGTGGACGGCTGTTCTCTCAATAATCTTGCTGCGCGCAGTTCTGTCGAGAATTTTGGATCTCGGCTTGGTGCTCCAGCAGTCACTCTAAGTTTTCGGGTCGCAGTAGTTGGACGCGTCTTGTCCCAACCCTCCACTCCAGCACCGTAAGGTACATCGCAGACCAGCTGCCACAATGGGCGAGACGAGCCAGAAGAAGCGCTATGCCATCGTCGGCACTGGTGGGCGTTCAGGCTTCTTCTACACGGCGATCGCACAAGACTACAGTAGCACTTCGGTCATCGTCGGCCTCTGTGACACGAACCAGACGCGGATGAACTATGCCAACTCCAAGCTCAAGGAGCTCGGCCACAGCGAAGTGCCGACCTTTCTCGCCGCCGACTTCGACCAGATGATCAAGGACACAAAGCCGGATGAGGTCATCGTCACAACCATGGACCGCACGCACAATATCTACATCGTCCGCGCCATGGAGCTAGGCTGCAACGTCGTCACTGAGAAGCCCATGACCATTGATGCGCCGCGTTGCCGGGAGATTTTCTCTGCTGTTGAGCGGACAGGGCAAAAGGTGCGGGTGACATTCAACTACCGCTATGCGCCTCACAACACCAAGATCTTTGAGATTATCAAGTCGGGTGCCATCGGCACTGTGACGAGTGTGCATTTCGAGTGGATGCTCAACGAGAACCACGGCGCCGACTATTTCCGTCGCTGGCACCGCGACAAGCGGAACTCGGGCGGCCTCCTCGTGCACAAGTCGACGCATCACTTCGACCTCGTCAACTTTTGGTTACAGACGCGGCCGCAAACGGTGTACGCACAAGGCGATCTCAAGTTTTACGGACGCGAGAATGCCGAGAAGAGGGGGGTAACGAAGTTTTACACAAGAGCTCACGGTAGCGAGGCGGCCCAGGACGACCCCTTTGCGTTGCACCTCGACTCGAACCCGCAGCTGAAGGCGATGTACCTGGATGCAGAGCACGAGGACAGCTACTACCGCGACCAGAGCGTGTTTGGCGACGGTATCAGCATCGAGGACACGATGAATCTTCTAATTAGGTACCGCAACGGTGCCGTCATGACATATTCGCTAACAGCGTATGCCCCATGGGAAGGCTTCCGCGTCAACTTCAACGGCACCGGGGGTCGGCTCGAGGTCGAGGTTGTCGAGAAGAGCTACGTCAACTCCGGCGGCAGCCAGGCGTTGGAAGGGGCCATTGAGAAGAGGACAATGCTGCTCCGCCCGCTGTTCGGCCCGCCCCAGGAAATCGACCTGGGCGAAGCAAAGGGTGCTCACGGTGGCGGTGATCTCGTGTTGTTGAGAGACCTATTTGGTGAGCCGGTGTCGGACGAGTACATGCGCGCGGCTAGCCACGTGGATGGTGCGGCATCGATATTGACGGGAATCGCTGCCAACAGATCCCTCGCCACGGGTCAAGCTGTCAATGTGGACGACATTCTCGTTGTTCCGGAGAAATAAGAGAGATCGAATAACAAGAGAGGGATACTTTGATGGCAATAAGATCGAACAAGAAGACACACGAGACTTGCCTCAGGGTCGGAAGACTGAATTAAGCATACGAAATACCAACTTATGGCTTCCATAGCTTCATAGAAATACAAACGTTTTCTAATGCTTGCAAGGCAATCTCGAATAGAAGATTCGGTAATAAAGGCTCCGGTGACAATGACACGGCCCCGTCTGTCTCCGTTTGGCTCTGCAGGGAGAATGAATTACGTCATTAGATTCAAGGTCATCAAAGTGTTTAGTGACGAAAACACGTGTGATGGCGCTTTGAACATCGTTGTAATTACACATTGCGATTGTGTGTCCATTCATTCTCGGCTCAACGGCCTGAAGTTGCGAAAAAGCATCGAGAAAAATGCTATAACCAATATATCCCCGCCGCAAACTCCTCGCGTCGATCATCAAGACCGGATGCTTCCCGAAACAGAAACAAACACTATCTTCGTCCAATCATCATAAAATGAAACCACGACGATTCCCGTCCTGCTCAGCACATCACCGTTCGCCGGGTCCTCAACACTCGGTCGAAGCACACCGTGGGTGTCCCGGGTTTACCGGACGTTCTGGACGATGAAGGACGACGCCATGGCGATGTACTGCTGGTTCTGGAAGTAGCCGAGATGGACGGTCAGATTCTGGCCCGAGGCGCAGAAGAGATCCGTGTCGTCGCAGAAGGACGCGAACCTGGTTGTGAGGCTCTGGCACTGCGAGAAGTCCTGGCGCGGGAAGATCTATGATGTCGTTAGCCTTCAATCGTTATCCAAGGAGAGTCCCAGGAAACCTACGCCGTTCTTTTTGCTGGTGCCTCTGGCAAAGGGCTGGCTGGCGATGAAAGTCGGGTCACCGAACAAGACGACGGCGGCGACTACACAGGCCAAGTCAGCAAGTCATTCGCTTCCAACAGACTACCGCTGGGACTCACTCTTGCTTCCAACCATCGGCGCCTGTGCCACCGTGGTGTTGAAGTTTGGGCCGTCCGTCGTACCACAGAGGGTGTCGAGCGACACCTGCGCACCCTACGACGCGTTAGCATGGCCGTATTCTCTTGATGCACTGCAACTTACCTGAGAGTATCCCATCAACACAAGCTTGGTTCCGGGGCATTGCTGCGCCTGCTGGTTCAGGAGGCTCGTCATGTTGGTCACACCGGCCGCCACTGACGGGGGGTAGGGGTCGAGCTGTGCCGGGTACACCAGCGGCGTGATGATGGATCCGGGGATCTGGCTCGACGCGTTCTTCGCAATGTTACCCAACAGACCGGCACCCTGGACCTCGACACTGCCGCGGGCGACGATGATGTTGACCGGCGCACATGGCTGCTGCGCCTGGGCGAGAGCCAGAGGGACGAGGGCGGCGATGGCCGACAGACTCAGGTGGTGATGCATATTGGCTGCGGGGGCTCAGAAGGTATTGAGGCGTCCGTGTGTGGCGAGATCGAAGTTGAGATCTGTCGAAGTTTAGAAAATAGGTTGGCTGACCCGATCTGTCAAGTTCGTGGGGCCATGGCCGTCTTCTTGTACTGGTCTTGAAGAGTCTGGGACGACATCCTTGGCACAGCCGCGGCAAGTGTGAACCATGTGGCTATGCGACCCATATGCGAAGAACGCTGCCAGAGCCGCTTTCGGATTCTCTGATATCACAGACAAGATGGAGTAGGCCAGGGTCTCGTTGCTAGGGTTCAGTCTTCGGCAGTCAGTCTCTCCAGGTGTTTGGCCGAGAGTCCCAAGGCATGACATCCTGGTCCGAGCTACGACCCTTGGGTTTGGTTCAGCGCGACATTGCCCCAAGTTGGCATTTGCAACTCATTCCTAACGAGGTAATGTGTGAGAGCATGGGCCTCGGAGGCATGGGTGCGGCCAGTGCTATGGTGCCGCAAATTCGGAAACACTCGACGACATGGGATGAAACTAAACTCGGAAATACTCTCTCTCTCTCGCTTAACGGCAGACACGAACCTTTATTCACAAATAACTGAACATGCGGGGACCTTTTACTCCATAGTACTTCCCTATTGACCAATGAGCCGCTCTGCTACGCCTCACGGTGGCGCCCAAACTCCCTACACATGCAGGCTCTATTACACATCGGAAGACGCCCAAACCCTCCGCCCATCGAACCAGGTGGCCCTGATCTCGCCCTCCAAGAGACCCTGCGGCGTCCAGTCCATGTCGGCGACCACAAAGTCTGCGCGCTTGCCAATCTGCAAGGACCCGATCCGATCTTCAGCAAACACGCTCTTTGCGGTTCCGAATGCGGCGGCCGTGATGGCTTCGCATACACCCAATTTGAAATGCTCGTTGACGACCACGTCGTAGCCCGGCTCCCTCGCCGACCGTCGCGTGGTCGCCACGTAGGCGTTCTGCAGCGGCGCCCACGGCGCAGTAGGACTGTCACTCCCCAGCGCAAGGAGCGCGCCGTGGTCGGCGAACTCGCGGTAGGCAAAGGCGCGCTCGCAGCGGTGCGCGCCAATGAGCCGCGGCCACGCTCGCAGGATCGCGGGGTCTGCGTGGACGGGCTGGATCGAGGCCGTCAGGCCCAGCTCGCCCAAGTGCTTCGCATCCTCGGGGGACGCCATCTCAATGTGTTCGAGGCGGTGCCGGCGGCCGGGCGTGGCGTGGTCTGCGAGCGCTTTCACCGCGTTCTTGATGGCTGCGTCGCCAATGGCGTGCAGGGCGATTTGCAGGCCGGCCGAGTCAGCCCTTTGGACCACGGGGCCGAGCTGCTCCGCAGTCCAGAAGGGGGGCGGCGAGCCAACCTCGGCATAGGGCTCGGACAGGTGGGCGGTGCAGGCGTCAATGATGCCGTCGGTGATGATCTTGATGCCTACGATGCGCAGGTCGGGGGAGGTCGTCTTATTCAGCTCGGCATGCAGCTCGATGGCCCGGTCCACCTGCCTGAAGCGCTCCTCCTCGGATTCGGATGGTCTGATGAGCCAGTAGGCGTGGATGCGCATGGGCAGGTTGGGCTCCTCGGCTCGCAGCGAGCAGACGGCGTCCCATGCCGGCTCGTCCATGGCCATCTCAACCAGCCCCGTGTAGCCAGAGGCGTTGTACGTCTCAACTGCGGCTTTGATGGCATCCATCCGATCTCTCTTGGGCGCCACCTGAGCTAGATGAGGCCATACTATGGTGAGCACTGCAGCTTCGCTGAGCAGACCGATGGCCTTGCCCTCAGCGTCGCGGTGGATCTTTCCTCCAGACGGGTCAGGCATGTGCTCGATGCCGAGCTCCTTTATGCCGGCCGTGTTACACCACGTCGAGTGAAGGTCCTTGGTGTCGATGAAGATTGGGCGCGGGTCGATGTCGTCCAGCATGGTCTTGTCGACGCCGTCAGGGGTCATGGAGTGCATCCATAGCTTACACATGATGCGCGGGACGTCCGGGTTCGCGACGGCGTATTCCTTGACGGCGGCGCGGATGTCCTCGAGGGACTTGCAGTGTTCGAGGCTGAGCTTGCGCAGCGACTGGCCCAGGAGCAGCAGGTGGACATGCCCATCGACGAAGCCGGGCAGGACTGTTTTGCCCCAGAGATCATGTGTTGTAATGTCCGCCGATGCATGCTTTGCCCTGAGTTCTTCTGTGGTGCCGATGTCCTGGATGAGTCCGCCGGCGACAAACATGCTCTCCGCGAACGACGGCTGGGTTTCGAGGCCGGTGTCGGCGTTGTGGAGGAAGATGCGCCCGTTGACGAAGAGCTCCCCGGCCCCCGCCGCGGGGTTCGTGACTTGTGCCATGGTTTCTGATGTGTGGTTTTTTAGGCCTACAAGATCTTAGTTACGCCTTATTGAGAACCCGAGATGGACGACACTAAAAGCGTTGTGAGACGTGTCGTTCTTGACTCGAGTGGTGTGAGGGAGGTGGTCGGCTCTGACTGAGCTGAGGGGCGGCCACGGCGCGCGGTGCAGACCGCGGGGTTCGCATGGTGGGGTGAGCTGCCACACTGCGTTGCGCAAATACCCGGGATCTGATAAGATCTGCTGCGTGTTTTCGGGGTTCACCCTATCTTTGCTATCTCGGTGGACTGCCGTGTCCGCGGTATCCCCGGTGTCCTCGGTGACGGTGTAGTCAAACTGAGCTTCACCGAGGTCGAACGGGATGCAGACGCAAGTCGCTCCTCTACTCTCGTTAATCTCCATGCTCCATACATTTCCAGTGTAGAGCAACACACAGGATTAGCACTGGCATGAAATTTGGCGATAAATCTCGTAAATGCTAGCAATGCATCGACACAAGCTGTAGTCTACAGCACAAAGATCAAGAGTCACATACTTGCAATCAAAGCAAGACAAGGGCTTTGCTGTTTGCGCGGAAACAAATAAGGATAGCCCTTTACTATTCTGTTCGTTATTGCACCATGAAACGCCGTCGAGCGGTCTCTCTCATTGGCCCTGACTGCCTCTTCCGACACGCCTCGCACTTTTGACGACGACCGAACGTCCAGTTCCGCTTTCCGTCATCATCCATCTTGGTCCTTCGGTTTTCTCGAACTCTTCAAATGGGAAGTTGGTCATACACTCTTTCCAATTACTCTAGACCGTCTGCAAACAAGCATCGTCTAGGGCTCTGGTATTTAAACCAACCCTCGTCCCCTTTTTCTCTGAATCCTTCCTTTAACTCTTCGACTCACCCACTCTTTGACACACACCTACTCCTCCCTTAATCATATTACCTTAAATTTCTCATACTTTCCTCACATTATGATGGTAATGCATAACCATTAACGCTATTCGACTCTCAGGGATGCGCAAGTTTTGACTTTTCAACTCATCTTTTACATCTTATTCTTCAGAGTATAATTCACTAAAAATCGTAACAACTCAGCCCCATCCGAAGAGATTGGTGCATCAACTATCTAGGCTTCATCTTGTGATATTCACATTTTACGCCTCATCTCTCGCTCTTCTCGTTACAGGGCCAGCCCAAAGGCCGAGGAGGTTGTACCTGCTCTGCCAAAGCTCTTTCCACTTTTCTGCCCATCTTCCCAACAGTCTCTGGGTCATCGTTCTTCACATCATGATCCCACCTTTCCGTTTCACTTCTGGAAAGTAACTAACTAGTACCTCACATTTAGGCCCGCCCAAGCTATTCCTCGATCTCACTCACTTTCTACCGTTGAGCACATTGTGAACGGCGTGCTGCAGTCTCTCGAATCCGAATCCGAAAATGACTCACGGTAACGTTTTACGGGCGGTCAAAGGCGAGCTTGACGAGAGCTTCATGCCGCCTTCTTCCCAAGCCCAGCAGCCAACCACTGTGGCAACTGGAGCTCCCATGGTCTTCTCATACCTCGACAAGATGAGACGTGTGAAGGACCCTGAGATCTGGGAGCAATTCACCCAGCAGATCCTGCCGCTGCTGGATGACCTTGAACTGGTCTGTGAGAAGATTTGCTCCTCTCGGAAGCTTCAGCCTGCGTTGAGAGACGCTGCGTCCCACTGGATTCGACAAATTCACGATATCCGAGAAGAGGCTGAGCGTAGAGGCAAGACCCTCGTGGGGGTCCTTGGCAATACCGGTGATGGAAAAAGCTCGACAATCAATGCTGTTTTGGAGGAAGAAAGGTATGATCCCCCGATCCCGCTGGCTGGAAAACCGACGCGCACTAATTCTCGTCAGCCTACTTCCTACGAACTGCATGCGTGCCTGCACAGCTGTCGCCACAGAGTTGTCATACAACCATGATGAGGACCAGGAGAACCCTTATCGCGCAGAGGTTGAATTCATCTCCCGCGATGAGTGGGTGCGTGAAGTCACCATTCTCCTCAAAGACCTTGCCTCGGATGGGGGCGTCGCAACAGATGACCAGGATCCAAACAGCGATGCAGCCAGAGCGAAAGCAAAAATACAAGCGGTGTATCCGTCCATGAACTTCAAGGTCCTGATGGCGAGCACTTCCGCTCAGCTTGCGGACCATCCAAATGTTCGGCAGCTTCTGGGAACGACGAAAACCATGAAGGCCCCCACTGCATTCGAGATCCGAGAGCAAGTCGAGCCTTACGTCGATTCCAAAAACAAGGACGATGACACTGCAGCACATTGGCCCCTAGTGAAGGCTGTCAGGATCTTCACGAAGGCTCCTGTCCTTTCAAACGGTGTCACTATTGTTGACCTGGTACGTAGCTCTGACATTCCTCCAGAGGGGGAAAACAATGGTTAACATGTACCTCCACAGCCTGGTCATCAAGATTGGGATGCAGCCCGAGCTGCAGTCGCCTCACAGTACATGAAGGCATGCTCAGGCATCTGGATTGTGGCGCCCATCAACAGAGCTGTCGACAACAAAACTGCCAAAGATCTTATGAGCAACTCGATCAAGCGCCAGCTTAAGCTTGATGGATCGTACTCGGCTCTGACTATCATTTGCTCGAAGACGGACGACATGACCATCAACTCGGCAATGGAAAGCTTGAAGGGCAAGCTTGGTAAAGACACCATGGAAGCATGGAAGGACGCCTTGGCATGTGAGCGGTGCATTAAGGCGTTGGAGAAAGAGCTTGTCGTGCTTCGAAAGTGTCGCGGTACGACTCAGGGGCCGAATGCCGGCGGCGAAGAACGGCCGGCGAAAAGAGCCAGAACGACCCCTCTCATCGAGCCTCTTGGCGTTGACAAGTCCCAAGGAATTGCAGAGCAGGGGAACAAGACTATGGCTGGCCCGTCGAAGTTCGAGGAGAAACAGCAGGAACTATACGACATGAAAACCAAGAAAAGAGAGCTAATGGATGATATCCTGTCACAGTGCATCCAGAGGCGGAACGAGCTTTCCAGAGATGCTGTGAGACGACATCTTGCCAAAAGCTTCAAAGAGTAAGAAAACTTTCCAAGAACTCAGCATTGTGCTGTGAGCTAACACTCTTAGCCTCGATCGCCATGATGCAGCGATCGCCCAGAGCCAAGCTGGTAGAGAGCCTCGCGACTATGAAGACATGTCTCGCCAGACTCCAGTGTTCTGTACCAGCAGTCTCGTTTATCAGAAGATGCGGGGTCTTTCCCTAAGTGATGACGACTCGACACCTGGTTATGAGACGGAGGAAGACACAGAAATTCCCCAGCTCCAAGCCCATGCTCAGAAGATGACTGAGGAACTCCGTATTACCAAGCATAAGGAGGTACTCAGCGGCATCTGTCAGCTTCTAAACTCGATTTCAATCTGGGCGCAAGATGCTGCAGATTCTGCAGTAACAATTGATTCCGCAACCCTGACAGCGAGTTTACAGATCTTCAAGGCGGTGAGCAGAGTTTTACAATTTATCAATGATCATCTAAACTGACACCGTTCTGCAGGACCTCAAGGCAGATGCTGAGAACTGTATTGACCAGCTCCATTTGGAAATACAGGCCAGTCTCTATGATGAGATGAACAGTCTGAGCAGAATTGCTGCCTCGCAGGCAGCAGCCACCACCAAAAGGTGGGAGAAAATCAATGCCAATACCCTCAAAGCAACGTGTTGCCGGGGCGGAGTATTCAGAGACCATGACTTCAACGAGCAGCTTCTTGACCCTCTCAAGAGCGGCATCTCTGTGACCTGGGAAAATTTCTTTCAGTTTAATATCTCTGTCGTACTTGATAACTTCTCAGTCACGGCTATTCAGCGATTGAATTCCTTCCACGAAACCATTGCGAAACAGCTCGGCGATCACCAATACGAGGAGGTCCAGGCCTCTGCACAGCTTGATCAGCAACTGAAGCTTCACAGAGACCGTGTCATGCGGCTCACCGCACAGAGCCGGGGAGACATGGGCCAAGCCCAGAAGGACGCGAACCGAGCATTTGACCCGGCTGTGGTGAAGGTCATGGCTCCTGTTTACCAGCAGTGTGCCAATGAAAACGGTAATATCAACTCTTGCAGATAATGCTGCCTATGACTGACGTGGACCTGTGACTTAGGAAAGGGCATGGCCAAACGAATGCAAGCTGCGCTTCAGGACCACATCCGCAGGAACAAGGTGAGCATGTTTCGTGCGGCAATTATGGACGTCAAATACTGTCTCAAAGAGGGAACGAAACAAGTCGATGACAATATGACCGACCATATTAACACCATCATCGCGACCATGAAGAATGATTACATGCTTGCACTGGCGGAGAGGCAGAAGTCGGCTCGTCGCCTGGAATCTTCATTCAAGAAGAACATGATGGAGTTTTTGAATTCGGCCGAGACTCAATTCAAATGATCAAGGAAAAAGACTGCATTCACTGGGGGCTGGTAAACACGATGGGTGCATATACGAGACAGTGAGCGAGACGTTTTGGCATTGCGATGGACTTGGGGGTTTTATTAATATTTCCTTCAGGAAGTAGATTGAATCTTGCAATCAGATAGACTTTCTTCTCTTAACGCCAATGATGAACAACTGCATCAAGTTCTCATGCACCGATTGATTTTGATGATCAAGACATCAATATGAAGTGACCTGCTGAGACTCTTCTCCAGTTCCACATCTCACGAGTATCCTATTTGGAATGACAAAAAAAGTTCGTAATATGATAATTAGCTGAAAAATTGAGGGGTTATCGACGAAGAGAAAAGGCAAGATGTAGAAAAATCAAGATATGGGGCCAACGAAAGGGGAGGCGAGCCATGCGAAATCGTGAGCTCTGGAGAGCACCGATTGAAAGTAAAAAGGTCAGTATCACAACGCTGGCGCAACAACCTAACTGGCCCTTTCTCTCTTTGAAGAAGGCCAGCGTGAGCGTGGTCGCTGCGAGTTCTTCTTGGTTGGTAGAATCATCTTCCAAACGACAGTCGTTGCAAGGGTGGTCAGTCAAGTCCTCGAAGCGCCATTCGTACATTTTGTGAACCGCTACATGAACAGAAAAAGAAATACAACACAAGTAGGGTCACGAGTCATAGTTCGTGTCATTTTGACCCCGAAGCTCGACAGGACATTCACTGACTAAAGCGATCTTCGTTTCTTCCCATTCCAACAGCGTATACCCTTAACAGTCTGGTCGATTAGGTCGGTAGCTCTCGGTAGGGACTGGTGACGATGCCTGAAAGAGAGGATTAAGTCTGACATCATCTTACACTGAACCAACTGAACGGCTAGCAAAGAAGGGGGGGAATCGAGCTTGTCTCATTCGCCAGAACCCCTGCATACTTTATGCGGCTGCTGACAGTAGGATATCAGCATTTCTCCAGCCGGTTGAATACCAATCAACTTTCAGCTCCCCAAAAAGTCAAACATTTTACGAAGGATAGATTTTGAAACTGTAATACCACTAAAAGCAACCAACATCCCCGCCCAAACACCCCTTCTACCTCAAGACACTTATGAACGAAGTCTGACCTCGATATGGCACCCTCACCAAACAATGACCCCCAGGCCTCGACACCAGTCGACAAAGACTATTACAACCGTAAATCTAAGCCATTGCCGGAAGACCCGACGCTCCGCGGCTACGTTGAGACCGTCCTTCGCGATGGCTACGTGATCATCCCAAACGCCTTCAGCGAGGCGGAAGCTGTAGAGGCCATCGCCGAGATCGACAGGCTGCACGGCAAAGACCCCAAGACGGGGTCCAACTTCTTTGATGGCTACAAGACGAACCGTATTCTCTCGCTGCTAGGAAAGACACGCGTCTTTGACAAGTTCTGTCTTATCCCGCAGGTCCTCGCGCTCAACGACTACTTCTTGGATGAGGATTACCTATTCTACATCATGGAGACGATCGTCATCAACCCGGGCGAGAAGAACCAAGTCCTTCACCACGACGATGGCGTCGTGCACCTCCCGAGGCCGAGGCCGCCCGTGACGGCTGCTACTATGATTGTGCTTGACGACTACACCGAGACCAACGGGGCTACACGGATCATCCCGGGCTCGCATCTGTGGGCAAGCGACCGGGTGGGTGAGGATCACGAAGCAATCTCTGCAGTGTGCCCGAGGGGCAGCGTCATTTACTTTCTGGGGACGACGTGGCATTCCGGCGGCGCTAACCGGACCCAGAAGCCGAGATACGCCGCGACTATCCAGTATTGCCAGCCGTATATTCGTCCTCTCGAGAACCTGATGTTCGGAATCGACCCGCGAAGGGTTCTTTCGGGAGAAATTCCAAAGAAGATTGCGGACATGATGGGCTACCGAAGCGCTATTCCATTCATTGGCTATGGTGAGTCGATCCAGTAGCGTCTCGGCCGCTCTCGTACGTAAGGTTTTGATCTGCTAATCATGACATAGTGGACGGGTTGAACCCACGAAAGGCGGCTAGGCGACTTGTGCGTTGGCTCCAGGCGCCAGTTGATCTTAATCCACCGACATTTGCAAAGGAGGAGGGTGATAAGGAAGATCACGTGCTGAGCAAGCTTTGAGACTATGTGAGGAAGGTCTCAGCAAATGCAGTGCTTAGAAGGATGTAGAGAAGTAATTGTCTTGGTGAAATCTCTTCCACGCATGAACTCAATAAACATATATGATCGGCCGTTGTTTCCCTCCAAGTATCCAATAATAAGTAGGGAAAAAGGCATTCTGAAGCTTATCCTACTTGATATTCTCCCTAGTCGTAAGATGATGCTTTCTTCTATCAATGTTCCATCCCCAAAACTCGCGAGTGGACTTTTCACCCTTGCTCCAATTCAATCTTTTGCGATGAGCGGTGCCGTTATGTCTGCATGCAGATCACGGTGTCTTGACCTTCTCTGCCAGCCCAACCCCGGCAATGAACAGCGTTCTGGCGATCGTGACTCCCCCAGTGATGATGATGCCCATCCAGTCGTACCCTGTCCATGCTGCAGGAGACAACCTTCCCTGCCCAGACAAGTGACCCGTCATGCCCACCAACAATGCGACATCGATACACAGGATAGACGCCTGCACAAGCTTCCAGATGAAGACATCCTTGGTGTATCTCAGAAGGTAGCCGTTAAGAATAGCTACACCCAACAGAGAACCGCCTTGGTGATAGAACATCATGTCGTGGGCGGCGTCGCGATTAGCCGCTAACCCGGGAATAAACGAGTTGAGTGTCATGTCGCGCGCGAAGAAGGAGAGGTAGGCGCCCCATATCGCACATGGCGGGTCCCAGTAGAGGAAGACGGCGCGATAGATTGATGGGATGTTTGTCGTCATATTGGGCAGCTGAGTGTTTACGCTGGTGAGGAAAGTTTTGAAAGCAACTCAACTATTTCTGGGTATTCCGATCGATCTCAAAGAAATACTGGGCCCTATTTCTCTTTATATGGAAGGTTGTGGGGTTGTTAGTGCTGACATGCCAAACCCCTTGAACTTGTAGTTCAGGCAGAAAACGTCTACGCTCAGCGACATAAATCACTACGCGCTGAGCTGACTGCTGTTTGACGAGATTTGAGAGCAGCTGTCTAACCAATTCTGGGCGTAAGCTGACAAACGCCAGTTTAAAAACCGGTTGCCGCGTCAGATTTTACGCTTGGCATTGTCAGACTGATTCTCTAGCGATCGAGCTCGAGTATGGAACAGCAAGGGATTCGCCATGAGCTATGTGTGGGGTTTGTGCCTAAAATCATTGCAAGCATCCTGCTTCGGCTACTCTATGCCGCTCGACCGATCAGCGGTAGGAAGCCCGGAATCCGTGTTGCGAACTGCCTCAGTGGGTGTCAGACTACTAGGCATTCCGGTAAAACTGCATGCTCCTTGCAGTTCTCCGCTCCAGTGATCCAGCCACTCGCCAACCTGCATTTCATTCTCAAGTATTGGCTTCGGTCCTAGAAACCTTCCTATCAATGTTCAGAAGGCATTAGTTTGGCAGTAAAGCCAAGGTCACGATACAGTTTATGGGGATTTCTGACACCTCTCACTCATTCAACCTCTGATGGTTCAGCTTTTCAGCCGATGTGAATATCCACTTCCTTTTAGACATCAAGTATAGGCTTTTTACCAGGGACTTGGGGTTTCACTGGAGTAGAAGATAGAGAATCATCGTTGGAAACTGAATCCCAATTTGGAACCATCAACCACGGTAAGCATTTAATTGAGATACACCGTAAGTGAAGAAGGCACTCCTAGGGCCTTCGATAGTGCAGGCGATAACCTGGAATCTATTCCATGTCTGTGCTTAGATAGAGTTGAGGAGATCTCAGTGCTTCACACCATTTCTATTTCCCATCTAGCCTAGACGTTGGCCAGCAGGTATTTAATTCCGTTCCACTGCTCGATAGCACTGGGCAAAATCTGGGCAGCGGGTAAGACGAAGCCACCGCCAGCAGAGCCAGAGGGCCTCAGCTCAATGGTCCAGGCGACCTCGGCGCCAGCAGCACCAGTGAGGTAGTCAGGAGCGCTTCCGGTGGTGGCGTAGAGGGTGGAGCAGCTAGGTCCGTAGGTGAACCGAGTGCCATATGATTGAGCAATGGTGTTGGCAGTGTTGGTGGCCAGCGTCATTTGTCGGGCGTGATTAGAGGCTCGGGCGGAGCAGTCGTAACCGTAGGGCAGCAGGATGTACTGTCCGTAACTGTGCCAGTCGATGAAGAGCTTGATTCCGCGACCGGCAGCAAGGCGGTCGGTGTAAGCCTTCAGGGCGACCATCTCAGGGGTATCACCGGCGGCCTGGCCCTTGTAGGTCTCAGAGCAATAGTTGGTGGAGGCACCGCCAGGGAGTTGCCAGTTGAAGGGCCAGTTTCTGCAAACAGTCAGCTTGATTTTTTTCCGACGGATTCGGGGCTGTGATACATACCTGTTAATATCAGTACCAATGCAAGTGCTGCCAGATCGAGGCTGGCGGTTCTTGCGCCAGAGTCGGTCATTGGTCTGAGTGTAGGCGAAGCCTAGTGATGATTAGTCCAAGCTCATTCCCATATTTAGCACCGGCAAGACTCACCATCGGGGTTGACAATAGGTAGAATATAGAAGTCGTACTTGTCAAGGAGAGCCTTGACAGTAGCGTCATTCTTCTGGTACCCATCGATGAGCTGATAGGTAAGGTATTCAACGACCTGTTTGTTATCAGTCCTGGTTCATCCATTATGCATACGAATTGTCGCATGTTGACTTGCCATGGTGGTGATCCACTCGCGAGCATGGACAGTACCATGCCAGTAAATGGCGGGCTTGGAGCCTTTTCCGCCGCTACCCCAGAGATGGATACCAAGGAGAGAACGCCCACCGTAGGAGTTACCGGCGTTGATAAGCTCCGAGTTGGAAGGAAAGTTGGACTGCAGGTCACGAATGAATTGCTGGTGGTCGGCAAAGGTGTGGTACGAATTGAACCATGTCAGACTTGGAAGAGCCTGAAGACTAACATCACCCTTGCCTGTGAAGTCTCAGAGAAAAGATACTTCCAACGTCCTGCATCTGTGGGAGACTCACTCTCATAGGGAGCAAAGGTACCCTCCTCGGCAATGTCTGCACCGAGGTCCTCATGCAGGATCGACGTCTCAAGACCAAGTTTCTCGAACTTGGAAACATCGCCAGCAGGGATGGCGACGTCCAGGTGCTCGCTGTTGTCAAGGTTGAAAGGGATTGCGGCAATGTTGGCGATCTTCTTCTTGATCGAGGCAGGATCGTTGTGCGTGGCAATCCGGAAGGCCTTGAAACCGTCGTAGGTGATCTTCTTCTCCAGAGGAGTCACAGCCGCGGCGGATGCCAGCGGCAACACAAGGGCGAGACCAGCAAGGAACTTCATCGTCAGTATTTTTAAGAGGAGCTGCAGGCTGGGTCACTGAAGCTGGATAGAATCAGTTCAACGGCCATCCGTCTCTTTTTAAGGAAATGGGGTGGCACATTGTGTCCCCAGTGGTACGAGGAGGCAACTCTGTCCACGACACAGTTCAAGATGGTGCCACCAGCAGCCTTTGCAGAATACGGTAGGTGTGATTGTGGCTGCAATACCTCGCGCCCGATAAGGGTTAGAGAGAGCTTGGAGAGGGTTAACATGCGCAGAGCCATGCAATGCGAGGATGCTTCATGGGTCAACTCCATATCTAATGCTGGGGCTGGGCGAAGAGGCGTCGGATAAACAACTCAACGATATCCAAGCAAGCTGGCGTGCGTCACTGACCTTCTCAATGACGGCAGCTTGGCCCATTTGAGGTGCAAATGCCGCTTGTCAGGGATCAGGCCAGCCACTGCCGAGAACACAACTCCGCCGTGGAGAATGGATGAACGGTCCGGGGCAGCTCAATCAGCTTAAAAAACCGAGAGTGTTGAGTCAATAAACGCAGGTCGCTAGTAGGTCAGCATCGGGACTCGCTTAACAAGGGACATCAAAGGACATGTGAGCTCGAGTCTCCATCTTATCTTATGACCTTCCTAAACGGACTTGGTCGAGATTGGCGAGCATTCAAAGTGTGCGTAAAGCCAAGACGCGAAAGTTCATTGCACTTGCGGCCTAGACAACTCCCTCTGCACAGATATTCTATTGTCGCAGACTCGTCATTTGGTTTTGATGCGGAATGGGGAAGGCAGGTTCCCCAGCTGCTGCATTCAAGCAGCTTAGGTCGCCACACAACTCGCACGCAACCCTTCGAAATCCTTCTCACCTGCCGTTAAGGTTTAAGCTTAAAACTTACCCAGCACTGGCGATTGGTGTAAGCAGCTAATGGAATGAGCCGATCTGCAAGGCCTGGTCACCCTGGTCACACTTCCAAGTGTCACCCCGCACAGCGATGCAACACCATGATTCGGGGTCAAAAGCTCCTGTCACTTACTGGACTAGCAGTGTCAGAGTGATCTATTGCGTTCTAGAAACAGAAGATGATTACGTGTGTTTCCGTGGGTCATGGCAAGTTAAGCCGTTTACATCGACAGGAAAGCCGCTGTTGCAAGTCATCGGGTCGGCCGACTCAGGAGACAACATTGGGTTAGAGCAGTCGCAACCGAGCTGGAATTATTGTCTGGTCAACTGTGAAGGTGGTATCAATCGCCAAGGCTGTAAATGCAGGCCAAAGATGACCGTGAGCTTTTTAACCCGGTTTCCTAGCCGCCAAGATGCATTGAATGATGCCTCCGAGGTGCAACAACAGCACTTTCGACGTTTTCTTCTCTACAAATGGAACCCCATTGGGAGCAATGTCTTTTATTACGCCAATATTTGACACAATCAGCTTGGCATGTTCGGCAGCTCAAAGCGATGCCAAAATATGATCCTTATTACTCCTAGTTGCCATGTATGCTTCATCCTTCAATAAATTATGATAGTCATTATTCCCAGTCTTTCTCGACCTTCCAAGCATCACTGGGCTTCAACCCAGCTGCACCAAAGTCGCAATCGCGATGTCCCCATTTTCTACGGAATATTTCTTTCCCTGCCTCTGTCATCACGTCTATGCCCTCTTGGAATCCAAGAGCATCGTAAGCATACGGCTCGCGCGGGTCTCCACCCCTTTGACCCAGCTGCCACGTATTCCTTTCCCGATCTGCGTGCTTGTGATTGAACATATCCTGGCTGATGCGATGAAGCACTCGGAAGGATTCCAAGGGATCAATAGTCTTCGCAGACTGTTCGTTGGAGCTCCCCACGGTGTGGTTAACTGGGGTTCCAGTTTGGTCGAGTTCGGGAACAGGTAGACTCCGCTTTTCCTCCTCTCTCAAGTTCTCTCCCAGAACCTGGGCCGGTGGCGGTGGGTTTGGATCCGTGTAGCCGAATCCCTCAGGAATTTGTCCCTCGCGATACAAAACGCGCAAGTCGTCCAAAACCGACGCAACGTCTTGGACGATGCCCGCCTTTGCCTGCTTGATGCTCCACCCCGCTTCCTCGAGTCGCCAATGCATGTCGCAGTCCGTCATGTAGTACGGGATAAACGTGTCGAAGCCGCCGACATCTGCGTAGGCCCGTGGATTCACCAGCGTCAAGTGGTCGTATGCAAAAAATCGAGCTCCCCATTTATGGTCGGAACGCATCGTATCGTTTAATTCCTTCACGGCCAACTCGTAAATGGTCTGATAGTCAGCCGTATTGACAGATCCCGAAATCCCTTGCATGCCCTCTTCGAATGACAGCACGAACGCATCCATATGACTCCAAAAGAAGTACGGCCATGGCTTCTCCTTTGCTACGGTGACGAAGAAGTTTTGCAGTTGGGCAAAATTCAGTAAAACCGGCGTACGCATGACGTGGATGCCCAGCATATGTAGTTGTGTGTAGTTGAGATATAGCGGATTCTGCAATGTCAGCCGTCCCCTGGCATTTGCATCATGCACCCCCGTATTTTCCACAACATAGATCTGATCCGCCGGCCATCCAGCCGTTATGTATCCGACGACCGTCTGCACCAACATTGGCCAGCTCCGCGTAAAGCCAATGAGGAGCGGAGGAGCCGTGGACAAAGAGTATTTATAACAGATGTTGGGCTTGGCAGGCTTGTTCCAAGCGGGAATTGGCGGCGGCATCCCCGACGACAGGAGTGGGAAAGGATCCTTGATCGGAGGTGGAGTCCATGCTGGCGGTGGTTTGTACTTGGGCTTGGGCTTCGTTGGTGATGGTTCGGTTGGGCTTTCGATGATGAGTTGCTCCGTGTCGGCAACGATTTCAACGGCTGTGCTTCTGCTACTAAACTCAGTCTGTAGAAAGACGAAGAGTAGGCAGACGGCAATGACTATGTATAGAATTGGGACCTGTTGTCGTGATCGGGGTGTCGTCAACGAAAGCATTCGGGGTGTTGGCATCGACAACATCGTCAATCTACGTCGTGGATTTGCCGGCTGCTGGATCAAAGTGGATATGCAAATGGCAGAAAAGGGGAAATCGATGTTTGTTGACAAGTCCCAATCGGCAGTTTGGAGCTAGTCAATTATTATGAGACACAGTGGTGACGTGTCGCGTCGTCCAAGGTATGCGCTACGAAATCAGAAGCAAAAGCCGGTTGCTCTCTTCCGAAGCCTAAGATGAGGCAGGCTATTTCTGGTCAGTGACGTCGGTCTGAGGGCACGACGAGATCACAAGAAATGATAAGCGAGGAAAAATGGCGGCCACCTACCTTGTTTTTTGACGCAAATGTTCCACAACAATTACTCGGCTCATGAGTGGCGCAATCAATTGAAATTTTGTCTAAAATGAATCTGAAAGATGTTAGAATGGTCAATGGACGATAAAAGAGCCGCCGCTCGTTGACGATCAATGGATTTGCTGGGTCATGCGTGGGTGAACCGGCTGTGATGGGATGCCGTTACAGCAAAAGTTGGGACAACACCGTCGGAGTCACTTCAGAATGGGACGAAGAGAACCAGAAACAAACTAGATGATTACAATTAGCCTGGTGGAAGGTTTTTGGGGCGAGAACGATGTGAATTAAGTTATCCTCGGTAATTGCCTGCGACACAAAAGCCCGAAACGACAGACTTTAAGTGAGCAAAAGGTGTTGGTACAGACGTCACCACCACTCACGCACCTCGTATCTCACACACCAACGCTAAGGTTACTGTCCTCTGGCAGAGTGCTTCAGATGTTTCAAAACAAAGAGCTACACGTTTCTTGCAAACCGGTCCCGGCCGTGGTTAGTTTGCGCGCTTTGACCGGCCCGATCGATCCGGCACGTCCCAGTCCATGGCTCTCGGCGGGGTCCCGAATAAAAGAACAGGGAGCTATGGATGTTTCGTCCAATCTTGAAAAGGTTGACTTGTCATGAAGGCTGGGCCATCCTGATGATTAAAGTGATCGGCAGCAAGGTGTAGCTTGGAGCGGATGGTCCTAGGCGGGCCAAAAAGGCAATTCACTTTGCTGGGGCAATTATGTAGATCTACTCTAAACTTCCAACAGATAGGTAACACAGTGACATGTTATTTTGGGGTGTCGTTTTTCGCCTCTTCGTTACACATGATGTGACCCGAACGCGAGGCGCACTCGAGGCGAATGTAACTTCTGAATTTAAACGGGTCGCAACGATAACCCTTGGATATCGTGTCAAGGCGAGATTCTTGGCAGCCTATTAACAGGTACTTTGTGATATTCCTGAGAAACAAAACCTCCTTCTATTTGTCTATGTCTCTGACTGCCACCGTTATCTCAACAGCGGTAATTTGCGAGTTTGGTGAAGTCTAAGTACATACTGACCACTCAGAATTAAATCCGTTAGTTGAAATCATGGTCTGCGTTCTTTTTGAAACCAGCAAAGGATCTTAAACTTGCCCTTGCTACCATAATACAAACGACATATTCGGCTCTAGGCTCTATACCCACCCAATTGAAAACGGAACTATACTTCAAGCAACGCTGTTTCTTTGCATACAAACGATGTTATGTTAAAAGGATGTTCAACGCAAATTCTAAATTCGACAAAACCGGCCTTCCATTCTGTCAATATGTCATTATTTCACAGAACGCTTGACATTTCCGCATTTAGTACCGTACCCTTGCCCAATTTTATCTGGTTCTGCTTGCACAGATAGGTCTAAGCGCATGGCCACGAAAAAATGAATGCAATGAACTGAGATATGCCATAGTTCAGAAACACGATGATTGGGTATCATATCTATTATAACCTTCAGCTAAATACATGTTGTAACTACTGATACATGTAACACAGCGGCGCCCCGGACGCTGTGTTCATCAAGTTCTTAATCTTCACCGGTGAGTTGATAGGCGTCAAGTCGACGGTATCCTCGACGCTGCCATTCGGACTCTTCGGGTTATCCTGCAACGTCATCGTGCCGAACACGCCCTGCCGGTTCTTGAAGTCTAGGTTCTGCCATATCCAGTACACCCGGTCGACTTGGGCCTGGTTCAACCAGAACGCGGGATCACCCGGCGCAATGGTGGCGTCTGCGCCGGGGTCGCCTCCGATGATGAAGTGTCCTCCGCCGTGGATGCCAAGCGTGTTGGGAAAGAAGCGGTCATCACCCTGAAGCAGGGACGAGAATTTCTCAATAGTTGTTTGCTCGAGAACAAGCATAGTCGTGTTCCGGAAGGAGTTAAATCGAGTGGCAACGTCTTTGTTCAGGTCCCGCTTGAGACACCGCGGCAAGTCTTGGAGAGGGTTTGAGACGTTGAAAGGTTTTTCTGAGCCGTACTGCGCTAGGGCAGCGGGGCCGATGTGTATTCGCATGTCTTTGAATGGGCCTGATTTAATGCATCCACCACCTGTGCCAGGTTTAAGGGTAATGAGGTTGTTGCTGAAGGGCTGGCGGAGTTGAAAGCCATCGTGTGGGACAAACTCGCCGTCACTTCCTAGAGACGTTTCGGATCCGTCGAAAACTGGTGAGGCAGCGGGGTTTTTGACATCCAGGCCCCATTCCCAGTATGGTAGAGCGCCTATCGAATCATTAGTTAACACCCATTCTCCGGCAGGTCTTGATATGTGCTTACCATTGTATCCACATTGCGTCCGTAATCTCTGCTCAAAAGTTGCTAGGTAATAACGGTGCCAGGCGAAGAAGGAAGCCTGAGTTACGAGTCAGCTATGGTCCTGAGATGGCTTGACTGCTGATTCGAGCAATGATTAGTGAAAAAGCTGACCGTAAGATGTGTGTTTCTAAAACTTGTGTAGTGAACGGCAACAAAGTCGTCGTAGAGGGATTTCGCCATCGGCACTCTCTTTGAATCTGATAACACAGGCTGTTTCATGATGCATTGAACAGCTGCGATGAAGGCTTTGCGTTCGGGTACTGGCAGAGTCCGCCTAGGTTGTGGGATGTTAACATCAAGAAACCCAGCGCTGGCTCCATCAAGTTTTAAGGCTTATTATTAGCGCCTCACTCACCATTCCTTCCGCATCAACACACCTGCGCCCTGGCATGGGTTGTTTTTGCCAGAGCGTGTTTGCGGTTTGTTCATCTTACGGGCACTATCTAGCGCCCTCAAGTTCAGCTTCGCCAACGCTGTCCCATTGTTAATTTCTTCGTCAGTGAATTCAGGCTTAGGTTTCGGCGCCGGTCGTGGCGCAGGTTTTGGTGGTACCGAGGGCACTGGTGTTGACAGCGCGGGCGGCGGTGGCCGTGGTGGTGTTGGTGTCGGTGTCGATGTTGGTGGTATTGGGGCTGGTGGAGGAACCGGCGCCGGAGGCGGTACAGGAGGCGGAGCCGGTGCGATTGATGGTACTGGAGGTGGCTTGGAAGCCTGTGGTGGCTGTTTTAGTTTCTTCCTGTGATGATGGCCCTCGACAGTTGCAACGAGCGTGAGTAGAATGACGATGATCACCAGAAACCATCCCCAGCGCGAACACGGAGCCATTGCGCCGAGATATGAGGAGACGGAATATGGTTTTGCAGCAAACGAGAGGCAACGGTCCAATTTAGCTGTTATTATGTGTTTGTAATAACAAGGTAAGAACGAGCTGACAATATAAAGAAATCCAAGACTATGGATCCATGCTGGCGACTGGTTTCATGAGTTAGAGGCTGGAGAAAGTATGGTGAACTGCCTTATTGCTTTGAGACAGAGGCTATTTGAGCTTTGATGGGTTGGGCGACCCAGTTCAATCTGAGAACGGGTGGCTGACTCCAAGGAATGACTATCATTGGTTGCGAGCGACGTCGATAAACGTAAACTCCTAACTTTGTTCTACTTTATTCAAGGACCGTGCTTGAACCTCACTTCACAGACTGAGCTGCTAGTGTAATGACACCTGTTACGGCCATGGGCAACCTTCGTGGTTCCTTAGATAACGGTTATCGGCCGACGGACGCCAATGAGCTGTAATCGACAGATTTCCCCGGTCCACAGCCTCCTGAGAGGCTGAGAGTGATAGGCATCGGATACAAAAAGCAGTTGTTGCGTGGTGACCAAGAGAGCCGGCTAACTGATATTTCTGGTAGTGAGTTCGATGAAGAAATCGAGAATGAGTTGCCATGCTTGTACACTAAGAAGAGACCAACGGCCCCCCTGTGGAGCTTATTGGTGTCTGGATTCAAACGAGAGGAAATTCAGCAGTGTTGCTCGGCGGGAGGCCCAGTCAAGTCCCGCGATGTCTTGACAAAACGATCATCAATTTGGTGGAGATGTCAAGGTGAATGCCAAAGGTGCTTCGACGTCTTTTCGTCAAATATTTCCGAAGGGCACGAATATAACAGTAGGCCTAAGAAACGGGTCTCATGTGCATGCCCGATGCGATGATGGGTGACAGAGTGGTCAGACGGTCATAACGTTCGAGCGAACACAGCACTGTGCCAACGGGTTGACCGTGCTTGCAAGTAATTTTGGAGTGCCTCTCAAGCCGCTCGAGCGTGTTCGTGGTCTTGGCGGTGTGAAAGGCTGACATGACGTTGGCATTTTGCAAAGATTTACGACCAGCATTACTTGTGTCGGGGATCCGAGCGCAAACGGCGTCCAAAGTGGTATATGGAAGCAGCACGAAGAGACTGGGCGAGAACAATGTCAGATGGATGCCGTCTACATTTGCCAAGACAGTTTGGTAAGATGCGTTGTAATTCGAGTGATGCCCGTCAGCGTCCATAAACTGCTCGGCACCAGGTTCTCTATCGTAAGACGCGTCCGAGAGACTTCCCCACTCCCGGCGAGGAGAGATGACACGATAGGTGTTGTCCAGTTGATGCAGCAGCCATGCGGCCATGCGTCGCGAACTGGGAAGCAACTTCAATCAAGGCGCCTATCTGCAAAGAAGCTAGAAAAGAACGAGAATCTGAGTATGTTAGTTGAAAGGCGGTGAGGAATCTATCGCTGATTGCGTGGTTGTCGATGCTGCCACACTAGTCTTTCGTGTTATACGTAATTAATGGGCGGCACTGGCGGCATCCGTTGCTGCGTCACTCGTTATACGATTCGTATCATTACGGATGTATGCGGAAGCTTGTCGTTTGGAAGAGAGACATCAGGTAGATTGGGGTGTCCATCATGGCCAAGACGACACTGCGTGTGTTGTCAGTGAGAAAGGTAAAGCAAGATGTTGAAGTTGGCGGTCTAGATTGCCTCAATAAGCCATCCCGCAAGACAGCGGGAGCCCCACCCGTCGGGTGCGGCGCTGTTTTCTCGCCTAATTCCCTTGGCGAATTTCTTTAGTGCTCATCTCCCCCAATTTCCAGCAATGATTCACTTTGATTCACCACAAAAATGTTCAGTCACTCGCCTGCTGTTGACTCATCATTGTGCACGGGCCAGTTTCCCCTGCGCTGTGAGTCGAAGGACCCCGCCACGCCCGCCACCACTGATAAGATAAAAAATTCGAAAATCCCGGCTACGATGGAGGGGCAGAGGGGGTACACAACATCCACGCCTCGAGTGAACAACACCAAAGCCACCGAAAAGGCACAACGCAAGTGTCAGCGCCAGCAAGTCGAGAACGCAGAGCGCCCATTATGGCTTCCAACGAGTCTCCCGCTGCTCCCCATGAGCCCCCCTACACATACCGCCCCAACCAGGGCTACGATCAGACCGAGTCCATCCCCGTCGAGCTGAGAACCGTGCCCAACGATGCTTCTGCCCACGACGACGACGCTGAGGACGACGGTGATCTCGAAGACATTTTCGGCGAGGACGATGAGATTGACGACGAGGACTGGAGCGCCGACTCTGGCAACTTGACCAAGTCATACAACCGCCAGCGCATGTTCAACAGCAACGACGCCGCTGTCCCGCGCTCTAACGCCCAGCGGCCGACCGCCAACACCAAGTCGAGCGTTGATGACCAGATCACCGCTCTCTCCAAGCACGCCGCCAAGATCCGTCTGGACGGTGTCAAAGAGAATGACGAGAAAAGCAAGGACAAGGCCGACCGCGCAACGAGCGAGCAGGTGCTGGACCAGCGCACGCGCATGATTCTGCTCCAGATGATCAACCGCGGCATCGTCAGCGAGATCCACGGCGCCATCAGCACCGGAAAGGAGGCCAACGTCTACCACGCGATTTTGCATCCCGAGGGCGACGGCCCCAACATTCAGCGAGCCATCAAGGTGTACAAGACTTCGATCCTGGTCTTCAAGGACCGCGAGAGGTACATCACGGGCGAGCACCGCTTCCAGAAGGGGTTCGACAAGAGCAGCAACAGGAAGATGGTCAAGCTGTGGGCCGAGAAGGAGTTCCGCAACCTGAGGAGAATACACGCTGCCGGAATTCCGTGTCCAGAGCCAATCAGCCTGAAGCTGCATGTTTTGGCTATGGGCTTCCTCGGTGACAAGAGAGGCTGGGCTTACCCCCGTCTCAGAGACGCCAACCTGACTGGTGACGATGTCGACCAGCAGTGGAGGAACCTTTACGTCCAGCTTTTGGGTCTCATGCGCCGGATATACCAAGTCTGTAGACTCGTCCACGCCGATTTGAGCGAGTACAACATCCTCTACAACAACAACAAGCTGTACATCATCGATGTCTCCCAGAGTGTTGAGCCCGACCATCCCCGTGCGTTAGAGTTTCTGCGCATGGATATCAAGAATGTCGGCGACTTTTTCAGAAGGAAGGGCGTAGACACCCTCAGCGACCGTGCCATCTTCGACTTTGTCTCATCGGTGGAGGGCCCAGTCGAGGAGCCCGCCCTGGGAGAAGCACTTGAGAAGCTGTATGAGAGCAGGCCTGCCGATAACGAAGAGGCTGCCGCCGAGCAGGAAGTTGACAACGAGGTCTTCCGGAAGCAATACATCCCCCAGACCCTCGAGCAGGTCTACGACATCGAGAAGGACGGCGCCAAGATTGGCCAGGGCGAGGGTGACAAGCTTGTCTATAAGAACCTGTTGGCCGACACCGTCGTGAAGGAGGACGAAGGCCAGGAGGACGAGAGCGAGACTTTTGAGGACGAGTCAGGAAGCGGAGCGTCCCTAGCCAGCGGTGAGGAGGATGAATCCAGGTTCGACAAGGGCCGGCCTAGAGGGCGTAAGCACGAGGATAAGGACGAGAAGAAGGTAAGATTGGACACTGAGCACGACAGATGACACCACTAACATGTTCCAGCAACACAAGCAGGCCGTCAAGGAGGCCAAGCGCGAGAAGCGCAAGGAGAAGATCCCCAAGAGCGTCAAGAAGAAGCTGGTCTCTGCTTCGTCGAGGAAGAAGCATTAAGCCAACTTATTTCTTTCGCCATGCTTGAGAGGATACCCTGCGAGGAAAGGTTTGGAGGCGGAGGATATGTGTGCAATCGGATGATGAAGACTCGATCGGCCTAAGACGAGGTCAACATGCAGTGTTTAGCCCACAGGCGTAACCGCTGTTGACCCGCCACTCTGGCTCTAGAATGCTCCCAAGAGGCATTGTGATGATCAAGGAGAGCTCTGACGATTGCTGCATTTCTGCTGTGGTGTTGAATATTGGGATTGGAAGAAGACTGACCTTGACTGGGACGTCACACCTACCCACTCACAACAACGTAGACCCAGTAGGATATTAAAAGCGTGTTCTTCGCTACTCTCTGTCTTTTCCCATTTTGACACAGTCGTGATGCTGGTGTTCTGCTTACTTAGCCCCGGTGCGTTCGTACCTATGAGAACGAGGCAGGCACGGATGGCCACGTCGTCGATGCTCTTGCCGCCTTTGAAGCAAGTCAAGTCTTAGCTTGCTTGGGCGCCTGCCTTTCCTCCATGTTCTTTCCTCCCTGGACCGCGATCGTGGCTTCCATCGTCTTCCCCGCTGCTTTTGTTCCTACCACGGCTCAGCACCTATTGATAAATACTCTTGTTGTCCAACATCTTCTCTTAAAGTTGTCTCCCAAACATACCCAACTCCAACTTCAGGAGTCCATCACCACTCGTTCCTGTTGACAAAGCATCGTCTTCTCGCGAAATCACCCAATCAAATTCACACCCACTCCTTACTGTACCAAACACAGCCGCCATGTCGACCCTTGTCGTTATCCTGCTGCTGGCCACCATGATCGCGGGCCAAGTCAGCCACACCATCCGTGGCTTCGAGTACATTGGCTGCGTCAGCGTTACCTCGGACAAGTTCAACGCTTTCGTCAACTTTGGCAAAGCATACACCCCTGAAGAGTGCCAGTCTGCTTGCACCGGTCGCAACTACGCTGCCGCTTTTCCCGAGTATGTCTTCCCTAACCAATAAATGCGCTCATAGACTGATACATAGCCCTGCGTCTAGTGGATGCCGTTGCGGCAACAGTCTGGAGAGCTTCCTCAAGGTAGACGAGTCTCGCTGCAGCAACCCTTGCAATGCCGACTCTAAGATTGGCTTCTGCGGCTATTCCAACCTCGAGGGATGCAGCTACGCCAACGTATACAAGGCATGCGACGAGAACATATCCGATTCGTCCTTCACCCCGATTCCGGGTGATCCGGCTCCTACCGACCCGGCCCCTTCTATTACCTTGTCTACTATTCGACTTCCAACCATCACTCGCACCCTGAAACTGGCTACTAAATCTACCATCGTCGTCCACACTGTACCGCCTAGCAGCGGTAGCCCCACGACTTTGTGCATCTCAAATCATGACAGTCCACCCGCTACTCTGACCCCGGAACCTCCCTCCAGCCCCATTGTTGTCGTCCAGACTGTCGTCGTCCATGTACCGCCGAAGAGTACCAGTACTGCTGGATTACAAAGCTACAGCAACGTTCAGCTGGACCCTCCCGTGGCCACCGCTCCACCGGCTGAGACACCTGTAATCGATTTGCCGCCGGCTACCAGCAGTCTTAGCATTACTAACCTGGTTCCTTACGAGCCCATTCCGTTGGTTTCTGGTCCGGGCAACACCACAGTTCTAGTTGCTACGTCGACACCTGAGGGACCAATGTTCCAAACCCTCATCCTGCCCGATGATCCTCCTGCGACGACCGCTACACTTACTCCGGTCGTTGTCACAAACAGCCCAGCTCTTCGTGTCAAGGTTGGTGCCGCTGGCGCTGCTGGAATCGTGGTTGCTATTCTGGTAGCTACAGGTGTTTGAAGGGTGTGAAGAGACACATGTGAACGAAAGGCAAAGGGTGTTATTCATTGTTTTGGGAAATTTTGGAGGTCAGGAGACCTAATAATTACGAAAACCACCGGCCTGAGGAGCCTGATAATGGGAGAGCTTGCAAGCAGATTCTGTAGAGAACACAGCACAGGCTTTTGCCATGTCGAAAAAGAAAACAGTCGTCTCATCCATGAGGAATCGAGCCCGAATGTGATAATTTTAGTAACGATACAGATCTTTCGGTTCAAAAAATGGAGACAACGTTGCCTCGGAGATCAGTTGCTGAGAGGATCGCATTCTCTTTCGAAGCTGAGGTTGGCTCTCGGTCGGACACGACGCATCCGCGTTCTTGGACAGTGACCAAGTGCGGTTGCTTCGGTTATCGCAGCGGTTGGATTCAGGGGTACAGTGCAGAGACTGTGAAGGAGACTTGCCAAAATCCTCCTTATCCTATTCATGAGAGTGAGCGCGCCGTTCGACTCGTACTGTGCCTGTGCCCCACCTGATACGTCTGCCCGTCAGAAGAGGTACGTACCTTTCCTTACGTTCTCACTAATTCCAGGGCAGTCGCATCGAGTCGGTACTTGCTCGATGTCACGCCCGGCCTCCGTTCATATGATTGAGTACTATCGTATTCACATTATCTGCAGACTCCCTGCCAATCTTTCTCTGGTGGACGTCTCGCATATTACAAATCCTCCATCCCTTTTGATTCCCGCAGATAAGACGACCTCTTTACCTCTTTTGGCCAACAATTCCGCAGCCTTCCAGCCCAACCACCGCGGCGCCCAGCAGCCATGTCGGAAACACCCCTCGGAGTACCAAGCCCGGGTCGCGAACCACCGTTGCGGCACAAGCCGCGCGACGCGCCTCTCACCGCTCCGGATGCGGACGCAACCTCGGCAACAGCCATCAAAGGAGACGGGTTAGCCGACAAATATGTCGACCCCGGCACCGGGTCCCTGATGACCTCCCTTGCCATTCGGACGCGGTCAGCGTCTGGTGAGGTCAAGCGTTGCAATGCCGTTTCACAGAGCCCCTTCTTCGAGGTCCTTACACCCGACCTGCGGTACTACATATATCAGCTTGCCTTCGGCCGCAAAATCCTCCATCTCTATCTCCTGTACCGACGCAGCCTTCAGCCAGATGTACGATGGCGGAAAGGCCATCAGCCTGTGCCGGCCTGGTACCCGCACTCACCAGGCGTATCGCCCATGGACCCGCCTTTCGCAGATGCCAGCATGACGCCGCAGTGGTACTGGTGGAGCTGCGTGTGTGGCCCGGAGGACCGGCGACTCGACACCAAGCTGTCCGATCAGTGTCCTAGAGGGTTCTTCCAGACATGCGGCCCCAAGGAGACGTACCTGGGTATCCTACCATGGCTGCTGACATGTCGGCAAGCGTGAGTCCTCTCAGCATATGAGGCGTTCATCATGTTGCATGACATGAGACCAACTGCTTTGTCTTGGCATGACCAGACGATCGATACTGACATGGCGCAGGTACGAAGAGACGATCAAGGTCTTGTACGCTAGCAACACGTTCAAGTTTGAGCAGAGACTGGAGGCCATGTACTTTCCATACGCCATAGCGACGCCGCAGCTAAACTGGATCACGTCCCTGGAGGTTCGTATACCGGATCGCGACGAGTCCCTTGTCGACCGATCGCTGGACAAGGCCCCGCGACCGTCGGTGGGTGCGCCTTGTATCAGCAACCTCCGGGCTTTGAGTCCCCGCAACCAATATCTCGGCATCGTCAACAGTATCGCGCCTACCTTCCCCGCCCTGCGCCGACTGCACATCTCCTTTGAGGGCTCCGTCCGGCGGGTCCCGGTACCACGGCCAAACGTGACGACGCTTCTCATCTCCACCCTTGGCGAGGTCGACGCGGATGAGCTCGAGTCGCTTGTGCTGGGTCCCATTGATGCTATGCCCAAGGAAATTGAGAAGCAGATCCTGTTCTACCAGTCATTGTATACGGCACTGCTGACCACCGAGAGCCAAAAGGGCGAGGTCAAGGAGGTTGAGCATCTGCGAAGCGATGGGCGTCCTGGATGGACCAAGTTTTGGCGTTCGTTAGAGACCGAAAAGAACGGCAAGGCAGGATACTGGGTCTGCAAGCATGGTTAAAGCCGAGACCGACAGCGAAATCGGCTCTCGGTTCGTGTACAGGCCCCGGGCCCTGTAAGAGCGTCTCGTTTGGCCGCATCACATATATCCAAGGCATTTTCAGTTCAAGCGGGTGTCCGTAAACTGGTCCTTCATATCCAAGCAAGCCATCGGAAGCTTTCCATTCGGCATGCCTTCGCATGCGCTAACGTGTTGCGGAGAAGCGGGCGTGGTGAAGGCGAGGGCACCGCGGCCGGGCAGTGAGCCGTGCGGAGGCCGTCTTTCATGCTCCCCTCATCCGATGACATGTCACATAACAGCCAGTGTTGCGTTTTTCCTCTCGTTCTCGGAGTCTGTAGGGATGGTTCATGCAATTCGTTTGCTCCGGCCACCGTGGTAGAAAAGTCAGCTCCAACGCTATGAAGAAATGGTCAACGTCTCTGAGCAATTAATTGTGGTACATGGGTAAGGGGTCTTCCCGTTTTATATTTAACGTACTGCTGCCGCATGTTTTGACTTCTTCGGCAGACGCATGCACGCTCGGTGATTTCGACTGCAGCTCACCTCATCTTCGGCCGGGCAAGTCGCTAGCGTAACATTCGTTCAACGGTGAACCAGGCCAACGGGACGAAATCGAGAAGACGAATCGAAGCAGTGAGAAGCTATCACGACGAAGCCGTCCCCCCTCGACAGTTGCCTCTCATTGCCGCAATGATCTCTCCGATATCGAGCATGAACCATTGGTGGTGGCAGTTCCTCGAGAACCACGTCTACCGCATCCCGCCGCCCCCAAAGCGCACGCGCACGAAGCCGATGCAGGTCCTTTGTGTCGGTCCGCCGCGCAGCGCCACCGAGTCCCTGCAGCAGGCGCTGCTGGCGCTCGGGTACGACCACACGTACCACGGCTGGGACATAGTCTACGATGACCCACCGATTCCGGCAACGGGCTGGGTGCGTCTGGCGCGGAAGAAGTGGTACGGCAGCGGCCGCGGGAGCAAAAAGGAGGAGAATTCGGGCGATTGCAGCATCTCGGCCGAGGAGTTCGACGAGTTGCTCGGGCACTGCGTTGCTGTCACGGACGCGGCGGCGAGTTGCTTCGCGGCGGAGATGATCCGAGCGTATCCCGAGGCCAAAGTCGTGTTGAACGTAAGGAGAGACCTGGACTCGTGGCACAAGAGCGCGGTGAAGACGCTAGTGCACGTCAACGAGAGCTGGAGCTTCTGGATCGCGAGCTTGTTGGATCGGGAGGCGTTTTGGGCGTGGCATGTCTACGAGAGGTTCCTTTGGGCGTTGTTCTTCCGCGCGCCGGATGGGGATATGGCGAGGGCTATCAAGAGGAATGGGAAATGGATTTACCGGGGTGAGTTTTGCTATCATCAACTTTTATTCCCAGTTCGGCGAGCAAGACATGCTAATCATGATGGGATAGAACACTGCGATATGATCCGCGGCATGGTGCCTCCCGACCGACTCCTCGAGTGGTCTGTCGACGAAGGGTGGGAGCCGCTGTGCAAGTTCCTCGGCAAGGAAGTCCCCGACGTGCCGTTCCCGCATGCGAATGCCATCGGTCCAGGGGGAGGGTGGAAGGCGAGGGAGGAGATGGCGACAAAGAGGTGGGTGGAGGGGGCTCTGACGAACTTGATACTGATGGGATTCGTTTTTGTTGGGGGGTGTGCTGTTTGGATGCGGTGGGGGAGGTGAGACGGCAGCATGACGATGGACGGATCACGAGGCCGAATCCATGGCGCTACTTTCGAATACCTCAGGCGAAAAGGATGAATAGTCAGGGTATATGGACGTACGTGATGTAATGGGAAGGGTGAATGGTTGAAGACGACATAATTGGGTGCAGCTCGTCTGAACATCGGGTTTAGGATTTGTCCAACGCAGGACAGCGAGGCGGATACACAACGACGGACCACCGTAATTTATATAGATCATTAATTGGTCTCAAGACTAGAGTACGCCCATCGGGTGGCTTGTAATCAAGGCTCTTCTTTCAACCTCTCAAGAGCGCTTCTCATGGGAGGATACCTCAACAGATGTGTACGCCAGCCCTCAATGTTTGTCGACTTTGAGTTGACATCAAAATAGACAAGCGAGTTGACCTAGGATTGCCCCCCCCATCTGATCAAACTGAGAAAACATCCAGCAGTGGCGAAGATTACGATACAAGGCCGTCGGACCGTTCGAGCTCTTGGACTGCGTTGCTCCCATCTCTTCAATAATGGGCGCGAGCAATCCTTGACTGTAACTTTCAAGCTCCTTGGTGTCTTGAAATCTGATATGCCAACCACACAGGTCTTAGGTGACAAGTCCGAACACTCTCCGCTCAGCTACTTGTTGGCTGGTTTCTCAGCTCGGGAGGCGGGCGCCCGCTAGCATCGTATCGTTGCGCTTTGACAGTCTGATACGCTTGCCCTACAGCAGCCAACCCCCAACAGAGTTCATTAGTTGTTTTGGGTCTCGTAATTTGTACTTTATTGCGACTCTCACCTCATACGAGTCAAAGATTGCCTGATTCTGAGGCGTTTCCTCGGGACTCACTCCAACTTATCATTAGCGAAAACCCGCCTTTGCTTGATTTGGCATAGCTAGACTCGACATTTTATTGATAAACGATCATTTACCCGACTGTTGCACTATGCTTCTCATTCTATATCCCGAATTGCTATGATAAACGATGATGGAAAGAATAGGGCCGGCTCACAAGATTTGGCCAAGACAGTCATCATTTTACATCACCGCCGAGTTACCAGGTTTTCGTGAGTTGCATGATGTGTCGTGAAGCAGCAGCGTAAGACCAACGGATTGCGCGGTCCTTTACCTCTACCGGCGTGGTTCATGGTGTGTTATCGGTGATCCTCGAAACGTCCTTTGCCCTGATGTAGCCTGGACGGCTTCAACGTGATGGTGTCCACAACACGTGCTGCTTCGTGAGTGACAGTGCAACTGATGGTGATTGGCCGGAGATGATTATTGGGGTTTTGGGCTTACTAGTCTATTGTCGGTTGCGTTTTCTGGTGGTAATAGTGTAAGTCGAGTTCCTGAAGAATCTAGCATCTGTCTTGGACCGAGTTGATAGACTTAGTCGATCATTTTTGGTTTCGATCATGATTCTACACTCATGGACAATGAAGACGCTTTGGCCACCTTCACCACTGAGGCATGCTGCTTACCACATCACCAGGACCCATGAAGCTCTCCCTCAACGCCTAGCAGCTTGGCGACACGTGATGAGACACTTCCAGATTCAGGTCATCCCGCAATTTCAGGGGGTTCGCAATTCCGGGATACGAATTCTTGGTAAACCCAACAAAATTTCCAATGCTTCGCCCTTTTCTAGTTTCCGTCTATTCACCTACATCTCATTGTTGAACAGCGGGCCGCTTACTGACGCGGTGAGCCAATATTCGGCCCCATAGCAATCAACAGGAGCTGAGCGACGGGGACGCTGGTGTCCTGCAAGAGTCATGGACGCCCCGAACGCCGCGTTCAGGCGCAAACCCCTGCCGGGTCCTCCACCGGGCCCGCCGCCGCCGCCGCCGCCGCCGGATTTCGACCCCTTTCCCCAACGTCACCATCCCCTTCGCGGCGCGCGGTCGACGCCGAACCTTCGGGAATCGTTAACGCCGTCCTTGTATGACCCTCCACCGGCATACGAGGAGTTCCCGGGAACTGATTCCCAAGGTCGGCTTGCTGTCGAGCCGCCTAGTCCGGGTCCCGGCTTCGGAAGAGTGCCTTCGCCGGCGCCACCGAGCACCGGTTCCTTCTTTCCCGGTCCGCCTACGGCTGCACGTCAGGATTATTTGCCGTATCGGCCACAGCCTTCGCAATCGTCCAGCCATGGAAATCAATCTTCGTCCTCACATGCACCATCAGGTCCCGGGAGTTACCTCGCCGAACCTTCCAAGACTCCACGCCCCGAGATACTACCGTACCGGCCACAGCCTTCATCCAACTTCGATTCCGGGAGGGAACCTTCACCTGCACCCAACCATGGAGGATACATCCCCGGAACTCCCACAACTACCCACCCTGAAAAGTCGCCTTACCAGCTACAGCCGTCCTCATCGTTTGGTTCTGAGAAGCAGTCCTCACCCGCACCGCCCAGTCCTGGACCACATTTTCTTGGTCCATCCACAGCCCAGACATTTCCCGTGGCCGCTTACCGACCCTCTGCTTCACCCACGCCCTCCAGCCCCGTGCCATTCTTTCCCGGCCCCCCAACAGCGTCAGAGACTTTCCCCTTAGCGAACCATCGTCCCCCTGTCTCACCAACGTATGCCCCATCAGAAGCGCCCACGACAGACTCCCAAACCAAAGAAAAGACTTTCTGGCAAACTGCGCTCGATGAAACCAAATATTTTGCCGGGGGCTTGGTAAGCCACCCCTTCGAGTACACCAAGCACCATTCTATCCTCCGCCACTCTGGTGCACTTGTCTGGTACCGCGGTCCATCCACTTCCGTCACAGTCACAATCTTCTCTGACGCGCCACTGCCACCTACGCGAACAGTATGGCTTCAGCAAAAGGGCTTCTCGGGGAACATGGGCATGAATCTAAAGTCCCTTGTCGGCGCCAACACGTCCTGGCTTGACGTTACGCCCTCGTCGCAGGCGACGCCCGCCGACATTGCCGAGGGCGATGAAAGGGGATGTCAGCGCGATATCAAAAAGTTTCTCAAAAAGGCGCCCAAGAATCTGTCAAAGCACATGGCGAGAGAGACGCACGTCGTCCGCATCCCTGCTGCCGCCGACGATGGATACTTCCGTCTCGTGCTCTGCTCCGGCGGGGGCGGCGACGGCAGCAAGAGAAAGGTCCTCTGCCCGAGCCCCGTCTTCCGCGTCGCCAGCACTTCAACAGACGCGAGCGTCGTCCGCGGCGCAAGCCTGGCGACCATGCCCCTCGAGATGGGCATCAAGGCTGGCTCGGTTGTCGCGACGACGGTCGTGAATCGGTACATTGGACCCGCCGCTGCCGTTGTGCAGTCCCGTGCGAAAAACATCTCCAAGGCCAAGTTCGTCACGAAGCATGCCACGAACATCGCGTACGCCAAGTCGGGGATCGAAAAGTCGGGGATTAAGACTCATGTCACCGCGTACGAGGACCAGTATGCGGCTACCAGAGGGGCGGGATACGATGCGTGGCAGTCCGGTGATGGGTTTCAAGAGGCACCTCCGGAGGTCATTGGCTCTGACGACGGTCCTGCTGAGCCTTTTCCGATCAAGTTTGACGGCAGGGTCGCGCGGGGTACTGGCAGAGGAGGGATGGAGCTTGGTGTGCCCACGGCCAACTTGTCGGACGTGCCGGAGGACGTTAGGATGCGCATGCGAGGCGTCTACTTCGGCTGGGCAAGAGTCGTGCCCCGCAAGGGACTGGAAGCGATATCAACAGACTGGCACGAGAGCATCATCACCGTCGGGCCCGCACCCTATGCCACTCCTCGCGTGGCAGCAAAGAACATCGCGACAGTCCACCTGATCCATGAGTTCGGCGGCGCCCTTTTCCTCGACTCCAAGCTCAAGGTCTTCGTTATGGGTCAGTTGCGGCCCTCTGCGCCCCGGGTGACCGGGTCCGACGCCGCGCTCGAGGCCTATGGAACGGACGTGCTGCTTGCGGTGGCTAGTCTGAGCAGAGACAACTGGGGCCCTGTGGAGACGCGGGAAAGAATGCGGACGATGCGGAGCGAGATGAGTCTCGCAGACCGGTACGTTGAGATGAGAGAGCGGGTGCAGAAGCAGGTCGATCGGGTGCCGTTGCATTTGGCGGGGGTTAGGACCGAGGGGGCTGCGTTGAGGGATCGGGCATTCGGGAATGGGGGTCTTTGGATCCCGAGATGAGGATGGGCGTATTCAGAGATACTGGGCGGTGGCAATTTGAGCGACGGTTTTAGATTCAGCCAGCGAGCATTTAGCGATGTTGTGCATATCATATTGTAATCAAAGGAATAGACCAGAAGGACGTAAATGTCCGACACATGTGAACAACATGTATTCTCTCGACCGCCGATGCAGGGTAGCTGACAAATATCCTTTTAGTTGGCCATCTGAGCTGCCGATTCATATTGATAGGGGCTAGCCAGGGCAAGGGCGTAATTCAGCACCAAACTAACATATAGGTGAGTCCACATGTTTTTGTCCTGTTGCTGAAGGCCAAGAGTTGAAAGCGATGCCGTGAAAACAGCAGCGAATACGATCGCCATCAACAAAGTCGATGGCTAGATAAACATCGTAAACGCCCGTAACTTTCATTTTCAACTACATGCCTGCTGAAACCTGGGCATGCGTGAGAGGCTGATAAGGAGAAGAAGAATGAGCTGGAGAGCCATACGCGCGAGAGCCGCAGTCATGAGATGATTGGGGGCAACATTCAATGACCCAGTGTCATTTTTTTGCTGTTTTTCCAGTCTGAAATCAATCATATTATGGTTGAACATTCAACCCTATGGTTCAATGTCAACAAGCAAACCAGTGTGCTTGAATTGAGCTAGGAGAAAGTGAATGTAGAGAATTATACCACATCTCAAGAAGAGACAAGTTGCCGGATCAAACTGTTAAGTCACAACTTGGTGGTCTTTGTTACAAGTCTATGGCAGGCCTGCTGGACAAGAGACTGGGCCACGCTTCACCACAAATGTGTTACTTCTGTTGCGACGCAGAGACTTTCCCAATCCAATCTCCAACCTTCTTGGTAGCCGCGGGACCAACGATGTTTTCGAAAACCCATTTTGCGATATCAACGGCTGTCCGTGTGTCAGCGGCGAACTTCTGGAGCTACTGTGCGACTTACAGCTCGTCGGTTTCTTTATAGTGACGTAAACCTTGATCCAACCCGGACTCGGGCCATCAACGCGCCTATGCATAACTCTTCAGATCTGACCAAAGGACATATGAAGTGTCTCATAACTTACTGCAGACCAACATAGTTGGCGAAACGACTCATCTTGCAGGTACCATACTGCACGAGGGTTAGCATCGCAACACAAAAATCATATGATGGACAACTTACTACCTCCCAGCCTCCAGGCTGTCTCCATGACCAGTTAATGTTCTTCGGCTTAGTAGTGTCGGGACGTACGGACTCAAGGACACCCTCCCTCAGCTTGTTCAGAGCATACCCGTCCTTGTAGACGGCTTCAACGCGAACAGAGATGGTGGCGTCTGCGGGACGATGGCCTTCCGAGTGCTGTACCTTTCGGGACCAGGTTGATCCGCCATCACAGCCGTTTCCATCACAGAGGGCTCTAATGCCTTGGTCCAAGGTCTTCCTGATGGAGGCATCGCAGCCATAGTCCATGTAGGTCTTTCCGACTGTCATGGTTCCTCTCATCGCACCCCTCTTGTCGAGTGGGTTGTCGAAACTGGTGTCGCCGAACTCCTCAAAGGTAATGTTGAACACATCACCTTTAACGACTTGCATTTCTCCCTGCTCAACATCAAAGTCGTCTGGAATGGCCAGCGGATCTTGGGCAACCGCCGAAGCAGCGCCGAGACAGAGAAATGGTAGAATGAAACGCATGTTGGATTCAAGTGGGTAGAAGAAAGTAAAATGGTCTCAGCTGTTGTGTTTGCTTGGAAGATATTGCGAATACTAGGGTTTAGATAGCCTATTTTATACTTCGTATTCGAAGAGGGAGTTTTCAATTTTCCTATGCTTACTTGGCGTGAATGGTTTCACCTGCCCAATCGAGACTATCATGTGAACATGATGTTCTTTGCCTATATTTAGTCTTGGACGAAGACCAAGACTATCCAAAGTCTAGAACTCGTCGCAGCTTCAAGTTCTTTACGTCAACATCCAATCATATACTCCAGCGAGCATGCGGTGGTGATAGCGTAGAACTCATCGCCTCATCGAATACTTTACATCAACCTCCAATCATATCACTCAGCGAGGATGTGGTGGTGTTGGCGCTCACACTGACATGGTATAGTTTGAAAGGCACAGCTGATGTCATCCAGCTTTTATGCCTATTCGGGAAATGTAGCGCGCACGCGGTGGTGGTAGTCCCACGTAAGCGGCTGAATAAATTGCTTCTGATTTATTTCAGCTATTCCAATCGGTCTAGTGGTATCTCTCCTCGTGTTAGCTAACGTAATAGAATGGTGAAGATAGGGATACTTGCAGCAGCAATACAGTCTTTTCTGCCAAATTCCCGGTACTTTTCTTCTTTCAAAGGCGGGTATGGAAGCGCATGTAGCATCTGCGGCATTCGTGATCAAGCCGCACAGCATGTAAGTATGGCTCTCGAATTCGCAATGCAGGATACGGACCTTTGGTTTTGTCGGTAATCTACAAGGCTTACCCGTGTGTAAAGTAACCCCCGTAGTAATCATGCCTAAGCAGGCCTAGACCACATTTCTTGGTCTGACAGCCCTCGCCATTCCACGCGGGCTGTCACTTCAGCATATGCGGCATATTACCTGTGCTGGTCAGTATTAGCGCCATAAATACCTCTCGGATGATGTATGTTGTGCTCGTTTTGATACCTAAAACGGGAAAAACGTCACACAGGTTCGAGAAGCTAGCCATTTCCCTCCGGGCGTTGACCAACTTGGATTTGCCAACTGTCTTCCAGTGCAACGACTGTATCAAACCCGCTCGTGCGAGGAATTGGCCAGACTCTTCCAGAGGCTAGTAATCGATGTACTCTGCGCCAACCACGAATAGTACTATTTCAAACGCCTGATGTATACTGCCTGGACAAGTCGGTCGCAAGAGAGCCACCAGGGTTCAAAGAATCACACAAACATTTGCCAGTTTGATCTCCAAACAGCAAAGATGTCAGATCCTACGTTTTTGGGAGTCGTGCCCTCGTCTCTCTCAACTTTGCCGTGATAGCGGGGATGAAGTCGTCAGCTGTCTTCATAACAGTGGTAGATAAAGGAGTGTGGTCAAGCCAAATACACACTTTGGTAGCGTTCTTGTACATGACGTCCATGACCATTTCGTAGGACGATCTCTCGTCTAGATCATCCTGTTATATGCAGATAGCATCGATCCGAAAGATGTAGATCCCGTCGCATGTCTGTAACGATTGTAAGAAATTGCAGAAATTCTCTATTAAAGCGAGAGTGCATTATTGCAATGAGTCATATAAGTCTACTTTTTTCGAGGAGAAAGTGTACTGGATTGTTCGGAATCAGAGACACCGTTGGAGGGAAAGCACTTCAGCGACAAAACCTCAAGTGTGTAATAAGACTGCATACGTTGCAGCGTCATTTGAACTGGCTCCTTCCAGGGTTCTGAGCCTGGGGGTCCGTGTCCCTCGGAAACAGCTGAGTACTTCGGAAAGTTGTGCATGAGAGGTGTAAGCCAGTGAGATTGAGAATGCAAGGTTATGTTAAAACAGCGAAAGTATGATATGCACAGTAAAATATCATTGTTCTCCAAGCACGTGAGCGATCAAATTGGAGCGTTTATCCATCGCCAGACACCCGATGTTGACCGGAAGGAATAACGTTCCGTCACACCGCCCTGCGCTTCTCCTCGTCCCGAGGTCCAACTGCAGGCATTGGACTATGAGGGATACACGGCATCATCACTCTCTCTTGTTTAGGCGCTCGATCCAACTCCTTGGCGAATATTCCGCGTCCAAGCATTGCGCTTTTTGTTCCTTTCGATTGGGTCTTGAGATATTCATGCCGATCATTCTACAGTCGAGGACTATCTAGCCTATGTCTGATGATATGTATTGCACCCATTGCATGGTTTGTGAAGAGTGACAAGATCACAGCCACAGCTCGGCGCCACAGCATGCTATCTGCATCCATCTAGCAAAGGATTCTGGCTGCCAGGGTGCATGGCCATTACGTCACATACAGAAGCAACACACGCAGGACCTCGCAGAATCTCAACGCCTTCTCAGAAGCGGGATACTAAAACACTCGACCTCCAGTCCCTTTTACCAGCCATTGCAATGCCTGCACTAGCGAGCAGTAATATCAATTATGCCGTGGTTACAGATCTGACAATCACTTTTCAATCTCAACATGACACTCCCTCTCCCATCTCCACTTCAGGTTCACGACGCTGGTATCGTATAAACAAGGACCTTCATCTGTATACGAAACAGCAGAGCGTATGGCTTCACATGGAAGTCGCCCAAGTGGCTGACCTTACTACTGACGACCTAGTGGTCACAAGAATTGAAGTTGACAAGGGGCCGCCCGGTCACGAATGGGAAAACCGACCTGGAGGAATCTGGTTGAAAAAAGAAAAGTACACTGGCAACACAGACGACGCAGTGACGGCCGTCGGCGTTTTGTTTGGGATTGATGCTGCTGATCCGCGACCGCACTGGACACTCACGTCTTCGCCGCTTCAATTAGACACCCAGCCGGACGTGCCGGTCGCTAGACTCACGGTGCGACGAGGTCAGCCTAGGCCGAAGGAACCGTCTGCAAAATCGAGACTCAGAACAAGAGTCGATGGAACCTTCAGAATCGTCCAGGTTGCCGATACGCACGTAGTCACCGGTACAGGGGTATGCACTGACGCTATTGATGCAGAGGGCAAGCTCCTACCTGAAAGTGAGGGCGACCCTCTGACATTAAGCTTCATCGGAAAGATTCTGGATGTCGAGGAGCCGGATCTCGTCGTTCTCACGGGGGACCAGCTGCATCACGGGATTGCGGATAGCGAAACCGCCCTGCTAAAGCTGTTTGCCCCGTTTGTCGACCGTTCCATTCCCTTTGCAGCCGTGTTCGGCAATCACGATGATGAGGGTGAACATGCGCTCTCTCGTGCGTATCCATTTGATGCTTATTTCTCATATTAGCGCTTATGCTGACTCTATCACTCAGGAAAAGCACAAATTTCAATACTTCAGGAATTGCCTTTTAGTCTTTGCCAGCCGGGCCCGGAGGAGGTCGACGGCGTAGGCAACTACTTCGTCCAGATTTTTGGACAAGGGCCAGACTCGGAATCACCATTGTCTACGTTATACTTCCTCGACTCGCATGGGGAGATCCAGACTGGTGTCCGAGACGAAGACTATGATTGCATCCAACCAAGTCAAATTGACTGGTTCAAGCGCACATCTCAAAACCTGCGAAGGGAACGTGCTGTGAACAATACCATGGGCCCCCACGATTCTCATCTTACTCTCACTTTCATACACATACCGCTCCCAGAGTACGAGGACAAAAGACTCGTTATACGTACGGGGAGGAAGGGAGAACCAACGATGTGCTCGGGTACCAACTCACACTTCTACGAAGCCTTGGCAGAAGAAGGTGTGGCGGCTGTGGTATGTGGGCATGATCATGTCAACGACTACTGTGGTATAATCCCACCGGATGAAACCACTGATAGAAGCTTTCCACCTCATCATGCCCCTGGCCCTTGGCTATGCTACGGTGGCGCTGGCGGGTTTGGGGCTTATGCATGTTACGATGGGAAGTACTATCATCGGCAGACGCGGGTCTGGGAGCTTGATACAACCAATAGCTGTCTGAGAACTTGGAAACGGGTTGAATATGATGACGAGAGATTCGACGAGACAGTTTTAGTCGACAGGGGTACTGCAATCATTCCTCCATATTGACTTTGACACCAGGTAGGGAAATTAGCTGTGGCCTAGGTAGTTGAGATGGAGGGCGGCACCGAGCATCATAAGCTTTGCAACAAAGTGCCGGGGGACATCAGGAGGTAGTCAAAGGCCTAGAAAGAAACGTAATGGCTTGGAATCGAACGTCGAAACGCGACGGAGAGATATAGAGTCGGAAGACGGCGCATTGTTTGATGTTTCCTTACAATGCTCTTGCAATGAGAACGATCGGGCTCGCAGTTTTGGGGTATATCAAACACTCATTTACCATGCTTGTACAATGGAAATCCGAGTAGATACCTGGAAAAACAAATTGTTGGCAAACATAGTTACCGGTCTCCAACTTCCCAAGTCAGTGCTGATCAAGTTCTTGTCTGAACACATGCGGTTCCATCCGCTTATTGCCATCTCCTCTCTCCTCGTAGCCAATGCCAAAGCCAGCACGGTCGGTGACTAAGGCTGATTGGAACAATAGAGGTCACCGGAAGACAGGCAGTGACGTCTGATCCACTGTCTTTGCCGACTTTGCGTCGCCCGCCTGCACCGCCCAAGCACCGCAGTCACCCGCACCCGAGGTCAGCACCTCCGGGCCCCCACCCGGCCCTCCGTCCACCAGCCCCGCAGCCCCGTGCTCGTCCCCGACCGGGCCATCCTGTCGTACTACCCCAACACGACCCGCAAGCCATCGTGAAAAGTCTGTAAAAACTCTTCACTCATTTACGCAAGCCTCCATGACCCGTTTGCGAACCCTTCTTGGATATTCGTTTCCTCGGATTTCCCAATAGCAGTTCCACATTCGGGACTTGTTCCAATCGGCCGGTTGGCCCAATGGCAAGGCGTCTGACTACGATTCGTGTTCTCCTCAGAGATCATAGTCGTGTAATCAGGAGATTCTGGGTTCGACCCCCAGGCTGGTCAATTCTTTTGTCCTTCGTTGTTACTAAGTTACTTTTCTCCTCGCCTGCCCATAGTCGCTGTACATTACCTGCTACCAAGCGATCCCGGATACAAGTAGCTGTCTCTGTGGCTCAGTTGGAAGAGCGTTGGTCTCATATCATCATTCGCATATGACTCTGTCTTCAGACATAGACATCCAAAGGTCGCAAGTTCGAGCCTTGCCAGGGACATGATACCTTTTGCTCCCGTACATGTCGCATGTGCATTTTTGCCTAGTCAAATACATTGTCCGGACGGTTTGGTACGTCCATGCTGGGTCTCAAGCAGTTTTGATCCATAAATAAACAATGATCAATTAGTGCAGTATACTACATAAATCACACCAGTCCTTGGGTATCCAATTTCGTACGCCATCTCTTCAAGAGACATCCCAGTCGCAACCTCGAGTGACACCAGAAACCCTCAGACCTTAGGCGTGGATAGCCTGTTGGACATGAGGATAAACTCGGATCATCTCATCATAGAGCTGAGGGTGATCGCGCATCAACACCTGAGGGTCCCAAGCCGAAGCAACAAAGATTGTGTCGATACCGCTCGAGATGGGCGTCGTGAAGACGTTGGCGATTTGGAGGCCGATGAGGAAGGAGAAGGCAACGACGACGGGTGTGTAATTGCCACTCTGGTTGTAAGCAGGGTTGGTGAAGACCATGTAGAGGTAGGCAAGGAACGCGCAGGCGTAGCCGATGAAGGTGGCACCGAAAGAGAGGACGGGGCCAATGAGACATTCCTAGACAATGGTCAGCTACCAGGTTTGTTAAATATGAAGAGCAGAGGTGTACTCACGTTGATAAGGGCGTCGATGCCGCGGTCCTTGATCATTTTCCATGTGTCCTTTGCGGCGGGGATATAGGCCTTGCCGTAAAGCGCAATGTGAGAGAAGGCGTATCGGTTCAGGAAGCTGACAGCCCAGTCCAGCAACGAGATGAGGCAGCCCAGGATGCAGAAGAGGACGTAGCCGACAATGTTGCCGTCCCCGGCAGCTTGCGACCTAGCGACAGAGCAAAGGTGGCGGAGGAAGTTGATGATGGCGACGATCAAGCTACCAAAGCTGATGGAGCCGAAGCTGTAGGTCAACGAACGCTTCAGCGCGCCGCGGGTGGCGCCCTTGGGAAAGTTGTTGACGCAGAAGTACCATGAGCCGTAGACGCCCGAAATAGTGACGTGGATGACGTTCTTGAGGACCTCTGAGATCCAGTACATGGCGAAAGTGATGAAGACAATCAACCCAATGACCTTGCCCTGACTGCACTGGCCGTTGCTGCATTGTGGGTTGTTCGGCGATGGTTGGTACTTGGAGTAAGTCGCAACGAGAGTGACGGAATACCATGCCGCAAAAGCAGCGCCGAGCATGCCTCCCAAGAACGAAACGAGGTAGACGTGACCGTACTGCTTGGAGACCTTGATGGAGGTCTTGAGCATGAGGGCGGAGAAGGGGATGCGCGGGATCCAGCTGATGAAGGCGATAATGAGAAAGACGCCAAAGATCAGAAACACGATGCCACCAGAGTAGTAGCGGCGCGAGAGCATGTAGATTGCGGTGACGAAGGCGAAGACGATGTTCAGGATGCCGGTGACCCAAATGAAGGCCTTGGGGAAGAGGCGGGCCATCCAAACATAGGCATAACTCAAGACAATGGCGACAGCGAGGACGAATGCGAAGAGGACAATGGTGTTTGTGCTGAGGCCAAAGGTGTTGCCGCCGTCGTAGATTCCGCCACCATTGAGGTTCTTGGTCGCAGAGTAACCCGATATCGTCAGGCCCGAGACGGCGGCGAAGCCAAGGAAGACGGCGATGAACTGCAAAGGGGTGTTAGCGCTGTTGTCGCGCATCGTTTGTGTCGTCGAGACAGGGGTGAGGTGCGTACCAGAATGGCGGCCCAGAGATCATTCCACTTGGGCTTGTCGATCTTGAAAGCCTCCTCGAAGGTGTACTTCTCCGGGTCGTAGCCCTGAGGCGGCGCATTGTATCCGTACCCATTGCTGCCATTGTCGTATCCTTGCGGCGGCGGCTGAGCGTAGCCCTGCTGGTAATCTTGCTGGTAGCCGTTGTTGTTGTTGTTGTTATTGTACTGTTGCGCGTACTTGGGATCGTAGGGCGGCTGTGGAGGCTGGCCGCCGTAGTAGCCAGCCGACTGGCCGTATGGTTGCGACATGCTCTTGGAGACCCGACGACGGCGCTGGTCCAGATGAAGGATGGGCGAAGGATGCGACGAGGAGGAGTCGGGTGTTTGACCGTACAGTCGACGATTAAGAACGCGATTGATGAAAGGTCCGTCGGTAGACGACGGGGGAATAACAAACACCAGAGGGAAAAGAAGAAGAAAATGACGGGTCTCAGTCGGTCATCGAGGGGCTTGGAATGATGTGCGCTTTCCATGACGGAGCTATTTGACAACTAATAACGGAAGCAAGCGCCTCTTCCCTCTTTGGTCCCCCCTCGGCTTGGGGCCGTCCGTAACAGCTTCAGCGCCACCCCTCCCTGCCCTGAACTTGCACTCAAACTACAGCGTAAGTTTAAAAGCTAATCCAGCTGGTTTTCGACCCGTGCGTTGCATATGGTAACGTCATTGGGCAGACACAGGCCTATCCGCAAGGATAACCGCAGTGAAATCGCCTTCGCCGCAGGGGGACGCAGCGGGTTGCAGCGTCCATCAGCTGCACAGGGGTTACGCGTCGAATTGCCGAGAGTCACGTGCCAAGGCTTGTTTGGGCCTTCCTGGTCTTGGCGGTGCTCCACCCAAGCTCCAATCTAGGTTTGGCTTATGTAATGGTCTCCGGAAAGCAGTGTGTTTTCTGCTTGCGGGCCGGCACGTCTTTTTCACACACAAAACGAACTCTCCCTGGTCCGAATCCGAATCATACTACACATGCGATGAACTGATCTTTTTAAACCAGATCCTGTTGGACCCTGTTCAGTTCAACAATCGCGAAATCGTGCTTACACGGACCGACCACAGACCGATGACGACGTTGGGAGTGTGATGCAAACATGTTCACAGCAACCAGGCACAACGTGCATGTCCGCACCCAATGAATGAGACAAACCTCTCGGATATCGGCATCTTCAACACGCCCCAGTCACCTTGGCCAAGCGAGACATCGGCTCCCAAAATCCAACACCACTGTGCCAACCAGCCCAACTGCCCACAACTGTGCCACTCCAGTTCCCACCCACTCTCCCTGCCCCTGCTCAAATTAGAGGCTGCGGAGCCACGCAGTTCGCAGGACTCCATCGAATAAACACCAAGGTTAAATTTCGTCGGTGGGATCCTTAACTGTCACTACATACGTAGCGTACCGTCTTCCCCCACAACGCCGTCTCCTACCGGTCAGCCTCCCGCCGTCCGGAGGGCCTGACTCTTTCGACTTGGGAGCTGATGCCGATCCGAACAACCCTCCGTAAATACCATGTACCAAAACAGGCGATTCGATCCTTTAATGGTCGTGCTATAGTCACGTTTGGACCCCAGATGTCACAACTCAATCGAGAGAGTGGGGTCGCCGACTCTTGCAAACGCCAAGTGCTACGAACATGGCCCATCACTCAGTGGTGCCAGCTGCGTGAGCCGTCAAAGCTTATCAGACGACGCTCGAACCATAACCGAGCAAACTCGTGAGCGACTCCTTCTCTATACCATGTGGCGAGAAGTGAACCCTAGCATAGGTTATAAGTGTACTTGCATAAATGGCAATCACTGAGTGGGCCGAGTCCATGTATGAATTTATAGCAATTACTTTCCTCATCAATAAGGCTCATTAGCCGACTTACAGCCGTCAACATGAGGTGTTTTGGCGAAACTCTGAACATCTTCTAATTAGTTTATAATTGTGTTATGTCGCTTCAGCTTCACAACTCCAGCAAAGCACCACGTCTCTCTCCCTTTTCTCTATTTGTTCCTGCGTCGGCCCCAGACCTGGGCTGCTAAATCCCGTGTTGTCGAAGAAACGGCGCAGGGTCTGGAGCCCGAGGTAGCTGAACATGATGCCTCAGGTCCGGGTGCCCGGCTGGGAACTCCGGATAACTCGCATCGCGCTTAGGGAACATGTCCGAGGTGTCAGACTCGTCGTCCGTGAAGCTCTCACCGGCGTACTCGTCTTCGTATGTAGCAGCACTTCTGTACCGGTCACGCTGAGTCAATGGTCTGGCCGGATTGCCTGACCAACCTTGCTGCACTCCGTTGTTGTTTATGTTCTCCTGGTATGCCATTGCGTTGGCGCTGGCGCTGACCTCACCGTTGACCACTTCGCCCCAGAATCGGGCATCCTGCGCGCTCATGCCGGCATGGTGCCTTGCACCACTTGTTTCAAGTGGTGGTGGTGGTTGCTGGCGACCGGCGTTCTGCAGCTGAGAAGCAGTTGGTCCACCCCCCGCGTCCTCTCGTCGGCGGCGGAGCTTTCGCGATTTAGGCGGTACTCCTAACCAGTCCCTCTCATCGGTTGGACGATTGGTTGCTGCTATCGGTCTGGCATAGGCGTCCTGCTCGAAGGTCACCCGAACTGGCGAGCGTCGAGGGACATTTGGATCGGTCAAGGCAGGGTTCACGCGGTTATAGGCCCCATGGTGCCAGTCCCATGGGTCGGCTTGTGATGCGGTGCGAGGATTGTAGACGTCTGAAGCTGCTCTTCTGTTCACCGACCGCGATGGCGCTCGCCGCTGGAATTGCTCTACCATGTCAGGCCCTCCAAACATGTCGTAGATGATGGTCTCGATTTCGCTCCGCACTTCAGGATCCATCCGGGACCCTCGTGCTGACCCTGGGCCCGCTTGCGCTCCGTTGCCAAAGACCACTCCTGGAGTGGATACCTGTGGATGGAGTCTTCTCTTCCCTTCCATAAACTGAGCAAACTCTTGGCTCAAAAGGTCCTGCTCCCTCTCCTGTCTTCCTTCCCAGACACCTCGATTGCCGTGGATAGACCGAGCTGGTGCGGTGTAGCCTCTCCTGCCTCTGTCCGTCCCTGGTGGCATTCTGCCAGGCTCTGATTGTGACTCGGATTGACTTAGCTGGATCTCTCTTCGGATGTCATGGACTGCGTCTCGGATATCAGCCTTAAAGCTTCTCTCAATGCCCATCCGCAACTGATCAAACTTGGTTTCCATGTCCATCTTCTGCCGATCGGCTCGTTCCTGCTCTTTCCTGGCTTGACGCAAGCTCTTCTCGTGACGGTTGTCTATCTCCATGGCCTTTAGCCGCCTCTGAAGGTGCTCAAAGTTCTGGTCTTGCGAAGGAACTTCGGTCGTCGGAGGCGGCGGCCGCCGCCGTGTTCGAGACGGAAGGACGGGCTCAGATACTGGATACGGATCAGGCGGGTGCTGGGCGGGCATGTAGTCCCCGTGGTACTGAGTCCTTGGATCCGGGTAAGGATATGGATGTTGCGGGACTGCGGGCGAAGGACCTGGTTTCGTCGTGAAATAATCAACTGCTGGATTCCACATTGGTTGAGGCTCCTGTCTAAGAGGCGGTATATCATCATGATATGGTCCAGCCTGGTAGCCATTCCACGGTATTGATCGCGGCGCAAACGGGTTCTCATGCGCCATGTCGCTCTGAACGGTCGGGAAAGGTGCACTACGTGCAGGGCGATGCTGGACTTGGGGATTGGGGCCAAACGGAGGCCGTGATTCTGGATTCGGGCCTCCTGCCGGAGAAAAGGGGTTGACGGGTTGATGGTACGGAACAGCTTGGCCACCTGGGCGCCGGGTGTATTGACTCTGGTCCCAATTGCCTTGATCGGTGTAAGTATCGTCGAGGACTGGGTGCTTGCGGGGGCGTGGTCTTTGCCGACGAGACACGGCGTTAGTGTTGATGTCAATCTTTGTTCCTTTGTCTTGATGATTAGGTTCTTCGGATTCTGAGTCACTCCAGATGCTGCCGTCATCACTGTCTCCAAAAAAGCTGTGGTGAGGTTCTGCTTCGCAACTGTTTTGGTCCCCAGGATGTGGGGATGGGACGAGTTGACGGCGAAGTGGCAATGGTGTAGACTGGTACATGTTCGTACAGTGTCCGGAAACCTGACGACAAGCTGACAATTGTTCACTTACGCTGCTCAGACCTTCACAAGTATATCACTCATAGAAATTTTGGTGAGCAGGCGAGACGACGAGGTCATGAGAGCATAAGTGATGAGGGTTGATTTTCGAACTAGAGGCCGGTTGGGTTTCCTCCCTTGAAAGAAAGGAAGCCATGGTTTTTGGACAAAGTAAATGCGACCTCTCTTGGATAGATGGTATATGATAAAGATGCCCCAACACTGTCGGTATCCCATTTGCCAATCCACCGCCTATGCGCCAGCTACCACTGACATTAGTCTCACCCAAATCCTAACGCCGTAGAGGTTGTTTGGCAAGCCACCTACTGGGGTTTCCCACCAGCTCAGAACGCCATGGGCCGCCTTTGATATCGGTTGCCCTTACAAAGAACAGTTTCTGCCTAGCCGCAGCCTGCTTCCAATGCTGCAGAATTTAGCCTAGATGTCATGCACAGCTCGATAGCTACCACACAACATTCGGAGGACCTTCCTGCTTTTGGCGCTTGGCGTTAGCGCTGGAGGATGCATGAAGCCATGTCAGCTTCGCGGCGCAGCAGCGAGGTTCAGCAACGTTGTCAGGCACCCCAAACTTGACGATAAGAGCAAAAAGTCGCGAACGGAATTCATTCAGAAGAAGTTCTCCAAGGTTGCTGGTTCATCCGGACCATTGAGTAGGGTAGACGTCTTATCAAGGTTCGTGCCAGCCAATACTGCGCGTAGTAGTACAACGGATGACATTAGGAAAACTGGGCCAGTGTTGAATGATCTAGAGGCCGATGAAACTGCAGTAGTAGCATAGGACTTGCAGCATACTTGGCATTGTGAACATGTAGGGAGACTGTCGTGCATTGCACATGCATGCAACGAACTCCAACAGCGGCAGTCTATTCGGCGCACAGCGAGGCGATGCATGCTGCGCATTAATTACGAGTTGATTTCAAATGAGGCTGTCGGACCAGTGAGGGCTGTTCTGGCCGTCAATAGTTTTATGGGTCCTAAGGGAGGGTCGATTGGCCTCTCTAGAGCTTCCTGCTTACCGAAATGCAAAAAGTCACGCGTATGATGTGCATTAGCTGTTGCCCAGTCATGCATGGATGGGACGTTGATATGGAGAATTAAGTACTTCGCCTTGAAGCATTCTGAGACTGTCGGAGTATGTTTACTTATGCCCTTCGCAGTTCTATTGATTGACATCTCAACGGAATCCGTTATTGCGTTACGGTCATCGCTTCCACGCTCTGAGTATTGCTGCCCATGTTCCCTTGTAAGTCACCCATTTACCCTATGCCAGTAGTCAAGACACCACCTAAGACTAACATTATATCACATAGAACAAGCTTGGAGTTTTCACAATGGATCCTCTTAGCATTACAGCCTCGACTATCACCGTGATCCAGTCACTTTTGGCGGCTTTCGATACGATCAAGCATATCAAAGACCTTCCTAAAGCCTTTGCCGAGGTAGGACGTAGTCTCCCTCTGGTAAAAGAAACACTAGACCTCGCCCAACAAAGCCTCGACATTGACAAGCCAGATGAAAATGTCAAAAGTGCAATTCAGCCCGCTCTCACAGAATGTCTGAAACGAGCCAAAACGATCGAGGATATCTTCAGCGAGATAGAGCCTGGAAACCAGCGGGAAAAGGGCGCACAGGAATGGTCTGCCTTCGTCCGCTTCTACCGTACAAAGGTGGTACCATTTGGCAAAGCGCACAAGGTCGAGGCACTGATGCAGGACATCCTGAACAAGCTTAAGGTGTTGGCAATCCACCATGCCTTCAAAGCGCATGCGGAATCTCTGGGGCAGATCGAAAAGTTGGAGAAAGCCATCAAGTCCCTCGCCGAAGTAGAGCCGTCCCTCCCAGACTCGGAGTTCGATGGGGCCAATGCCACGAATGTTACGCAGCACATTTCTGACAGCGGAAGGGGTCTCGTCTCCACCGGAAGCTACTCGGAAATTGCCATGGGAAACACGACCAAGTATCACTCAGGGGGCGGTGCTATGAACTTTGGTATGGATTTCTTGAGATCGCAAAGCAGAGACTAAGGGTTCGCCGTGAGAGAGCTGACGCCCGAGCTGGTGTAGCATATTATGGGCATGATGCAGCTCGGAACGGTTAGTTCAGGCATGTATTCCCGTATTCCGAATAGCTATTCACGTAAGAAAGAGTGCGATCCTAGATCCAACCCGGTCGAATGGCTGAAGCACATTTCGAAGCCACTCAATTTCGAAAAAGTCCATGCTGAATCGTTGGAGACCGCCCAGAAGACCCCTAAAGCTGGCCGGTGGTTTTTGAACTCTACAGACTTTCAAGACATGTGGCGCGACGGCAGCTTGCGAAAGTTGTGGTGTTATGGCAATCGTAAGCACTTGTCGCAAAGCCAGCCGAGCAAAGAGTGAACTGAACACTAATGCATCTCCAGCGGGCACGGGAAAGACTGTCTTGTCGTACGGAGTCATCGTCTATTTTTTACTTGCCGTCTGTCGAACCAAGCTAATTATCAAATATGCTTCTAGGTCCATAGTCATAAATCACCTTCTGTCTCATTTTTCGACTAACGACGATGTCGCCTGCATCTACATCTACTTTGACCATAGGCAACACCAAGCCCATTGCCTTACAAACCTCCTTTGCAGCGCATTAAATCAACTATTGCATGGTACTAAACACGTATCCACCAAGATTCAGGAAGCACACAACCTTTGGAAAAGTACCCAGCAGATGCCGTGTGAGCGCGAATACCTTAAGATGCTCAAGTCCCAAGCAAAAGGCCTTGAGAGGATATATTTCGTGATAGACGCATTAGATGAATGCCTTGACGATGTGGAAACCAACACATTGAACAAGTTTCTGGTAGCCTGTAAAGAGCTCCCCGACAACTTCCATCTAATGTTTACATCACGGCCCGTCACTAAGTTCGGTACTCTGATTAATCCGGGTTGCAAACTTTCAATTACCGCTAACAACGATGACCTCAATGCATATTTCCACAAGTTCATTGAAAGCCGCCCTCAATTGAACGGAATAGTCAAGGAAGGGTGCAAAGAAGATCCCTTGTTTAAGCAACAGGCTTTGGAAACCATCATCGAGAAGTCCCACGGAATGTAAGTGTCTCTGTTCATCACGCGTCCTCGCTGTCACGATTCCTGCTGACTGTTCATGGCCCAATGCAGGTTTCTTCTCGCTCATCTACATATCCAATCCCTAGCATCTACCCACACTCTGGTTGGGTTGAAGAGCAATTTGGCCCAGCTGTCCACAAGTCCAGATGCGGTATATGCGGCGGCGTTGGAGCGGATCAACAAACAGGACAAGCCCCAGCGCGATTTAGCAATAAACGCATTTAACTGGCTGATACACGCGGAACGGCAGCTTACTGTCGACGAACTGACGCATGCCCTTGCGATCCGCAATAGTGTAGGTGATGTTAGATCACATACATGGCAACTACCCAAAGCTTCGGAAATCGTTGGCATTGAAGACGCGCTGATATCGGCATGCGTTGGTATTGTGGTCGTTTCAACAGCCGTAGACAGCAAGAGAATAATCCGCCTCACTCACAGCACCGCTGGGGAATATCTAAGGAAAAACCAGGCAGTCGTTTTTCCAGGCGAAGAGTCGATATTAAAGTCAATGCTGACGAAGACGTGTCTATACTGTCTCGCAGGGATACCTTCAAGCATCGAAAGACCGAATGAGTCAAGCATGGTTGACATTTGTCGACAGTATCCTCTCCTTAGCTACGCCGCAAACTTCTGGGGTATTCACTTGAACAAATCAACGGGGGCCAAGGGAGACCTATATAAGCTGGCCTGGCGTTTTGTCTCGGACAAAGGCAAGCTAGACACTGCATTGCGCGTCATTACTGACCCTCGGGTCTCGCATGAAGCAAATGTTTCCGGTGTGCACATTTCCGCCTTCTTCGGCCTCGAAAAGTTGGTCAAGAAGGCAATTGCAAACAACAAAGACATCAACCTCAACGCGCAGACCAAGCGAGGGGAGACGCCGCTACACTGGGCGGCAACCCATGGACGCCGGCCCTTTATGGAGTTTCTCATCCAAGAGGGTGCAGATTTGAACGTTCCAAACGTCGACAAGCGAACAGCTCTGCACAGGGCAATCATAGCGGGGGACGGGGAGTTGATCAACGTGATGTTGAGATCTGGCAGCCTGAATCTCGAGCTTGAGGATTCCGAGTGCTACACCTGTCTCAGATGGGCGGCCAAATACGGACAGCTCAAGACTGTGGAGGCGTTGTTGAAGGCTGGAGCGGAGGTGGACGCGTCTGATCAGGACGGCTACACGGCTTTACGTTGGGCAGCCCACGAGGGCTATAAACCAATCATAAAGTCCCTCGTTCATCACGGAGCGTCGGTGAAGGTCTCAGGCTGCAATAGTTGGACCCTGCTGAAGTGGGCAGCGCAGGAGGGCCAAGAAGACATGATCAAGTTTCTCATCAAACGGCGCGTGGATCTCGACTCCACTGATACCGAGGGCTTCACGGCCTTGCGATGGGCGATAAACTACAACCGCACAATGACTGCATGGCTGCTGCTACAGGCTCGAGCAGACGTCAACAAACCGGACAACCAAGGCATGCAGCCGCTGCACGCGGTGGTAAAGGGCTGCTGTGGTGCAGACAGCATCAAGACCTCGATGAATCTTCTATGGCTGCTGTTAGAAAGCAAGGCCAATGTTAATGCACAGGCCGGGAATCATGGCCTGACTCCTTTGCACCTTGCTGCTTTGGGAGGAGCCAGTTCTGCCGCGTGGTTGCTCCTCGAGAATGGAGCGGATCCGAGACGCCTGGACTCCCAGAACCGTACGGTGCTTCATTGCGCTATAGGGAGCACTGATTCAGAAGTTTGCCAAATGTTGCTTCGAAAAGACGGTGGTTACCTCATTAATGCCGTGGATCAAAACGGACAAACGCCGCTTCATATCGCTGCGATGGCAGGGAGCAACGCCATGGTAACACTGCTGTTGGACAATGGAGCGGATCCCAAACGAGTCGATTCGCATGGGCGGACATCTCTCCACTGCGCTATCCAGAGTGAGAATCTAGACGCCTCCCGTGCTCTCATTCAGAAGGCTGCCGACTTCCTCGTCCACACTGGCGACCGTCACGGGCAGACACCGCTTCATGCTGCGGCCATCGCGGGAAGCACCTCTGTTCTCTGGCTGCTGCTGGAAAGCGGGGCGGATCCGAGGCGAGTTGACTCAAACAGGCGCACAGCTCTCCATTGTGCCATCCAGGGCGAACATGTAGAAGTCTGCCAAGCCTTGATCCGAGAAGCCAGCGGCCAACTTGTGAACGCGATGGATGACGAGAGGCGATCCCCTCTGCACCACGCAGCATCCTGGGGCGACGTTACCATCGTCGGCATGCTTCTGGATCAAGAGGCAGCCATTGACGCCCAAGACAGCAAAGGACTGACAGCCCTTCATGTAGCGGTTTCCCAAGGGTACAAAAAGGTTGTTGAGCTTTTGCTGAACAGAGGAGCCGATGTGCACATGACTATTTCTCGGCGGAAGAGGACGGCGATGCACACTGCGGCATACCTTGGGCATGTTGAGATTGTCGAGACGCTGTTGCGGTTTGGCGCCTTCTTAGACGTGCAGGATGCCAAAGGGGAGACGCCTCTGCACCTTGCGGTTGCACACGGCCAGAGAAAGGTTAAAACCCTTCTGGTCAAGCGTGGGGCTGACGTCCGGATGCTGAGTAGCAGGGGTTCCACGCCGCTTGACCAGAAAGCCAGGCCTGAAGAAGTCGGGGCCACGGAGACGGTCTACCCGGTCATTGGAGGTGAGGTGCTCGAGCCAAAAGAAAACCCAGCCCAGAATGAAGAAAAAAGTTGGTGGAAGGGGGACAAAAGGTTTGCAGCCCGCGTAGAAGATGAGTAGTACGGGCGGGATCTGCGGAAAGGAACGGTGGCTGTCATTGTCTAATTTCTTATTATTCCCTCCAGCATTTGCGTGGATACATGGCTTACTAAAGAAACTCGAAGACGAGTGCAAATAGATCGGATTGATTAACGGCTTACAGTGGTAGACCTCGCATCTAGCTTGGTGAATGCGCTGCTTGACTGCCAGACTACTGTAGATGGGAGACCGGTACAGATAGAGATGTGAGCGATATCTAATCATGAGCGGGAGAGCCTTACCCGCCCGCATGTTACAAGCTGTATGCTTTTGAGTTGAAAGCATCACGAGCTAGGATGTCTGATGCATCATGACAGAGGGTGTCACAAATCGACCGAAGTTGCGTGGACCCGTTATCCTAAGAGATGTGCAAGTAACAATTTCATACAAGACACAGAAGAGAATGAAGTGGCCAACCAGATAAAAGTTGGAGAAGAGACGTTGCCGCCGTCCGTATCGTGTCCCGCGCCCAGCTGAAGGCCATCCCCGTCTTTGCCCGATCCTTAAACTCCAATAAAACAACCCTAAAAATGACAGCCCCCTGACTCTTATCGTAAAGAAGCTGCGACCCAAATGCAACGCTATCACCTCTGCTGGCTTCGGTCCAATCTGTCCCTGGCGGCGTCCACAACACTTCTATCCAGCGCTGGGGTACTTCTTTGGCAGCCACTAGCGTCGTCCTCTGCGGTGCCGTCGTCGACAGCGACAAGCTCCCACCGCTTCATCCCACCATCCATGCCGGGCCATAGGTCCGTCGGAATGAATTCGCCAATATCTTGACGGAAGCCTTCGCGCTCCCGCCGGTCGTTCTCCATCAATTTGTCGACGCTATCCTTGGCTTTCTTCCATATGCTGGTGATCTTATCCTCCACCATGCGCCGCCGCTCGACTTCCAAGATGAGGTTATCGTAGGCGTTTGAGTACTTTTCGTAAAAGTCTCTGAGGCCATCCATCTCTCCAAGCTTGTTGTAGATGGTATACCGCTCGTCATCCCATCGTTGCAGGAATTCCGCCTCACTAGCAATGTAACTGGCCATGCGACCGCCCATCTCTTCCAGGGTAGTAAACGCATCTAGTGTCCCAAGAAACGCCGCCTTGATCTGCTCCGTTTGCTGCGTCATGGCAGCAAAGTCCTCCTCCATGGCCTGTAGCCGCTCATTGAGCTCCTGGATAACGCTGTCGACCTCTGATGCATCGCTGACGACGATCTCCAGCATGTCTGCGCGGTCTTGCGACGTAATGGGGTCAAGATCGGGCATGTGTGATTCCTGGTCGGCAATCACGCCGGATATTGACACGCTATCACCACCCTGCGACTGCGTCACCTCGGCCGCCCTCCGACGGGCGAGGGCAGCGCCGCCTTCCGTCGTCCGGACTGCTGTGACACAAAGGTCAAAATGCTTCGTCAGAGACGTTAAGAGTTGTGCCATGCAATGTGAGTGGTCCACAAGCGAGCCGAGAAGCTCAGGTATGGGGTCGTATGCAGAGGAGTCGGAGGGCACGCGAGGCAGCGGTGACGCCGTGATCGTCTTTTTGAGGGCACGCAAGTCGTCGTCGAATCGTAGAAGATCGCCGTCGAAAGAAGTTTGGATGGACTGTAACATGCCGGTGTTAGCTGGGATACAGTAGGGACATGGGTAGGACACCAAGGTCAGCTTGTCGCACCTGCAGCTCGCCAAGGCTCTGCTTCAGAGCCTCGACCATGACGTAGACGCTCTTCTCGTCGACGAAATCCATCAAGTTGCGCCGCTCTTCGCCAGGCGGTCGGAAGACGGGCTCGACTGTGGTGTTCTTGAGCATGGCCATGGTCTCCTGGAGCTTCTCGTTGGTCGCATCCATGGTCTTGACAAGGTTTTTGAAGTCGCGCTTGCCGGCATCGTAGGTCCTCTTGAGACCCCGGCGGACCTTGAGCAAGAGCGCCAGCTGTTCCGAGATGGCGCGCTGCAGGAACTGGGTCTCGGCGTAGAGGACGACAGCCTCCTCGTGGGCTTGGCGGGCATCGGTGGCAATCTCGTTCGCGCGCAGGACGGCGGTTATTGACGATAAGGAGCGTTTGGCGGCGAGCAGGTGTTCCACCAGTGTCTCAACCGGCACAGGGTCGGCAGCAGCGTCAGCGGATGTGGAGGACGGCACATCACGGCGGTCTCTGGAATGTGAAAGGGAGCCGGAGTCTCGGCCAGCCGAGGTGGACGAGGCTGGGCTCCGGTGCGACGGGGAATTGGCCATGTTGAATGGGGGAGAGCAAGTTCTTCACGACAGGCGAGGTCAAGAATTGAAGCGATGCATATTTAAGAGGAGGAATAAAAAGATTAGGTGATACTAAGAAGAGACGGAAGGGGCGTTAGTTGAGAAGAGAAGGCGGAGCGAGAGTAATGAGAAAGAAGGAGAGAAAGGTGATGGCGGGAGATGGGATGGGATGGGATGGGATGGGATGGTGTAGGCGACGAGGATGATGTCGCGATAAGGTTGGAGCTCGGTCAGGTGTGTTATCCTTATCGGCCGTCGGCAGCAGCACAGTGACTCTCTGCAGCGCTCTCCGTGACTCCGTGACACTGTGACGCTACACTATGTAAAGGCACCTTTCTGGCCAGGGCCAAGGGTGCTCTTCTGGCTGTTCGCGGTGCAGCCTTATGTCACACAGGCCACCAAGTGGAGACCTTCCCCTGGACAAGCGAGATTCCAAGAGATCTGATTGGACATGACTCGCATTGGTGGGTCCTCTTGCCTGGGAGCTCCCCGTAGCTCTCCGTCTTTCTCTAGTAGCGGTACGGTCTTCAGCGCTAATCCGAGCGATCCAAATGATATCACACCGCCCGGTTGTCGCTGCGACCGGAATCCATCTGGAACCTGGAACTTCCGTTCTGATACTCAGCGTCCCAGATGCCATCTCCCTCACCCCAGCTTGCAAGCTCTTCTCACTCACTCTCTCGTGTCGACGTCTGACGTCGCGGTCTCAACCTAGTTTTGCATCAGTTCATCCCCACCTTCAATATGTTCTAGAACCGCCAAAAAGAGGGGCCTAGACCCCGCCAGGGCGATTGACTGAAACAACCTTTCAGTCAACATGCGATGAAACCAGGCACCATCTGGCACGCGTGCCGGTTCGAATTCTTCCAAACCAACATGGTTGAGCTTGAAGTCGTCAGCAGCTAGAGCTCTTAGCTTCGTCATTCTGAAAAGCCCTTACCTCATGAGTTATAGATGACAGAGCCGACTCAAGCTTGAGCTCCAGCAACTAGCCGACGGCAATCCTGTATTCGACTAGCCCTGTCTGAGCCACAAGCCAGTATCCGTTCGTCATTGTTGAGGCTCTCAGTCCCGATCCGGCTGCTGCTCAGCTTCCCTTCTAAGGGTGCTTTGCCATTCGAGGCACCGTTCAGCTTGGGGCTTTCGCTAGGATAAGCCGGCTACCGCATGTTGGTCCAAGGATGCGGTAACCCATGAGGCCGCATCGTCGAGTTGCGAAGACTGAGGTTTGCAGTAGCGCGTAGCTGGGCAACATCTGGAACAGTCAAGCTGTTTCGCGTCAGACCTGTATTGACTCGACTGCGGCTTTACAGCTTCTGCGTGTGGCTCGTCAAGAGTTCCGCCATCTGCATCTCGCCAGTTCTACCACAAGATTTCGTAGACATCATTACTGAATCACCCGATCTCGACCTTCGGAAAACGGCGAGATTTCATCATAGGCCTGATAACAGCCTGGAAACCACCGCCGCTGTCTATGAGGGAACGTCTCGTTCTGAGATACTGATGTTGACCTGCGAGCTTCTCCTCTTAACCAATAGCCTATGATTAGCCAGTAAGCTTATGTCTTAGCCATGGTCATAATCCAGGAGATTGTTAGACCTTTGCCCTCTGTTACCAAAGGGACCTCTGGAGAGGACTATCATGAGTTTGTTTACCCTATCGATGATGGCGCGTAAACCCGCTCACATCATTTCGAACCCGACAAGTTGGAGGCTGACAGCGGTTCAAGGTTGCGTCAAGTAGGGGTGCTAAAACCACGACAAGGCGAGCGCTAAAGACCATTCATGGCGTGAAACCACTACTCTCCGTACCGAAGGCTGGATCGCAAACACAGCATTGCTGGCAATTTCGTCACCTCACTTCTGCTGCGGTTGCGGTGCGATCCCTTCCACACAACCACAGCCCCTAATGCTAGCACAAGTGCCATCTCGGACTTGGATAGAACAGCCGGTAAAGCAGCCACGCGTGGAGCTCTGTTGTGCCGGAGGGGCTCTTGAAGAGGTCCGCCCAGATAGATGGGGCCTTAACAAGTATCAATGGCACCCGTCAGGTCATTTCTAGGTCGAAATCGGAGTGCGTCAGGCATGACAATCGAGACAAATGGCTGCGTATTCAGTGGCCTCGCAGCCAGCAATGACCGAGGTTACAGCAACCCCACTTGTTTACCGGTATCGCCACCTCGTCCAGAATTCGAGATACCCCATCTGCGAACCCTGATCAACTTAATTCGACTTACCGATGAGTACGGAAGATTTAACGACACCAATCGCGAGTCATCGGCCATGAGACTTGTCCACAATTCATATTCGACATGCCCATCGCGAGGAGCTGACTAGCCACCTCGGACGTCACCCCGTCTTGAATCAAGACTGATGGACAAATATTGGGGTTGAATCAGTACTGACAAACAGACCTCGGCCAAGATTCATCGACCTCATTGCCGAACAGGTTCCCGTCCTCGGGGTGACCAGCCCGTAACGGGACTTCAGCCGGCCCCAATCCTACGATTTTCCCCGCACTCGCCCACATACCGGCACCGCATCACGTTGTTGCTTGGGGATATTCTCCGGCATGCCACCCAATCACCCCTGTCCATCTTTGTTTCCCCACGATTTCCCCGCGAAGAATACCGCCGAAGAGCCTTCAGACCCATTTGAGATGACCAACGTTGACAAACTACAACGACACCAACGGTCAAGCGTCCTAGCTAGAAAGAGAACAAACACCCCACCCCCGCACCGTTGGGATGGAACCTCCTGCATGGTTTCCCCACAGATACTACGAGATTGCTTGTTCAAGTGGCTGCCTTCGGGTTCTCGATGATCTCATTGTCATGACCTCTCGCGCTGGGAGAAGGGTTCCGGCGGTGACCCTCTGTCATGTTCTTGATCATGAGAACACCATGATGGAGAAGGACCGACCGTGTGTCCGACATTGTGCCGCGGTACCGGGGGGGATATCTCGGCCGTCGACAAATCTGGGCCCGAGGTACCTTGAGGAGTGAATTGGAAAACTTCTTAAGCCGCCGTGTTTCTGAGCTTTGTTGATGTTGGATGTGACTCGTGCTCATTGTGCTCTTCGATCCCGGAAAAGATGGTGAAGACTTTGGCTTCCACGCTGGCTACGGCCCTCGCCGGCCTAACGCTTTGCGCCGCTCAGACCAGCTATACCAACGAGACCGACCCCTACTATGGCCAGAGCCCTCCTGTCTACCCATCTCGTCAGTCGCCTCTATCTCTCCTTCTCCTACTTTGCATGATAACGCAGGTAAACTAACAAATACCAGCTGTCGGAAATGGAACTTCCAGCGACGCCTGGGCCTCGGCCTACCAACGCGCAAAGTTACTCGCCTCCCAAATGACTGTCGAGGAGCTCGCCAACTTCACACACGGCTGGTCGGGTCTCTGCACGGGTAACACCGGCTCCGTGCCCCGTCTCGGCATCGCGCCCATCTGCCTTCAAGACGGACCTGACGGCGTCCGTAGTCAAGAGTTCGTCTCTGCCTTCCCTTCGGGCATACACCTTGGCGCCACTTGGGACCGCAACCTCTCCCACGCATACGGGGTGGCCCTCGGCTCTGAGTTTCGCGGAAAGGGAATCAACGTCGGTCTTGGCCCCGTTGGTGGACCTCTTGGACGCATTGCTCGTGGCGGACGTAACTGGGAAGGGCTGTCTAACGACCCCTACCTTTCGTCCGTTGGGGTCGGTGGCATTACCAAGGGAATGCAAGACGCGGGCACCATCGCCTGTGCGAAGCATTGGCTGCTCAACGAGCAGGAGTACCGGCGCATCCCCGATGAGGCCGAGGGAGAGGCGGCTTCTTCCAATGTCGACGACAGGACGCTACACGAGCTTTACGTTTTCCCCTTTATGGATGCCCTGAAGGAGGGCGCCGCGTCGGTCATGTGCTCTTACAACCGCGCCAACAACTCTTACGGATGCCAGAACTCGAAGCTGCTTAACGGAGTTCTGAAGACAGAACTTGGCTTCGAAGGCTTTGTGGTCAGTGACTGTAAGTCATCGCCCCCCAGTCTTCCCTCATCCATGGTATTAACAACACACAGGGGGTGCCCAACACGCTGGCGTCGCGACTGCAAACGCTGGCCTCGACCTCGTCATGCCCAACGAGGCCTTCTGGGGCTCCGCCCTTGTCGAGGCCGTAAACAACGGCAGTGTAACCCGCGAGCGGGCCGAGGACATGACCACCCGCATTCTCGCCGCGTGGTACTACATTGGCCAAGACGGCGACGACTATCCTGCCGTGGGGGTCTACTCTAACCTCCAGAAGCACGCGCCCGTCGACGTGCAGAACGGACACAAGGCTCTCATTCGTGAGATCGGGGCTGCGGGGACCGTGCTCGTCAAGAATGTCAACGGAACTTTGCCGCTCAAGAGCCCCAAATTCCTCACCTTGTACGGGTATGATGCCATAGTTCCCGGTACGCCGTGGACCAGCACCAGTTACGGCCCCAGTTTTGGGACGCAACTAGAGGACACATACAACGGTACGCTCACCGCCGGTGGCGGCTCGGGAACCACGACGCCGCCGTATGTCATTAGCCCTTTCCAGGCCATCCAGGAACGTGTTATCGCAGATGGCGGGGTGGTCAAGTGGGATTTCTACTCGGAAAACCCACAACCCAATTACGTGAACTCCGAGGCATGCTTGGTGTTCATCAACGCGTGGGCCTCGGAGGGATACGACCGCCCAAGTCTTTCCGACGAGTTCAGCGATAACTTGGTCAACAACGTTGCTGCGAACTGCTCCAACACCATCGTCGTCCTACACTCTGCAGGTAATTGACCTCAACTCCGTGACCATGGAAAATCATAACTGACACTACATAGGAACACGAGTAGTCGACGCCTGGGCTGACCACCCTAACGTGACCGCAATCCTCTTTGCTGGACTTCCCGGCCAAGAATCCGGCCACTCCCTCACCGACATCCTCTATGGCGACGTCAACCCCAGTGGAAGACTCCCCTACACAGTCGTGCACGCCGAGTCGGACTATGGCGCCCTGCTCAACTCGAGTGTCGACCCGGGCCCGTTCCCTCAGGACAACTTTTCTGAGGGCCTGTTTATCGACTACCGCGCCTTTGACCGCGACGGCATCTTGCCGAGGTACGAGTTCGGCTTCGGGCTATCCTACACCACGTTCGAGTACTCTTCCCTCTCAACGTCGCCTGTGGGAACGCCTGTGGCTGGGGTTCCTGATCCCAACGTAGCAATCGTGCAGGGCGGACACCCGGCCCTGTGGGAAGACGTGTACTCCGTCTCAGTGCAGGTACAGAACACTGGTGAGCTGGCGGGCTACGAGGTCGCGCAGCTGTATGTTGGCATCCCCGTTGAGGGCACGCCGGCGAGACAGTTGAGGGGCTTCGAGAGGGTGTTCATTGAGGCAGGTGGGAGCGCGACTGTGGAGTTCCAGCTGACGAGGAGAGACCTGAGCGTATGGGATGTGGTTGCGCAGCAGTGGCGACTTGCGGAGGGGGAGTACGGTGTTTTCGTTGGAGCGAGCAGTCGGGATTTGAGACTCAATGGGACATTTACGATTTAGTGGGAGCTGTCAATTCCTCTTCGTAGACCGGTCGAAGAATCGTCTGCTTCTCGCCTGGTCAAAATAATTGTCAGACTTTTTCATAGGGTAGTAACTAACGATGAATCATAACCTGTAACACGATGTCAGTTCATCAGCCAAGCCAAGTAAGAATCTAAAACTTAGGCTCAACAATTCTTGAGGCATCCCGTCAAACTAGTTTGTAGGTAGACGAGCCGTAACATCTGGCCATCGGTCGAAGAACGATCCTGAACGGGCTGGTTCTCTCAGTTGTATGTGCTAAGGTCCGAACTCTCTCATTTGTTTCATTAGTCGGCCTTGAAGTTTTCATAGGTCTGACAGCAACCCCTATCAGAGGCGGTTGCATCCTGTCGAAACTTCTTAGGTGCAGTTGAGTGTCACTGTTGTGCCTAGCGGTTGGTAGGTTGATACTGGGGTTGAAAACTGCCACACCAAGCGACTAGTAATTGAGCAGCTGCGCGTCCCATAGCCCTAAGGGCAGCTCGACGGCACACCCTGTGCTGGAAGCTATCGCCCGGCTCCCCTACAGCAGACCATGACATGGCAAACATGCGGTAAAAGCCAAAATTCGCAAAGCGTGCGCGTGCTTTCGTCATGGACTGGATTGACGATGACTCTTGAGAGGATGAACCCAACTGAAACAAGATCTGTTGCTAAAAAGGAAAGCACAAAAGAATTTCCGTAAATTTGCATCTGTCGAGACTCGAACTCGAGTCCCCAGCTGTCATTCATTGAGAAATGGAAGGCTGGGATGATAACCCCTACACTACAGATGCAGGATGTTTGGCGATGGATACACCGGATTGGTGCCACGGAACTGGCCGGAAGATGATTATCTGTGGGTTAGGGCCGTTGTCGTCTCGCTTCTGCGTCGTTGAGTGGAGTTGTACAGAGGATCGCTTCACGAGGGGTTAGATGGAATGGGTTTGGCCAAGTGGGACAGCTCGTCTAGACCGGCGCGATAAGCCACCGGACGGAGTCCGACCAAGTGGTGATCTTGGAGTCTGTTTTTCTTGTCGCATAAGATTATCGTAATGAAACTACAATGACTTCAGGGCGGAGCCTGAGAAAAACGCCGGTTTGCTGCTTGCTCGATGATAGGAAAATGATCGACAGCACTCGGGTGTATAAGCGTTAAAGTTTCTGCAGGCTTATTCCCCGAATCGGCTAGCTATCTTCGACAACCACATCGTCGACGATCTTGTGTTCTGCTTGCGAGTTTTGCGACAGTCAATCCGAAGGACACGAACATTGATATATCAAAGCTTCAGTCTGTGCTGCTTCGTTGACTGGCAACGTCGAGAGGCCAAATGCTAAACAGCCAGTGCGTATCACAAATATGGCCTAGAGCATCGGGAAAAACAGATGCGCCGATGTCCGGACGCACGCGGTCGGTGGCATCAGCAGTAGTTGCAATTGTTTTTCTAGCGGTTGTGAAATGGAGGGTTGTTACTGGATGTCAGGGAGGAGTCGGGGGAAAAATTGGTCGTGAGTCTAAGTTCAGGCATTTCGCGTGTCTTCAGAGCCTGGTGCGATAATGACTCCTAATTGGTAAGTTTTCAATAGTACCTGGAGAAAAATGCCAGAGGATGGCTGCGTGTTTTTGGTAAGACATGTAGACACGTCCTTGTTTTCTCACTTGTACCTATGGGTAGAATCTGCCTTCCGTTCAGCCAACCGTCATTTAGCAGAAACAAGAGCCAACTCAATTGCTTTTCCCCCCCTCCTTGCACACCTCCAAGTGCCATCTTCGTCATCTCATTCGCCGGACTCTTGGCATGCGAGCTTGACCTCCCAACCACACCGAGAAATGAGTAAGTAGAACCTAGCACTACCAGCCATCTCACGTCCACTACCTCACGCTGGAGAAACAAAGTCACCACATGGTCCCAATCGGAGTCCTTTATCTTCCGTGCGGGGCAGAAATTGCCAACGACTAACGTTCAGCGTTGCATCGCGTCGCTCAAGACAAAGATGCGAGACAAGTACTAAGATGAGACTAGCGAACCGCCAGGACAAAAAAGGCAGCGCTAAATGTCTTAGCACATCGCTGAACGCAACTCCGCGGTGGCGATCGTCATCGCGCCAGCTTGAGCTTGGAGCTCGTGGAGGCCTGCTGCTCTTCAGCTTGAAGTGTTGGCCTAAAATAAAACAAAACAAGATAGAAAAGACATGGTAAACCCTGCTCGACGAGGAGCTATCCCGTCCGCTTTAGTGAAGTATAACCACATCAAAATTTCAAAGAGTAGGTAGGATGGCAAGAGGCCATTCAGACGACAAGAGTCAGAAAGTTTCAGTAAGAAAACAGCAGATGACCAAATTGGAAAAGCCGTTTCTACATCAGGCGATCGATGATCGTGTCCCGAACGGTTGAACCGAACACGATCCGAAAAGCAACACAAGCTCAGCAACGTCTTCAAACCCGACGCCGCTGTTTAAGTACGCAACGAAGAATGCGGGTTTGTGTCGCAGCGCCACTTCGAAATCCCTCACATCTAGGGGCTAAGTACAAATCCCTCAGCCCTTGACAGCGGAGGTAGATGCTCTCCCAGCCCTACGCCATAATTAATTGCGTTGTTGAAGTATTGAGACTTTTGAACCTCCCCAAAAGCTTGAGCAGACCAAGAAAGTGTTAGTAGGTGTCTTAGAGTGCTGAGCTAGCAAGCATGTCTGCGCCGCCCAGAAGCCCCGGAATCGAGCAGGGGCTCCAAGCTTTGATGCAGCCGACACAGGCTAATCATAGGTGCAAAGACAACGAAGATGTACAAATATCAAGGGGGAAGTTGTCGTCATGCCGAGTCTCTGCAGTTTGTCTGCACGTCAGATGCGACCTTAGAGAGACCATCACCACGTGCACTTGTTTTGTCGATCGCTGCTTATAAGACCAGGGACATCCTTTTGCAGAACTCGCTCCGGTCAACAGTCAGACTCTGAGGTCTACGGGACGATATTAACGCTTGGTTGGGACCTCAAGGTAAATCATCAATCACCTTTCTTGTCCAAATACTAACTAGATTTAAAGAAACATATCATCCGCCACCCAACACCATGAGATTCACAAAATTGCTGGGCCTATTGGCCACGGCAATACCGCGCGTTGCTGCCGTCGACCTGACCGGCTATGAATTTATAGTTGTCGGCTCCGGCGCTGGTGGCGGCGTCTTGGCCGCCCGCCTCGCCCTCGCGGGCCGTAAAACCCTTCTCGTCGAAGCCGGTGACGATCAGGGAGCCAACGAGAATTACACCGTTCCGGCCTACCAAGCAAAATCCACCGAAGATGACTCCATGGCCTGGGATTTCTTCGTTCGCCATTACGTCGACGACGCGAGACAGGCGCGCGATTTCAAGACCTCTTACGAGACTCCAGGCGGCGGCGAGTATACCGGCCTCAACCCGCCCCCCGGTTCCACGATGAAGGGAACGCTGTATCCCCGTACCGGCACTCTTGGAGGGTGTACTGCTCATAACGCTTTAATCGCGGTGTATCCTCACCGTTCAGATTTCGACTACATTGCCAGCCTCACCGGTGACCAGTCGTGGTCAGCGAATAATATGCGCAATTACTTCATTCGCATGGAAAACAACCGCTACCTGTTGCCGCTTGCCACGGGTCACGGCTACAGCGGCTGGCTTAGCACCGAGACTGCACCGCTGAACCTTGCCCTGCTGGACCCTCAGCTTCTCAGTTTGGTAACTGGAGGTGCTTTTGCTCTCGGAAACCAGACGAACCTGGTCTTCAACCTCGCCACGCTCCTTGCTGGCGATGGCAATAGTGCAGCTTCCGACCGTGATACGCGGCCTGGATACTACCAGATTCCTATCTCAACCAACGACGCTCATCGTGTCGGCTCACGGGAGTTCATCGTCGCTGTCCGCGACGCAAAGAACCCCAATGGCAGCAAGCGGTACCCCCTCGACGTCCGCATGAACTGCCACGTAACCAAGGTTCTCTTTAATAATTCGTCTCCGCCAAAGGCCACGGGTGTTGAGTTTGTCGACGGCAAGTACCTGTACCGCGCGAGCCCTCGCTCACGCAACGCCGGGTCCGGTGTCCGCGGCACGGCAACCGCGTCCCGCGAGGTCGTCATTGCTGGTGGCGCATACAACTCTCCCCAGCTCCTCAAGTTGAGTGGCATTGGCCCGGCCGCAGAGCTGAGCCGCTTCGGCATTCCCGTCATCAAGGACCTGCCGGGCGTAGGGACGAACCTTCAGGACCACTATGAGATCACGGTTCAGGGCCGCACGCCGGCCAGTTTCAGCGCGCTGAACGGGTGCACTTTTGGGTTCTATGGACAAAGCGACCCCTGCCTGACGCGGTGGAAAACTCCTATTCTCGGAGACCGAGGTATCTACGAGTCCTCGGGCTTTGCGGCGACCATGTTCTACAAGAGCACCGTCGCTGAGAGGAACGAGTGGGACGTATTTGCCTTTGGAGGCCCCGTCAACTTCCGTGGATATTTCCCTAACTACAGTGTCAACGCGACCGTTGAGCATGATTGGTTCAGCTGGGCAATTCTGAAGTCGCATCCTCGTAACACTGCCGGCTCCGTGACACTTCGCTCGTCCGACCCCTTGGACGTGCCTAATATTGTCTACAACTACTTCGACACTGGCTCGGGGGATTTCAACGCCGACCTACAAGCCATGACTGAGACCGTAAAACTGACTCGCGATGCTTTCTCCCGTCAGTTGATCCCCATTAGAGAGGAACTGCCCGGTGCTGGCGTCAGGGCCGACGATGACATAAAGCAGTACATCAAGGACACCGCTTGGGGTCACCACGCTTCTTCTACCTGTCCCATTGGTGCCGATAATGATCCAATGGCTGTGTTGGATTCGAGCTTTAGGGTACGTGGAGTTGCTGGCTTGAGAGTCGTTGATGCTTCCGTCTATCCTCGAATTCCTGGCACCTTTACTGCCGTATCAACATACATGGTGGGCGAGAAGGCTGCGGATGTGATATTGAGCCAGAACTCTTGATTTTGTTAAAGATATACTGAATCGGGACATTCGAGTATCGGAGCTTTCTGGTGGTTAATTGTACTGCGTTGTGTTACTTGCTAGCATATCTCTGCATTACGTCATTGGCGAAACAACACCTTTTGACCGAAGATCAACGGTCAGCAGAAGTTCAAAATTTCGTAGTTGATGGTGGGCACCGTTACCTACCTCAAGTCCTTTTCCGACACTTTCCTTCTCTATGTCCCCCAACTGTCTACCTGTGCATAATGAACACCAGCAATCGAGAACGAGGACTAATCAGTATAGAAAGCTTTTCTGCAGTCGAAGAAAACATTCTTCCAGATTGATCGAAGATTTCATACCAAAGCCAGGACGATGAGCCAGTCAGTTGGTACAGAAGCCCTGACCATGCTAGGCCGGAAATTACATTACAGCTCTGTGGTCACGATGGCTGATGTCACAAAGAAGTTGGCTCCCAGAGGCTCGGGCCCGCGGTTCTCAATCATGGGTCTCATGTTTGGATATGTAGAAAATGGGGTTCTTGGATATGGAGATGCCCTCTCATAACACTGGTAGGAAATGCATGGCTGTGTAGATCGTGAGGAAGGATGACCAGGTCGTTCGATCCTTTTTATCCGACAAAACAGAATGTGCAGTAGAACGCCAAGGCCTTGGGTTCCTGTGCACTGGCATTAAGGTTAACAGAAGATGGGGTTTTCTGTCTCGAAGTCCCGTCTTTAGACCCAATCCGAAGCCTCACGTAGACGGCGCGGAATCGTGCGTTCGGAGGTCTCAGCAGGTGCGGTTACGTTTCCAAGATGCTATGGGTACTTGTCTCTAGATCTATGCTTTTTCCGAAATGCAAGAGCTATTGACCTCACAGGACAGACTGTAATGCTCTGTCATAGCGTTCGAAATAGTAGTTGTATTATAGGAAACACCAATATTTCTTAATACAAGCTGCCAGGAAATGGCAAAGCTCATTCCGCTGCTCCCACAGAAATTGTGTTCTGCAGTGGCTCTGGCTTTCTCCTACGCTCTTGTTCAAGGTTTCTGTAAGCGGTGCTAAGTTTCATCCGGCCTAGTTATCGGATAATCAAAATATTTTCCTTCGCACTAGGTCTCGCATCCAGCTGCTAAGAGTACCAATCCAGCTAGCTGCGCACAGTTCAGTTGACTCAATTGAAAGCACCTGGATGGCTTGCTTACACAGATGCCTCACTCTGCATCGGCGCTTCTGTTGTCCTATAACACGTCGCTCAGTAGGGTACTAAGAGAGAGAGAGAACCAGTGTGAAAGTCATAATAGGCAGTTGGGCAGCTCTACCGGCGTAAATAACTTGTGATACTACTTACAGTAGAAGGATACTTCTTTCGGGAGTCTGCTCATAGTCTCCTGCCGTCTCTTCTACCACAAAGCCTCCCCAGCAGAACGAAGAATGAAACAGACGATAAGGAAGACCTGAAATGTTTTTTTTGGCAGTTTGAGAATAGCATTTTTGATGGATCGGATACGTGTTTACATCTCAGTCCTCACTAAGTCTTCTATCTAGAGGGGCTTACTTTGCCTTCGATTTCTGAATGTGATTCTTTACCCAGCCAATGATCGTCGCAAGACTATCATTATTAAAAATTGTCTTTAATGTCACTTATACTAACTGTTATTTGGCCTTGCGAGGAGTGAGTAGTCTGCGAGCTTACCTTAAAGGGACTTCTAGCTTGAAAACCGTCTAAACGTACCTAATTGGTGTCAAATGTCATACAACTACTCCTATATATTTTTGTATCAAATCAAGCCATTTACGAGGCAATGAGTATCCCGTGTTCTTCGCTTTGAGAATTACTTCGAACACTTAGAGTTGCCCACCACAGTCAGACATTAACCTTGGTAAAAGTTACGGCCATGAAGTAGCTTTTGAGTATGTCTTCTTAGTTGTCCCTATTTGGCATCGTCAGAAAGATTTTCTGGGCGCTGTTCGCAAGAATTTCGATTCCACATGCCAAGACATAGTCATCAGCAGCTGTAACAACAATACATGGTTTAGCCCTTTCTCGATCAAAGAGTGTGTTTTCGTGGAAGATTTGCACTTTTTCAATAAATTCCTGAGGCTTGACATTATAAGCTATTTACTATGTTTCATGCTGCTGTTAGGTTCTCTGATAACTCAGTTAATATGGAGCTGTGAGAAAGTTTATTCGCTACTTTCGTTTTAGTACATGTAGTCGGTAACAGAATTGTTGGAGGTTGGGTGCATGCAATGTAGTGCAGGTCATCGGTGTCGAAGTACGTCAATTGATAGGATATCCTTGTTGTGACTATTGCTTATGGATCTGCTATTGTGTGTGTGTGAGAGTCCCCTCTTCCGGCGGACCCCCCTTTGCCTAGTACCAAGATGCACGTGCCATCGGATTTCGCGTATTTGGCTGGCGAAATCCGTCCAAGGTATGTATCCGTCATTTTGCCGAATTGCCCCACTTTCGTTGTGCGCGCAGCCACATTGCCCACTTCAACAATCGGCTTAACACCACTGCCTTATCGCGGTTCCAGACGGGCTTAGATAAAACCCAGACAGTGTGTACTAGGTTTTTACCTTCGCCACTACCTGGCATGCTTTGCCAATTCGACCAAACCTTGAGTACGGACGGTGGGGTAAGCATTTGGAAGCTCTCTCTTCAGCATAGAAACCGCTTTGATATCCCTTGAAGCTAACCCGTGTACGTGCCGAACCTAACTACAATCCAGCTTGCGTGCGTGCCGTAGAATCCAAGACTGTCGAAAGAATTGGAAAGAAGGAAATTCTTCACCAGACCGGCTAACTCGAAGTGTCTTATTAAAAGCTCTTCGCAGGTCGTCCATACAATGATACGTTGCTTATTGCAAGGGTTCAATTCTTAAACAAGTCAAACACCAAGATGGAGAATTCGCTGAGGATAATCACGAAGATCGAGGGCATACATACTACTGCACTCCATTGTATTCTCAACTTCAAGATATGTTTAGGGGAGAACTTAGAAGAAAAATACAAACTTTCCAAGTCTAGTCATACAGATAATGTTTATTCGCTAGTCGAAGGATTATGCAGTTACCAGAAAAGTCTTAAAGTTTCTTGTGATAGCAGGAGGTTTTATGGTGATATTCCATACTTACTGAACACTTTGGTTTTTGGGGGATAGCATGCCAAAGGTTTTCCGATATAACCTTATGCGCATCAGCTCATAGGAAATGGGCATTGTTGCCTCTCACATGTGCTTGGGATGCCGAGCAATCTAGTGCGAAGCCTATGGTCCAACTCCTTTGTCGACGCTTGGCATGCAACCGGATACCCAAATTAATTCCAGCCTGCGTTTGGCCGCACCGTCCACAAATCAGAGTTAGGAATTACTCCTCACAGAAAAGTATTTGAGAAAGTGAATGGACTGCAAATGTCATAACATTTGAAACAACTAACCAGAGAGCTCACACTGGTGAAGAGAGGCTTCTGCGTGTCATCTGTCGTTGACGCTCAGAGGAGCTACGCCTTTGTTGCCTTGGAACAGTTCAGGTGCAAGGTTCTGGGTCTTTCCTACTTCGTGGGCTACAAGCGTATAGGAGAAGTGAAAGCCTTCTGTTTTACTCGACGATTGTTGCCTCGTAGATGTGGTTTTGATCTGGTGAAGTATTATTCGTTCCCTGTATACAACTTTCTTTAATGACTTCGAGCGGATTTCCTCCCCTCAAATGGGGGAGGGGTTTTTAATGTTATGGACACACTCATGAGACTAGCGAGTCTATATCAAAGTCCTGAAGTGCTTTCAAAAGTGGTGTGGGAACAACGGGTGGTTGAAACCTAGTCAGAAACTCTCCGGGACTGAATCATGAGCCGCAGTCAGCTCTTCAGATGCCATTTGGTTGGATTGGAACAGCTCTGTTTAACCGGAAACTTGCTTTGATGACTAAGGTAAACTCAGCTCCAGCCATGCCAGGTCATTCCATTTTTGAGTGCTCCAGGGCCGAAATCACGGACTCATTGGTTTGATTTGGGTATGCACATTTTTTGAGTTGTTCACCACCCGAATGTACCAGGGATTGATTGTTGGGGAGTTGGATCCTCAAGCAAGGCTCTAGCAGCTGAAACCTCAACTCAAAGGCCTGTTTCAACAATAAAGTTCAGTGTTATACGCCTGCGCCTGATCGATTAGAAATACAACTGCATTTCCTGTTTGAAGACGCTTCTTGCTATTACTGTCGTCTGAAGGTAGACCCAACCTAACCGCCAACTCACAATAGTTCTGACCAAATTCATCAAATAATCTATCACTCTAACAATGCAGTCTCTTGGAACAAAGAATGCTATGTTTCACGATGGTGCTTCCAAGTGCAGTGAGGAAAAGACTACAGAGTCTCCAGTGCCGTTAATCGCTGGAAAAATATCTAGTACCCCTCACCTACGATGGTGGAAAGACCAGGGCCTAAAGAGTCTAAATCTCCGGCTGCTTGCCGTCTTCATTGGCCCGCTGATGATTGGGTATGATGGTACACTCATAGGCTCGTTGTTAAGTATGCCTCACTGTAAGTGTTGATACTTCTTTGAGTCTACCGATATACCTGAACTGACGAATAGCAGGGTACTATGGTAAGAAGCTGTGTCACCACCATGCATGCCAAGGAACGCATTGTAACATAAGCTGTTCAGACTTGGGCCTCAATCCCGAGGATAGCAATCTCATTGGGTTGATGGCTGCTAGCTATTCGTTTGGTGCCATGATCGCTTTTCCAGTCTTGAGTTGGGCCGTAGACACATTTGGCCGAAGAACCATGATATGCATAGGAGACATCATAATGGTTGGTGCTGGTAAGTACGAATCTCTCTTTGTATTAACAAATTTCCGAAGTCTAGCACCAAAACTGACAGGATGCCTACAGTGATAGGCCAAGTTTTTTTGTCATAACTCTCACCTATATGTTCTCACTCGCTTCATTGTAAATATTTAGTCGCCTCGCTGGATTTAATACCATCTGATCAAAAAGTAGCTCGGCATAGGGTCGATGTTTGTCTCCGCCAGCTGCCCTGTCCTGCTTACAGAACTCGCCCACCCGCGACAAAGAAGTTTTTTGGTTAGCGCATATGGGTCTCTGTTCTTCATTGGATCTCTGGGTAAGTAGATACTCTGAGACGCTTCTTACTCCCACTAATTGCCGAACTAGTAGTGGCATGGGTCTCTTTCGGGAGCCTACGTCTTCCTAATCAGTGGAGCTGGCGAATCCCGACAATACTGCAATTATTCCCACCGGTAACTCAGCTTCTACTGATATTTACTGTGCCAGAATCCCCAAGGTGGCTTGTATCGCAAAACCGCCATGCGGAAGCTAAAAACATCCTGGTGCGATTCCATGCCAACGGGAGATCAGATGATGAGGTGGTATTAGCCCAGTACACCAAAATCTGTCAAGCGATCGAATTTGATCACAACAGTCAGATCACAAGATGGATCTCATGGCTCCAAGGTTCTGGGAATCGCCGAAGGCTGCTGTTAGTCGTCTTTTGCACTATTTTCGGGGCGTGGAGCGGAGGCAACATTATAACCACCTACCTTTTCATCGCCCTGAGACAGGTCGGCATCACAGCGCCTGCGCAGCAGGTAGGAATTAACTGCGGGTTGCAAGTCTTCAACTTGTGCGCTGCACTTTTGGGTGCTGGGCTCGTCGACAAGCTCGGCCGTCGCATTATGTTCCTATCTTCGAGCGTCACCATGCTTCTCTCTATGGTTGGCTTTACCATTGCCACAGAGCGATTCACCCAAAATCCTCAACCAGCATCCAGTAAAGCTCTAGTGGTTATGGTCTTTTTGTTTCAATTTGGCTATGACATAGGATATGCTATACTGACTCCTTTGTACATAGCTGAGATATGCCCCTACCACCTCCGAGCTAAAGCTATGGCCCTGCATTACTTATTGACGTATGCCTTCAACGCCGCCAGCCAGTATGCGAATCCGGTGGCCTTCAAGAACTTAAGCTGGAAGTATTACACAGTTTACGTCGGAATTTTGGCATGTGAAGTTCTCTTCACCTATTTTTTATTTCCCGAGACCAAGGGATACACTATTGAGGAGGTTTCCCTTATATTTGATAAAAAGGACTCCAAACCAACAGATGATCATCACTAGCGAGAATATAGAAGAAATCATTACTCTTCATGTGCTGGAAAGCGTACTTCTACAGTACCAAGGTCAAATATAGCACAATTGTAATCGAAAGTGCCATATTGAAGCACAAGACCTTATCCTTGCTTGAAACTTATTGCCTGGTGTTTGGATCTTGTGTGACACTGCCACTCGTCGCCGTTTGACAAGTTATGGCACACCACCTCAGATCACTATACCGCGACCCTCGTTAGCCCTACTTTATCTTAATGGCCATCACCATGAGTCCGTTACTTTTGATCGATCAATCTGCGTGCCAACCAACAACTATTTTACGATTTCGTTATTTCACGGGCCAATAGAGTGGCTGTGTTTAGCTGTACTGATATTTACCACATCGGTCTCAATTCGAGTTTTGCGAGTTACCTTGAAGTTAGTAAACTGTTTGTTAGGTTCATTCTAACTTCCTTGCGTTCTATATCTCTATATTCAATAAGCAAACGCGAAGCACGGGTACAGAGTTCAGCCGGCTTGGGCGGTAATAATGGGTCTCGGCGCGGTCGCAGGGCCTTATCCGTATAGCGCCCTAGCCGAGCCGGTAACTGGCTTGGGTCAGTTCAGCATCCCTAGATATGAAAACCTTCACCTTTTGTTGGCCATAACATGGCAATTCGGCCATGCTTGTATTCACTGAACAATCTCAAAACATAAGTCTCTAGATGCACTACCTCAAAAGGCAGGAGTGGCAACAGGGCCCATAGGCCCTCTACTGGAATTCGTACCCGCTTGATGACACGTTTTAGGCCCGTACCGAGCAGGATAGTCCACGCGGGTATGCATGGTGGTCCAGTTGTCCCATAGTAGCAAGTCTCCCTCTTCCTCTTGCGGGATTAGAATGTACTCAGGCCTCAGGATACGCAATTGAATATCGAGTAGAAATCGCCGAACTTCAGCAACGTCGTCTACTACTTTCGGTGCCTCGTGGGAGCTCCTCCGGATAAAAAGTCTCTTAGCTGCGTTGGACTGCACCTGGAAACACTTCCTTCCTGTAGCAGGATTGACCCACACCATCGGGTACTGCCCGTTGTCAGTATTTATTGTGATCAAAACACAAGTTTCTTACTCTTCTGATCTTGGCCTCGTCGGGCTTCATCTCCATCAGCGCATCTTCTGAAAGCTCCTTGCCCTGGCTGATGATTCCGAGCCCATTCGGCAGAAACTTGCAGTTGTGGTTCCACTCATACGGAAATGCGGCATACTCTACCCAACTATTGTCGGCTATCTGCTTTTCTTCATCCGTCATGAGTTCCTCGTAGAGCTGTGAGCAACAGAAGAATGGTGTCATCCCCGGAGCCGACTTCATGCTAAACCCGGACCCGTCGTCCCAATGGATCGTGATATCTGGTCCTTGAGGTAGCCGAAAGACACGAAACGCGGTGAATAGTGGAGGATCCCTGCTGTACAGCGGTGCATCGAAGTGCCAACCTTGGAATCGGGTATGTCCGTTCTCAAGCTCATCAGGAGGCAGGGTTGGATCATGATTCTCATACGAAAAGGACTTGTCGAGATTCAGGTTCTTCAAACCGTAATGGTCTTTACCCTGATAGCCCTTGCCGACAACGTGGACGTTCTCGACACCTGGGACGCCCGTCACCCCTCTTTCTTTCTTGTACAAAGGAGATTAGCGAAGCCCGTTGAAATAAAGTCAGTAGTTTTTATCCCACGTACAAGGACACCTTCCCCATCAGGGTGGAAGTCTTTCATGAAAATGTCAGGGTTCTGCGGTCCCGCTTCAGGATCCAGCCTGGTTACTAATTCCCATTGCTTAAAGGGCCGGAGAAATTGCTGCCCTTTGATGATGACGAGCTTATGATGCCAGACGACCTGTTTCAGATGCTGTAGGTCTTCATCTTTAGAAATTCTATCAGTAAGGAGGATGCTTTCCAGGAGTAAGAGTCAAGATCTTACCCGAGATATTGTTCACATCTAGGCCACTAATCTTTGCCCCAAACTAAAAGGCGTTAATATATTTGGTTTTATCAAGGAGCTAATCCGAGAGATGGTCACACTTCATACCTTAACCTTTGTACCCGGTTGAACTTTTAACGGCTCGACGTTGAAGCCCATCGTGATGCAGGACGTACGAACAAGTTAAGACTTCAGCCTCCGTAGAGAAGATTTTGTGGTCAAATATATCCTGCTGGTGAGAACCCCAAATTAAAATGACTAGTCTGTTCAAATTCTGCGCGAGATATATAGTCGAGTGTTTGGGTGGCGGGCAGCGGGACTATATCGAACTTTGCCAATGATGCAGAAAGTTTAAAACACTTTTCAGAAGCCTATCCGCTAATACATATTCAGCCGATGAGCTTGACCTTGTTGTAAGGCTAATTGAATAGAACAACTTTCCAAAGTTGGGTACCCCGAAGAACCCGAAAACAATCATCGGGTAAGCAACAGCAAACCCTTCGAAAACCCCATTTCGTCTATGCAGAACTCCTAGTATATTAATTAATCACTTGGGCTCACTTAAGCTTTCACTGGATACGCTTGTAAGCCTTCCACTGGCATAAAGTTATGTTTCATGACTAGGGAGGACATACTACCCTGGCCTTAGCTTTCTCAAAGTTGTGAATGCCCCGTGTTTCGATAATTTCATGCCGACTAGGGAAAATTAGTCACACATTTTTAGTTTGATTGGTGTATTCATACGTCGATTTGCCTGTCAGGTTGCACTAACCAAACCTTAAACTAATGCAATCCTAGCTCAAGAAGAACCTTCGGGTTGAGTCATACGGATTCGGCTTTTCGTCAGCACCAGCATCAAAATAATCAAGATAAATCCACTTGCGTCCCTTTTGTATAGGTATTGGGTAGTATGCATGAACCGCCACGCATCTTGATTGCCCCTCCGATTCTGTACCAAATTACACCGAAACACATCAAGTCACACCGACATTGAAACCAAAATCATGAGACCGATCGTGAATGAAATTCAGTCTGTTGCATTCTGTTGAGAGTCCTGCGTTTAGGTGGAGTACTAGCATGAGTTTCTTCTCAGGCCTATATTCCAAGTCATTTATCAGGCCTAACCAATTACCTTCCGTTGCCACAACCATTGCAAAATTTAATCTTGAAATGTTGGATTTGAGACGTCTTAACCAGGTTGATTAGAACCTCTTTCTAGCAGCTGGCTACGTAATTATCCGTCTCTTATGAAGGTGCAGGCGAGCGGGAATGATGGGGCGACCGAAGGAAGAGCAGATGAGCGCAAGGCACCTTACAGTCAAGGTAGGTCCCCCAACGGATGATTAGTGGGGTCGACAGCCACTTTTGCCACTTTTAGGGATTGCGCATTAACTGTCCTGTCACTGCAAGTGCAATTTGCCAAGATTCAACCTTTGCGGCACAGTGAGCAAACTTGTTTCCGTTGAGGCGAACGGTGAAGCTTACAGAAGCTGAAATTTTCGGCTCGGGCCCTTCCGAAATTACAAACTGTGCGATGTGCTTGCCTGCACGAAGATAACGCACCGCGATGTCAACACCAGTGAACGAGACGTGGATGGGGTTGATGGGCTTGACATGACGTTCCTCAAGTAGTTCAAAGAGCTTATTCATTAGACTACAAAAAACCAAAAAAACAGTTAGCAGGCAGTGCTCAGACAAATAGTCTGGTCTAGAACAGCACTTACCGAGTGATGAGATGGTCTGGGCCTCTCTGGTGAGACATATTTACGGCGCTCAGAGAGAAGATGTGGTCGAACGGCTCCATGGTGAGGCTGTTAAGATCCAGAATAACCTTCTTCCCAATCTCAATCATGATGCCTCCATTTGGCCAGAATGTGGAAACATTTATCCAGCATGTCACCGGTCAAGGAATTGAGGATGATGTCGACTCCTCGGATGCCAGTAGCAGCTACGATCTGGCCACCAAAGGAAGTGTTGCGGGAGTTGAAAATGGGGTCGTTGTCCAGGTCAAGAGTAGATTTGATGTAGTCTCTCTTGTCCGGAGATCCACCAGACACAGAAGACTAGTAGCAGAGAGAGTTGGTTGTGTTCCCACAGCGAACATGATAAGATACCACGACTACTACTTACCTCAGCATTGGCATATTGAGCCATCTGCATCGAGGAAATACCCACACAACTTGCAGCGGAGTGGATGAGTACGGTCTTACTAGCATTCACATCGGCTATATCGAACAAACAGTAGACGGAAGTCAAGTAGACGCCGCAGAGAGTGGCAGCCTCCTCGAATGACATCCAGTCAGACCCGTGCAGTACTCGGTGTAAACGGTTCGCTTGGTCGAAAAGACGCGGATCTTGTACTAATCACGGATTGGTTCTCCACGCGTTAGTATAAGGGCCAATGTGCAGGTGGCAGGCTCGTCCTCCTCGAGCACCAAGTCGTGCAGGAAGCGGATGTCACGGAAACGGAACTGGTATCGGGGAGGCTCTTTCTTGTTCCACTTGGTGACTATTGCTATCCGGAACACGGCTCTCATCGCCTCCCTGGAAGATTGTCTGATTGCCCATCATGTAGCCTGGTATCCAGAGTATATTTCCCAGTCGGAGGGTCTTCTTGTAATCTGCACCTCTCTCTAGGCGCCAAATACTTCTCAACAGTCTTAACGTCTACGCGAAGAACCAACATTTCTAGCGGCTCTTCTAGCGGGAATATATTAGTCGCCCGACCGCGGCAGTAGACGATCTTGATGGCTTCGCCCGATGTATTCAGACTACCGGTGGGGGCAGTGGCGGCGATTTCTCGGGACGAGTGTCCTACCACTGCGGCAGAGTGGGTCTCCCATTCCTTCACAACATCAAGGATGACTAGTTGCAATGCAGTCACGGGAGGCTAGGAAAATTCAGGCTGTATTAAGGCCTCGGCAAGCCGAAACCACCAGGGCGGATCGGGCAGCTTCTGGAGGATCTGGTCTAGTTTCTCAACCACTTCTCTCGCTTGTGGGAAGCCTTGACAAGACCCGGCTCCATTTGAGACCACTGCGCTCCCTGACCGGTGAAGAACGATCCAACCCGAGGTTTCGAAACAGCCTTCTGACCGAAGTGCAGTTGTTCCTGATCTCTACTGCTGCTGCTGTGGCTGATCAAAAAAGCACGATAGCAGTGGTGGCTCCTGCGCTCGTCAAGTGCGTAGGCCAGGTCGTCCAAGTCGACCGCGACATTAGGATTGATAAAATTCTCGGAGATCGCACTGATGCAGTTGTTTAGCGATTGCTGGTCGTTGGCTGACAGGACGAGAACTTTTGGTGGAGCATATTCAGCGACAACCACTTCTCCATCGTTCTCGTCATCGCCGAAGAAGTCTGAGGTGATCACCTTGTAGGTAGAGACGTAGGTTGCGAATGGACTTTTCCCACAATGATAAGTGCGTTGGAGCCGCAAAAACCGAACGACTTCACACTGGCACGACGCACGTCGAGCGACGTCTGAGGCCACTTGATAGCCATGTGCGTGGCACGGACACGGGATGCCGCGAAATCCTTGTTAGGATTGGGATTGACGAAGATATGGTTGCTGAGGATGATGCCATGCTCCAGGGCGAGAACGACCTTCATCGACCCGGAAAATCCAGTTGCGGCCTCATGGTGGCCGAAATTGCTCTTGATGGATCCGATCGCTGGCTCCTGACCGGACTCGTGGGTGCCTGCGTACACCAAGGTGGCATTTTCGTCGGGTCGCCAGCCGGCGTACCAGTACCGTGGCACTCCAGAGACTAGGTGTTGCTCTTGATGCCCGTGTAGGCATACGAAGTTCTGATGGCTGCCGGTTGTGCTTCGGCACTGAGACTGACAATGCCAGGCGTGCCGGCGTCACCCTTCGTGGCGGTTCCTCGGATGACCTCGAGGATTGGATCACCATCACGTAGTGCATCGTCCAGTCGATCCAGTTAGACGATGTTCATACCTTCGGCCTTGGCATGTAAATCCGCTTTGGCATCGAAACTGTGGCAGTTGTCCGTGGCGGACTGGGTCATCCGCATCATGCTAGTTTCCTCATTGTGTTCGGGCGTCAGCCAGAGTGGTTGCAGCCAACCTTCGAGCTGAAAACCACGCTAACATTCCAGCCCATGGGACCCATACCTTAGGTCTCACCCACTCCGGTGTTGGTGGTCTTGCCGGCGGAGCTACAAGGAACTAAGCTTTACGACTTGTTGAAGGAGCCCAGACGACACCTGTAGTACCGAATGCGCCGGGTGGTGATTTCGCCAAAGTAATGGATACCCAGGTTGCCTTATGGATTTAATTCTAGGGCTTGGACTGTTCTCTTTATCTTGCCTGCTCGTTCTAAATTATGATTAGGTTTCAGCTGTTGGCTCTGATGCAGAATGATAGACTAGTTAGGTGCTATGGTATGCATTACTTTTCTTTGACAGGCCACTTGTGCGTTCTTGGATCGTCATGGCATGGGGGTGCCCATCAAAGCATGCTTAGTTGCATGCTTACTTGTATGTAGTCTGGGACGAAGTGGCCGGGGTGGGGGCGAAGCTGGAACAAAGGAAGCTATGCTCGGATTGCAGTAAAGTAGGTATAGAGGCGTTAGAACGACGTCTAGCCAGCTTACGCAGCATCTCTATGATAATATAGCTATACAGTCAGGCAGTACATCTCAGAATCTTCATCGCCGTTGCCCGCAATTCAAACAGTCTGGGCAACGGTATGTTGCTTCGCTCCGGATCGCTGATGGTCGTGGGGGAGGGCAGGCTGAGTTGAATCGGACGATCCAGGCCTCCCTCAGTCTCTCGAATAAAATGCAGACGGACGACAACTTCTTGAAACTACAACGTGATCGAAAAGAAGTTGACGATTTGTTCTTGGGCCGATCAACTGATGTACTGTATACTGCTGGCCCACCGTACCGAGAGTCATTTATCGAGCTCAAAGGAAAGGCTTGTAGTGTAACCAAGAACCCGAGTTCGACCTTCTGGTAAAGTAAGAAAAGGCTTGTTTCGTCAGTATGAGGGTAGAGTTCTGATGTACGGTAGCCTGTTGGGCGCACTGGGTCAAAGATCGTAGACTTTCCTGTTAAGGAGGTAAGGGCCCCTTATAGCTAGCGTGGAGATAGGGTAGCATCCCTCCAAGACTTGCTGGAGAGAATAAGCCCGATCTAACTGCCTGCGTGCTACCACCAACAGAGGGAGTATGAACTAACTATCAAGCCTCGATCAATCTGCACGATGTCTGGCGCTGATTCGCTACCGGTAACATCATTCTCCCACGAGATGCTGGCCTCCAACTTGCCCCGCGAGTAAATCGCCCACAAGCGCATGCAACACGAAGCCGAGTGCTTCATCGGTGCGGGTCTCGAGACCACCGCCTGAACGCTCGCGCTGGACAACGTCTACATTCTGCATGATCCCTAGATCCACGACAAACTACAAACCGAACTGGCCGCCGCCATCTCCAACGCGGGCCAGATTACCCCGAGGCCGACCTTGAAGACGTTAAGCTACCTTACCGCAGTCATCGAAGAGGTTACGTTCATCCATGACCCCCACCCACCCTGATCGCTATCTCGGGCTGAAATGCCATTATATTAATTCGTCCCTAGCCCAAACATTTGGCATAGGTGTCATTGAACGCCTAGTCGGCATCAACCGCAACCCCGCCAACGCCTGGGTCTACAACGGCACCGTGATCCCCGACAACATCGCCGTCAGCATGGGCGAATACCACATGCTGGTGAACGAGTGCCAGTTACCAGACCTCACCGCCTTCCGATCGGAGCGCTAGCTGGACGAACCTCGCGGGCTGGACGGTGCCCACCAGTTCAACCACTACCTGACCTTCGGGCGGGACATGAGCATGTGCCTGGGCTTGAACCTAGCCTATTCGGAGCTATACATCGGCTTCGCCACCCTGTGCCGGAGTTATAAGCTACGGCTGGTCGAAAAAACGGCTCATGATGTATGCGGATGATACGATCTTACCGCCTTGGCCTGGCACCAAGGGGATTCGGGTGATGATGGATAGCTAGAGGGGCACAAGCAGATATTCGGATGGATTGCTGGTGGCGGGCTTCAGGAGTTTCGTGCAATCTTTATAGGTAAGTTACTCCGTATCAAACAAGGGAAAAACCGGAAAGGCTATGTGGGTTGTTTGGGTATAACAAGATATATATGATAGAATGAGATTATGCGTAGCAGCCTAATTAAGACTGATTGAGGTGGAGTCGGTTCAGCCCGTGAGCGTAGCGAAGGAAATTTCTCAATCAAGGATTCTTAAACTTTATACAGCTCACCTCGGCCTCTTTCGTCGGAGTAGTCCGCTGGTCCATCGGTAGCTTTGTCCCTCACTTGGTGCTCCAAAGCATCTAGCGTGCTGACGAGTTCAGCCTGGTGGCTAGCAACGAGCTCCTCAACTTCAAGTCCATAAGCGGTCGATAGCCGGGGTGCCTCAAGATTTCATGAGTGAAAGGTCTGAGTCTGACCAACCCCAGCCCTCTCTCAAGTGTTGCATACTGTGTGGAACATGTTAGAAACTAGTGCAAGGCCATCTGAGTGATTTTAGCGGCCAGGGGGATCTATTCATAACTTACATCAAGCCTAAGTCCAACTGGAAGGCCCTTGCCGTATTTGAGAAGAGGTTGTATAACGCCTCTTGCTCTTCTCGTATCTTGAACTGGTTGCCGACCAGCGCAATTGCCATACACGCAACACTGGAAAGAATAAGAGGTCGTTCTCCGGATATCAAAGTCCATGATATAGGCGTCAAGACTTACATGTGAGCCGGATTGCGTTGCTTGGCGGATTCTGCTATCCCACAAAGGGTTTTCACGTCGGTGCGTATGTCTTTCTGCAATATACACTTGAGTGTCGAATCTTGGGTAACGGGCGAATGTCGAAACTTACATTCATTGCCCAAGCTGCATGGGGTGAACGTTTCAATAACAGCGGCGCATCAGGATTGTGGATCGCCAAAAGTATCCGACTAAGATGATAGTAGATATGCCCCAGTACAACAGAATCGTTGATGAGCAATACCTCCGGGAAGACACTGTTTTCTGCCGCGTTATGTATGAATAGCGGTGTGAATGAATCTGGAGCCATTTCTATCCATCCGGCAGCATATGAGGCTAGCCGCTCATAGTTCACAGGATCTTTAGTATCCCCAAAACAAAAATTGACGATGTCGATAGTGTGAAGAACTATTCGATGCGCCCATACATCGTCATCAGCCGGTTGTAGCGAGCGGTCGAAGCCTAGGTGGTCTAATTGCAAGTCGATTGGCTCGTTCCGCATAATCGATCGGAATAGCTCGGTGGGTATCCACGACCAGATTGCTGCATCCAGTAGGCTGTCATTTTCTGAAGTCCTCACACGTGAGGTAAGGAAGTTCCAAATGGCAGAAGGTGGCTTCATGGTGGCGCATATGGCTAGTACGCTCAGTTAGCTGTATCAAATGATAAAGATAAACGGGGCAGATAAAGGGATCCCACCCTCCCGTTGCCGTACTATGCTCCAAAGGAATGAGACGAACGTACTATCGATAACTTGATAAGCCCTCAGAAGTACAACAGCAGAAAACTGTATACCGTCAACTTTCAATTGCGAGTCGTTGAAAACTGGCTCGAGAAGTTCCATAGCGGCATCAAAATACCGATCTGCGGGCTTGTCGAAAAATGCAAGACTGCCCTCTTGGTCATGTGACTTCGCCGCCAGTGCCAGAACGGCATTGAGCAATGCTGGGCTCAAAGCAGCATACTGCGGGATCAGTGTCGACATTCGATTGAGATTATCGCCGTAATCGAAAGGCGTAGAGATACAGTCCACGAAGAACCGGACCAAATGCGCCTCACGGCGGTCTTCCAAGGGGAGACTGGTGTTGTGAAATACCCGACGCGGCTCTGGAAGACTGGGGTCTTCGGGCAACTTGTCGCTGCCGATCCTGCTGATTGAGCCGACAGGCCTCGACAATTGGCTTCGTGGAACTGGGGAGAAGATTGTGATCGGATCGTCCAAGTTCGGGTGACCTAATGATGGGTTCCGTAATGTGGGGTGTGGATGGAGAGCTGGAGGCATCATCAAAGGAAAGGGCTGGCCTTGTTCGATTGGCAAAAGGGTTTGCTCCTCAGGATTTTGAGTGTCTTGAGTCGCAATCAGGATATTCTCTTGCGACGGCTTGGTGAACACGTTTGTATAATCTTTAATCATCGGTCGTGGCGTTAGTTGTGCGGAACTGTGTGGGATGATGATATCTGCCTCGGAGGCAACCTCGTCGTCAAAATCGGACGCGTCATTGTTTATGCTGACAATATCGGCTGTCTCGTCAATAAACCTGATCTTCTTGCCAGGTACTCGACACCACTTCTGTGTGTCAGAAAACTCATACTGCAGTTCTCCGCAATTACCATCACTTGAGCTAAGGGATTTGTCTATTTAGCGACGTTGATATTTGCGGACAACGAGTTCGAATAAGCGTACGTTGGGACTGTGATATGCCTAAACTTCAGTCTGGATCCGCGGACGCAGTCTTTGCCTTTTCTCGCGCACTGCCCACAAGGGGCCCCTTTGTCACCTAAGATCGGCCAGTCAGCTATGAACTGGACACCGACAGAGGTTGCTACGTGGACATAACGGTTGTCAGTGATTTTCACCATCATACCTACATTTGATATGTCTAAGTAGAATGGTCCGCGGTCAGCTTATCAAACATCTGGTGCTGTGTTGTACATGTGGGTGTGGGTGCGCGCGCTGTAGCCCGAAAAATTGCCGTTATCCTTAACGGAGTCTGCAAAATTTCCTGCGACAACTGAAGAACGGCCGAAAGACAGGACCGATGCTGTGTGTGAGACAAGGAGAGACAAAGAAAAAGTGATTCACCTAGCGCGACAATTCTCGCAGCCCCGCCTCCTGGGGGTACCTGTTCTCGAAGCAGGCATTCAAGGTGACCCCAATCGAATTCGTGCATATGAGTTTCTGTCTAGGGGCGGACGGCTGGACACAGGCTTAGGTGGGACGAGGCAAGCTTGAGAGGCGCTTTTGTCTGTGGGTGAGAAGTGAGCATCAGAGATTGAACGACCAGCGTGATGGCTTGCGCTCGGAAATCACAACAAGCGCAGAATAGACGAAAAGCTCCTCGCGCCATTTTATCCGCATCTGACCGATGGAGTAAGTTTTGTGGTGCGGGGAAGACAATTGGAGACGTTGTGGAGGGAAATGCCGAAGATGTTTGACCCAGCTTTTGAACCTATCAATGCCATGTATTGACATTTCGGGGCCTTGTTGACTTATTGATGATGCCTATTGGTTGTTAAATTGTGAGAGATGACTCGGAAATCATTTCAGGCGGACTCGAATCAACCAAAAATTAAGATCTTTTTCCTGTTTTCAAAGCACTCTAGGTTCTAACCTTTGGATTCAGCGAAATAGCGAATGAATGATGTAATCTTTCCTGCTTGGCACCGTCAGGAAACCCGAGTTTCATTACTACACTTGCTTGATTTGCTGTCGCTGAATTCGGCGGCGCTCGAAGGTTGAGCTGTCTAAGATTCTTCGATATTCAGGGAAAAGTTTTAGCGATAGGCCCTAGCGGATTTCATTTCCCAATTGATTCTAGACAGAACCAGCTTCAAAGTGAACCGAAAATAGGTATGCCGCTTGCCTCGGATGCTGCCCCCGACCCGCTTCCCCGCGTCTCGGGATCGTCGTGGGGAGCGCAAAATCATTTCCGTTTTCGCTAGCAGTAGTAATGCTCTCCGAGCTCAGATAACTTCCAACGGGAATGAGCGGCGTGATTGGTCCCTGAAATACATTTGTCTTGCCTCTGTTTGTTGCACTTTGAGCCTCCACCATGGCATCTTGCGCTATCAGTTTCCCGAATGCCATGGTACACCGGACGACAGGCATTTCCAACCATCCTCCATGACACCGTGAGGAGGGTTTGTGGCTAGACAAAAACCACCAAAGTCCCATCTTTGTGCATGCAGCTGTCTTTCTCTTATACATATAAGCCACTGAGTCCTATTCAAGTCTTTTGGGGTTTTCACAATCTTGCGGTATTCTTTCTCTTCATTATTGTACGAAAGCCTAGAAGATATTACTGCTTGAGATCCAGGAAAGGTCATCAAGAAAACCCTTATCAATATCCCTCAACCAAACTTACACATAATGCCTCAGAAGCTTAGAATCGCCGCCGCCGGCCTTGGCCGTATGGGCAAGCGTCATGCCATCAATTTCTTACAGCGGACTCCCCGCGCACAGCTCGTCGCGGCATTCACCCCCGACCAGATCGAGCTTGCTTGGGCACGACAAGAGCTGGAGCCCCATGGCGTAAAACTTTACAACGACTACGATGAGATGCTCTCCCACGAGGGCCTTCAGGCTGTTGTCATCGCGACTGTGACCAAGGTCCATGCCGAGGAGGCTATCAAGGCCATTAACAAGGACCTCCACATTCTCTGCGAGAAACCCATCTCTCTCGAAATCGCCAAGGTGAGTCGGATACACGACATGGTGTTGAGATCACTTCTAATAAACCATAGTCCATGGAGGTTGTCACTGCTGCCCAGCACAAGCCTCACCTCAAAATCATGTGTGGGTTCTCTCGTCGCTTCGACTCGTCTTATCGAGATGCGTTTGAAAAGATTGAGAGCGGCTTGATTGGCCGACCCTCAATCATCAGATCTCAGACCTGCGACAAACACGACCCTAGCGAGTTTTTCGTCAAGTACGCCGCTCTCAACGGAGGCTGCTTTGTCGACATGAGTGGTTCGTACCATCAAGATTCAACATTGACATTATATACTGACACTGCTGCAAAGTCCACGACATTGATCTCTCTTTGTGGTTCTTTGGTGAGGACTCCCAGGTCAAGTCCGTTTCTGCCTCCGGCATCACTGTTATTTCTCCTGAGCTGAAGGAGCACGGCGACTGCGACAACGCTGTGGGCATCGTCGAGTTCTGGGGGGGCAAGATCGCGTACTTTTATAACTCTCGCATGATGGCGCACGGCCAAGAGGACACCACCGAGCTCATTGGCACTGGTGGGAAGCTCACCGTCAACGGCAATCCCCAGGCTAATTTCGTGAACTACTATGGGCCCCAAGGGATCACGAGAGAGGTGCCTGCTCACTATTATGGCCGCTTCGAGTACGCATTTGTGCAGGAGGCTAACGAGTTCACCGCGGCCGCGCTCGATAACACCAAGCTTCCTCTGAAGCTTACAAATGCTGTAAAGGCTATGCAAATTGGATCATACCTGCAAGAGGCTTTATTGACGGGAAGAAAGCTTTTCTTTGATGAAAATGGCCGTCGCCTTGAGAAGCAGACCAAGTTATAGATGGTTGGATACTAAACTAAAAGATTACTGGATGTTAGACTTCCACCATCTAGGAAATAATATCGCCACTCCTGAGGCTTCCTTCCATCATTTTACTGGCGAAGCGAACGTCTTGACGGCGAAATGGCACCAAAAACGCGCATGACCGCGTCACCAATATTTTCCAAAAAACAAATGCATCAGGTTTGACACACTCAGTAAATCTGTGCAAGCTCGTGATAGCATATCTGGATCGTGGGGCTCCAAAATTCTCCGAGTGCGATGACCCTTAGCATAAGACGATCTACGTCCTGCGGCAAATCCACCAGCGTGCAAGCTAATGATAAACTTAGCGTTGCCCACACAAACGCGATGGGACCTGCGGAGGGCTTCCGGTGCCTGCGTTGAACCTTGTCCCAGGGGCAAGAATGGGGGGGCATGTATAAAGCTGCTAGCATGCCCAAAGTTTATTCCGGTTACAGTGTGCCTTTGTCGGGTCAGGCCGGCTACAGGTGGGGTATAGCCGTGACCGTGATTCATTTCGAACATTTGTAAGCTGATTCAGTAGTCAGTAATCACAGCCCAGGAGCCGTTCATAATCAACGGTAGGAGGGGACCGTTACTAGACGCAATCCAGAGCCATTATCGATGAAAAAGATGGAATTGCTCACAACGTGTTAAAGGACATGGCACCAGGTGGATGCTCATCAATACGTCAGGGTAAGAGGGCTGCAGGTAAATGGTCCGATCAATCAAACGACGTTAAAATCAGGTCAGAGCACATTGATTGCGTGGTGTGCATTAGCTTGATGGAGGGGTGGGCGGCTCCCTTAGCGAAAGTATTGCCCTGGCAGGAGGTGTACTCCGGAGGCAGACTCCGGTCATCGACCAGTAGAAATAGTAGTATAGTCGAAAGCAAAGCACGGATACTTTAGCTGTTGATGTGATCTTCAACACCCTGGAAGTACAGCATCAATGGGCCCATCTCGTCTTAGAGCTTCGTACAATTGCTCAATCTGGTAAAACTACCTAGGCTTTTCACTTCGGCTGACTGGAAAAGTCCCTTAGGTTCATAACACATCATGCTTTACCCTGCAATTGATTTGTTACGCTAAGGTCATCTAAGCATGGAAGTCCTTGAAGGAATCAATCTTATGTAGGTACACATTACAATCTACGAACTGCTTAAAAGTTATCCCTATATCCCTTGTTTCTTGACCTTCTGCTAAGGACCTTCTTGCAGTTCAAGCTAGAACACTAGATGTCACAGGAAAATGTGACGTAGCGCGGCGTAGTGCCTAAATTAATGCGTAGGTCCAGATTTACTTTCTTACCCTCCGTGAACGGTCAATGCAAGATTACATCAAACTGATATCGTAAAACCAACAGCACCCGGTCTCGACGTTGATGTTTCAAAGGCCCAGAGTCCATGCTATTTCCGTAAACTTAACAGACAACTGGTCATCGAATGTTTGCAACGCTGCACCTTTCTCTAGATTCAAGCGATTCGTCTCCAGATAAAGCTCTCAGAGCCCGAGATACGAAGTCAATCCGAGGTTGCGTCGAATTGATATCATAAATCCATTAGCCTCTGGTATTGACGTCGATGTTGTAGCGTATCAGAATCCATGTTTTTCCCGTAAACTTAGTTGAAAACGGGTCATTGATACCTGCAATATAGCACCATCCTCCAGAATCACGCGATTCTTTCTATATAAGGCTCTCAAAGCCCGAGACGGTTCTTCCTAGATCAATCTTTCAAAGCCCGAAGCGATTCTCTCTAAAAAAAAAAAGCTCTCAAAGCTTGAGATAGGAAATGCTTCCTGAATTGTTGCGAATACAATATCAAAATACCCACATACTCGACTAGACTGGCTCGATTTTCACCAGACGCCGGCTCAGCTCGGAAACTTGAGGGCACAGTCCAACGCGAGTACGAGACGCCAAATTGTCAGAAGTACTCTTGGTCTTCTTCTATTGTTACATAGAAGATGCTTATACACTCATTGTTAGGATTTGTTTAGGAGACTATTTGATTTAACATGCTTGTCTTTCAAGAAGTCGCTGGGGTTCCCCTTTCCTAAGTACCCTGCAGTTTCTGCTAAATCTTATCCACGCCTGTATCAACAAGGTTCCCCTCATATGTCGCTCACGGAGACGGAATCAACTCCGTTGAGACGTTCGTGTAATACATACGTCATTTGCGGTCTGGTCTGACCATGTAACTTCCCGTGCCCTGTCTACTGCTTGAATGCCGAACACCCAGCCGTTTTGTATTTAATTCGGCTGAGGAACAATTTCAAATCATTTTACGTCGGCGCACTCATTACTGGCGTCAAATTATTGTGTCAATATTCTTCTGCTTTAGACCATCTTTCTAATACTGGAATCCCGACTTACTCCACGCCGAGTGGCATGCTTTCATGCGGGTTGTTACCCATCAAACGCAACACCATTCAAATTGAAACTACGGAACGAAATTGAGACGAAGATTGTATCAATCTTCTTTGAGATACTTTCTGTAGAGATTATGTCGACGCAGCACAAATTTCAGGCAGAAATTTGCAGTACCAGCTGCCATCTAGCCTTACACGCTCTAAACCGCAACGTATTCATGAGACACCGGTTTCAATCACCTTGAGGCCTCTCATATAATATGGAAAACCGAGCCCCCCCAACTCCCTTACCAAAGTCCATTAGAAGACAGAAATCACGAATATGTATTTCGACAGCCTGTGAGAACTGCCGCGCGAAGAAGGCAAAGGTATGTTCTCTTTAACCCTTCTGTTGTTCATCGAACTAACCTAGACAATCCAAGTGTAGTGGAGGAAAGCTATGCTCGAGGTGCCAGTCCAGAGGAATGAATTGCAAATATGAGACACGTTCTAGCCGTACCAAGCATAGCCTTAGACTCGAGATTAAGGAGTTAAAAGAGGCTCAACGTCAGCGAGACGCTCTGATAGGAGAGTTGACAGCCCCTGTCGAAAAGTCTGACGTGGTAACTTGCCAATGGGATGAACATATACTTGAGGATGTCTATAAGACATTTCAACACCCATTCCCATCGAGTTATCCAGCGAGCAGTCAAGTACCGGCCGCTCCTTTCGAGCAGCCTCAGCAAAACCCCAGTGAGATTCTGACTACTCCCACTACGCTTTATTTCGCTAACCTTTCTATTTTAGACTACTCCTACCCTATGACACTCAGTATTCCAGAAACAACTCACATCCAAAAGTCTCTTGATGGGCAGAGTCAAACTCCAATCAGCTATATAGAGCAGCCTGATAATTCGATTGCTCTATCCACCTTCGGAAACTTTGTACCAAACAGCAATTTCAATGAGCTTGGAATGAGTTCCAGCCCTACTTCATCGCTTGAGATGTTGATGGACTACCAGAATCCGATGATGGATTCTACAAATCAGTACTCGGTAAAATCTTCTTCTTCCGATGACTTCAACGTGGACAACTTTTGGGGACAGAATGTAACAGATCCCATGTCCTTGAGCTTCTCAAGTGGTTCTGTAGATTCAGCTGCTTCGTACTACCCCCAGCACGCCATGCCAGCATAGAGCCGCCCAGCTAATAAGTCCTCAGATCTTTCATCGAAACATCCTTGACAATGGATGATCTGCTTTCGGCAAAGGATTCCTCACCCCACGAGAAAAGCTGCGCCAACGTTGCCTTCAGCGAGGGAGAAACCCAGGATATCATCCCTTCGTCCTCATAAAGGCGAAATCAAATTTCGATACCTTGACCTTGACACTTAACATCAAGGTCATTGACAACAATGAGTCGTTCTCTAAAAAAGAGGGGAAAAAAGCCGAAGAAGACCCCTCGATCAGCCAGGCAACCTGCACGAATGCGACAGCAAGCGTCTTGTTACAGTCAAGTCTCCGACAGTCGTGTTTTATGCGAATAGACAGATGAAGTTTATGCTCGATTACAGTTACCGTAGATCTTGTTAGCTTGCTGGTAAAACCGTCGGTATGTTGAGTGTACGTTAGTCAGTCCTAGATTCGTAGCTTATGAAAGCTTTTGACCCAATGTATCACATCGCAGCGACGAAATATGCTGGCGCAGTGGTTTAGGAGGCGCGTTGATCAAGTTCACCAATCGAACATTTTGGAAGCGATCGGACACGCCTATGCATAGCTTTCTCAGACATTATTCAACAAAGCACCTCAGACCGAAACGTCTTCCCCGCTGCCAGTCACAACGACCAGCTAGGTAACCACTGTCAGATTGAACAACTTCATAGTCAAAAGCCGTACCATCAAGCATTGGGCGATAGTCCGAATGTTATTCGCGTCATCGAGAAACAAGCAGACTACATTGGCGAATGGAGGGTTGTTCGTCAAAAGGTAAGATTGCCTATAATACGCTCCATGTTGAGACAGATGACCCCTCCCAAGTTTGAGACGGCGGTAGAAAAAGCGACTCAGTCTTCGACTCATCATAGATACGAAGTTCCTTAGTAGAATCCGAATAATAATGGCATGGTAGGTTTCGGTCAGCAACCACAGTCGGTCTATTGACTTTGACTTCCTACTACTATGATAGGAGTAAGGCAAACGGACTTTTACTTTTGATAAGCATCGACGTTAGCTACCTGTTACCAGACAACCCCACTGTCGGATATCTGATCGTACCTTTATGCTACCAATATTTCATCCAGGCTTCACCTAGGCTATCGTGGAAGGTAAGCAAAAATGGTGAGCCCCACTCAGCCTGCCCTGTTAGCTAGATGGTAATAAGGGAAGGAAGCTCCGAACGCAGGTTCCACTGCATGGAAAGTATTTTAACCTTGTCGCTAACCCGACGTCCACTTCAGCACAATTGATCGGGCCTGAGTTATTGACCTCGATTATCTACGAAAAGGAAACCAAACGCGCTGTTTTTGGTGTTCTGAGACCACTGAAAGGTCGGCTGCTCTTGAAGGTCTTTTGTCCGCCATCCCGTTCTCTGATGGACTTTCTCTAGGAAATTCAAGCTCTCCTCTTGCTCCTTGGAATCGGTGAGGTAGAGACCGCCTGACCGTTAGTGAATGATATCTATGTGATGACTTTAGAAGAGAAACCTACAAGCTCTAAGGGCATGTGCGGCTGTGAATGCAGAATTGACAACAGTCGGATTGCTAATCGCGAGCCCGAGCAAGAGGCGGAAGTTATCGAGAACTGCCTCCTTCGCAATGTCAGTCTAGTCACATTATACGCGAGCCATAAATTATGGTTGAAAATCACCTCTGATTCCCTCCTTCTCCTGAATGTCTGTAGGCTAGGTTTGCTTAGATACGGATTAAAGATGTGCAGGACCATTCGTGCTAGACTATAATGTTGATATCCAACCACTGAGCATGTCAGCCCATGACTCCAAGATGCTATAGATTCCGGTGGTCAGAACCTACCATGTGCGGGATGCGTCATCCAGACTGCCGGGAACACGGAACCGTTGGCACTAGTCTGATGAGGCGGCTCGACCCAGAGGGGATCAGCGTGCCAAGGGTTCGAGATGAGCCAATCTGCGAGTTCCTGATTTAGCGTATTCCACCTATCAAAGTCCCTAGTGGCCGTTGGCTGGAAGGCGTAGGCGCAGGCCTGAGCACACAAAAAGACCGCGCGGTTGGCTAGGCACTCCGGCTCAACTCGGAAGAATGAGCTTGAACCCTTGTAGCTATCCAGATTGATGCTGAGAGGCTGAGAGTTGACCAATGCAACCCAATAGTCCTGCCGCAAGACGACCCAGCTCGCTGCCTCGCCGAGACCGCCCTCACTCGCCAAGCTGAACATTGAGTTCAAGAGCTTGGAGCTGCCGGATAGGTGGACGCCGAAGTCAGTATCTGTAGGTCACAAGCTTCAGTTACATGTCTTTCGCCGATCTCATACCGACTTACCGGTCATCTCCTCATACTGTCTCAGTATCACAATCGCGGCAAGCACTTCCTCGTTCTGGGCCTCGATTGAGCTATCCAACATCGGGATAAGAATCTGCAGGGCATGGCTGTAATACGCAGATGGCTGAGAGTCTTCCGTTCCCTTAATGCTGCAAAGACTGCGAGATGCGAGTGCAATGATGGAATACGCCAGGAGTGGCGAATGACAAGCTCGCTTTGGCACTTCTGTTCCAAAATGTCTCCGTGCGTCACATATGTCTACCTGATGGCTCTTGTCAAAGTTGCAAAATGGGAAGTACGAAGGCGGTACTTACCCACATGGATAAATCATGGACATAATGCATAAACAGCTGTGCTTTCCCTCGATCTTTGAAGGGCTGCCCAACGCCATGTTGGCTCATCGACAATGCAATTGAGGTAGCTCCGATGGAGCCTTGACGACTTCTAGATGATTCGTTGATAGTACATAAAGGAACAAGATTGAGACCGAACTTACCCATCAGTTTCATCTAGAGCCCTACGCCTTGCATATCTCGACTCACAGGCATCTGAGAGGGATGGCAATGGACTTTTCCATGTGTCACTTGATGATTCATGCTCAGACATCCCGCAGCATGTATACGATGACAGATTGAAGAGCTGGATGAACCTGCTGTTCTCCGAGGCAAGTCAGATCACTCAACGAGATCTTTTTAAATCAAGCCGAGTCGCCTGTGTCGGCAAGGGACAGGAGCTGTAAAGGTTTTCTTTAGGATAAACTTGTTACAACACAAAGATTCGCGGGTTTCGTTAACTTTTCTAGCCGCAAACGGCGAATTGCTGCGAGAACTGGACTTCGTATTTACCCCGCATATTGGACCCCTGGCCCTATAATTGGCCGAGCCGAGGTCCTTCAACACCCCACCATGTCCTTTTTCGACCCAGCGTACAGTACCGCTACTTGGAGAATTGAAAGACTAAGCCTGCATTGCCACTTGGGGATCTGATACAGCCTAATCTTCCAAGTGTAGCCGAAGCTAACATGCATGTCATAAGTCAGATGGTCTCTTGATTAGGCTTCATCTCAACCTAGCGCGCGGTCTTTAGCGCCATCTACACGCGCTCAGATGCATGTTAAACTTGAATCCGACTACGCATCCTTGACTCCTGGAGCTTTGCGTGACTGGTGTTCAGCCTCAAAATCCCTAATCTCATTCTCGGGCCCCAGGCCGACCATTTGGCTGCCCTTTTCCACGTGATTGACGCCTCCGAACAGCACATCGATCTCTTCCAGGGGCACTTTCTTCGTCTCGGGGATGAAGAACCAGACGTATATTACCAGCAAGAAGTTGACAGCCATGAAGAAGAAAAGGCACTTGAGGCCAGTGTTCTTGAGGAATGTAGGGAAAAATTGCTGGAAAATGGTATTCGCAACGTTTTGCGATTGGGAACACATCCCAACGGCTTGTGCTCTAATGTTCATCGAGAAAACTTCGGCGGTGTAGATCCAAACAGTAGCGCCCCTATTCATAGTCAGGCCTACGTCCACAGCTATGTCAATGAATGGAGAGACACTTACCAGGAAGGCTTGTAGAAAAAGGCAAAAAGGAAGAGCAAGAAGACGATCGAAATGCCAACAGATTGAGACTTCGTGCCTCCCGCCAGGTCCGGCGTAGCCATTCCCACAACAGGGACTACCATCATACAAAAGCCCATACCTACCGCACCGACCATGAATAACCATCGACGACCAAAGCGATCGGCAGTCCACGTAGCATTCAACGTGAAAAGAATACCGAAAGTACCGTTGAGTGCGTTGATAAGGTTAATGGTTGACTTGCTCGGCCAAACCTTGCGGTAAATCTGAGTCGAGTAGTTGTTGAGGGTGCCTTGTCCGGTGAGTTGCTGTCCAACATTGAGAAAAATTGTCAGGAAGAGACGCTTGCGGACCGAGGGGTCCTTGAACAGAGCGGTGTAATTGGTGCTGATGGCTTCTTTCTCATACTCAATGGCCTCTCTAATAGCTAGAAGTTCTTGCTCGGCCTCCTCCTCTGTATTTCGCAGCGAGAGAAGAGCTGTGCGAGCCAGTTCGGGTTTGCCTTTCTGGACGTACCATCTGGGAGATTCGGGGATGGTCCACAGCGTGCTGCACACAATCGTTGGGACGAGGATCTGGAATAGCACAACCATGCGCCAGTCCCAGTCTCCAAGTTTCTCGCGGTTTAGACCACATGCGTCTGGAGTGCTTGTTAGTTTACTTCAAGATAGGCAGACAGTAGCGACTACGGACAGTTAATCCAGAAAGCCAAGAAGCTACCAACGCTGAAGTTAAGCTGCCAAAACGTCATTACCACACCGCGAATCTCGGCGGGTGTGATTTCATTAATGTACACAGGGCCAGCAGCTGATGGTAGTTAGTAAATTGTGACACCTTGTGACAGTAGTAGTAGGGGAGTTCTACTTAATGCGAGGCCTTGACCGATACCAATAATGACTCGGCCGGCCATGAAGACACCGAGATTATGGTGGGGCGCGAAAGCCTGCATAAAGGCTGCGGCGATGGTAAGAGCACAGCCAACGCCCATTCCAATGCGCCGACCAGCCCAGTCAGCCTATAACTATCAGCATCTCGTGGTCATATGTAAACAACTCATCATTTGTGAAATCTACATACCAGGGGGCCACCGAAGAAGAAGCCGGCTATGATAGCGCCTATGGTATACACGGTGTTGATGAGGCCAATGAGCTGAGTGTCTTCGTCCTAAGAGTGATACTTAGCAAGGAGAGGCCATATGCGATGGAATTATAGACTTATCGTCATACTGGGTCGAGATCGAAGTACGCGAGCCAGTTGTCCGAAGCCTGAACGGCGTTGAACACGGAAGCATCGAAGCCGTACAACACCATACACATAGCCGCCAGTAAGGCAGAATACCTGGAAGCACAATGTCAGAAACCATTTCTGCTTGACAGAAATCCCTGTTTTACCAGCTGTAAACCTTTCCAGATACCATTTTGGCTGATTTGATCTAGCCAGAATAGCTGAGAACTTGGTGGAGACTCTCTAACGAGGCGAGGAGGATGCGACGAGCGAGGATACATTTGTCGTCCGAGAGGCGTCACAGAGTATTATACGACTGGGAGCTAACCCTGGATTTCCCGATTCGGCATGTACTCTACCCCATGTGCTAACGGCTGCCCAAACCTGGAGAAATGCTACTCGCTGCTTACACCGATATACGGACTGCGCCTCATTGGCACCTCTAAACGCATGGCCGTCGCTCCTCTTGGTGATCGTCAAGGAGACATCGTCTAGCGTGTGGGGCTTTGGAATAGCCCGTGGTTTAGTCTTCCATCGCGCCATGGCTGTGGCCGTTGGCTACATTGACACGCGAGGTCGGAGAAGAATTTCCTCCTATCATATGATCCGATTATCTTTAGAGCGACACAACGAATGCGGTCACAAGTGGACGCCCCCATCAAGCTTTACCAAAATCGACCGTAACATTCCCTATTGTTTGCATAGGCCCGCCCGATAAGTATGAGAACCAGGGTACAGAAGGGATAGAATCTGGAGACAGAATCTGTGTCACACCCCCCAATTTGTCCGCCTTGGCACATTCTTGGGGTGGCGTGAGTTCACCTCCTCCAGTGATACGTATGCTTGCGGACCATCCGAGCAAAAGTTCGCGCTCAATGCGAAACCCAAGCCAGTCGGAGATGAGTGAACTGGTGGCGGATAAAAATAGTTCCGCTTTATTTCATCTGTTTATCATCCCTGGAGTGCTGGGTTAGGGGTTCTCTTTCCCGAGTAAACTGTGTATACCTTGTGCCAACAGTTTTGGCAAATTTCCGTGGATTTTGCTCCGGTGCCAACGACAATAAAAGGAGGCATACCGTGAATCGTTGTTTTCATTCGAAGTCTGAACTTTTTTTGCCGCAAGAGGCCAATCCCGAACAAGCATCCAAGAGGTGGCCAAGGTGCTTGGCACCAACATGAATACGGCTCAGACCACGCGTTCTGAGTCTTGGCCTCCAATCACTTCCGGCTTGGTACCAGCCATCAAGGAGCTTATGAGCCGAATAGACACCCTCTCAGTTCTTCTTAGAGATGCAGCCGAAGTGCGAAATCCCGGCAAGAACTAGATGCAGTCAATGTCCAGCAGTGTCTTGTCCATGTTGGTGCATGCCCTATTTGGCGGGCTTGCCGCTGGGAGGTGAGACAATGATATTATGGGCTTGGATGTTCCTGCAGACCTACTCGCGCATCAGTTGGGAAAATTGAGAAAGTGTATTTGCACTCGGATGAGGTTGGATGACACCTACAGAGGGGTCGCTGCAAATGAGAGAACCGACACTTGGGTTGTCCTTCTTCGGTGTCGTTCCGGTGAAGTCTGAGAGAACAATTTCCTTGACAACCAATGCAGTCTAAACATCATCATATGAAGTGAAGACCACGGGCGTCACATCTCCGATGACGTACGGGATATTTGCGGCAGGCCTCTTGGCTTGTAGCGAAGTAGCACTGTGTAAGTTGGATGACCCCTTTCCAATATCAGCTATTGACTCGGAAGAAATTTGTTGAGGAAAGCCTATGGTCGTTGTTCTTGTTCTCATACTTCTCAAATATAACGTTCTGAACATGACCGAGACCGCCTCCTGCTTCAGACCCGGTCGTGTTTGGCAGCACGTCGAGCCAGATCTTTATGCGGGCACCATCAGAGGTATCGAACACCGAGATGTTGTAGACGTGGAGGTTCTCGACGATATCCAGTTGTCCTTTAATACTGAACAAGGCTACCGACTGAGATGCCGTGGGACCCATTGCAGCGGAGACTTTGAACAAGTACGTTGGTGGAATTTGGCTTGAAGGATGCGCACATTTGGATCTGTTGGCTTGAGTTAACAGGTCGCGAGGAGGACTCATTGGCAGCGACTGGGTCGATAACTTGGGAAAGGGGAATTTGTAACTTGCAACTAGACCAGCAACCGCGGCGACAGGAAGAAAGCAATTAAGGAGCTGCATATCGAATCTCATGTGAAATGATCAACGTTACAATCCAAACGTCACGGCGTGTTAAGACAGGCCTCGCAAGCTTATAGGCTTGCATCTGTTATCATGTGAGTATTTACTTTGATTAACACCGTTCCATCAGGTAGTTAATTCAACGAGATCACCTCCAGGCCAAATGCTGCCCCCGGGGCTGAAAAGTGAGCTGCAGCGTTTTCACAAATGTAGGCCTGCTACCCTAGCCAAGAGCCTCCCAAAGTCCAACTGGAGAGGGACACAATGCAGTATTTCAACAGCTTGCCAGCCTACCATGTTCCGTGTGCCCGGACCATTAGACCCTCATGGGTTGCGATACCCAGGACTTGTACGGTGCTCCATAAGTGCCAACCCGACTATAGACGGCTGAATGTTACGCCGACTCTCCTCCGCCCAGCCCCCCCCCCATATAAATCGTCACCAATTCTGATATCGTAGGCTTCTTTTCTGCAAGATATCTTGTTATCCGACAGCTGCCAATCTTGTTATCTGAGAGCTGCCAGGTCTCAAAGGTTGGCGTAGGCCAGGCCATGCTGGATAGAGGTCATTCTAGGGGATGGAAGTACAATTTGCCCTGGCCGCTGGCGTCCCTCATCTTCAGGCTTTTATCCAAAGATGTCTATATACACAAAGCAGTGAAGGACAGTTGCAGCAGCAATAAATACACATCATCTAGGTCAATAGAGTTGTGAATGCCCTCATGAGGCTAGCCTATACACCCTATTGCCAGGAACCAAAGTATTCTTATACGGCTGGAGAGAGAAATCCGGTATTTGCCAGCTATTAGCATATTATATACTAGGCAGTAATAAAAAATTCATAGAAATACTAATCAGGCAACTATAATAATATCGCTAAAAACTATCACTATATTCATTATTTTTTGTTATTTATTACCATAATATAATCTATACTAGTTTCTTAAAAATAGTTAATAGCGTTAAATTTAGCTTATTAAGCTTTATCTCTAAGTGTATTTTGTTTTTTATATTTTTAGTATAGGTAGCTAAGCTTTTGCTTTATAGAAGATTAGATATATAATAGCTAAGTAGGCTAAAACAAAGATTAGAGAGTATATACACTTAGATATATAGAAAAAGAGATAATATCTCCTTTAATACCTTTTTATTATTACTTTAAAATTTTTTTTTTATCTTTTTTATTATTATTATAGTTTGCTTTATAGATAAGCTAATCTGCTTATTAGCAAAAAACACTAAGGGTTATAAATATAAGTAGCTTAAAGGCAAATTCAAAGGGACTTACTGTCCCTTTTATAATAAGTCATGGCCTATATTAATTACCCTTAATGATTCCTTTAGCAACAATTTACTTTATAGAGTAATAGCTTAACTAGTTAATATTTCTGCCTATTAACCATTTTACTTATACAATAAGGCTTTCAGTAATACTAGCTATATAACCCCTACCTAAGCTATTTCTTATACTTAGGTCTAAGATAAAACAATTAACTTTAAAAATAATAGCAGTAATAGGAATAAGATTAAGAGAAGGTTAAAGATATTGTAAGAAGCACTAAGCAGAAAAAAGAAGCAGGTTAATAATTCTAATAACATAGGTATTATTAATATATCTATGAATATATAAATAGTTAGCTATAAATTATATAAGGGCCTTTATATCTATAAGACTACTAAGTTGCTCTATAAGTCTTTTATATTATTAGATTTAATTTCTTATTATTTATATTGAAACTGCGTGGGATAAAGGAAGCCAGCAAGTGGGCAGTTGACACACAAACCACACCAAACACCAAGGTCCCAGTATCGTCACGAGTGCACCTGGAGTGACCGATTACCCCAAGTGACTACCCCAACGCCTAGACCGTGAGATACTACTCTTTTCAGGTCCTCCTTGGCCTGATCAGGGCCATGAGCAAACCAGAAAAGTGTATCCTTCACGTCTTGCAGTCTGTTCGGATTTGCCCTTGTTGCTAAGTGGTACGCATGTGTGTGTCGTGATCTCTGGAGGAGGAGGATACCCTCCTAGACCTTAGAGGTCTAGTCAGGCCTAAGGAAACAAAGCAACAGTCACTTATTACACGTCTTGTTTAGATATCAAAGTGATGAATTCGTCCGTGTCTGTCTAAGTGCCTGTCTAAAGATGTCAAGCTTCTCTGTCTGCTTCGTGATGAGATCCCGATCTCTGTGATAGTATCTGACTAGAGCCCCCTTTTGTACTTGGAAGGGTCCTGCTTAGTCACATCTGATCAGGCCTGTGATTGTGTCTGCAGGCTGATAAAAGGAAAAATGAAAACGCGAAACCCTGCCCCTTTCCAATCGTCCCCCAGTTTTCTTCTTCGCGCAACATATTAAAAGGAGAAAAGTGTAAAAGCATAGGGGCAGACGACATGTAAAAGCAAAAACCAATCCTCCTTATTGTATCCTCCCTGATCAGACCTGTGATGTCCTCCTAGCGGCGGCGGAAAGAGTATCTCGAGCCACTCGCCTCGTTACGAGCTGCCTCCCTCTCAGCCTCGAGACGCTCCTCCTCGAACTTAGCATCCCACTCCCGTCCCTGATCATACCGCTTATGACCCTCCCATCCAGGTGCAATTGTAGGTCGTAGAAACAGCTGCCAAGGGCGCTGTCGCACTGCCACCGTCTCATAAGGGTTCTCGAACATACTAACATATTCGTCCCTGGTGTAGTCGGTAATAGACTTGACCCTGCGCTCCCTTAGCTTGTGGCGCTGCTCCTGTGTATTGAACAGGGCTTTCTCATAAGCATTTCGCTGTCCTTCAGCCTTCATGTACGCAGTAGAAGCCACATTAGACAATCGCTTGAGGTTAAGGGGGCAGCGCGGGAGCGCGGGCTTCGCGGTGGCCTCAGACTCAGCATCGCTAACCTCCTCTTCGTCGTCTACATCCTGAGCCTGATCAGGCTTAGGAGATGGCCTCACCACGTTACCTTCTGGGGCTGGCGTGGTAGAGAAGCCTGGCTGGTCCTGTGGCGCACCAGTATCTGAGGGGGGCGCATCGAACCAAAGAGACTGGTGAGATCGTCGTCTTGAGGTGCTGAAGAAGGCGTCTTTTTGATGGGCTTAAAAGTCCCAGGAAAGGTGTTAGAGAATTCCGGTGTGTCCTCCTTAGTCTGATCAGGCTTGCTGGATGCTTCTTGTCGAAGTCTCTTGTCATAACTGTCCAGTACAAGCCTCGGCTTATTGCGAAGGTCCTTTCTGCCGTAGTTTCCTGGTTTACTGAACTCTTCAGTAACCCATTGACGCCAGAAATGGTTAACGTGGTCAATGACGTTGCCTCTGCTATCGTTCCAAACCTTCGTCCAAGTCGGACTCTTTGCGATGTTGGTAACGTTGTCTCGGATGCAGCATCTGATGAATTCCGCTGCATGCATTCCGCAAGTCCACTCGTCAGGCTGTTGAGGGCCGATCACAATGCCTGCTTTCATGCGGATCACCTTGATCAGGTTGGGGGCAGCATTGACGCTCTGATAGAACTTGCAGAGACGGTCCATATCAATAGCGTACCGAAGGGTTGCATCTCCGTCTCTCCACATACTGTCATACCAGAAAGATCGTCCAGTAACTTGGTTAACGAAGAGGGCAGTGAAATGATTGATGTGATGGGTAACGAACGCCAGGCAGTCCGCCTTTCGAATCCGGTCCTTCTGATCAGGTCTGGCCGTCACAGTAGGGGTGTCGCGGCTCCAAGGAGGGCTGTCGGCAACAAAGCAATTGACCTTGGCATCTCGAGCAGCAAATGCCGCAAGACTTTGGACATCGTCAGAGGCCATCCAAGACTGCTTAACCAAATGTCCAACCGCGTTGTAGATACCAGGGAGGTAGGTTTTTGACTCGTTGTTTGTCCACTTCCCCCAAGAACCATCTTGCGAAAAGCCCTTGCCCAGCGATTATACATCATGCTTATGGCAGACGCGTTGTTACTCGGAATCCACATGGGAGCAGGTCCGTCGCCCTGATCAGACGGACCAGGACAGTTGGGAGGTCTCAGCGGAGTAATAGGGTCTTCAGTAGCCGGGTCTGTGAACCCTTCGAGTGGCTTGAGGTCTTCGGGATGCGCGTGCTGTGATTTCTGCGGCATCTTGATGGCGTTCGTGGTTTGCTTAGTCGGATCAGGGAGATTGTCGCTGAGATTCTGAATGCGGCATTCCTCGAAGAGAGTTTGGCAGTGCTCCAAAACCCACATGTTGTTGGTTCCATCTGGGCCGGCAGGAGCGTTCCAGATAACGTTAACGGCTTGGAAGGAAGACATGATGAGTTGTAGATGTGTGTAGATGGGTCTGATCAGGGTGAGAAAGTAAAAAGAAAAAGGGAATAATGTGTTGTTGATTGTTGGTTGGCTCGAAATTGTGTGGCTGAAGTTGATGGTGGTGGTGGAAGAAGGAAAAGTGAAAGTTGTTGTTGGCGGGTTTCTTGGGCTTATTTTATAGCTTTGTTTCTGACGAATCTTGACCTTGTTGTGAGGGAAGGAGCAATTCGAAGTTGCTGAAGAGAAAGAGTAAAAAGGTGGATACAGGAAGGTAAAGAAGATAGTTGTTCATCTGCCCAATGTTCACAAAAGTGAATAACTTCTTCCTGTTCACAACAGTGAATCACTTCTTTTCTCTTAGTTCCTTCCCTCTGATCAGTGAATTAGAAGAAGCAGGCCGTAGTTAGCAGGATAAAAAAAAAGAGGCCAGGAATCTTCCTTCAGATCACTTCTTCTCTTCCTCCACACAACTTCACGTTGCTTCTTAAGCTTCATCTTTTCTGCAACTCAAAACCACTCAACAAATCAA